GAGCAACACAACCCGTATCCCCACCCTAGATCGATCCTCGATCCTACTCGGAACACGGAGAAAACGGAACCACGAGGCGTGGAACCCCACGAAATCTCCAGACAACTCATGCAAACCCCTAAGCCACACCAATTGAACACCACAATGTCGACCTCATTCAATTGGCCCGCATTGGCGGTAGCCATAACCGCAGTCTTCATATTCTGGACCTTCTCCTCAACCTCCTCCTCACCCTTCACACGGTCTTTCCCACGCCTCGAAAACAAGCGCATCTGCCTCCTAATCGCACACCCAGACGACGAAGCCATGTTCTTCGCGCCAACCGTGCTATCTCTCACCAAGCCCGAGCTCGGCAACCACCTAAAGATCCTCTGTCTCAGCAGCGGCGACGCAGACGGCCTGGGCGAGACGCGCAAACAAGAGCTTCAGAAATCAGCAAAGCAGCTCGGGCTGCGCAGCGAATCGGACGTCTTCATAGTCGACGATGCAAACCGCTTCCCGGATGGAATGGACAAGGACTGGGACGAGGACCAGATCTCGTCGCTCCTGGCCTCGGCTTTCGCCCCCGAAATGGCGGCCCAGAAGAAGCTGCCCGGCAAGCGTGTCGATCCTAATAAGGCCCCTACCGCTACTATCGATATCATCATCACCTTTGACAAGCATGGCATCAGTAATCATCCTAACCACCGCTCGCTGTACTACGGCGCTGTGAACTTCGTCCGCGCGCTGATGAAGGATAAGGCGGGGTTTACATGTCCGGTCACGCTGTATACCCTCACTACGACGTCGGTATTCCGCAAGTATGCGGGCGTGCTTGATGCACCGCTCTCCATGTTCCTTGGTGTGTGGAGTAACATCGTTGCTGGGTTGACGGGCTCGAGGAAGAAGGATGCGGGGGCTGGGGCTGGTCCAGTGCGGCTGCTGTTTGTTAGCTCGATAAATGAGTGGTTGACTGCGCAGTCCGCTATGGTGGTCTGTCATAAGAGTCAGATGGTTTGGTTCCGGTGGGGGTGGATTACTATTGGGAGATATATGACTGTCAATGACCTCCAGCGGGAGAAGGTCTAGACAACTGGTCTTTTCCTTGTTCCTGTTTTGGAATTGCTATGCCCTGGATGAAGGGTTAGCTTCGGATCTGTGCTGCTTTTGCTCAGATCTTGTATCATTTTGGCTGATCGCCATTTGCTTGCGTTGATATCTCACGCTTCATGTCTGCATATGATTTCTCAAGGCCTATGTGCCTTTCTTGTATACTCATTTCTACTACTCAACTTACAAAGCTCGTGTGCTCGAGCGGCTTTATAATGGATATACATGTGTTTCGGTACGGAAATCCAGAGATAAAAAAGACCAAGACAACAATGGCACTGCTCATGAAATTGTACAAATGGATATCATATATGATCGACGTCAAGCGCAAATGCTTCAATCGATACAAAAAAGAAAAAGCCCCGCTCATCAACACCAAGGATTGCTATCTCTCCAGAAGATAGAATTTTGGGGTTTAGCATCAAAGCCCAGCGCATGAATGCGACCATAAAACCCGCCAGAAGGATTGTTCTCTTGCGACAAATGATGGTCTTCGGGGTAATCAACCCGCGTTTTCAGTTTTTTGAGCTTTGCCCTTAATTCTTCGGTGTGCTTCACCTGGAAGGAGTAGATGCGACTGAGCGGCGAAATGGACGGATCCAGCTGGGGGTACTCATAAAGCAAGATTTCCCAGAATATCCTGTCATCGAGGACCTTGGGCTCAACCGGATGGAATAGTTCCGGCCCATCTGGTATCCGCCGTGCATGAATGCGGCCATGCTGGCTCATGTGGCGGCTCTTGGAATTCGTTTGGCCTTGGAAATCGATTGTTCCAACCTCTCCATCTCTATATTCGTACCTATTACGCTCTGGCAGAAAGTCTTTCCATTCTTCCAATAGCTTGGGCCGTTCTTGGAGCTCCCAGGCTTTGGGCGATATGCCACTCCACTTGTTTGTGATGATCATTGAATAGGCTATGCGCTGCAGTTGATAAATCTGCTGGAAGACTTCGAGCCGGAGGAGATCGTATGTGTTGATGGCTTCGGCGAGCAGGGGACACTGTAATAGTGACAAGTCTGGTTGCACGCCTTTCTCTCGTTGGTGCTTGGTTGGATCCCGTACTTTCCTCCCATTGTTCGCCGGTGGCCTCATGCTGTCCAATACTGGCTGCAGACATTGCATAACGGCGTCTCTCGCTTCCTTCCTTTTTGCCCTCGTTTGGCTCAAGACATCATATGCCTTACGCATGTCTGTTTTGCAGGCCTCCAGATCGCCATCTAGTTTGTTGGTTTGGGTCATATATCGGTACATTTGCAGAGTTGCAGGAACATTGTACGGCTCCGCCGTCAATATCTGAAACATGTCGCGGACCATGTCTCTTGGGACTTGGCCTGTTCGCCCATCTTCTGCCTGTCTCCGCCTGTGTTCTTTGGAGAGAGTAAACGTCCTTTCAAGTAACTCGGACCAAACCTTGGCTGAAATGGTGATGTTGTACGAAGAAGCTATGAAGTCGACTGTTCTCATGGCGGCGTATACATCGTTGTTCGTGCCAAAGGCATGGGCCACGGCAAAAAGAAGACGCTCAGTTGGGTACAGACCAGACCAAGTATCATAGGGCGTAACCGGTGGGAGCATCGAGTTATCCCTTTCAGCCAAGAGGGCATCAACATCGACGTTCCATACAGTCTTGAGGATATTCTTGGTAGCTTCTGTGTCGCCAACTCGGGCCGCTGCCAGGAGGATATTGATGTATGTCTGCTCATCCCCACTAAGCCCGTCCTGACTCATTTGACTGAATATATCCAACACTGTTCCTTTGACACTGTTCCACGCGGTTGCGTAGCCACGCCATCCAGGATTCGGATCTATCATGCGCCGCTTTTTGTAGCTGTGAGGGATGATGCGAGTATTGTATGCTTCTTTTCCCACGTAACAATGGTTCCAGACCAGTGCTGCCATGTAGTGATTATAGCAGACTGTGTCGGGAGTAACATCGTTGGCATGCATCCCATCCCAAAGGGCATTGATTAGGGGGCCATTTCCCATCGCCTGAGCACAGTCAAAGAGGTGAGTGTATTCGGCTAGTTGAGGTGGATACCCAGCCACGGTTCTAAACTGGATGATCGTGAGCAAGTCCCTCGTAAAGTCGTCGAACACCGCTTCCAAGGTTTTGAGCCCTAGCATTAACACGCCCCACCCGTGTAGCGTATGGTGGAGATCTCGGTAGGGTATCACGAAATGAGCTGGGGATAGGAGGTGCAGGGCTTCGATAAACACGGTTGGCGGTAGCGATCCAACTAGCTCTACCGACCGTGGATCGGCCATGGCTTCCCTCACTTGGTTCGGTTGTCCGTTTTCAATGACTCGGAAGAAGTTCGCTCTATACCGAGCCTCCTCTGCAGATGAGCTCCATTCCGGTAGAGGCACTTGGATTTCCTTTTCGAAAGTCGCAGGACGGGGAACAGCGAGTTCGTTGTTCCGTCGTTGACTTGTTGTAGTCAATTGCCGTATAGAATTGCGATGGCAAGTTTGTCGCGTTCTTTGTGCAGAAATATCCCATGTCTTCGTATTTGGAGATGTTGCGACACAAGGGGTTTGCCTCAAGCGACTGAGATGACGGTGTGGGGGAAATTGTCTAGGTTTGCTGATGTTGTCACCAGGCCGAGACGAGACACCCCTGCGAGAAGCGAACTTCTCGGTAAGTGAGAACCTTCGCATGGGGAAATTGTAGCAAGGAAATCAGTGTTATTCAAGAATCAGGGAAAAACAAAGAGCGCGAAATCACCAAGGGGTCTAAATGAGGGGAAGGTGCGCTTCGACCCCGGATGTTTTGGCAGGGGTATTTCATGCAGGTTGTGCTGACAACAGGTTGTGCTTCAAACTAAGTCAGCACAAGACCCCCCGTGGCCTGCACAAGTGATTAGGCGAGAGTGTCTAGCATTATTTGATTTTATGGTTATATTATGTGGTTTACAAGTTATACTATAGATGTATCTACCTACATCCAATTGCTCTATTGCTCTATTGCTCCATTGCTCCACCATAATATCCGTCTTGTGGATACTTGGGAAAGCCGAAAACCCGGGGTAAATTGCTGACTCATCCCACTTCTTGCCAAGAAACGCGCTAAACCCCATTAGGTATCAACCAAAGCTCGTTGATTCTGCGTGTGTGTGTGGACCTGCACTTAACCCAATCCAATCACCCTTCTATCATGGCCGACAATGAAGATACCGGCGGTCCATCCGTCTCGGAGCCCCTGGATCTCGTTCGTCTTTCCCTCGATGAGACCGTGTTCGTGAAGCTGCGCGGTGACCGTGAACTCAAGGGCCGCCTTCATGTGAGCTACCCCCCATCTGGCGATCTTCAGGATAACTACTGATTATGATATGTGTCTACAGGCCTACGACAGTCACTGCAACTTAGTCCTCGGCGACGTGGAAGAGACAATCTATGTGGTGGAAGAGGATGAGAACGAAGAGGAGACTTTGCGGGTATGGAATCATGTGAATATGGGAACTTTACACGGGCACGGACTAATCTGGGTTCTCGGATACAGACAATCAAGAAACAAGAAGAGATGCTTTTCGTGCGAGGTGAGTCGGCGCAATGATGGAATATTTTGAGTGGGTTGCTGATTCCTGTCTAGGAGACTCCGTCGTCTTGATTTCCCCCCAGGCATGACGGGCTTGATATGCCCTTGATAGAGAGAAAGGCGTCTGGCGACGGGAACAATACTAGGAAGGACACAAGATACCACAAAATGCAGTCAACATAGATAGGTAACGATACCATGGAAATTGGTTTATGATCATCCATACTAGTCCCGTTGGATATAGCTGGATATAGCCTTGTGAGCCTGAAGCAGGCTGTGCAATTTTAGTCACAGTATTCCTTATGATTCGACATTCTTCCTAGTAGATTTATATTGAGTCACTGGTGAAATGGGGCTGATATAGCCCTCCAGCTGTCCAGGTGGGCTGATGGGATGGTCGATGACTCAACTGGTGACTCCAACTTATCGATAAAGCTCTCCCATTCCCCCTACCATGTACTCTCGACCGGAACACTTCTTCAAATATTTACCTCGATATCCTTGTATCTTTTGTTCATTGGGCAAAAGAAAACTATGATCACTCGAATACAACTTCATATCCGCCAACAGTAACGGCGATCCGATCCACCGACCAATAACGTCATTACTCCAAAAGGCGGCACAGCGATCAATCGACACGGTTGAACTTACCAACTCCACACGATGCCTGCAACCAGGAAACTGACCCATGAGGAGCGAAAACGAGGTGAAGTCGTATGTGTCTCCGGAAGATGTGATAAGTCCCTCATCTTACATGATCTTCAACTTAGGCCCTTAGTGAATTCGCCGAGTATGCCGAAAAACAGCAAGCCCACCGCTCCGGCCAAGTCGCACCCAGCGACAGCGGATATTCCACCGCCAGCGTGTCGCGCGATCTTGAGGACCATGCAGAGCTCGATATTCTTGATCAGCTAGGGTTGTCCGATGCCCCCCAAACAGCCAAACTTAAGGAGCTCCTTCTCGGTACTGGCGATGTCTTCGAAGATAACCTACAAGTGCTAGCTGGAACATTACAAACACGCATTGACGAAGGCCATGGGGAAACCATTTTTGACCTCGGGTTGGAAGATGGTGGTGAATCCATGGGCTTCGACCTCGATCAATGGAAGACGGCACTGCAGCGTCTGCGTGAAGCGGCCGAGACCATCCCCGCCCACTGCCGAGTATTGCTGACCTACAACGTCGGAGGCCCTGAAGAATCGCCTGTCACAAATGACCGGGTACAGGGCGCTTGGGGCAAGGTCCTTGTGCGCCATCACGCTGATAACATCGAGGAGATGGCAGAGCTCCGGATTGCCGTAGTGGGGAATGTCGATGCTGGAAAGAGCACCATGCTGGGAGTGCTGGTGAAAGGTGGTCTTGACGATGGACGTGGTCGTGCGCGAGTAAATCTGTTCCGCCACAAGCACGAGATCGAAAGCGGGCGTACCAGCTCAGTCGGGTTGGAGATCATGGGCTTCGACAGCCGAGGCGAAATAGTCGGCAATTCGCAGGGTCGGAAGCTCTCCTGGGAAGACATCGGCAGGCGCTCTGCTAAGGTCATTTCCTTCTCCGACCTGGCAGGTCACGAGCGGTATCTGCGTACCACTGTCTTCGGTATGCTGAGCAGCAGCCCCAACTACTGTTTGCTGATGGTCGCTGCCAACAACGGTCTTATCGGAATGAGCAAGGAGCATCTGGGTATTGCTTTGGCCCTTAATGTGCCTGTCATGGTCATTGTCACCAAGATTGACATTTGCCCGCCCCATATTCTGCAGGAGACCTTGTCCCAGCTGACCAAGATTCTCAAATCGCCTGGCGCGCGCAAAATTCCAATCTTCGTCAAAGATATGGAGGAGACCATTAACACGGCCACGCAATTCGTCAGCCAGCGGATATGTCCTATCTTCCAAGTGTCCAATGTCACAGGAGAGAACCTTGACTTAGTACGGACTTTCCTAAATATTCTGCCCCACCGCGGACAATACGACGCCGAGGGAGCCTTCGAATTTCTGATCAACGACACCTTCTCTGTTCCTCATGTGGGTACAGTTGTCTCGGGTGTGGTCAAATCCGGTGTCATTCATGCCGGAGACTCGGTCATAGTGGGACCAGACTCGCTCGGCCAGTTCACCACCACAGTCATCAAGTCGATTGAGCGTAAGCGTATCCAGGTGAATGCTTGCTTTGCCGGCCAGTCTGGATCTTTCGCCCTGAAGCGCGTCCGCCGGAAGGAAGTGCGCAAGGGCATGGTAGTGTTGAAAAAGATGGAGGAGCCTCCAAAGGTGTATCGGGAATTCGTCGCGGAGGGTAAGTCGCCCAGTCGGGCTTTTTGATCACATGCTAATGAAAATAGTCCTCATTCTTTCTCATGCAACCACCATCAAGCCTAAATATCAGGCCATGCTTCATGTCGGGGCAGTCAGTCAGACATGTTCGGTCATTGACATCGACCGCCCTTTCATTCGTACTGGAGATCGAGCGTTAGTCGCGTTCAGGTTCGTACAGCGTCCTGAATTCTTAGCCCCCGGGGACCGTGTCCTCTTCCGTGAGGGCAAAACGAAAGGACTGGGAATTGTTAAGAGCATCGGTTATGACTCAACGCAACCGTTGAATCCAAATGCAAAGGAGGGAGCTTCCACTCCTACACCAACGATACCTCATGATTAGATTTTGTTTTTGTTTTACTTTACTTTCCAGGGAGTTTCTTTGTTCTTCTTTGTTCCTTCAAGCTTGATCTTTTTTCTTGCTAAGCGTTAGACATTGAGTCCTTTTTGTCTGGATTGTGTTTATGTTTACCCTGTTAATACAGTGATCAATTGGCTACGAGCTGACTATATTAGTTCTATTATTACTCCGTACCTTTGCATCTATTCCAAGGTTTTGTTCCTGTTACGACTTGCCTGTAGTATGAGGTCACATGACATATATTTCATGACGTCACTCTATGACATAGGCCCAGAGGATCGCCGCTCTCCACGCAGTCCAATTTATATCGTTGGATTATCATTCGCAAGCCATTGGGAAATCAGTGGAATCACAACTGCGGTCTTACGAAAGAAGGGATCCATGTGCAAGCCACCCCGTGGCCCAAAACCACTGACGTATTGAACAAGGCCTCAGCCTGTGGGTTCTTAAAAGCTTGACCTGCCCAGAGCTTCCAAGCATTCATTCCACTTGCTTGCCACTTACATTTCAACTCATACAAAACAACACATTATCTCACATTTACCCAATATACTTCATCTGCCATCCTATTATTCTCTATATCAGACTTCCACCTTCTGTATCCATTCGACATTCGATCTGTATACCCCGACACAATCATGGAGACTGTCAACAAATACGTCAACGCTGCTTCCACTGTCATTTGGGGCGAGAGCGACTCCCCTCGTGCCCAACAGCACGGCGAAGAGCCCATTTCCGGCGTGCAAGGCCAAGGACTTGCCACAGATCCCTATGATGGCGGCAACCGCGATGGTAAGTACAACTTAAGCATATGTTTATACAAGCCTCAATTCCCTGATTGCCACAATGCTATTTACGAGTCACCAACCACATAACTATCCAATATATCTAATGCCTCACTCCGCAGAGCAACCCGGCGCAATCCAGTCAGACGTCAGCACCGCACCCCTGAAGCAATCAAAGCCCCAAGAAACCGAAGTTACTAGCATCACTACCCCCCGTCCCCCAACCTCCATCAGCGCCTGCACAAGCATCACCCCTGCTCTGCCCATCTCCGGCGACCCTACAGAAGCCAGCGAAAGCAAAGAAAACAAGCCTATCTCCAGCGGCTCTACCGAAGCCAGCGAAAGCAAAGAAAACAAGCCCGTCTCCAGCGGCTCTACAGAAGCTAGCGGAAGCAATGATGACAACAGCTCCAAACAAGAACAGCGCAGCACCTCACAGGCTGAAGGTGGAGGTGGCGAGAGCAGCGAAGCTCCCCGCCAAGAGCATCATCACGACGTGAGCAAAGAGGCGCTCAAGGGCCCGCAAGGTCCTGCGCCGAGGGCTGCTGAGGACTTTGAGAAGGATTATAGGGGAAAAAATACTTCAGCTAAGTCTGAGGATATTGAGAAGAGTATGTTTCCCTTTTTCTGTTCTCCCTTCCCGTCGTATATCTTTGATGGGATTGGTTTTGGTCGGTGCTGACCTTTTGTTATAGATTCTGCAAGTGAATCTAGCGGGAAGAGCACCGAGTCGCCTTCGGGCAGCAACAAGTCTGAGCCTTCTTCCCATGGTAGCGAGAAGAGTGGGAAGCTCTCGAAGGTGAAGGAGACCGTCAAGAAGCATCTTCATCATTCGAGCAAATAAAGGCAGTGTCTTTGTTTACATCAGAGCTAAGCGTAATTGTGCTGGTTACGAAGCCTCCAATGGCGGGTTTGGCTCCTTTTTGAAACTTTGAGATTTGATGTCTATATCACGGCTTGTTTATTTGACACGCCTTGTTTTGGATTTCAGATGTATTAATATCCAATTGTACTTCAATTATCCAAACTCTTCCTTGTAAACGGCGGATCTGTGAATTGCCTTTTCGAGTTAGTTTTGCCTTTTTGGGTTTAGCCCCCTAATACGCCGTCACGTAACCTTCAATCCATGGATGCTCAATGAGCATATCTCCTGAGGTCACCAAGATCGCTTATTCAGCTTGCTCGACCTCACAGCTCTCGCGTTTCCTTCCGTCGCTATTTCCCTCACTACAATAGTCAACCAGTAATCCTTGAAATATTTATAGCGGGTGGAAGTTGTGAACATTTAGCTAGAACTTGATCCGCAGCTATTGCCCAGGCTTTGATATTTCTAGCTTGTATGGCTCAAGTCTTGATATGATAGCAGTTTCCTCAGTTTTCTCAATCCATATGTAGCTTTGGCCGGGCCCCTAACTTCTTCACACAACTTGCTAAAACAAGGTACCTAGGTACAATTATGACCGAAAAATGGATTTATTATCAAAGTAATTAAGATATGAGTGACACCGAAGATACAAAAGTGTTCTCGATTCCAACACGTGAGACAATGCCTCTATCGCCTACCCCAAGACTTTCTCGCCTTCTTCACCTTATCCCACATGGCTTCATCGTCCTTGCTCATATTCTCGTTCTTGCCAGGCAGGTCGTTGCATGTGATCTTGGGTCCGCCAGCTGATACAATGGCTCGTTCGATACAACCACCCTTGAAGCCGGAGAGATCGAATCCAGCTTTATAAGTACCATCATCTGCCTTCTCCCAGACCCAAGCATCAAGTGCACCACAGCCATCCTCTTCCTTGTAAACCTTATCCTCGTCAGCCCAAGTGCCAAGGTTGTAAAGGTAGAATGTCGAATCTACTGAGTTCCCGAAGAGGGTATCAGAATGGATGATGGTGCAGTCTCCGCTATGTGCCTTTTGAGAAGCCTCAGCGGCAGCTGCAGAAGAAGAATATGCGGAGGCGACTGCAGCATTGGTAGAGAAGACCGAGACGGAACCAGTACATGTCGGAATGTCGTTGACATTGGCGTTGCCGTATTGACCATCGGTGCACCGCCCAACGGTGCCGTCAAAGTAGGTCGTGTAGGCTGTGATAGGAGTGGTGGCCAGGGTGGGTGGCATCGTGCTCCAATCACAAGGCTCATGACTTGTGACCCCAGAGGAACTGGGTTTTAGCTGATAGCTTCCCTCGTGGCCCTCAACTTCGCAGAAAGCAGAACGACTATTGCTGTCATATTGGTAGTAAGCAGTGATGGTGGGTGTTGAGCTGGAAGAAGTCTTTGAAGTCTTTGATGACGATGATGAGGAAGTGGTCGACTTTGACGCAGAAGTAGCAAAAGTCGTCGATGTGGACGATGATGAGGAAGTAGACGATTCTGACGAGCTATTGCTAACCAGGCACACATCTCCTTCAAGGTCTCGTTGGCTCAGACGCTGAGTATAGTCATGGGAATAGTCCTGCTGCCACACGAGGTTGTTCTCGACCCAGAGCCTCCACCTGCCGACATTATATCTTCCCTGTGGAGCCATAATCACGTTCTGTATCGGATCATGTTCCACAATTGTTCTGCCGAGGAATCCAAATTCTGCCGTGGATATTTGGTGATTGTAGCGGTGATATCCCCAGACCCTCCTTATCGTAGCCTCTTTTGCAAAGAGATTGGTCAGCATGTCAGCAAGAAGGTACGCGCGATCAGAATATTCGAGGGTCTGCCCGTCAGAGGCAAAAGGAGTGACCACATGGACCTGAGGGTTATAATCTGGATGCAATACGCCCTTATTTGCGTCGGTTCCAATGAGTGTAACAAGACTCTGGACTTCATTTGGAACACCGTCACGAAGAGCCATGAAGGTCTGCTTGTGGAAGTAATCAGTTGCCGTCGGCTGGTTCTGCTCATTGACGAAGACTGGCACTTGCCAGATGTGTGACGCATACACACCTCTCGTGGATACAATGAAAACCACTGTGCAGCCATAAATGCCGTTCATGCCGTTTAATTGAAGGAATTCAGTAGACCAGTCAGACCAAGTCCCAGACGTGTCACCATCTTGGGAGGCCCAATCATCGCTAATGGTAAGAACCGAGCTCATCGTCGAAACATGTTCACTGTAGTCCTCGGGCTCCACAAGCACCCGTTTGTTCAAAGGAGTTTCTGGCAAGGTTTCGTTTGCAAAAGAGGATCGTTTCGCGGTATTGGAATCTGACGTTGGAGCTGCGTCGGCGGCACTTCGGAAGGTGCCAAAGCTTGCAGTCCCTACATCAGTAGTGACTGTTGACACCGAAGAACAAGTTTTGGTGGCAGACATAGTGACCCCCAGAGCACCGCTGAGGGGTCCAGTGTATTTTTTACATCCACTGCCATTGCCGCATTTTCCGGACGCACAGAGGGGGTATGATGTGCTTGACGCAGAGCTGGAGATAGTTGTTGTCAATCCAGTTACAGAGCAGCCTTCTGTCGTCACCGTGGTAGAGGGCGTGCATGTTGTTGTTGAAATGGTAGAACCTCCAGTGGGATTTGAAGTGGGAACACACTTGGTAGTGACGTGCAGTGCTGTGTGTGTTGTACAGGATGAGGTGGACGAAGAAGTGTCCGAGGAGGTCTTGGAAGTTTTCGAACTTGATTCACTGGTAGATGAATCATCATCTGTTTTGCTTTCATTGTCCTTGGAATCGTTGTTTTTGGTGTCATTGTCGAGGTTTGTGTTCTCCGTTGTTAGATTTTCCACGGTACTGTCAATAGCATCAACATTGTTGGTATTGACTTTGTCAGTAGCATCATCTAGACCCTTGTCAATGCACGACAGAGATCCAGTGATATCACCAAAGAGATTACTCAATGCGCTTCTCTTTCTATTTGAACCACATCCTTTCGAGGAGGACTCAGTGCCCATCTCGGAAATAAATCCTTCGACATGGCTTTTAACATCCTTGATCTTGTTCAAGGTGTTTGATTTCTTCGAAGTGGGATCCTTTTTCCATGACTTGAGAATGGGGATCAAAGCTGCAAGCTCGGTCGAAACGGAAGACGCGCTTGATGTGGCTTGCGAAGTAGCGATGGTTGTTGTGACAGGTGCAAGTGTAATTGGGGTCGACGCCGCAGTATCTGAAATGACAGGGACCTTTTCGGTTGTACCAGATACAACTGCAGTGACTATCTGGACAGCTGGGGCATCTGAAATGGTACTCGTATTGGGGTGTGGTGAGGCTTTCGAGGAGGCCCCATTGCTGCTACTACTACCCGATGCTTCAGAAGACTTGGTACTTTCTAGGTCTGAAGACCTGGAGGTCGAGCGTTCTGAAGTTGAGGCATCATGCCCACTAGATGTCTCAGAAGATGTGGCACTGGCAGCATCATGCTCACTGGATGGCTTGGAAGATGAGGCGCTCGTGGTCTTTCCAATACTGTTGGATGTGGCAGGTGTCTTAGCATTCGAAGAAGCTGAGCTGTTACTGCCATCCTCGGCATCCCGTGAGGAAGTTGTACGAGAGGCAGTGCTGCTAGAATCCAACTTCTTAGAAGGCGAAGATGACGAGCTCCAAATCACTGACGATGGGGAAATGTCGCGGTCCGAGGAAGTGACAACAGAGCTCGTGGTATCTTGTCTACTCCTAGAGTTTGTCGAAAACTCATTACCGGACCGGCTGGAGCTGCTCAAAGATACAGATGCAATGGGGGTCGGATACGTGGTGGCGGTTGCAGCTGATGGTTTCGTACGGGGAGACCTGTGATTTATCTGAGTTGCTGTTGTGCCACTTTCAAACAGGGAAGCATACGAGGTAGAACTCAAACTGGAACTGGAATCAATTGATCCCAGATTTCCAATGGCAGCTCCATCAGAATATTGGGTAACAGTGGACAAAATAAGAAGAGCCGTGCCGACTGGAGCTAGCCAGCCTTTTGGATACTGCATCTTGAGATTGATCGATGGTTGATAGAAGATGAAGAAGCATATTTGCCTGGAAAAGGACCAATACTTATATCTATCTCTTGACTGACCTATACCAAAGATACCGATTCTTTGTTTTATTCTCGTATATAGCCCCCACGATTAGATTCTAATATACCATGTAGATCGATATACATGTTGCCGCTAATGTCCGGAATTATATCGCACTAATTTATTAGTTCGTTTCAAGGGAAGTCATTTCACTTGATCACAATGTCGGCTTCCATTCAGTCGATGGCTCTAGAATTTAGTACATTAGTACTACACATCTAGCCACTATCCCTACCTAAGCCAAGGATGACATCTTGGTTTCTGGCAACTAGCCTAAACTCCGCAACTTCCCAAATCCTGTACTGAGATATCAATACTTTTACTACGATGTAGAGAGCGTTCCACATCCTGGTGCACTGAAATCAGTTCTGCGTATATTTTTATACATCCCGGGGGCTCATTTAAGGCTCCGCTTGACTCTCGATGGAGTTCTTAGGCGGGACCTTGATTGTATATACGCCCAGGCCATACAAGTTGCGAATAAGGCTGTAACTAATGTAGAGCAATATATGTGGGTTTACCTCTGGTGTTTCAGGTACTTCAGGGGTTTGATAATGACGTGTATGGTTGGGGGCTACAAGTACAATGTAGTTTATGGCTAAGCGGGACGGCCCCACCGATATGAAGGGCCAAAAAAAATTGAACAAGACTAGCCACATGCTAAGGCGATAATAAAGGCGTCAACCTGGTGGCCACCAACTCGGCTAAGGTGTTGTTGGGTTTTAGTGGTCGATAGGTTTGGGGGCGCCCCTTGCTGTAATGTAATGTAATGATCCTGATGGATGGGGGCCGGGAGCTTTCTTGTACAGCTTATCGTTGTGACGTGCGTTCAGGAGCTCAAGCGATTTAGTAGCGAGAGGTTTTGGCCGTGTTTTATTCAGTTTTGTACTCAATAGTGCATGTGCATATTGCTATTTCAGTCACTCGACAAAAGGTACTTAAAAACACGGTGCAGAGCACAATCTATCTCACGCAGTAGCATTTTCCCACTTCCTCGCCGCCAAACCCGCGTCCAATACCCTCTGCATCTCCTGGTTTCCTTTCACTCGGGCCACATCCATTGCATTCCCATCAAGAATTGGACAACCTAACTCGGGATTGGCTCCATGCTCCAATAGCCACTTGACCCTTTCCACAGCGCCCGCGACCGCAGCAAAGACAATGGGATAAAAGTGAGTAACGTAGCGGGACTGCCGCTTCTTGTTCACATCAGCTCCTTTTTCCACCAATAAGGCCATCACTGGAATTCTGTCTACATCCGCCTCCTTGGTTGGTGCTTCCTTGTAAGCAGCGGCGTGCAGTGCATCGTGATGAACGTCTGCCCCTGCATCCACAAGCATTTGCACGGCTTCGAGACTGCCAGAGCCTGCAGCTTTCTCTAGCGCAGAACAATTGATATAGTTCTTGCGGCTGGGCGTAAAATCGGGGTTTGTGCCATGGTCGAGGAACCAGCGGAGCAGGGGAATATCTCCCACAATTTCAGGAAGAATCTGCTCGCTGCAGACTTGAGACACCGGTCTCCATCCGTGATGTGCGAGAGCATTAAGGAGGGGAATCTTTGAATCGCGGGGTGCACGTATGATGTTATGCGGCGCACTACTCGCGATTGGTGCGCCAACGGAGAGGAGATAGTCGGCAACCTCTACGTGACCAGCACATAGAGCATAAGTGAGGCCAGAATGAAGGAAAAGAGGCGTATTTTTTCTTGACGACACCATTGACTGCACAGTGGCGAGTTTTCCGTCCTCGCATGCAGTCTCGTAGTCAAGGGCCCACTGAGATCTTTTCCCCTTAAAATCATGATCACTGGGGTCTATCAGAGGGACCTCGCCGTAGGCTGGGTAGGCGATGTTCAGGATTTCGCGTTGTAAATGACTCGGGGTATGGGCCTTGATAAGCCTCCGCTGTTCCGAATGGTGGAAAATATCCTCCGACCGTTCGTTATGCTCAGCCGTTTCTTTTTCTCTTCCCGGGGGCCAGTGGTTCTTCCGGTTATGTACCCTGGTTGATAGGGCAGTGGTCCATAATAGACCTCGTGTCTTGTATTCTGGGATGACATTTTGTCGAGGTGGAAAGAGTTGGGGAAAAAAAAGTAAAAACACGAGTAAATGACCCCTGGTGTCAATCGCATCTTAAATTACTTAAGTACATCCTGCCCTAACTAACGGCCCCCAACCGTCATGCATGAACTACGTCATATTTCCAGTCCCACATATGATGTTGAACAAGACTAGCCACATGCTTTTAATGCTGGAAATGCTTAGAAAAGTTGCCAAGAAATAATGGTTCTTCAACTTGGCTTTTCCGCGCTTGTATTATTGCTTAGTTCATGCGCTCTCCAGCCGTTGACCCACTTGGCTTGCTTCGACAACATGTCGTCGGACTATCTTCATTTCCAAGGCCGTCGAAGCCAAACCTGCGGTCATGCCATATTTAAACCGAAGTACCCGCGTCAATTTTAGCCAGGCCTTTAAAGGCCTCTCGCCTGTGGTTAGCTTTGAGCTTTCCGTGAAATCACTCCTTCCGAATCTTATATCATTTCATAGACTGACCGACGGGATAAAAATAGATAGAGTGGTCTCAACACAAGTGGTCTATACAGTCTGGATCTCAAGGGATTAATTTACTATAGGAACTAGCCCCCGACTGTCTCCACTATCATTCCTCCCGTTTCAATTACCTCGAGTGGTAGTTGTTGTATGTGCAGAAGTGACAGACAAAGCCTAAATACTCATGCGGTGGGCCGCTGGGAATGAGATTCATGCCCAGGTCTCCTGCGAGATAAATCAGCGTCAGACTGCAGATAGCGCTCTATATATACTGTCTCTCTTCTTTTGTCAAGTGGTTGAAAAAGTTCGACCCGGAGATAGATGCCTGTGGGCATTAATTTTGCTCGGGTCGGAGTTGGATGTCCATGAATCCAGCCCTGGAGGTTTTGGTCGGCTCGGAGTTAGAACTTTGATATGAGCTGAAGATGAGTATAAATAGGAAGGCATTTTCCACCTAAGAATTATCACATACGACTCAAATCATCGAACCCTTCTAAAACACATTCAAAAACGCTATCAACTTCATCATGCAGCCGTCTTCTCTCATTATCCAAGCCCTAGCTCTATCGCCCGTGGCGCTTGCCCTTGGTATCAACTGCCGTGGCAGCTTGCTTTGCCATGGGAATTACCCCCCATAGTTTCCACAATAGAGGACATATTGCGGAAAGGAGTGAGTCAAGGGCTCAGTGGTCAGTTTTATGACGAAGGCAGTGCGTACCAACCCACAGAATAGAAATGCTTTCAGCCATACTGACCAGCTATTTCATAAGAACAAATTGCATGCACTGAAAACTTTTGCGCCTTTTATCAATCCGGTGCGAGTGGTACGATCAACGATGCTCTTGGGTATACCATAGGCATCCGGGAACATGGCTGTAGGGTGTGCGGAAGTACTCCAACCCAGCCAGGGAATGACGTTAGCTACGGGGAATTGACAATCAACTTCGTCAATTCGGCAGACTGTGATAACGCTATTTGTCCTCCTTGAGGGTCTTTGTGTGAGGCAGTGTGGAAATAGAGGGGATTTGCCAAGTTTTGAAAATACATCTTCCAGATTTGGTTCTGCCAGGTCTAGCCTCTGTACTTCATTTGGAATATTTTCTGAATTTCCTACCGTAGTTCCTCTTCGAGTATTCGGGGGCATACAATGAAGTATGGTTCGGAATTAGCTGTATTTTCAAGATTTGACCGATGATATACTACGAGTGACTCAATGCCTACTTTCCGGAGCAGGGTATCCCAAGTGTAAACAGAAGCAAGCAACCATTGAGCAATCGAAACAATTACTCAAACAACATTTTCAACTCTTCAAGTCTATCCTTCCCCTTATCAGCATCACCATCATCACCGCCAATCTTCAACCCAAGCGAGCCAGCAATATTCATTTTACGCTCTTGCACGCGCAGCATACGACCTTCTATGGAATCCTTGACCACGAATCGCGTCACATTGACATCGCGTGTCTGGCCCATTCGATGGACGCGGTCGATGGCTTGTGCTTCAATTGCGAAACTCCACCACGGATCCATCACGAAGACATTGCTTGCGGTTGTTAGGTTGAGGCCTACGCCACCGGCACGTAGGGAGATGAGTAGGACTGTAGGGGCTGGCGTTGAGGATGAGGGAGCGCTAGTCTTTGCAGGCCAGCTTCTCCCCGGGGTATCATCTTCCATATCGATGATGTCATCGTCAGTAAAGCTCTCTGCCTTTGAGAACTCAGCTAGAACAGCGGCACGGGCCTTTTGGGGCATTGAGCCATCCAGGCGGAGATGCGAGATTCCGACTCGGGAGAGTTGCGGGCCGATAAGGTCCAGGAAGGAGGTAAATTGGGAGAAGACAACGGATTTGGTATTTGCAGGGATGCGTCCGAGGTGATTAATAAGGGCTTGAATCTTCGCCGAAGTGTGGGCGGAAGGAGAGAGGGGGTATATGCGACGGAGGGAGATTCGTGGGGCAGGTTGAGAAGTGGTTGGTGGCGTGCTGCTCACCGGGTCGTCTCCGAAAGAAATTGAATTTGAGGACGGATGTCGTACTACTTCGAAGGTATTCTTTGCATCCACTGGGGCGCGGCAGTTGAAGCACCGTGCCTCGGCGCCCTTGTTCATTTGGTGTTGCAAGAAGTCTTCGAGGCATTTTTTACACGCACTATGCCAGCACGCTGTTACTGCAGGATCCATCATAGGCTCTTCACAACAGATAGGGCACTCGCCGCTGGACTCGGTTTGGATCTGCCGAAGAGCATGGGTAGTGAACTTGACCATCGTCCCGGATGTATCTTGGGAGTTGGCATTCTCGTTTTCTGTCGTGAATTGGTTGATCAATTCCTGAAGATCCATATCGTCTTTAAACTCATTGGTTGCATCAGCCGCGACCGCCGCACTCTCTTCTTCCGCAACGATGGCTTTGTTGCGTGTCATTATAGGGTGGCAGCAGGTCTGACGGAGACGGAGAATTTGAGCAAAGATTGTGCTGTAAGACTGCAACAGTGTGCCAGCCACGACATTGTCGTTGTAAGTTCGTTTCGCTCGAGTAAATATGCAGTCGTATATTTCTCGTTCTTGCTTTGATAGCTCCACTTCCTCAATAGTGACTGTCTTTTTGGGCAAGGGGACCAATGGCTCGCCCTCCGGGGTTTTCATCGATTTGGTCCGCCGAAGAACGAGAGGTTCCAGTACACTTTGCACGACGTTCAGGGCCCGCACGTATTCTTTGGATTCGAATGGTACAGTGATAAACGTCTTCCAGAAGGAGAAATTGCTCCATGGCTCAACTTTTAGAAAACGCACCAGACTGAAAAGGTCTTCGAGACGATTGACAATGGGCGTGCCAGTCAGTGCCCACCGATGGGCCGCTTTTAGCTCATAGCATGATTTAGCAGATTTAGAACGGCGGTTCTTGATCACATGGGCCTCATCAAGAATTACTCGGAAGAATTCCACGGAGAATAGACCTCCATTTGCACTGGGTCCTAGAGCAGATTGGAGAGCGAGCTGTCGGAATTCCGACAATACCACACCATAACTGGTGACAATCACCTGTGGAGCGGTTAAATATTTGGATTCGCAGCATAAATCTCTCAAGTTGACAGCCTTGTCCGATCCATAATAAACAAGAACCCTCAACGTCCCGGCTTTGAGTGCCTCGCTTTCCCATTGAGCGATTAAAGATGTCGGCGCAACGACCAGTGTAGTATATGGCGCAGGCACCACCCCGGAAGAGTTCGGCATCCTAGCAAGGTCATTCACTGAGTTGAGACCATTCGAAAACTGTGGATCAGGCTCGACTCTGTGCGAATGAACCAGACTGAGCATCTCAATGGTCTTTCCCAGACCCATTTCATCGGCCAGGATTCCGCCTCGGCAGTGTTGCTCTTGAGCAGGAAAGTCAACACTGAGGTCTCCTGAATACGGGTTGACATAAAAATGGTCAATGTTTTTAACTTGTGGTAAATCTTTGTCGTCAACATCCTTTCTAGGCCACGTGTATTCCTCCCACAATGGATGCATTGACTTCTCTCGAACTTGCTGTGAGTCTTTCTCTTTTGACAGCATCCAATGAAGGGCTTGTTGCTGATATTTGCGCAGATCAAGGGTGAAGCTGGGTGCTGTATCTGCCGCTGGCATGTTGAAGTCAAATGATTGAGCTTTTTGATATAGAGTGTCAAGCTGATCCTCTTCTAGTTCTTCGCTGTCGTCTTCGCCTGATGAGTCGTTGGAATCCTTGTTTGATTTGGATTTATTCTCCTTCTTCGTGTTGTCATATTGCTCTGCAATTTCAGCGGCACGCAGAATGCCATCTCTTTTGTGCTTTTCCGTAGTTGGGTTGGTCGAGGTGGGATGAAGATTGATTTCGTGAAACAACTTCACTAGACCGACTTGGCGTAGTCGCAGATTCTTCTCCTCGGTGCTCTCCTTCTCTTCAAACAGTCCAGTGGACCTGTTGTCATCAGTGTTCAAAGAAGCAAGCGCCCCGCTTTGAAAGGCCTCCTTTCGCAAGTAGACTCGGAGTTGTAGATATATGGTATCGTTGACTCGCACCCTGTCGGGTATAAACACACAGACTCCTTCAAACTGACATATCTTCTGATCAATCAGTGTAGAGACCCATTCAGCGGTATCATGTGGCAGCCTTCCGATTTCTTGCCCCGAGGTGTTTGTGAATCGAGTCAGGACATCACTCTTGTGATTGACAAATGCTTTGCCTCCTCGGCCACGTTTCATCGTTGGCTGTGAGCGTGCGCGTTCAATGTTGACGGGGTCTCCATGCTTGAGAAATCCCAAGCCACTTCTCGTTGCCCATCCTCCCACGCCAAATGCGCCAACATACCTTGCTGGTGGCTGATTTCGCAGTACCGATTCATTTTCAACTGGCGTCTCAGGGCTAGGCTGTACTCGAAGAGCGGGTTTCCGGCTCCAAGTTGGAGCGCTGCCATTTATCCGCACAGGCTTCTTCCATGATCCATCAAAGTATATGTTAACAGCTCGCTCGATATTATTGGAAGCAGCTGATTGAATGGTTTTGATTGAATCGACAGGTAGTTTCTCTCCCACGATACTGGTGAAAAGGTCGATATCGAAGCCATCTGCGATTGTGCTTGTTGTGGTGGTATTGATAGTCACTTCCTCCTCGATGTGTCGTTGGTCTACTCCGTTCTGGTGTGGAGAGGGAGTAAGCGCAGCGTCCGCAATGGGTAACCTTAGGCCTTCCGTGGTTCGGATTGGTGTATGATGCTGATCTGTTTCGTTTTCCAAGGTAGGAGAGCTTTTTGGGATGCGGGCGAGTGACGGAATCTCGAGTGCGGCGCCATGGTCTGGGTCATGTTCCGGGCAATGAGGCAGGGACGCGTCTGTATCTCGGGGTTTGGTGGGTAAAGGTGAGGATGGATTGTCAGTGAAGAAACGCTGCCTCTTTGCTGGGCGTTGCTCTACATCCTCGCTCATATTGGCTGTACCATCGAGCTTCGTGATGAAGATGGCAAAAGTTGAGTTCGGGGAGACGCGCCGAGAAACGCGAAGTCAGGCGGAACGACGTCAGCCCTGAAGGGAAAATGTTGTAAATTGGATTTTGATATTGGCACTTTTCAAGACATTTAAATTCTTATTTCTTGAGTTTCTTTAGTTTACTCCTGTTTGCTATAATTTACTGTAATTTTTAATATATTTCTGTAATTTTTCAATAAGTCCGCCTGCAGCCCAGCAGCTTCACAGGGCATCGCTGACAAAGATTGACTGGCCAATGCCTTTGCCCCGATTACATCGAATCTTTTCCCCAGAGCTTGTCAACTTCACATTGAACATGTCTTTCCTCGGCACAGCACGGCCATGTCAGGCAAGTAGGGCCTACAGGTTTTACCTACGAAGCTTCCAATCACAAAAACGACACTTCAGCCGGACACAATCCATTGCCGCACCAATTACCACAGAAGAAGTCCAAGGCGCTCACAAATACTGTGTTGCTCTTCTCTCGTATGAAACACCGTCCTTACGGCCCTCCAAGCCCATTGAAGCCCTGACGAGGGAAACAAGTCCGAAAGCTAACATATCCCTCTTTCCACAGAAAATATGACCGTCCTTCCTACACACTCAGCACCTTCATCCCACGACATGCGCAATCCTTCTACATTGCGCTGCGCGCATTAAACGTCTCCCTCTCCATGATCCCCGAAACCACCTCCTCCCCCACAATCGGACTGATGCGACTCCAATTCTGGCGGGACTCAGTAACCAAGATTCTCGCTGGCACGCCACCAAAAGAACCCGTCGCTATCTTGCTTGCATCCGCCATCTCCGAACTCCACGAGCGCACGCAGGGCCGCGCGCGCATAAGCAAGGGCTGGCTGACCCGTATAATTAACTCGCGGGAGCAAACCCTAACAAATGACCCATACCCAAATATCGCCGCGCTCGAGTCTTACGCTGAGAATACATACTCGACGCTCATGTACCTCACTCTATCGGCATTGCCCATGGCTTCGGTAACTGCAGACCATGTTGCGTCTCATATCGGAAAGGCAGTGGGGATTTCGGCCGTGTTGCGTGGATTGCCGTTTGTTGCGTTCCCTGCGCAGCCTGCTCAAGCACCTGCTGGCGGGGCTGCGGGTTCTGCGATAGGAGGGGGTGCGAAGCAGGGTGCCGTGATGTTGCCTCTAGATGTTATGGCACAGGCTGGTGTTAAGGAAGAGGATGTTCTCCGGTATGGAGCCCAAGCTGAGGGTCTCCGGGATGCAGTCTTCACTGTTGCGACGCGGGCAAGTGATCATTTGATTACTGCGCAGCAGATGTTGAACAACCTCCACGCTGGAGAGGATGTCGGTCATGATTTTGAGCACGAGGGCGAAGAGGGCCATGAATATGATGTTTCCCCTGGCGCTCGGAGCAGCGAGTCACCTCTCGATGAGGTCAACCGGGCATTTGGCGTTTTCCTGCCGGCGGTCGGCACGCGCCTGTGGTTGGATCGCCTTGAGAAGCAAGACTTCGATGTTTTCAGCCCGGATTTGCTTCGGTCAGACTGGAGACTTCCGTGGAAGGCTTACTCGGCCTATCGACGGAAGTCTCTGGACTGATGGCATGTAGGCTATGTATAATATGTGTCTAATATACTCCGGATTGAGACCGTTGGTGACTTCTTTGTACATTAAGAATATGAAAACAGCTGTTATGAAGTGAAGTTGAACAGTGGAATCATACTATCAACAGATGAGATTGAAATAGTGTTCAAGTGAAAGGTAATAATACAAGACCTGACTAGGTCTGTGAGCAGAAAAATGTATACAAATAACGAAAAAGCCTCAAGCCAAAACACCCGTATGCAATAACATGGTACAATAATAGGAACACTGAGCTGTAGGACGTTCGCGATCTATTTCTGCTTCCTCTCTCTTCTCTGCTTCCTCGAGCTAACAATCAAACGTCGCTGAGCAAGCATGACAGCGTAGCGCTGGATTTTGTCGCGCCTAGAGATGCGGGTTAGTGTCGGCTGTTTTCGACAGGAATATTAGAACTTACATCAGGAAGAAAATCGTAGCGCAGACGAACGGTACTGCAATCTTCCAGAAATATCTACTCAAGTTAGTAACAAGTCTAGAAGAAAGGGGTCGAAAGACATACCCTTCATTGTTTTCGATTGCCCCGAAATGCGTGAAGTTCATTCCGAAATAACCCTAAAACTGTCAGTGGGATTTTCTTAATAGATTCAAGGTATACATACTGTCAAGAATGTCATAGGAAGATAAAGACAAGTCACAAGAGTAAGCTGCTTCATACTCTCGTTCTGGTAGGCACCTGCACAGCATATTAGTTTGGTTTCTTCATGAGCTGCCAAAGAACGTACCAATAGTATTGAAAATGAGGTCAATCATGTTATCAGCGTTACGCCGCATCTGATCGTACCCTTCAACGATGGTAATGCAATGATCTAGGGCATCGCCCAAATACGTATGGCACATAGAGCTGATCGTAACACTTGTGCCTCCAATACTCTTCAGATTTGGCGTTACAATCCCGACATGTGGGCGGGGATCAACAGGTTCCGCAGGAGTCCCAGCTGGGCTAAGGGGGGTTCCGCAAGACGCCAAAGCCTGGTGTGCCGATAGGCTCAGACCGGTGATCACGGAGAGCATTAATCACAGCCACCATAGGCTGCATAGAGTTCCGCAGAACAGCAATCTCGGATGTCAAGATATATAAAGACTTTGACTGTTCAATGTCTGGATCAGTCAGGACCTCCAGCTCGAGGTCTCCGATCGCATCTTGATAAGCCATCGTCACTGGAATCGCAAGATCAATCACGGCATCGAGAATGGCCTGCAGAAGCATACTGGCATCGCACGACTGTCTAAGGATAGTCTCAGGCGAAGTGAGGCGCCTGACAATTGGCGCCTCGATGTCATCCGCGCTCGTTTCGAAAAAGGACGTCACCGTATTATCGGCATGTAGGAAGATCGAAACTTGTTCCAAAGTGACACATAGTCCTTTGGCAGCAAGTGCAGCATGGCGTTCCATGAACTCAATTCGATCCTCATTGGGACCGCCGCGATACCGCTGAAGACTCCTGGCAGTCGTTTCTGTGGCGGTTCCAACATTTCCAAAATGGGAGTTCTGGTTTGAAGTTTGTCCAACCCCAGGACGAACGCTCGATCCATATGTCGCCTTATCCTTGCGCTCCTGTCTCGTGGAGGACCTGAATCGGAAAATGTCTTTCAATGCCGCCATGATAACATTCCACTTCGTGGGTCGCTTCAACGAAATCGAGCTCTTCTCACTGACCACAGAGCTTTTCCGGTCCCTTGACCTCCACCGATTGACCGAAGTTTCCTCCTCATCTTCTGAATCAGAGGAGTCCTCTTCTTGTATCTTCATCAACTTTTGCAATGTCAGTACGACGAAGGCATGGTCCGAGTACCAATCCGCTTTTGTGCGATTAGTGGTATGGACAACATCCTCAATTGCAAGCCGATGTAATCTCTTATGATTTCCAAGAATCTTGATCACATCCCAGCTCAACCCATTGACATTGATCCACCGGCATTGCACCCAGGGCTCTCTCTCCCGCTCCAAAAATTGCTCCAGTGTGTCATTGTCCAGCTCATACTGTCGCATTTCATGTTGTGAGAAATCCACCACCGTAATCTGGCAGCGTCGGTGTAGGTCCGCGGGTATGTTGGACGCCCATTCTGATGTGTACGGCGGTAGCGGCTTGGTTGGGTCGATACCAGGTTCGGTTCCTGGCTGCCAATTGGGATCTTGTGCGAATCCTTCGGGGTGGTATGACCGGGCGGTATTGCGTCTGGCTCGGCGTTTTGTCGTCTCGGTGGAGTTCACTCGTGCTGCTGCTGTGGTGAATGCGGGGGACGCAGTTTCCTCTCTCTCTTTTCCTGCTGGACAGACTTGGGAGCTGATCGACGGGCGACCTGCCTCAACATCGACCTCGGGTCGTGGAACACCGTGCTGCGCATAATCAAGCGAGTGTACGCTCATTTTTACGGTTCATATAGATGCGCACATCCAATCGCGACGGTGGAATGACGGGTTTTCATCGGCTCCGAACTTCAACGCGCTGCGTCTCAATGATGTGAAACCTGGGCCAGGGGGATATTTTAGTCAATGCCTGACGAAAATATACTCAGTATATTTATTTGAATAATCGATGCGCCTCTCATTGAGACACCACAACTTCAAGGGAGAACATGTCGAACTTGCGCGGGGGATATGACGTCGAAGGGGCGTTTTTCTGCCGCGTCTGCAGAGATAATTTAGACGAAACCGGTCTCAAATTGAAAGGCTATATTTGAACATAAAAGACATGAAAATGAAGAAACGAAAGTAATGAATAAATAGTGAGCAGGAAAAAAACAGAAAAAAAGAGGAGACAGGGGTTTTCGCAGGGGGGTGGAGTAACTTATGCTTATCTTATTTAAGGGAGACAATGGACGGGTACAGCCCCGATGAAGTACAGAGTACGAACTCTACTTCATAGTTAGTTAATACATAGTTACATACATACATATAGGCTACATATTTAGGACTCTTGAACTCATTAAGGTTGATTCGTACAAATACATAACAGGTACACGGTTTCCATTCCATCACATCACTATGCACCATACAGTAACGCCGTCCCAATGCTCGCTGCCAATCACTCCAGATACAACATCCACAATAGTTAAACAAGATGGGAAAATAGAGCAATAATTACAGTAAAAATAGGTTGCCAAAGAAAATACAAAGAGAATGAGAGAATGAGAGAAGGGGCGGAAGACAGCATTATACTCGGGCTGTTGTTGCCCGTGGTTTCCAGGAAGGACGGTGGAATCCCATTTGAGGCTGCTTGTTCCCATGAGAACTAGGCCTAGGGGGGCCGTGGAAGTCGGGATAGAGACCTGACTCCATGTCCATCAGAACCGCCCGCTGGGGCTTTGCTGAGGTCCAATTGGTAGATTTGCCTTTCGGTTTGGTAGAAGGGGTGCGAGGGCTAGGAGCGCTGGCACCAGTAGCTGCTCGCGTCTTCTCCTTGATGATATCGCGGAGCTCTTTGTCATCCTTGGTGATCTGAGCTTTGATAAAGTCAATGTCGTTGGATGCTTGGAAGGCGGACATGACCGACTCCCGTGGGGTGTATGGGTATTTTTCGGGGTTTGGAGGCGACTGTGGTGTGATGGAAGGGTCCAAGAAAGCTTCTTGATCCTTATCCAGGAGCTGAGTGATATCCAGCGTTTCACCATGCGGAATTTTGTGGGGGTGAGAGGGAGTCACACAGTCCATGTCGACTTCTTTGCGAAGCACATGGTCAATGTCGACTGCTGAGAAGTAGGCACAGGATTGGGGAAGATCATCAATGCCCACTTGCTGCGAAAATAAGGCGCGGGTCCAAACGTTGGCAATCTGCAAAGCCATTGCAGCGCGGTACCTGTCTTCATCTTTGACAAGGTAGCGAATTTCATCGTGAACAGTGATGGCTAAGCGGGCCTGGATGTTGAATTGTCGGATGAGATAGTCCATGCCAACGATCAAGAGGTGAAGATAATCGACACCCGACGACTGAATGGCCCAATTGATTCGGGAAGTCATGAAGCTGCCTTTGTTGATGAAACGTCGCATGAGCGCCTCGGTGATCCCAGCACCCAAAGCGGGGGTTCTAGGTCGTTCTTGATCCGCGAACTCTTCGAGTTTATTGAACACAAAGGATTCAGTGCCACCTCGCCAAAACGGCGTCTCACTCAATAGGCGACGTGAAGTGCGCGTTCCCTTGGTCTCTTTGTATAGGTTCTTAGCAGTCTCTTGTGTCTGCTTTTCAGTCAGAGATGGGTTGAACTGGCGAAGTAAAGTAGCGGCGAACTTGACGCCTGCCCCGTAGATTCGGCCGTAGTTGAAGACCTTGGCATCATTACGCGAGATTCCCAGAATCGACGCACTTCGTGAGTGAAGATCCGTCCCCTCAGCTTTGGACCCTTCTAAGCACATGAAGCCAATTGCGTTTCCTCCGTGAATCTGGAATGGGGCATCTCCAACAAGACTTGCAATCCATAATTCCTGGGAGTCGACATCGGCTCCAACGAACGAGTAGCCTGGCGGTGCTTTGATCATAGCCTTTAGCTCTGACCCAACACGGTTGGCTTTCGCGTTACTTGCAGTTAACCAAGTATTTTCCACGGCACGTCGAGTGATGGTTCCCATGGGAATAACTTGAGGCAGAATGAACCCGACACGATTCTCACTTGCTTGACTCTTCTCTCCGCCCTTTTGCACCTGATCTTCATAGACCACGATTTGACCCTTGATTCGATCTCGGGCGCTGATCCAGTAGGAGCATGACGCGTTCATATCTAGCGCTTGTTTGGCAAGTTCATATTGAGACGACAAGATTCCACGCTCGAAATATTGCATGTACCCTTTGCCAAGCGGATTGGTACACCTGGCCTGGGGGCCGTCTTTGTGGGGAATTTTGAAGTATGTGGCTTTCCTATCGTCTCGCAACTCGGTGTTCTTTTCCTCGGCCATATCGCACATGACGACTGGCTGGTTCTCATACTGTTTGATTTGATCACGGGGAACGCGGAAAGTCCATCCGTGAAGGTCCGACCAAACAAGAGGGTAGTTGTCCCATGACAGTTTCAGCAAAACAGGTGCAATGCGAGTTCGTACCGTCAGGTTGATCTCTGCAGCGTTTGAAGTAAAAAGATCCTTGTACCACTTGGGCATTCCTGGTTTCTTTTGTCTGGCTGCCGGCCGAGGAGGATCGCCCTTCTTCTTTCCTTTCGCCATTTTGATCTCTTGGCCGGACCAGTCCAGCTGTTGTAGCCAAGGATCATTCGTGTAAATGTCTGGTTGATCTTTATACTTCAATGCCTCGTCGCATAGTGCTAGCAATTTACTTTGGACATCGTCAAGTCGCTTATGATAGGTTTCCTCTGCGCTGGCAAGATACTCTTCCCAGGACTGGTTGACTGGCAAAATGACAGAGGACAAGTGTCGAAGAGCGCCGAAACTGACAGGATGCGGGCAAGTCTCAAGAAAGTTGGGGAAAACTTTTCGGTAGACACGGTGGGTGATGGCAACATCGGCGGCACAGTAGTCGAGAAGCTCCTCCAGTCTGCCCAGGATGGAGTCACGATCAAGTTCACCGAAGAAATCTCTCTGCGCCTTATCGATGGTGACATCACAATGGAATTTAGCCACATCTCGCAGGGAGTTCACCGAGCTTCGCCCAACCCAAAGCTCTTCCTCTTCTTCCCTCAACATATTGTTTTCGAGAAGTGCGGCAAGCTCCACAGAATCGTGCTCATTCGCGATTTTATCTCTCATGTCCTGATTCTTTTTGTGGCGCATCCATGTTGGTCTCTGTTGTGAACACATGCCGTTGACCGCCACATGAAGGGACATTGTGTCAAGAAAGAAGTTTTGAGATTGCTGCATGTTGTATTCCTCAAGGACTCGGGCTCGATCGTAACCAATATTGTGGCCAACCACAATGCGAGGTTGAGTGGGATCTCCTAAGGGCACCAACTGTATTTCATTCTTTGACTCGCCGAGAAGCCATGGTGATAGCCAGGCATACCATGCTGTCGGGCTTACCGCACAAGCCATGACTGCAAATGAATTATTTTTGTACATCACCTCGGTGTCGAATGTTAACATTGATTCATTTGGGGCGTCGACAGGCTCAGAAGTGCCATCACTATGGTATTTCGTCCATCCACTGCGTTTGACCCATTTGCGTGGTTTGGCCGGACAGTTGTGAGCCGCATATGATTTAGCCCATGACAGGTAGGGCTCGGAAGAATCCATTCCAAGTTTGTAGAAGTGCTCGTCCAATGTTTGCCCCTTGAGAGCAGGAAGATCGAATGCGACAGGACCGGCGCCATTTTGAGATTTGCCCAGGAGCTCATGTCTAGCCAAATGATCCTTCGAAAGAGCGACTAGTTCTGGGTCCGGGACGCGACCTTTATTTGGGAAGACTTGAGCATGGACATGGTCACTCAGCTGTTGGACTCCGATGTCATTGAATCTGGATGAGGAAGGGACTGCGCGAGATCAGTAATTGCGATTTGGTTGTTTTCTTATCGAAAAGCGCAAAAGACAGGACACCCACCAGAAAGAGATCGTGTTGTGGTAACATTGTCGGCGGAAGTAGAGGAAAGTCTTGTATGACTTCTGTGTAATTGGTACCATGATGGCGGCTTAACCAGGAGCGGCGAGCTCAGTCGCGAGAAAGACCTCACGGCACCCCTGGAACAAGGAGTGCAGGAGGACTTCCAAGATAACATCATAAAAATAGAAGTTGCCAATGTTATGTCATGTTAAAAGTATGGCCACAGCCGTAAGGCTGCACTGGTAGCCCGAAGAAAATCCTAAAAAAAGAAGTATTGAAGATGAATGTAGGTAATTTCCATATCATCGCCTATCACGATATCTCAGATCTGGGGCGTCATGCCGGTCGGAATATTGTTTTCCCTGTGTTCTGGACCGCCTTCTACTTGTAGACAATACGAAATTCTGTTCGAGGGACTTGATCACGTGGTACACTATATCCAATCAATGAACACCCCTCCATTAACTCGCTGACCGCCTTCCAATCATAGACAGGCAATACTAAGCGGGCTTATCTGATCCCTTATCGCCACATGACCTGTTCGATAAGATCCATGTGTCCGGCATTGTCGCCATCACCTGCTTTGATCGCTGAAGAGGCCCCCGATTTTGCTGACAATACTTTTCTGCTCAAACTCATGATAGCGGCATTGTGTCTTAACGAAATCTTTCAAAATCCTGAGGCTGTTCGTCGGCCACCAATTCTAGATCGTCCCACGTCCTGGTCCACACGGCAGCACAGAGCTGCAGACGAACGACTTTCCAATCCTAGACTATTTCCCTCGTTCAACGTGACGCAGACCTTTTAGAAAGAGTCCTACTTCCCAGTCTGTTACAATGAGCAGAAATAGGGCTGATGTTGTCGACCTGACAACCAGATCATCGCGGCAAAATCCCATCTCTTTATCCTCCTCCCCGCCTACCGCGTCGAACCCTACAACCTCTTCCAGCCATGGACAATTGGCTACTGCTCGCGGTGTTAAGCGTCGCCGTAACTGGAGCGACGAACACGGCGATCCAGTCGCATCCTCTTCGGCTATCTCCGAGGAGCACATCGAAACAATCGATATGACCGACGACTCAGGCGCAGCCGCACTTGCTCGAACGGTAGCTAAGCAGAGGGAGGATGCCATCAAAGCGCAGGCATCAGCGGAAAGCGATTCAAACCTCTCCGCTATACTCGCTTACAAATGTCCCATTTGCATGGAGACGCCTGTGGACGCAACGAGCACCTCATGCGGTATGTTCTTCATTACCATATAAGCTTTGATCATGCCAGGGCTTCTACTGACTCCTCATGTTTAGGTCATCTCTTTTGTCACAAGTGCATCATCGACTGCTTGAAGATGAGCGAACAAACACGCGGCGGTGACTCTTCGAAACACCACAAGGGGACCTGCCCGGTGTGCCGCACACCGATTTCGCGAAAGGAGACGCCTGGGAAGTCTAAGAATCTCATTCCGCTGTTGTTCCTGACGAAAAAGCGAGGTGATCTTCCCGTGTCGAGCTCATAAAGCCTTTCCATCAACTTTTCCCTCGGCTCTTCAAATCTTTGTTTTCTCTCGACTCTTGCGGCATTGCGAATCGGAGCATGGGAATGGATGGTATATTTTTGGAATTTTGCATAAGCGATTTGCGTCTGTGGTTAACGACCTGGGATTGACGAATGGAGTTCCATTTTCTATTGATTTACATGGTGACGTAGTTGTATCTCGAAATAGATTATAATACAATGTTTACTTCTGAACAGATACTATTGCATATCCTTTCGGTCCCTTCTTGCAGGATCGAGTGTATTCCGTCGACTCAGCGCATTTCCCAGACCCCCACGAACCATTGCATCCCCCTTCTTCCCCAACACTACCTCAATGGCCTGCACAAGGGCATTGGGATCATATTGCATCCCCACAACGGTCTCTTTATCACCATCCTTAGCCATGATCTTTCGTCCGTAAAGACGAAGCGTTTCAATGCCCATATTCGTGAGCCGCTCCCGGTCCACATGCGGTGTCCCCGGACCATCCAGATGCAAGATATGAGTCACATAGTTGGTATATGGAAGGGCTCTGTAATTTTGAACATTGTCTTGCACTGAAGTCGTCGCGGGATCCTGGCTTTGATGCTGAGCATGAACAATCGGGCCCCGTCCACGGCTCTCCTCTCCAGCGCTTACAATTGCTTCCACAAAATCAGACGCGGCAAATGGTGCGGATAGAGGCCCCGTTTCCCGATCCAATGATCCATTCAAAATAAGGATTTTGTGCCGGGCAGGACTGGAAACGATGCTTTTGCCTACGCCTCGTAGGACGATAGCAGGGATGATTGATGTGTAGAGGGATCCGATGCTGTAGATAATGGCCTGGGAATCGTTTATTGCTTCTAGCACTCGCGGATTCGCGGGTGGTCGGATCTCCTGGCCGTAGGGGTTGATGTACCAGATGCGAGTGATTCTGGAACTCAAATCTTCGTTCTCGGTTTTACTGAACTTGATATTCTTGTTGCGGAGAGTTGCCAGAGAGCCAGGAAGATGATCCTCTTCGTATGTCGTCGGGTCCGACATTTCGGAATCCGTGTAATCAACATCATCTCCATCGGCAAGGAGCAGACTCGGCCTCCTAGAGCGGGAGTTGTGCTCAAGGGCCGTCACCTCGCTTGGGTGCGAAATACTGTTCTGACCGACAATGACAGTTCCGTCGGCAAGCGATGCAGAGATATGGTGGGAGAAATTGGAGTTGATTGCTGGGATTACGCGCACCAGGTCTGACGGAACGCCACACATGCTCCCAAGTAGATAGATGGCACTTTCGAAGCTTCCACTGAACAGCCGGGCGGCAGTCAAGAAAAGATTTCCCACACTTGCGGAGGTGAAGTCAAAAGTTGATGATGGCGGTCGGGCTCGTTTCAGGATTTCCAGATTTAATACATTGAAGAATGAGCGTATCAACTCTTTCTTTGCGGGGGTGATAGCTGTCCATAGCCCAGATGTGCCGTCAACGATGGACTGCCATTCATTGGTTGCGATGCCTGCTTCCGCAGGCAGCCGATGGTTAAATAATGCCTTGACTGCTGACCTCTCAGGGTTTGCTGGCGAATCCGGAATCAAGCGTACCAATCGACCTGTCCGACAAGTTAGCAAGCAAGTTAGGGGAGATCCAAGGTGTTGGGCTTACTCCGAACATCACCAATCCCAGGGCCACCGAATATTCGAATCAACTCGGAGGAGGATCCTCCGTTGTCACTGATTGGAATGATGTAGCTAAGTGGACAATTCTTGCTTTCACGGACGGCGCTGAATACATCGACGAGATTGTTCGCCGCGCTCCCTCCCGATATTACAACAATCCCTCTATTGGTCGCCATGGCAAAATATTTGTTTTCTGCTTTCAGCACTTGAGAAGCTTCAAATTCGATGCGAAGCCACTAACAAATGTCGCAGGGTGTTTGAATACTTTGAAGGATGAAATTTAAGACATTGGGGGCATGTCTGGGCCCGCACGCGCAACAATGACACATTGCCCATAAACAGCCACAACACCAAAACCGCCAACTTCGCGAATATCTAGTCGGGCTTTTACAATTAAAAATGTCTGTTACAAATAGCTGCTAGATTTAAATGGAACCGCAATACACAAAGTCTCTATTATTAGCTATTTATGGAGTTAGTTGACTGCGTCGCTCTATATGGGTAGTGTTGATTTCTTCAGTATAGTTGTAGACAGACCAAGGCCCTATGTGCCGTATTTTTGACAAATGTTTTGAGTTGGGCTTTGCTATCACACAACCAATGTTGTGGAATGTTTGTGGCGTCAAAAAAGATCGTGTCGACAACCACTCAGTATATCCAACCCTAATCCCGAATATTACCCCAGGTCGACCAAGATTCTTCCATGTAGACTGACAACTCCTTAAATTTGAAGATATGAAACCGCTAATTCCAGACTAGATGCGAGGAAAGATGGTTGAAAAGTCATCTCCCTTATAAATATCACTCCCTAACTTGCTAGACAACTAATACAACCAACCATCGCTGAGATGCCTATATCTGTCGAACATAATAAAGCTCAGGATTTGGACTCTGAGAATACCGTCAGGTGTATAATTATCGATGCAGACGCTGAGAAGAAGCTCGTTTGAAAGATCGATCTCTATCTGATGCCTTCAGACTTTATTCTTTACCTTTTCTCCCACATGGTACCTTAATCTGGCAATTGCCAAATTATATTCCGCTAAAAATAAATAAAAATACTAGGACAGGCGAACATTGGTTTTGCAAAATCGCCGGAATGGAAGAGGATCTGCACCTCACATCACATCAATACTATACAGCAGCGATAGTATGGGTGATTGGTTATACTATCTCTGCAGTGCTGTCTAAGTATCATGCAAACTGTGTGTCTTCCACATACAAAATCCTAAAGTCTAGACTTAGTATCATTCTCTCTCGGACTCGCCCATCAGTTTTCATTCCGATAATCACGTTTTCATGGGGATCTGTCGCGGCCTTAATGGGAGCTGTCCGTCATCAGGGCCAACTGATAGACCTCAGATTCCTTCTTGGTGTCTTCGAAGCAGGGTTTAGTGTAAGTGACTCGAAGAACGAAAGCTAGCCCAACAGAGAGTCCTCGATGATGGAATCGCCGACCAAGGCGACTCGAAAAACCAAAACACCTCTATCTTTGTACTCCTCAAAGAACTCTCAAATTGGCGAACCTGGGTGCTGATACCGGGCTACATGACCCTTTTGGGAACAGGGGCTATCTCATACTTCTATCCGACTTTGGTCAACGACATGGGATACACCTCCACCGCCGCGCAGTACATGACAGCTCCGCTCTATATAGCCTCTCTGGCTGCCGCTATCCCCATTTGCTGCTGACCGCAAATCCCATAGTAGGGGACGGCTATTGGTGGGCAACATGATAGTCGGGATGATGTTTTTCGCTCTTACGGAGGGTATTCAAAACTATATTGCGCGGTATGTGTTTTTGTGCTTCATTAACATGACACTCTGGACGGGAAACGCGCTGGCTCTTTCATTTGCTACTACCGCTCTAGCTTCGGTTACTCGTGATGTTCGTGCGATCATGCTCGCGCGGATGACTAGCGTTGCTGCTTTGGGGTAGTTATATGGGACTGCCCTGTTTCCGGCCGAAGACTGGCCTGCGTATGTCGTCGCGTTTTCTGTCTTTGTTGCTACTTTTGCCGTCGGGGCTGTTTGCTATGGCCTGGCGGATATCTTGTTCAAGCGTTATCCATGAAAGGGTTGATATAGGTGATACGCCGAGTCATTGTCGAGGAATCTACCTGAAACGTTGAATTGGAACCATTGTACTCCGTACTGCGCAATGGAAACACCAGGAATAAATATATAGTTGATACAATATATCAATTTCATACAGCCGTTTATTATAAATCCTATCCCCAAAGAAAACAGCCAGATATCGTCTATGTCCCCTAACTTTACATGCATGTTCTGTCCTGTCCAGACAAGACATGGTCTTTATCAAAATTTAACATAAGCATCGGGTTTATTTACCCGAGCTTGGATTCATGAAACAATAGGCCCACACGGAATGTGCTCCGTGTGTTCCAAATTTCCGTCGATTGCTTCAGTTCGCCAATGTACGCGCGTTCGTGCTTAGTGAGTCACCTGAGCAGCAGCAGCGGGGGCGGAGCTACCACTGTAGAGAACAAGCAGAACGAGAGCGCAAGGAACACCGATGAGGATGGCCTTGGTGCGGGCAGGGTTGCTGCGATTGTACTCACCAACCTGGAGGCGCACATCGGTAGCAAGGCTCTGGCACTTCTCAGCACCGAGCTTGTAGTACACCAGACCAGCCAGGGCAATGGAGTAACCGAAGAACTGCTGGGGAGTGACGGGATCGCGGAAAATGAACATGGAGGCACCGACAAGGAGGATATCCTTGAGGATACCAGCCATGGTCAGGACAACAGCAGAAGTCTTGCCAATCTATTGGTGTGTTAGTGACGGAGTGGTTACTATCCAAGAGATGAAATGACTTACCAGCAAAACAACGGAAGCGTTAAGAAGGAAAGCAACCAGTGCGTTGGCAACGAGAGTTCCGATACCGAGACCGTAGATATCACCCATGGTAAGACGAGGAGCCTCAGCGAAGAGGGTGACGACACCGTTGGTGATGGCGCAGGCCGGGGCGTAGTAGTACAGAGAGACCAAGGGGTCCATCTTGAACTCGGCGGAGCTGAGCAAACGCTGGACCATGACAAGACGGAGGGCCTCGAAGACGATACCGGCAAGCTGGACTGTACGGTCGTTAGGACTAGAATTTCAAATATACCAGAAGACAACATACTCAGGAAGCCGATCATCTCGAACTTGATCTCGCCGAACGAGGCAATCACAACACCGACAACAATGAGAGCCACGTTGCCGAGAGTCTTAAAGTTGTAAGGAGCGATTCCGAAAGCCCAGGTGGCCAACAAGGTTGCGACAGCGTTGGTAGCCTAGAAAAGATGGTATTAGCATTGAGTCGAGCCTAGCATTCGAGAGAGCGGACGGAGATTGCAACTGAGGCCGAAACTCCCGGTTCAAACGCACCTTAAGCATCTGGATGAAGGAAACACTCAGGTAGAGGTATGCCAAGTTACCGCAGATCAGACTCAAACTGAACATGACACCAATGGGCACAATGGCGCGACTGTATTACACAAATCCACCGGTTAGCGATCGAGAATTCGGGTCGGACTGCAGCCGTGCTGGTTATTCAATATTGCATCATCGGGGTTGCTCACGCATAGGTGGCCGGGTTCATTGGGACCTTGTGGCGGGAGTCAAGCACGGTAGTGAACCGGGCAAGAATCTGGGTCATCGCCGTTGCGAACACCATGTGCCAGGTGGTCAAGAAGAGCGCTGGTATCTCATGTCAGTAAATGATTTCTCCGGACGCGGTTAAATCTCGCTTGGCGGTGGAAAGACTCACGGAAGTCTAGAATCAATAAAAGTTAGCTGCGAAGTCCAATAATGTGAATAATAGGGGATCAGAGATAAGGGGTCCATACTGAACTTGGCGCTCGCAAGAACCCATTTGTTGAACAGGATGACGCTGGAACTCAGAGCAATCCACAGGCTAAAAAGTCAAGTCTTAGTTAATTCTGGACAACAAGGCCTTCAGGACTTGAATAGAGTTACGTACGCGATGTAGAAACCGGGGTGGAGGCCATTGTCCTTGGGGGCAGGAGAGCCACCCTCGAGCTTACGCTCATCCTGCGATGAGCGAGCGTTTGCCATGGTGAAAATCAAAAAAACAGTATAAAGGAATGACTGTGGTGAGTAGGAAAAAAGTGGTTGAAAGGGAGATGATAAGGGGAAAGAAATGATTTATGAACGATCGGCAGTTTACACCCCTATGGAGACGCTACAGCGGGCCACTTCCAATCACAACGCTGTTTCAACGGGTGTGTCCAGGTGTCGCCCCAGTGCTTCCACGTAATCCCCCAAGCCCTGAGTCCCTGAGCTTAGGTTTCAGGGTATTGGAGATCGAGATTTTTCTGGTCTATCCCTGTCGATCATAGCACAGCCCACTCGAAGTCTTTTTTTTTTCCTTGTCTAGCGTATCACGTCTTCATGAGGCCAATTAGGGTCAATTTAAAGTCAAATTGCCAAGAAAACAGGGAAATGATTTTAGCGTTCAGACAGAGAAATGATAGCCACCAATCACAATACAGGATGCATATATTCATATCGAAGATAGAGCCTACAACATACTACATAGTACTAGTTAATTACATATGTACGTACAACATAGTCATAACAACATAATTATAACGTTGCACGTTGTACGATGTACGTTGCAATTAAATGATCACGTGATGGGGATAGATATAGATTTTCTCGTGATACACTCATCACCTAAGACAATCTTGCCTCTTACGGATGTTCAATCACTCCGATAAACAATTATACAGGCCACCATTGTCAAAACTTCCAACATGACAGACTCAAACACCACAGCCGATTCCAAAATCGACCATGCCGCCTCCTTGAAATATTGGAACAGCGTCCCAGCCACCACGGGCAGCATGCTGGGCGAGTTCCCTTCAGTGTCACGCATTGACCTACAGGGGTCTAAAACTTTCCTAGCCAAGATCCGCCGTTTACTACCAGGTGTTCAATCTGAGGGCAAATTCCACCAAGGTGTGGACTGTGGCGCCGGTGTCGGCCGAGTGACAGAAGGTTTCCTGAGCCATGTCTGTGATGTGGTAGATGCCGTAGAGCCGGTAGCCAAATTCACACAAGTGATGCAAGACAGCCAATTGAAAAGAGACGGCATCTTTGGAACCATCTACACGCGTGGCCTTGAAGATTGGACCCCAGAGAAGAAATATGATTTGATCTGGGTCCAGTGGTGTGTGGGCCACCTCACCGACTCACAGCTCATTGACTATACTGTGCGGTGCCGCAAGGCGTTGACTGAAACCGGTCTGATGGTTCTCAAGGAGAACCTGTCCACCCATTTCTCCGGACAGGATATGTACGACAGTGAGGATAGCAGTGTCACAAGGACAGATGCGAAATTCAGACAAGTCTTCGAGGCGGCTGGTATGGAGATCGTCAAGTCGGAACTCCAGAAGGGCTTCCCCCAGTCTTTCAACCTCTTACCTGTGCAGTTCTATGCCTTGCGGCCGAAGACAACCAATTAGCTCTCTATGCCTTGTGTCTCTCTTTTGCCCGATCGTTGACGGTCCATGATGCCAGATTTTGGTGTCTGCGGATTTTCATTATTAATCCAATGGGGACTTTGATGGATGCTTACACGCTTCTGAAATTCTCGGTTCGCTGAAACGCGTTGATTCATATCTCTTAATCGCCAGTTCGCATGGATGATCACACCCATTGACCGTTATGTACATATAACCACTTTCTTCGACAGCCACTATTGTATGAAACCAAATCAAAATTGATACAGAGCGTCTGAATCCGCCACAGCAAAAGGAGAAATCTTAAGTCGTCCACCAGAAACCACATCCCTATTCAATTTCCCCGGCGGAGTCCACACAACCTCCGCAACATTTGTTCGCGGCCGCGACACCTCACACCCAGTATCATCTCTATGATGAACCAACAACAGGTCCGGTTGATACCCCTGCTTCACACATAGACCCGAATGGGATGGAGAGAGCCCGATAGCCGCCCTGGCTCGCGTCGAGACACATTCATAGAGTAGCTCAGCATCCGCCTGACTTCCAGCCTGGTAGATTCCCACGCCGAGACAAGCCAACGATAACGGATCGGGCAAACCCCATGGGGTAAACGAATTGCCAACATTATTCACCCCGATCACTGCATCCAGGCTGTATTTCCGGATCATCTCTAGGACTTGTAGAGTGCCTCTCGGGCGATCTTGCGGAGATTTGCGGTCCCCGCTCGTTCTGGGAGGTGACGCCATGTACATATCGCTAGTTGGTAGACCCACAAAGCTGACTGGGAGTTTATTCTCGTGGATTTCTGTTGCTAGCCGGGCCCATTCGCTCTCCGTGAGCAGTGTCAGTCGTGTACAATGACCAAGCATGACACGCTTGTCTGTTGAGTGGCTAGTCCAGCTTCGTTGTTTGAGGGTATGTAACACATGCCAAACTAGGGCCTCTTTGTTTGAATCGAGGTTATAATCAAGGTGGAAGTCGACGTGTTTGTTCAGCTCCAAGGCACGGTCAATCGCCCATTCGATGTTTTGCTTTGCAGCCTCGGGACTGGATTCGACGTATGGTGTTGTCCCAATAACATCGATTTGCGAATATTTATGAAGAGCGGTTTTCAGAAAGTCCATGTTTTGTTCTCCATGTTCATTAGAGAATATAGGATCTTGCGCAAAACAGACGATTTGGATATCGCAAGAATCTTTCCATTGATTTTTCAAAGCAACAGCAGCTTCTAAACAAATCAGCTGCACTGTGTGGTCTACCTCAACAAATGCTCTCATTGCAGTGACACCCGATGCAACGGACTCAGCAAGAAGCCACTCTCCTCTTCTAATGATATCAGAATGGCTGAATTGTTGTTTGGCCTTGGTCGTGGAGGACAAAGCCTCCTGGAACGTGCCAGTCGTAGGAAGAAGCGGGGCATATTCAAGTGCGCTGTGGATAAAGGCTTTATCGAGATGAATATGAGGGTGTGTCAAGGCTGGTAGCGCCAGAGGAGACTCGAAATCCTCCTTAGTAGAGGGCTCATGCGGGGTCACAGAGGTGACTGTGCCCTGTGGAGAGTCTGCAGGGTATTCAATCTGGATATCCCAGGTGGACAGCTCCCCTGCCAGTCGAACACCACGAATGAAATTAATCTGGCTCGTTAGTCGTGGTGGAGACATATTCTTGTGCAAGTGAAGTGTTGTCTGATTGGAATCCCTTCCCGAAATCCCTCCCGCAGCGCGTGGGGGTTCGAAAGCTTGCCCTGGTGGAGATCACGGGCTTACTGATAACACACCCACCGTAGACAACTTCTTTGAAATAACAATATATTCAATAGGCTTAAAATGGTAGGTTCGATGATCTTCAGCGCCTTTAAATTCACAAATATACATGCAAATGAAGTAACAAAATACGTATATATACCCAAGCATAGATCGAGAGGCTCTCTACTAAGCTCCCCGAACTGATACTCGCACTTTCTGGCGGATTGTCTTCAACATACTGACGACTGTATCCGCTGTTTCGCAATGCGACGCCCATAGTTCAATGCTTTGAATTGCTTCTTTCACTAGCTCATCGAAGTCCGGAACAAGGGCCTCTAAGGCCGGCGTGGTTTTTGCAGTCGAGAGAGTAAAAATGGCAGCCAACATTCTAGACGTGGAAAATAAGTAAGTAAACTTCACGAACCTGCCAAAGCCACTTTAAAGCGAAGAGATGATCTTACGATTGCATTCTATGCCAGTTTGCGTGTGTTCTCTGCCGCATAAGAAGCGATGCCGCCCAGATGAATTTGCGACAGCTATCGACACATTTCTTGCAATTCGCGAAAATAAACTCTGGCAATACCGTACTGCCCTGGGTGTGGGCAGCAAAAACAAGACTCGGGCGGCAGATGATGTGTTTTGTGGCATAGTACCGGGCGAGAATGTAAGTATCGTAAGGGTGATCGGCGGATATTGAATTGCCCAGGGTTGGTCTGATGGGATTTGGGAGAGAGCCAAACCAATCCTCCAATTGACGATCGAGTTCCTCGCTGATTGTCTTAAGAGATGTAATGGAATGCTTTTGGGGGGTCGCACTGGGGGTATCGCTTGTGTGTTGGGGCGGAGGGCTGGCATGGAAATTCTCCTGGTCAGATTTTGCATACAGAGCACTGTGCACACGGTTGAGAAGCTTTCGAATCGAGCACATTGCGAGGAATACAAGGTGACCGTTGCGGCTATCTTCCGAAATTCGAGGGAAGGGCAATCTATCGACGAGGAGTTCAATGCCACTGGGAGGGAAGTGAAACTCCGCGAGATCGTCACTGGGGCAAGGTGGTTAGCTGAATGCAAGATAATCCCAGAGAGTATACCAACCATTCGAGGATGAAGCAACCCCAAGCAATCCGGTAGAGACTAGCTCGCTCTTCGTGCGTGTTCATGTCATGTAGTCTGTATCCAATCAGTATCAATATCTCGGAAATACGTATCAAAGAAGACACCCACTCGGAAATCATGATCTGCACACTACCGGATGCATCACGAATCATTTGCCATGCTTGGATTGGGCGTCCTATGTGACGCAGATACAAAGAGCCGTAGAATAAAGCCAAAGGCAATAAGTGGTCCGCTGTAAAGGACGTTATTAACGGGTTGTTCAAGTAGTGATACGCGGAAGCGAAATATTCCATCCCACTCAGATCTTTGTCCGCTTCGATATCAAAAATTCGCTGAGGATTCGACGAGGCCTTTCCTAGAGCCAAAATGACGAGATAAAGTGAAGTTTGGATGCTGTTGACCTTGGTATATGTTGAGAAAGTATCAAAGAGCATATGTAACAACTGCGGCTCAACAATTGGGAAGAATGGATGGACATGCTGGAGGAACTCGGTGATCAGAGGTTTGGTGACGTGGGAATGTAGTCGGGATCTGTCGATTTGTTCAAAGGTCTGGGGTATGCCTGCGACTTGGATGCTGTTGAATGGACGCTTTTTTTCTATCTGCTTGAAAAAGTCTTGAGGGTAGTCGCCAACCAAATTCTTGATTCGATCCAAGGCAAATAGGCTTCCTGTTGGCGTATGATGACCGGGCGGAATGGTAAATGTATATTCATGGCCGTATGTATTCTCCGGTGAAAAGAGGCCGAAGGAGGATTTATCGTATACATGCTCCGATGATGGGTCCCAGTCATATTTTGGCTGTGACGAATAGATAGAGGAAGTCGACCGAACTGGATGATCCGATGAAGAGCCTACTCGGGCCGAGAGATCGGTGATGGCGTCCTTTTGTTGCTCGATCAGGGTTTCCAGATGGGTCAAGCGAAGCAGGATTTCAGCTGGGATATCCTGCACCCTGTGGATCGTCACTATCTAGGAACCCTTTTTTTTTTTTCATCGTGACGCTTTCTACCTGTCGCTTTCTTGATAGACACACTGAGCCCCCGCATCGGTGCAGAGGCCACATGTCGGCTTTTGACCATCGCACTTCCGTTTCCTAGTCTAATTTAGTTGAGTGTGTCAAAAGGGGGAATTAAAACCCTACCGATGTCGACAGAAATTACATGCAATTGATGCACGCTTCCGTGGATAATCCACGGCAGGGCGAGATTCAAATGATTTCATATTTGTCCTGTGAGCAATACGGAAGATCGACGTCAAACGCTCACTGCGGGGTTCGTCAACGCCAAAACCTAGCCCCCTTAATAATCAATGTGCTTATCCTTGTCTAGGTGTTTCATCTGCCCACCACAGAAAAAAAAAAAAAGATAAATTAATATATTAATTTACCGATAAGACTTTACTCCTGCTAGTTGAAGCAACCGATCTGTGTGCTCTGGCACTTCCAAGGGCACAGAGCGATTGCGGGGATCGACCTGGCCACCCGGGAGATGCACCACGCCATCGCGTATAACGATATTCTCGTGTGCCCAATGTGTCGTTGCCCGATAAGACTCAAAAGCTTCTTTCTTCAGTTTCAAACTCTCTTCGGTCGCTAACTTAAAAGGGGCATATGATGCATAAATCACCGTTCGGATCGTGTTGCTGTTGACTGTTGGTTCCCCACCCCAATGCACAGTACGTGAATCCCACAAGATTAAATCTCCGGGCTCAGCAAGCACCTTGGATGGTTTCATACCATGATCTTCAAACCACTGGATTTCTTCCTCGCTGAATAGGCGTATGTCCTTCTGCTCCCAGGTGGATGGGTCGGTCTCAGTGTCGAAGAACCCCTCGGTTGCTGCGTTCGACCTCGGGAACACCATAAGGGATCCATCTTCGGGACCCGCATGGCTTAGATTGATAATGCCCTGAATACAGTGGATCCCGCGACGCATTGGCGACTGGTCCACGTGGGGCCACGGCTTTTGAGCTGGCTTGTCTTCTCGGTTTGGCAGAGTGATGTTCAGTGCGTCAAACGAGACGAGTAGCTCGTCCGTACCCCAGATCTTGGTGAACGCATCCAATACCTTGGGTTCCATGCGAGCATCCCACATGAATTTCTCATGGCTGACCGAATACCCATTGAATGTATTCACTTTACTTTGGACAGGCAAGTTTTCGTTGGTCCATGTGGAAGGATCATCAAGGTCGAGGGCTGTGCTGAAAGACTTGAGCCAGTCCAGGGCTTTGCGCTGGTAGCCCTGGGCCCTTTCTCGGTCAATGGCATTCTTGATGATAGCATAGCCTTGATTGTGAAGGTCGTCTCTCCAATCTCCATATGGACCACTCAACCTAGCGTCCTCAATTAGCAATTGTTGTCTGGCAGCGGAAAACATAGGAAGCTCACTCAAAAGAAGATTGATTGAGAGGCGGAGTGGTGGCAGTGGTGGTAGTGGTGGTAGTGTTCATGGTAGCTGTTTCTCCAAATATAACTATAAAGCTTTAGACTGAACTTGAATTGATGGACAAAATAATGGAGAGTTGTTGCCTTTAAGTATGTGGAATATCTAAATGTGATTTTTCATCCACTTAAGGCCAGCACATCTGGAAATTCGCAATATCTCAAAGTCCAATCTGATACCCAGATGGCCCCTTTTGGGGCGGGTGAGCGGGGGGCCGACCCCGCCAAGTCGCAAGAGCGGAGGTGCCTCAGACGGTCCGCCGAACCGCCATCCCACTTACCATTCCACTTTGATTCTAAACCAATCAGCTATGAAAATGAATGGAAACAAATCAAAAGAGCAACGTCTACGGGTTGAATTAAAAAGATCCAAGGATGACGCCTCATAGCATTCCCCCACAAAAATATTCTGATTACATCGGGTTCGCTCTATACTCTGGACATGTTGACGGAAAATTATCCAATCAAAATAGGTCTGAACAGGGCCAAGCTAAACCCTCAAAGAAATCTGCATATGGAGGTTGCCAGTAACACATCGAAATGGGCTGCCACGTGGACGGTTGTCGGCACAGCTGCAGCATCTTCCGAGTAACCAGACGCCACCTGGGCAACTAAAAGAGGCCTCATGCAGAAGACAACGGACTTCGGATATATCCATTGGGTCGTCACTAATCACTGCTCTCTTTCCTGCTTCCATATCAGCCCAAGTCCAGGCCTCTGGACATTGGAAGCTTCCTCCTAGGTACTTCGCAAACCGTAAACCGTCTAATGCTCACAAAGACAGAAATTTCCTGACTCAAACACTTTGTTATTATCCACAGCCCCGATACTGCGTTCTTCCATAAGCTCAAGTCTGTAAAATTCTGCATCTTCCATGCTCATTACCGGGCTGAGTACATTTTGACCAGGTGTATCCGGCGAGTTTGCTGAAACCTGTGAATGCACACTGTTCACAATTTTCGAGTTTTCTGGCGCCCAGTCCTCCCGCTGCGGAGGAACATTGGCAGATGATATCACACGCCTATGGGGATCGATGAGAAATAGTGCGAGGATCTTGCGATGTCCGCTTTTTGATCTGTCGGCCAACGAAAACGGTGACACTTTGTGCTGAACAGTATTGGGGAATGTCAGGAGTCGACCCTCTTGACAAACCACGCCTCCAAGCTCTTGCGTAACTTCACTTTCACTGGCATCATTCATACCCAAGCCATAAACAACTTGGAGGAAGTCGTGCCGATCTTGGTCGTATACAACGGCGTCCATCCGGCTACCTCTTTGCCGGAACGACAATGAGCTTTCAGTGATGTTTTGATTGTCGTAATAGTAGATTGCCGTTGCACATATGGGCTCGTTCTAATTAGAGATTAGCAAGATTGGTGCTTGATGAAAAAGGAAAATGGAATTGACCAGTTGACCCTCTATGTGCCAGGTACCTCCTTCATATTCGGGCTTTTCGGGGGTCAATTCGATATTTGCCAATTTACAATCACGTGTAGTCCATTTTCGCCGAATTCATCACTCAGTTTGACTCTATCCGAGTCATAAACTTTGAAAATCTCGAAATTGCCTGGCTCGGGGGCATTATCGGACGGGAAAAGTCCCAGGCCTGCCACCGCTCCTGGTAGTCATCTTCATCAAAGTCATCGTCATCCATAGCACCTGGAGGGTACATAGGCTCTGGTCCGATGTGATCACCGTAATTAACATCTTTATACGGGATTATTTGTTTACTCCATGGCCTTCTGGTCAAGGACTGATCCCAAAGCGGGATCGTTCTCGCGATGACCCTTTCGACCACATCATACAGTCCCCGATGCTCAATCGGGTGAACATTGTTGATGTAAGACCTAATGTTACAGCCAAAGTCTTTTTCTTTCGCAATGATATCTTCCACAGTATCGTACAGCCCTCGATGATCAATTGGATGAGTGTTGTCGACATAAGATGAAATCTCATCTCTCGAATCTCTGCTTCAATCTATCTATCAACTGGTTTGATTCGGTGGCATGATAAACACTACGGGGTTTGATGTGATGTTTTGGTGACCCGATTGCGAGGCTACTAATATCAACATCTATCCTAGCAGTTACCAACGAACAACTACCTATACAATCTACGGATACTCATTACATTCCATGCGAATACAAAAGATAAGCCTTTCTAACCTGAGGGATAGTACTAACATACAGAATATATGGGAATATTGACTGGAGGCTGAACCCAGCTCAAAGGAAGTCAGAACGATAAAAATATAAAGCACAACATTCCCATAATAAATAATGGACCGCCTAAGGTTCTGTCTTGCGCGTCATCCTCGACTAGTTGATAGCTACTTTTCCACCACCAACATTCCGGGTTTGAAAAGTACTTTTTAGGCCATTGAAAGGCAACTGAAAATATCAATAAAGGGAGTGCAGGTCAGAAAGGATCTTAGCCCGGGCCAGGTTGCTTCCCATTATCAAATTCACACCTCACGTAATTGGGGAGATCAATGGAAATCTATTTCATATATTAGCCGGAGTGAACGTAGGAAGGATAGAAGGTTAGTGGCAGTTTACAATGTTTGGCTTCGGACAAAATACATATCCCCTATTACATGAAGAAGCCTTGCAGCCTAGAAAAGCCGGTGTTAGTCACTTATGTTTTCACATCTTCCGTTTGCCTTGCCTTTCATGTCTACGCAATTCTCAACTCCATCAACAAAAAGTTTAGTTCCCGCAGTAGCAGTTGCTGTAAAATCACAACAAAAGCATGGTCCGACCGCAATAACAACATTAGTTACTGCAAATAGACCAAGACCAATCGTGAGGCGCATTGTTGGTAGTAGATGATATTCAGTATTCCGATATTAAAATTGCTTTGGTGTGCTATGAAGAATAGGAAATTGAGACTGGATGTTTCATTGCTTTTATATAATTTGAATCAGCTCGTGGGTGGCGTCCTAGTGTCACTTTGAGTTTAGAAGTTCAAGCTGAATGAAGTTGTGCGTAATGACGCAAAAGTCGTTAAGGTTGAAAATATTTTGACTTTCCTACAGAGCTATCCATGTCCAAGAAATAGAAAAGCTTCAAAAAGATTAAATGAGACCTATGAAGTAGATACCTCTTCCTAGAACACTGAATCTAGAGTTCGACTTTCTAGTGTTTCGTCAAACGCCTAGATGGTTCTTATCTCGTCTTAATGTGTTATAATTTGGTAGAGATGACATCACTGAATCCATAATAGCCGTTCAAAATTCCTTTCGTCAAGGAACGAGCTAAAATCATGTTTTCAAGACACCGTACTTACTCCGTAATACTAGGTTTGTTAGGGATGGTCCATGTGACTTATCCCACTCCCTCTTCTTCACCCTCATCCGCCGTAGCTTAGCTCCAACTTCCTCCACTCGCTATGCTAGGAACTTTATAAATATCAAGTCGTAATCTCGTATTTGGCTGCGATCTAGATCGAAAAGGCAAGTCACAGGTCGCAATCTAGGCATCTCTAAGCAGCAGAAACTTTTCCACTACTACTGCTTGATATAATACTCAATAATCTATCCACGTATAGCTATCAGTCGCCCCCGGTACAAATAGCCGAGAACTGCGCGGTGGTTGCGGACAAACTCAATTTTTAAAGAATCAGCGGAGGACGAGTCTAAAGCTAATCTAGACTTCCGTGCCGGCAGATGACCTAGAAAATGTGTTAGATCAACATTGAATGTCACATCCAGACACCATCCCTTTGAAGATCAATATTCGCTGGCTATCACCCTCGATCCTAGAAGTCATGACTCTACGCACCAAGAATATACGGGAGATATACTAGTGGGTCCCGGCCCTTCCCGTTCCACTGTCGATCCCTCTCTGCTCTCTCTCAACGACCCCCACTGAACGTCGCATCCTACCGCTCAATAGTCCTTCCGTTTCCACCGAAGTCTTCCTCGAGCTGAGATAAACTGACATGAATTTCACAGCCCCGATGTGACAAAAGCATGGCAAAAGGTTCTATGAATGTGTGGCCATGCAATTGGCTCCCTTGGCAAGGGCTTGGCTTTATATCTCCTTGGCCATGAGGACTGCAAAGACCAGTAGGCAGGAAGGGATTATGCACCAGGGCTTGCTCCGGAGTGCGAGCCTTCGAAGTATTTCTAAATCGGTGTTTGGTTGATGAGTGACATTCGCTTCATCATAATCAAAGTTGCAAATTGCAAATGTCGAAATGAGATGCAGGCTTGCAGCGCAACCATAAAAGACCCCAAGATGGCAAGCAATTATCAAAATTCTCTAGCAGCAGCTTCCTCTTTTCATTAGCTTACGCAGGTACCACCCACTTTTTGACATCATGTTTTTGGCCGATCTTTGGCGCCTGTCCTTCATCGGCATCGCTATCCCATTGGCCATTGCCCATCCCGAAGAGCATCCTGCAGTCGAGACCCAGGAGCGTGCTTTCCAAAACAGTGCCCATTGTAGTCTAAAAATGTGCATCGAGAAATTGGGGTCTAGCGGACACAATGCCCGCTCAGATGCTCGCCGTCGCAGCTTGTCCAGTCATGGTACCGACACAATCCTCACAAGTCCTACCTATATAGGTATCTGTCAAATAACTCTGGTGGCTTGGTAGGCGAGGAGAGGAACAGACGCAATGAGAAGCAGGAACGAAGGGAGGTGGACAAGATGTTCATGGTAGAGAAATAAACTCTCCTTCGAAATTTCATCACCATTGTCACAGTATGACAACAACCTTAATATTGTTCTCTTAAACATGCATCTATAATTGGAAGGGCCCTTTGAATATATCATGTGACATGGGGACTGCCAGGGAAGGTGCGTTGGAGGGTGTCCATTTTGGGAAAGTACGTGCTGTTAGGGGTATAAAAGGACACCCACCACCCCTCCTCCTTTTCTCTTCTTCCTCTCCCCAACCCCCTTGACCACCATCTCTCCGTAGCCCCCATGAGACAGCGTAGCGGAGGGTCCCGTAGCACATGGTGCCTGGCCTACCCACATGGATATCAACATCGTTGTTGAGGTCCATGCCCAGGAACAGGTCCGCGCCGAAATCAAACCGGGCTTTCTCGTGCGAGTTCTTTGACAAGTGACTGAGCTTTTGGGGTTCCATAGTCACTTGAACAGTTCCACGGAATACATGGGGGGTGTTTAATCACTCCCTATTTTCGTTCTAGTACACTAGTCACCTAGATAGTCACGGCAATGTCAACTTTACCGACACTTCCAACCTGAGTGCTACGCAGGTTTCCAGGTGTCCAGGTGGATGTCGTGTCTAACTTGGTCGACTGAAGAATATGAGCCAGTTTTGTTTGAAATGTCTCACGTTTATGCCCCATCTTGGCCTGGTAACTCAGGCATTGTTTTGATTTCTCTGCTGCTCCATAACCACTTATCTTCTTCCCTTGTAGTACCTTTAAGCTTCAAAGAAAGTGAAAAAGCATCAAGTATTCTTGATATGAAGTTGCTGGGTTGGAGGGCTGTAGCTACTATGTAGGCGTCGCCCACAGAGCGAGTTACGTATAGTAACCAACGCAGTCTTCTGCAAACTCCCAAACTCTGATTCACAATATCCTTCTTTGTTTTCCCTCTCCGCTTTGAAACTTTCCATCTACTTATTCCCTTCTTTCTGTCAACACGAGCATTTGATCTCCCCAACCCCCAACTACGATTCAACGACAATGTCGCAGGGCTTCAGCCCTCCCCACGGGACCAAAAATGCCACGCAACGCGCACTGGGAATCGCTGAGATTGTGGGTCATATCATCTCCTTTCTGTCACGCCTGGAGCAGGATTACTTTGAGCCCGAAACGGACTTGATCTCTGCCGCTCTAGTGAACAAATTCTGGCTCGCCGAGGCCCTTCCTGTGATATGGAAGACGGTCTGGCCCCACCCAATGGAGGATATGTTTAGACCCCTAAAGCCCAACCGTCGACAGTTCTATGCCAACTTTGTGGTTTCTGGCACTACACGAGTCTTCGATGATACACATGGCCCTGAAGATTCTCCATGTGATCTGAGTGGGATTGTGTTCCCTAGAATGACTGAGCTTCTTATGTTCATTACAGTACGAAACGGAGAATGCTCCCTTCCAGACCTAAACTGTCCCAACCTTCGTCGCATGGTCTTTGATTACCGGGATGGTTATCATAATACAGAGAGTGACCGCCTCGGCGCTGAGGATTGGGAATCGATCTTTTGGGACCTCCCGGTATGTGCTCTTTTTACTCTTTACAATACGACCCTCGCTCACTATTCTCAACAGACCAAGTACCCTAGTTTGCAAGAGCTGGAATTTGAACATCCTCCTCGTCTGTTTCCCTATGCACTTCGACGCTTGAAGAAACGGCACCCCAATCTTTGCGACTATCTTGGCAAGCCCAAGGTGCGCTGGATTACCAAGTTTTTACCTAACGGCGCCGATGAATCGGATGGATATGACTTTGAAGATTTCTACGGTTATCCCGGGGAATATGATACGGATGGTTCTGATATGGATGGTTCTACCCCATTGCCGGGGGATTTTGACTTTGCAGGATGATCAACGAGAGCTATCGTTTTGTGCCGGTGGACCATAAAGTCCACAAACGAATTCGAAAGGTGCCAGCAGGTTCCCTGAAGTGTGTGGTTGAAGAACAGCTTTCCCCCCTTTGAATTGAAGATCTATTTTATCCAAGCCAATAGCAATATCAATCCTTCTAAAACGAAATTGTTATATTTTCTTGTCTGGAACTTTTATATTTAAATAACCATGTACCATTTTCCCTTCTCTTCCCTTCACATCTTTCACAAACTCGAGTTCCATCTCCCTTGTCCAACACTTCCACCGTTCACAACAACTCACCCGCTCCTCTCAAATGGGATCCTCCGCCCACCCCGAGCCCGTATTCCCGGGAGCACTCAGGATCCCGAGATCTCGGCATAATATTTGCCCAAAATGTTTACGACGAAGATGAAACCCCGCCCCATCATTCCGACTTGCTGAGATGGGCATCGTATATAGCCGCTGGTGTAGCGATACCATTCCCCTACTCTGGCCTCGCCCTCGCCCTTCTCTCAAATACTATGCTAATTACTTGGATTGGGAGCTGGTGCTCTACCTCTCTCAGTTCTAAAGAGATGCTTTTGCAGAGAATGGTGTGCTCCCAGGGCTTGTGTTTCCTAAATTGACCAGAATCTTTGCGAGCATACACAACGAACTTGTCAAGTTCCTGAACATCAAACGAAGCAACTTTTATTAACTTTAGATAGGAGACGGTTCAAAAACTTTTCCACTACGCATCGAGAAGAGATTGAAGCGAAAGGTATTTGGGTGTAAATGATTTCATATTCATCTTTATCTAGGGAGATCAGAAAGACCGGTCTAGCTTCCAGTAATTAGTGGCTATGTTGTAATTGATACCCATGTTTTATGTTTCAATCGGGGGCGTGCCTTGGCCTCGATAAGTGCCTTCAACTCTGCACGTCGGCCCTCTCTCACCCTCAAGTACCAATCTGTTATAGCTGTGAGATGGGCCCATGAAAACTAGCCTTGGGTTCGAGTCGACTTCCCATCCACTCAGCTCGGTCGTTTTTTAGGTGTGGCGCCGTGATTGCAGTCAAATGTTCAATAATGGACAAATTGACGGTCTCCTCATCGTCTCATTTTTCCTCTTCTAGGTTTCGAACGACCTGGATCTGGCGGAGGCGGCTACTCGTCATACTCGCAAGATCATTACTTACCAGATTCATGCCAAGTTTGGATTGATGCTTTTTCATGTAGTTTTATTATTGGCAAAAGGGGAGAATGGGGGAAAGGGAGTGTTGACAGTATGCCTTGGGAGTCAGACCAAAGTAGTACGTCTGCTTCAAGAATTAGTACATTACCTATTGTGCTTCAATAACACATAACTATGTTGTTTTGTATGGTCTCATCTTTATTCAAAATTATTTAATGTTCTCTCAATACTTGATTACTTTGACTGCACTTCCATTTTCGTGTACAGTTACTACACTACTCACTGGCTCATCATGTCTGAATCTAATTGAAGCTATTGATCATCTTAACAATAACAATGAATAATATCAATTCCACCTCACCTATACGCTCATTTCTTGTTATCTCGCTCATTCTCTATTGTTCTTCTGCTATACCTCCCTAGAAACACAATAGCTATTCATTATGTAGATATTCACTCGAAGTAAGATATAAAATTCGATGAGCCTCCTCTTCAGCCCTTATTTTTCCTTATCTATCATCAACGGGCTCCAATTCGCTCTCGGCGAACTCTTCGCCCGCGCTGGTCGCGTGGCATCACCAAGAGAAACGCCGCTGAGCGAGTCTTCAACATCCCAGAGCTGGTTTCTGAGATTGTCCACTGGCAGGTCCAGGGACTTGACGAATTCGTCTACGAGAAGTCGCGGGGCATCGGGGTGAAGAAGCAGTGGGTGAGGCCAACGAAGTTTCGGCGATGGACAATGGGCCTGGGTACCAAGCGGGAGCCCTATGTAGAGGACCAGGCGGGTTATCTCTGGCCATTTGCGTCCCTTAACCGGGCGTGGTATACAGAGATAATCCATCGTCAACAAACCTGGAAGAACACTATGGGTGCGATGGACACGCCGGCCGTGCCTCGCTCACTAGACTTGATCTTTGCAAAGGTCCCAGCCCAATTCCGCCAACAGTACGCTGACCACGTCGAGCTGGCCTCGCTGGTCACCGTCAACGCCGGGGACGCCCGTGCTGCTGACGCCGCGCTGCGGGATGTTCGTTTCCCAAAGCTGCGGGTACTAAAATTGTGCGTGCGAGGGAGCAGTCGCGACTCTGACATTCGGACCCTTATGGATGGCGTTCATATCCCACGCATCCAGGGCGAATCGGTCACCGTCCTCTCCATCAGCAGCTATGGCGGACGTGAGCCGGAATGGAGATGGCCTCTCCACGGGTTGCCCGAAGATTGGGCAAAGTTGTTCAGACGGATTTCGGTATGTTTCTGCCACAGCTATTTCGATAAACGCTTTGTATTGATTCTGATTCTTTCTCATAGGTTCTGTTTCCGAATCTCGAGAAAGTCGAGATCGGACACCAAGTCCTTGTCGGCGACAAGGTCGTCAAAAGCTTCGCTCGTCGGCACCCAGCCCTACGGACCCTTGAGCGGCGCCTCCTCGAGCGTTCAATTTTGGCCTTCGACCTCCACTAAGAGCCTTCTCGAGTCTGAGATCGCTGCATTTGGGCCATTCCGAGGGTGGGTTGCTTCGACCGTTGCTTCGAAAAATCGTCTTATGGAAAGGGTGGGGAAGGGGGACAAAATTATATACAGTCTTTACCCAGGTGGAGGACAGTCTCGAGCATGAAGCAATTGATGGCTTTATCTATAAAAAGAGCTTACGATATGATGACCTCATATCAGTCCAATTTCATGCCTTCCCAACTCTTGGAAAGCACGCTGTTTCTGCAAACCGCGATCCCCTGGACCCCGTCGAAAGCAATTCGACTCGTCAACCAAAACCGAGACATTGACGAGTCCTCTACATCTCAAAACAACTCAATCCACACAATCCCAGCTGACTGGGTTGTATCCGCCTCGGGGGCCACCAATTCCCAATATGCGATGCTCCACTCATACTCGCCCCGAGCAATCCCTATCAACTCATTTACGAACGAATGTGGCCAGTTTGGGTTCACCAACCAAGTCCTAAACACAGCTGCTGCGGTCCCCAGTGCGTCGACGGGATGGTCCCGGTGTCTACAACTCGTCGAGACAGGGAATTCTGTTGATGATATCCTAGCCACGAGTGACAGGTGGCCACCAGAGTCTTTTTCTACTGTGAGGCGACTCCAAAAGCAAACCATGACTATCGCCGAGTCAACGAAACATTTCCAACTCAAGGCGACGCATGTCTACTCAGTTAGCATGTAAGAGGAATGGAAATGCGGCAACGAGATTGGAAACTGGATGTTTGGTCGCCAGAACGGGCTCCTACTTGGCTCCGACATCCACCCCCTCTTCCGATGAGGTCCAAATCGGAGTATGGACAATAATGTCCGAGTACCCGTTTGCGGATATTCTGTCAGTATCCCTCATACTTCAGCGCTCGTACTACAGTATGGGGTTCGGCTTTATGCCTTGATTCCTCTTCAACTTTTCACAACCCATGAACAAGTTGTAAGTTCTTCGCTCTCTTCGCATATACTCAATGGCTGCAGATACTAATTCTCGTAGCTTCTTCTCTCTCCAATGCATTGAGATACTCCCAGATCCTACTCCCATATTGATTGCAGCCGCTTTTCATGTCCTTTTTAGTTTATCTGTTGGCATGTTTCTATCTTGCCAAAATCACCCCCTATTGTGAAAATTTGCAAAGTTCGCATGGCTGCCCCGTAAATTTCCGAGCGTGAATCAGATCATTCGAAATTACGCCCTCGGATCTTTTCAACGACTTCCTAAATGCCACAAAAGAAGACGATGGATGTTTCCAGGATTGAGCCAGTCTATCATGACACAAAATCCAGGATACCCGAGAAGACGGGTACCAGACTACAGAGGAAGTTCAAGCTTCCCACTCCCTTTCTACCCCACTCAGAAACCACGGCCTAGCCGTAGAGTTACTCTACGAGGGCAATTGGATATTCCGCAGATCTCTCCTACATGCAGCAGAGCTCGCAAGGCTCGGGCGAAACTACCAACACCGTCCCGGGGAGCAGCGAGAGCTTCTCATCGCTTCCTGGAAAACGGCAGCAGCTTTACTGATGTCGAGGCCACGCGCCAGCGCCAGCAGTGGAGAAGAGCCATTATTCAGTTCGACCTCGTCTCACGCAGTCTCACAGCAGAGAAGTTTTTCGTTGCAGATAAGGCGGGCGTACACGGGAGAATAGAACATAATATTGAACAAGTCCTTGATTCTCTTTTCGAAGCTCAAGCGCTTGACATCTGTTGGCCGCCGCTATCTAGGCTATCGTGACGAGAGCAACCGCGGGAGTAGCCAATGTTGTAAAAATGAGATTCAGTGAAGAATGCAGGTGGCTGCTACGTGGGATACCTAGAGCCCTTTCAATCCACAAAACGGGGTATAAGCCCACCGTGGAACTCAAGCAACCCGGCAGAGTGATCGAAATACTGCATCCAAAGCTTCGTCCATAACGACATTCCGTATTCGGGAATACTCGACATACTTGGCTTGTTCCTGTCATCAATAAGCCACGCACCAAACCGAGCTACGACTCGGAACTTCTATCTGCCCATGTTGCCAATGTATACCAAGCAGGCCGCTACTTTTAGTAGACCAGACCCGATGATGTTCAACTGCACTTGAATCAAGGAGAGCACGACTGAAGCCGATCCCACATGGTCCAGGATCTTCAATGCAAACAACAATATTTCAGTCGATTTCCTCGCTCGGACTCCCTCCTGGGTCTAAGTTGCGTCTATATTTCGCATGGAGATGCCATGTGACAACGAAAGAAGAACAGAAGGACTACAGCAAAAAACAGCGTTCATCAAGTTCGTCAGTTCTCCTCTTTCTACTCTTCGTCAACCTTAACAGTTCTTAAGCGCTGAACGGATCAGACAAGCAGAACAAGCCGATCTTGATACTAGCACCCAGCGCCTTGGTCCCGCAATGGCTGCGTGAAATCCCAGAGAACTGGAAATGTTTCCGAGTCATTCTTTCATATGCAGAGCCAGGGCTATCCAGATCATCACAAAACCAGGTATGGCTATCGATTTCCTGGCCCATGACGGAATTATCAATGACACTGTCGATGTGAATGATGTGCAGGGGGGTCTACAGCATCAACATCGCAGTCCTCCGGGAGATTCTAGATAATCCTGGAACTCCCTCAGGTATTCTAGAAGACCCTGCCACCCCATGTGCAACATTTCACGGTACCCAGACTCTCCATCAGGAGTGTAGCGGTGCTGGGGCCATTATAGACTTCGCCTCACTATGAAACATCGGTTATCTGCCAAGTAGACTCTTTGAAGGATACTCCGGGGTACACAAAATCCGCATTGAAAGATGGGAAACCTTTTGAAGGGGGTTGCTCTGAAGGCTACTATGAGTGACATCGATGTTGCTGGGCTGAAGGGAAAAGAGACTGCCACCGGTCCAGGGCATGAGTGATTCCGCTGTTTCTCGGCCGACTCAAGCTATTATGGAGTCGACAGAGTGTTAATTGATTTCAAAGAAGGAAGACTATTGGAGAGAATCTGTCACCGTCTGTCACCGACGGTCACGTGTTCCGGCCACTTAGCTAGCTTTGACTAGATAGCAGAATGCATCATCCTTACCATACCATAGCTTTGTACCACCGTCAGGAGACTACCTGCCTGTAGATAGCTCGCGTCAGACATCTGAATACATCGTCATTATCTTCCCCTTGCTCTCAGTGCATATAGAATCCATCACATTTACACCTAGAGTTAAACATCGCAAGAGCCTTTCCAGCAGCTACACTTATCGACCTGCCCACCTAGGCAGCATCCATAGCTTAGCCCGAAGGGTCTGAATGAACTATCTTCCCTCTTTTTTTCTTTTTTTCTTTTATTAGCATATGCAATCAAATTCAATTTATAAATAAGAGGGACATGAGCCCTATAGAGAGGAGATACCCCCCACATGTAGTATATATATACTTTTCCAACGCCGAGAGTGCAGGAAATAACCTGCTTTGACTCTAAACTGAACCCCCCCAAAAAACCCAGGCCCCGGGGTAAAAAGGTAAAACCCAACACCGCTCATTCGTATGCCAAACTCCTTTGTATCATGACGCGAGAATGCAAAGGTCGCAACCATCTCAAATCTCCTGCGAGTCCAGCGCCCACACCTCCCAATGCTGCAAAACCTCCCATCCTACCCGTCGCGCACGCCGTTTCCACACAAACCCATCATCAGTAAAGGTGTGCGGGTAGCAGCCCCAGACCGCAGAAGCATCACACTCTTCGAGTCTATTGAGTGTGTCCGTGCAGCCGGGCGGTGGTCTGGGAGTTTCACTATCATCTCGATCGCGTGATCGTTTCCCTAATGTTGATGGCAGTGGGCCGGGTCTTATGCCGGGTGGATGCGACCAGGAAGAGATATGTGTTGTCTGTGTATCGGGCGACTTATTGGCGACAGAAGGCTGATATGGTGTGCTGAGTCCAACGCCGTTGGGACCTTGCGTGGGAAAAGGGCTCTCTGTGGTGGTCTCTGGGGATGCATTATCGCCATTTGTTGGTGATACGGACTCTTGATTGATTCCAGATGGGATGGGCGCTTTGTAGAAGTCCCTCAGCTCCCAGGCTTTCCAGCCCATGCTGATCAACTTCACGTTTCCGTAGACTTGCTTGTTGGCAAGATCGTAACTCAAAATTTCAGTCAGGATCGAGTCGTCGATGTCCACCACTTCGGAGAGAGTCTTGGCGTTCGCGAAAGTGTCTTGCACCATTTTAAGGTTCTCAAATCGTGCGGATGGGTAGGTCTTCATTGCAGAAGCCGCAGGACCATTTGAGGACTGTCCGGAAGATTGGGGTATGAGAAGCCGGATTGCTTTCAACTTCCGGAGGAAGGGTATTAGTAGACCCAGTGAATCCAAACTAGAAAATTCGGTGGCGAGGGCGAGCTGCTCCAAATTTGGACAGCTATGGACGAGTCGCGCGACCATTCCGGTGGAGAGAGGCCATTTAGAGGGGAGAAGGAGATGGCGCAATGTCGCGCCGTGATTGGTGGTAATGTGTGAGAGGTAGATGTCGCGCATGCTAGCTATAGCATTGAGCTGGCTAGCTGGAGAAGCAGAAGTAATAGGGGAGTTGGTTGTTGTTCCGCTGGCCGTACCATATAGATGGTGCTCGGATACTGGGGGCGTGAGCGCCGATGAGACCGCGCCTCCCCCAGGTCGTGGGCAATTGAGAAGGTCGCTTGAATCGGATGTGACATTGACGAAGTATAGCCTCTCGAGTCCAGAGAAATTCCCAATGAACTCCGCGTTCCGTTTTGACAATGCATCCATCCGAACGGATTTTATGCGGAGCTTGACATGGGGCGGGGCTGTCGGCCAGCTGCTCTCGACGAATGTGTTGACCAGACTAGAGCCTTCAAGACCACTGAGAAAGGTGACGTCTTCAACGGTAGTCGGATCAAGAGCGAAGTTGAAATCCTCGGTGTGGAAGGCATACAGATTCTGGAACGACATCTTCTTAACCGCCAGGGGCTGTTTGCTTGCGATCAACTTGCGGAAGTAATCATGCAGAGAGACACTAGCCTCGTGTGCGTCTCGCATCCGTGGCGACCAATGTAATTTCAATTCGCGCAGTTTCCTACTTTTACAAAGAAGAGTCGCAATATCATCCGGGTAGCATAGCGGGTCTATATCGGTGATTTTCAGACATCGCAAATGTGGCATACCCGGAATGGCGAAAGTGGGCTGTGGGTGACGACTGGATGGAAACCTGATAGTCAGGGATGTGAGCTTCGGCAGCTGTGTCAACCCTGTAAAAACCGTGTCGAGCATTTTGGTGTTCAGTTCCCAGTGGAAGCTTTCCAAATTAGTCATGCGATCCAAGGCAGCGCGGGCGGCGATGTTCAACAACATTGATGAGTCCGGCACCCGGCCGACTCGAGCATACTCCTCTAGCTCGTGCTCCTTCCATTCCCCCCGTAGTGTCATCGATCGTACCAGCGTCGCATAAGGTCGTGTAATAATTGCATTCAACCCCATGGTGAAGGGACTGGCGCTCCCGATTCCTTCTGGTTGTTCGTCGCGATAACGGATTTTGTCGTAGGAGGTCAGCGTTAGGCTTCGGTATAGCTGCGGCAGCGCCATATAGTTGAGGACCCGACATGTTCGACATAGCCTGGCCAGATCGCCTGTGTCGTCGACCTACCGCACGTTAGAGATGGAAATGAGATGTGCGAAGAGCTCTCTCACATATAACACAATCTCCGCGATAAGGTTCAACGGCAAAACCATCAACTGGGCACCGCCAGGAGGTTCAGTTATGCTCGCTCCGAACATATTTCGATTGACGGTCGCCATGATGCGACGTCTAAGGTAAGGTTTCACATAAGGATACAAAGACTATGGGGAAAAGGGACCGGGATTGCGAGTTCCCGAGTGAAATTTCGTCTCCACTTTTGTAAGCCAGTGCTCTTGGTAAGCCACTCGATCACTGGAGCCAAGCAGGGATCACCAATAGTCACCATTAAAAGTAGTACGTACCTAGTAAGGTAGCCTATACAAGGAGTATACAGGGAGTATAGAGTAAGAAGTACCTAAATATGGTTATTATATTCAATTTCAAAAATTATAATGGGTATCTTTCTAAGATGTTGAACAGATTCCTCCCAACACCTTTCCCTTTCCAATATCAAATCCATATACTCCATGAAAATGGCCGAAAATGACCGAAAATGAACCAAATATAACTGCCTGAAACACCAAGAAACTGTCAGGGGCCGAGTTGCTCAGCCTCAATCAGCTATGCCCAAAACTGAGTGGCATCCCACATGCTATATGCCCAAAAGTGGCGTTTTTATGAAGACTTGCCATGCTGTTCGTTAGAAGGCCCGTGCTCGGGGTGGGCTTCGGCATCGGACGGCCCTGCTTGTTCCGCTGACACATCATTTCTTTCCTCCGAGTAGGTCGTATCTGTCCAGCTTTGTTGGTAATTTGAAACCTGGTCGTTGCGATCCAAATGGCTGACATCCTCGTTGATCAGCGCCGCTGCTTCCGGGTCATAGTGTAGAACATAATCCCCGCCTCCTCGCTCTACATCTGCCTCCGTCCATGGAGAAAACGCTTGTGGTCGAGAAGGAATCACCCGTACAGGTAAATTGGGACGACTGGAGGGCGTTTCGTGATGTTGAACGTGTTCTATCGGCCGGCTCTCTCCCGGTGGCCGGGTGTCCTCCAGGAGTCGGTTTTGCGGTGACCATGTGTGCTGACCGCGGCGACGTGCTGGAATAACGGTGACTGGTAATGAACCGGCGACGTTTTGTGGTCCGGTGCCCAGTCGGACATTCCGATGGAGAGAAAAGAAGTGATCGGCTCGAGACCGGGCAGCATTTGTTTCTGCCTCGGCCTCTTCCGCTGCAGCAGATTGCCTGTGTTCGGGAAATTCTTCTCCGGCTTGTGCAGATGCCACTTCTTTCGGCAGAGATGCACGTCGTCTCTTGAATGGGTGTAGGAGAACATGCCATCGCGGGTCGGCTTGTACTATCTGCGGGGATTGCTCTCGGGTATTTTGAGCAGAGAGAGCATGACCATTTGTACCAGGAGTATGTGGCTCCCTGCCTTCCAATTCCTTGGCTTCGTCCAATTCCTCCTCCTCGTGCATATTTGGCATTGCGGCGGGAGGCGTAGGGCTAGCCACTGAATGATACCGGACATTGTACACCGTGCTTGCTGCACTAGTAGTATCAGCACGGCTGATCGGTGTGATCGCCGCTGGGGGTGGAGTGGGCCGGTTATCGGTTGGGCCCCGCGGCGCCGACGTAGCTGCTTGGTTATATGGTGGTGCTCCGGCTCTTTTGTTTCGATTGCCGCGGGGTAATCCAGCCCGGGCTCGTAGAGGTCGATGGGCTAAACCCATCACGCCGGCCCATCCAGACGATGCGCCATTGCCGCCACCTTGGTCGTGTCCTTGGGCCGAGAAACGTGGCCAGTCAACTTCCTCGGACGGAGTGACTTCAAGCATTTCATCGCCGTCGAAAACCTCTCGTCCCAGAATCCCGTCTTTTGTTTCATCTCGTTCCAGCGCTTCAATGCGTTCCACCCACTCCCAAACTACCACACTGGCCGCGGCAGAGCCAACCCATCGAATATAGGTACCCCAGCCAGCAATTTCCGGCTTGGCAATATCCAAAACAAAAAAGACGACGGGTATCAAAATGGCGCATAGCGAAAGAAGAGCCACTAAGCAGATATTCCGCATCTTGGGGTGGAAAAACGCGTATCGGTGCTTGGATATCGAGTAGAAAATCACCCAGGCGGCATAGAGAAGGTTAAGTGACAGCTCGAACAGGTAGCTCAGAGCAGGAATAGCATCCTCGTATAACCTGGGTCGTGTCGGAGACGTCCTCGCAAGAAAATTATCCAAAATACTAAAAGTTGTATCCAGCACAATCAACGCAAACCCAGCCCATTTGATCATGACTTTTTCCTTATGTCGCGGAAACAATCGAATCAACGTCTGAACCTGCGCAAGCCACAGAAACGTGCTTGATATGACGCGCACGATGCGTATTTCCATTCCATCAATAACCTCCTGGGAAAGCGCCTCCGCATCGGAAAACCCATAGTCATACTGCCGCTCGGCGACTCGGAAGGAATCGACCGTGGCGATAGTCAGCGAGATGGCAACCAAGATCGCAGCCACTTTCTGTAGCCATGGTCGTCCGCCGACTCCGACCACCGACGAGTTCCCGCTATATGAGCCGCTGATCATCCCATGGCGGCCGAGGAAATTGGCACCGCCACCGGGGCCACCGACGTAGAATGTGCGCGGGGTGATGAGAAGGATGATGACGAGGAGATAGCTAACGACCGTAGCACAGCCGATGGCATATAGTTGTGGGGTAATGGAGGAATAGAATGGATCGCGAGTATCGAGGACGGCGTTGATGTGAACCTCGTCGGTTAGGGAGCCTGTGCAGACAGGCTCGAAGATGGCGTTTTCACTGAGGGTAATAGCAAATGACTTGTTGAGATACACGAGTCCTATAAAGAATTGGCAACTTGCAATTAGAGACGGTTCTAGGAGGGGCGTTTCTGGCACCAAGTCTGCGACCGGCGGCCTGCAGCCTGCCGCCCAACGACCAAGGTGTCGAGGAAAGGGGGAGACCACATACCATTACTGGGCAAGACAACAGGCGTACAGCCGGGCGAATAAACCTTTGTCGTAGTCGGTGTTGGATTCGCCCAGATCTGTCGGGGAAGCAAGTGGAAGTCATTTTCCATGATCAGACTCGATGTGAACGGCCTCGAATCGCCGTCCCTGGAAATGTTCATATACCGCGCAATATCCACCGATGCGCGCGTATCACAGACCCTTCACTGCTTAGACTTCCATTATTGACTTTGATCGCGTACAGACGTTGCAAGTCCGAAGACCGGGGGGGCGAATAATGTTGGGAGGCGGGAATTGGAGGAATAGCGACGGCGGTGTAAGAGTTCGGGGCCACGAGACGAGAGATATTTTCTATGTCCCACGAGAGAAAACTAAAATTCATATCATAAAAGGAGGCAATCTACGGAGTACAACAGAATGAATTAAGGAATTAAGGTGGAAATCTAGAGGGATGCTCCGCCCATTTCCAGGCTCGGCATTGGCTCCTCCACAATTTCCTGACGCTAATCGTCACACTACTCGAGGGCCGTTCTCTCGTTAGGTCTAATGCTCTACACTCTACACACTCTTTCCATATCTCACAGTTTCACAAATATATGCATGCCCATTATATTTGATATGTATAAACTCAGCTGAGTCAAGGGCCAATATTCACAATGTCAACTCGCTGATCGAAATCCAACATATCCATCATCCATGTATCACATCGCTCTTCGCTGTACAAATTCATCACACATAGGAATCACATATTCTATGGATACCATCTCATCAAGAGATTTATGCCTGGGCGGCGAAGCCAAGACGAGGTCCCTCGGAGTCGAAAACAACGTACTGGCTCTTGAGGAAGATATCACCGAAGATGGAGAAGCCAATGCCAGAGTTGCTCTGGATACCACCGAAGCACTGGGAGCTACCAGTCGAGACGGGAGCGTAGTTGATGTGCTTGCCGGGAACAACGGCGTTGTAGCCACCAATGGTCACAGTGAAGTCAGGCAGAACGGCGTTGCAAGAGAAGACGTAGCCACCAGCAGAGTTGCTGTTCTTGGCGCCGGTAACCTTCTTGTAGTAGGCGGAAACAACAGAGTCAGGGAGCAGGAGGAGGGTGGTACCAGTATCTATATGAGTCAAGAGATTAGTTATACTGAACAAAACATGAATATCCACAGGAAAAGATGTAACTCACCAGCAATGCCGTTGATAGAAGAGCCAGCAGCACCATTGCCGACCTTGTAGCTGTCGGCGGTGAAGGACCAGAAACCCTGGGAGTTGTCAACGTCGGTATAGGTCACATCTCCGGTGAACTTCTTGCTGTCAATGTAGCCAAAGTCGTAGGTGCCAGGGGCGCCGTGCTTGAGAGTCACAGCGAACAGGGGCTTGTCAAGGTTGGACTTGACGGTGTCGAAGAAGGTTGTCTGAGGCGTGGGGCTGACAGTGTTGATGGAGCTGAAGGCCAGACCCAGCAGACCATCGTTGCTCTTGTCCTCCACGAACTGCTGGCTGATCTGCTTAGCGGCCTCAACAGCTTGGCCGGTGGCCTTGACTCCACCAACGGTGACAGTGTCCGTGTAGACATCACCACTGGCACCGCTGCCATCGCCGTATGAGATCGACCAGCTAGCACCAGCCAGCTTCTTGCCGGAGCTGGTAACGTCGTAGACGTCGTGACCCGACTGCTCTGAAGAAGAGAGCTCGGTAGAGAATACCCAACTATATGAACTGTCAGTTCTTGCTCTAGCCGGTGTCATCTCAACGAACTTACAGGTCAGCAGAACCAGTGTCGAAGTCCAAGTTCAAGGTTGAGCCGCCAATCGTGACGGGCGTGAGGTACTCAACGTCGTTGTCCTGGGGCGTGGTAATGGCAGAACCACTCACGGCAGCAGCGTGAACGGCGGCTGGGACAGTACCACCGTACTTGGTCAGTGCATTGGCGTACACAGCAGGCAAGTTAACAGTCCGGGTGCCGGTGACAGTCTTCTGCACCTGGTTCACACTGAAGCCCTGACGGGGGCTCTTGACCGGAACAGCGGCAGCTGAGGCAACGGCCGAAAAGCAAGTGAGAGCGGCGGTAACTTTGCTGAAGACAACCATGATGACGGTTCTATAGAAGAATGGATAGATCTAATGTGAACGAAGGCGATGCTGGAGAGGATGGATTCCATAAACAGCTGGAGACAAGACCTCCTTTATAGCTTTTCGAATAGATACTATCCACCCGCGTCCGAGGGTAGAAGGCATCAACAGGGCTGTCTATCGCAACATCCAGGAGAGGGTGATAATGCTTTTCTGGGAAGGAAACATGACGATCCTGCAAAATGCAGTCAAGTCGAGGGAAAACTTGGAAATCGTCACGGACGCCATCGGCTATCCAGGAGAGCACGACGGAGTCCGCCAAGCAGGCGTTTGAGGGGTCATGCCCAAAAAGAACATGGTGACAGGGTCTCAAGAAGTTAAGATGGTATCATCTGGACGTGAGAGGACTAGCGCGGCCAGCGCACGGGGCCGGGAGATGTATGGAATGCGACATAAGCAAATTGCCCAGGGAGCTTGGTTGTAACAAGCTATCCAAGATGCAGAACGGAGAAGTCCGGCCAAGACATGGCGTTGTCTTGGGGGACTGTGTCTTGGTACTCATTGGGCGAAGACTGGTCGATCGCCATATTTGGCCATCCTTGTGCAAGAGGACAATGGGCTGCCATTGGGTTAACCGACAGGGAGGGCGGACGGAGTAGAGTGCACTAGATTGTCTTTTGGCATGCTAGTCACGCTGCATGAAGTGATTGTTTAGGCATCGAGACTAGCAACAGCCCTGACGATCATTACCCGTTATCTCTCTGTCGGCCAATCATCGGCTCGAAGGGCCCAAAGAAGGTCACATCGTTCCATTTGGGCAATTTGGAGGCCTCATTGGATTAGAGACATTCTGTAGGTGAACCTTTTGGGTTTGACCTAGTGTCTAGAAAGGTTGTCGCCGGGATTCTACCCTCTACTAGCTCTCAACAAAACGAGAACAGGTACAATCTCCGACGGGGATCCGTTCCAGCATTTCATGCTCCACCAATCCCTGCAAGCAACATCAACATTGAGTCGGCAATGTCAGACGATGTGACCCCTCACGGAGGAAGAGCAAATCGCGGCTCTTATCGCCTGCACCGAATGTATCGAAGGATCTAGCGGCCGTCGATATGGCGATCGGTTCATCATGAGATCGGCAGCAAAATAGCAGACCCTAATTGGCAGCGATAATTAAGTGCCGTGCATGCCATCAAATACACTGTTGCTTACGGAGTACAGTCTATTGAACTTTGGAAGTGGCTATCTCGTAGTGACTTATTCACCTCGGCCTGTAATGAACTAGACACAGTAACCAAACACGGCCATGATATTTACTACAAACTACTATATACTGAAGTATTTCTCCAGCTTAACCCATCTCAAATGGTCAGGACTGTTATAAAGTCAAAGCCACCCGAAAGCTTCAACGTCCAGAGACTTAGGGAAATATCATGTGAAAGTCAGCCCTGAAGACCCACGGTCCTTATTTCTGAAGGAAACCACAGACCCCGCAATCTAATATCACCCCGACGGACGCCGCCGGATAATTATAGTGATTCGCGATAGGGAGTATAATTTAGTGATTCGCAATAATAAACTAGGGGCTGCAATGATAGCATCATCGGCATACTTATCAAGCGATCAAGGAATTGGTTTCAAGCAAATTACGGCAAATATCATACGGAGTACGAAGTACGGATATACAGCCAAGGAAATACTATGTAAGAAACGCCGAGCGGATCACGCAGGGGTATATAATTTCAAGCACTATGTAAATAAATAAAAAGAGGTACAGATCATGACCTATGTTGTAGACTCCAAAACTCCTAAGTCAAAGCGTAAGACTTAAAAGAAAATACCACCATATTATTCGTAATGACCATTATTTTCGTCACAGGTACTGGGACGACAGCCCGGCCCCAGTCTCACCCTCGCCGTTAGTGTTTCCATCATACCCCTCGTTGAGGAGTACCTCGAGCATGTCAAACTCTCCAAGCATGGGTCCAGTCCCACCAAGACCCTGGTCAACAACTCCGGTGGAGCTGTTGAAGAATTGATCAAGAGGCAAAGCAAACCAATCCGGAAGCGCGCCGGAGGTAGAGTGGTGGCTGTCGCTCATAGGCTGTGATGAGGCGACATGGTTTGGCGATGATCTGTCCATATCATTGGCGGGGAATGTCGAGTTCGAGTCGTAGTAGTTGTGGTACACGGACGGCGGAGGCGGCATGAACGATACGTTGAGGTTGGATGAGTTGATCGGCTGTGCAGGGATGTTCGCCAGTGGATCATGCCCTGACACCATCGGGTGACCGGTGCCGGGAGTGTCCACATATCCTAGGCCCGGGCCGCCTGAGGTCGTATCATGACCCTGGTTAGCGGACCAGGGTGTACTCGGGCCGTCACGACGAGTTGTTGAGTGCTCGCGCGATGGTGAATGAGGCCGAGAGCCTGGGACCGAGGTGCGATCATGTCCTTCTCCGTCTGCGCCCCGGTCATGCGGTGCAAAGCGCAGAAAGCGCGTCCGGATGCTGCTGGTGAGAAGCTCGAGAAGCCGAGCTACCGTGTTGCTGAGGTGCACGTCATCCACGACATAATTGCGCAGTGCCTCCACCGTCCGGTCCTGCAGGTCTAGAGAGACTCGCACATCGTCTTCCCTGGCACCCAGTGTGAAAGTCTATGGTTAAGGTTAGTATTATGCTTACCGGGGTTTCTGCAGAGACCATACCTTCAAGATGAAGATCATTCCAGACAAGATGCGGAAAAACGTTCGAATGGGTGCATGTCTGAGGCGACCTTCGGGGACGAGGCCTTCCAATACAGTCTGCAGAATTTTGCGCGAGGAATCGATGACTTCCTGGATATAATGCTCATTGACACGGTAGAGCTCATTCAGCGTTTGGAACCAGCTGCTGCTGCCATTAGATGGTCCCGATCCTGCTTGGCCATTCTGGGTCTGAGGATGAGTCTGAGCGGACTCATTGGACATAGTAGTCCATCGATCGACGACCGCTTGTAGAGCGAGGGAATTGATATAGAGACCTGGTTCCATATTAGATGTTATTCTTCAGCGAATCCAGCTGCGTCGACTTACGGGTGTATTCAAGCTCAATCAACAAAACGCTTCGCATAGCCGGTGAGACTTGTTTCTGTTAGCTTTCCTATCCACAACGAACAAGCAATTGACTTACGGTTAACACTGTCCAGCTGCTGCTGGAACTCCCGTAGGTACGGTTGGAAGCGATCGATCTGCTCACGATATCTCCCAGTCCGGATCAAATCCATCGTCTGATCACTGGATGCAAACAGCAGGTGATTGGCTTGATAGACAATTTTCGAAATGCTGATCCAGCAATCCTGCATCCGATCAAGATTGGCATCGGCATCATTTGCATCAGCGGACGTCGGTGTGATATCCTGCCCCCATTGAGGCAATGGGAGCATGGAAGGGATCCCTAGACGTCCACTGCTATGCGTAATAAACACAAGAATCAAACGCCGTAGTCGACGTTTCCGTGTCTGTTCGGACAGGGACTCATTGGCCGCTTTGGCATCTCCTTTAGGATCGAAGACGCCAAGTTCAAAAGCCAGAGCTTGCGCCGTACTCAGTAGCATCCATGACATCCGGTCCGATCGCCACGCCGGTTCCAGCCATTTCTGAAATGCGACTCTTCCCTCTGAGCCTTTGCTAGTATGTTCGCCGTCGTGGTCCAAGGGGTGATCGGCCCGACTGTGTGTCTGGGGGTCTGTATCCAAAAGAGAATTTTCATCGTCACCCGGTGGAAAGTGCAGATTCCGTGGGTGCCACTCTGTAAGAAGCAGCATAGCTTCTACAGTGCCCAACGACCTCAGTTGCCCACCCACACTACCTTTGCCTGATATTGATGAACTCAAGTCAAGTGATCGAGGTCGGCCAATGCCCGATGTCCCAGCGTCAAATTTCTCTTGGCCCCAGAATAGGCGTTCTATCATGCTGCGTAGATATGCCCAGAGACGGTCATGGATATAGAACGCCCGCGTATTAGCACCCTCGCCCTTGGGCTTCAGGTGCCTAGACGCAATAGTGAGGATTGTAACCGCCAACACCGGCTCATCGGTAAGCAATGTGCGGTGCGTAGAGGGATGAGAGAAATCGGGGATTACAACAGGGCTCATCGGCGCGAGGTGTTCATAGTAATACTCCACATAGTCCATGCCCTCCTCCACCGTAAGCCAACCGGCACGGACGAATCGCAATCGCGACCAGGCTCGGATTGCGTCAAGATATGTCGGCTCTGGGGGAGGATTGTTAACTGGGCTTTCCCTTTGAGGGCCGGGCTCGGCGATCTGGGGATCTATCGGCCCTGAAGCACCAGCCGGGTAGTATGTAGACCCGCCCATAGACATTCCCGATCGAGGTGTCCGCACAAAGGACCCACCCAAGCTTCGAGGCGAGCTGCCTTGTGGTAGAGGTGAAGGTCCCGAGTTGAAAGACGAGACAGACTGCCGTGCAGCAAGCCGATTCTCGAGGCTTTGGCGGTTGAGATCCTCTGTCCTACCCGCAGCTTCAGAGAGAAGATGCAAAGCGTCGTGGGTGTTTGTGATTGCAGGCGACAGCAACTCCACCGCAGTGCGATTCATCATCGGAGGCCCTCCATAGCTAGGTGGCGCGGGGCGTTCGCTGACAGGATATGTGGGAGCTCGTGACGTTGGCACACTAGGCGTGTAGCGCGGGGCTGGAGGTGCGGGAGGTGCATGAGATGCAGAAGGTGCCTCGGACCATCTCTGTTGGGCAATCACAGCTTCATGGTCGAACTGAGGTGGATCAGAAGGCGCAAATGGGGGGCCTTCGACTGGACTTTCATTCTTGGCCACCTCCCCAATCATCATTCGCTTGTCGCGATGGAGGATCGCCGCTGCCTCCACTTCATCTTCCTCAGCATCGGAGGTCTTGCGCTTTCGGCGAGTTGCTGAAAATTCACATCGTTTACTTTCGCGACGACATCGAACACAAGGTGGGGGGCGAGGATTATCGACACCTTCAATTTTTGTGATCAGTCAGGCCACAGAATAATGGGATGGAATGGGGCCATACTTCCTAGGTCACACTTCACCTTGCGTTTCCGACATGGATCGCAAGCCTGATATCCTCGGCGATGGTGTGCATCAGCCTCCGCCTTGCTGTACACACTATTATTGTCCCCCATGTCGTGGATAACAATGATGGGGAAGGCTCCGACACAAAGCGATGGAAAGCGAGATAAGCCTTGGAAAGGCGGTGGGGTGATATTTCTCCGAGAGCTCGGACAAAAGCACAGGACAGCCCTGGAGAAAAGAGAATAGAGAGAGTAGATGGGATTGCACTTGAAATTGGCAAAAGAGATCTCTTAGCCAAATCGGTCAAAATACCAATTGAAGTCAGAGTTTGCTCCCAGTCACTAGTCACTGGACCGGGTAGTTTCCATGTATAATGGGAACTCTGCGGGGTAAGGCACGGAATCCAGGGATATATCTTTGAATACTACACTACATACACACACTGTGGACATACATTTTATTACTTTGCAAAGTAGATTGTTTATTATAATTACAAAGAAATATGAGCACTCAACTCCGATGTTCACGATGTAAATGTACAATGCTTCTGAAGCCGACAGAAAAAAAAAAAAAAAAAAAAAGGGGAATGCCACAGTCCAAGATTGGTGCCAATATTCACTTAAAACAGCATATTCAACCCTCTGCGATCATATGTATTAGGCAAAAAAACACTGTCGACAGGGACTATTTCACCTTGTGTGAGGCGAGGCTGACGTTCATCCGAGACATTGACTCCCAGGTTTTACGTGGCTGCACCAGCTCACCGGATGCACCACTGTCCACGCTACCACGTCGTGATGGATTAGGAGTCGACCGCCCAGCAACAAGAGCTCGGACACCACCAGCTTTACGGGCGGGGATCACCGAGTCGCCGGATGTAAGAACGTAAAGGAGGTACTTGAGGTTGGGAAGAGTGTGTCGGATATCCAAGACGCGCAGTCCTTGTTTGATGAGGATGTATTCAATGTCTTTGTTCAGGAGGAAGACCGCGTACTCGAACCGGTACTGGACACTCACCGGGTAGAGGGGGTAAGTGCGCTGTGGAAGTGATGCAGATATGGGGTCTAGTATGAACGAAGTTGACCCGTTTGCGTTGATCGAGTATGGAAGATGCACCGACAGATAGAATGAGAGCAGATAGACCAGGTGAGCTGTGTGTCCCAACGCCGCTGCAACTACCTCACGGTCGATATCCTCGAAGGTCGAGTTTGGGAGGGCCAGCCCGGCGATGGTGAATGCAAGGGGTTTATCGGGGATTGGTTCAATAGGATAGATCGTGAGAAGATCTTCAGCAATACGTCGGAGCTGGCCCTTGGTGTCCTCCTCGGTTTGCTCAAGCAATTGCTCGCTGGAAACTAACCTCTCCTGAGCCTCGGGAAGATGACTGCGTGTCTTTTCCTGAGCACTACGGCCTTGTTCCATGGCTTCTTTCCGGGCTTTGATACTGGAAATGAGCTCCTCTTTGCGTCTGACTGCGGTGCGGACTCTTTTGCGCTCTATGGCGACATACTGCTTGGTAAGAGCAAGCTTTTCCTGTGCCACAGCTGCATCACTCGATACATTCAGTGAGCGTTCGTTCTGCTGTAGAATTGAGCTAATCTGAGCTTCCAATTTTTCCCTGGTTGCCAATGCATCCTGCACACATTCGTCCAAATTGGCCAATTTCATCAACGCGTCATACGATGAGGATGGCAAGGCGGTACCGTCTGCAGTGACCTTCTGTCCTGCAGCTTGGAGCGATGTTTCGACCAGCGGAAGGTCAGTGAGGTTGGAATACACACCGTCTGGGAAGTGAAAAAGGATCGAGTTCGCAGGAAGTGGTTGGTGGAAGCTCTCCAATGTTTTCCCCAAAAACTGCAGTGATCGCAAATGCAGCTGTAGTTCAACTAGTAGAAAAAACTCAGACATGTCACCAGTCTTTGTCCAGAGCTTCAGAGTCAACTCGTCCTTCCGAGAGACGTACGGGCCACATATATTCAAGTCGAAAGATCGGAAACTCGGATTGTTTGCACGGTCGACCGTTTCGCTAATATAGACTGGCTCGTTAAGACCATCGCAATGAAGTGAGAAGAATGTATCCGCCATGCGGCTGTTGGTGATATCCTCTAGTTTGACCTGCCGAGTTCGAGGATTGGGGTCGTTCCAGAACAGGGTACTTCTGCGACGCGACGAACGCATCGCGGGCTCCTTTGTGTCATGTTGACTCGAATGCGACTTGAGATCAGTGAAAGATCGCGAGGGGTGTAAAGTGTGATTTTGGTTCTGCGATAGGATCTTCGAGGGTGTCTTTAAGGTATTCGGGATATCGTCGTCATCAATGGTCTTGCCGCGAGCTCGAGTCGAGGGAGGCGTCACAACCAAGTTGCGTATAGAAATTCCCTGGAGATGCCGAAGCCTACGGTTCTAATAGCTTGTCAGCATCTAGCACCGGCGGGTTCTCTTTCATTTTCCACACATACCCATGCATAAAGCCATGGCCTCTCTCTACGGGCACCTATATCATGCTCCGTGTCCTTATCCATAACGCCAGCGCTGCGGGTGAGCGCGGTAGTTAAGTAGTGCGTCTCAAATAGATCACGTCGCTCATGTTCAAGAAAACATAAAATAGGCAAAGCGCAGTTGGAAGCAATTGAATTGGCGAGAGAGAGTAGTGAGCTGATAAGAGATGATGCGGAGAGCAAGCGCCAAGACCTCAGCGTTCCCCGTCAAAAAATCGACCTCCCGTCTCTCTCGATCAACACCGTCTAGCGCCTCCCACCAATGCAATAAACCAGCACCTCTCACTGCCCCAATTCTTCCCAGATAGACTGTACGCAGCCTCCGGTCCGGCCGCAATGGCCTCCAACGCAAAGTCTTTCCAGAAAGTGCTGGATTCAACAGCACTTGCGGCCACGAAATTCATCCGCCGGCCACCGATTGATCCGAAAACACCAATTCAAGGAAAGCCCCGAGTACCAGGCTCAAATGCATTCAAAGAGCACCAGGACAAGGAAGGTCGACGGTTACAGAAGGCCTTGAACTCTGTCAGCCACGGCAAGAACATCTTCGTGTACAACAACATCCGCACGAAACAGGTCGTGTACTCATTGACTCGCTATCTGGAGGTGAGTTTCTTTTCCTCTACCGGTGAAGACTTTGAAAGCTCCGGTCTCCAGCAAAAAAAAAACCCACATGCTGCCGTATCCTTCCAGCCCCGTCATATCGCAATTTTCTAACTTGTCTGACCTCTAGAAAACCAACCTCCTCAAGCAATGTGTCAACCACGGCAAGAAGACCATTCCCGCCACAGTCCGCAAGGATATGTGGGTGCCATACTTTTCTGTGCACTTCAACGAGGCGCAAGTCGGACTGAACGTCTATAACCACCTTCGGCAATTCGCGCTGCTGCGCCAGCTCTCCCCGCCCAAAGAAATGATCACCGTGACACAAGAATACCTCGATTCGAAGCGGCCGGTAGATCTAAGGGACCAGAAGCAATGGGACAAGGAAAACATGGGAAGACTGGGCCAGATCATGATGAAGAAGGAGCGTGCTTATGCCCTCATGAACCAGAAGGCCACGGCGATTGCCGACATTGCTTTCGTTCTGCAGAAGCACAGGGACCATATCGTGGAGGGTTTCCCGGAGAGCTCCAAGTCTGGATACAAGACTCTCAAGGCCCGTAAGCGCAGACGTGCGGCTCTTCTGCAGGAGGCTGAGCAGGCCAAGGAACGTGCGGGCGAGGTTGCATCGCTCGAAGAGCAGCTGCAGGTTGAGATTAGCACGGATCACAGCGCTCCACAGGAGCAGAGTGTCAAGATCTTGTGGCAGGATACGTACGATGCGCAGTTTGCGAAGAACTGGCCGGATTACATTGAGCACGGTCAGCTGCGCTGGACTCGAAACCACATGATTGGCCAGGAGGACCTTCCGGTTCCTAGCGAGGATATCATCGCCGATGGTTCGTTTGAACAGGCGTAGACGTTTGGCGTCATTGAGGTTCTTCTTCTCTCCTGTCCATCGCTCATTCTAGAGCAAAGTGGGACGTTTTGTGTGTTGATATCCATTTTCCTCTGGCTTTTGGCCTGATGGTTGGTGCTTTTTGTATTTTCTCTCTTGTTTTTCTGTCTAGCTTATCCTAGCATTCATAAATTGTACTTTTAGATATATCAAATCACAAGAAGATACGGCCACCTCTAAGTGGTCTCTTCTTTTGACATCTTTTCTAGGGTCCTGTTTATGTGTGATTTCTTGTGTCTTTCTTAGTATCATCGTCTTGTAGATGAACAGTGTAAAAGAGGATATAAAGCACAAAAGGCTTCAACGACTAATTACGGTGTTCTAAACCAAAATCTTGATTCAGTTCATAGCAAACAAAGCGACTGTTTATTCTAAGACAGTAAACCCTTTCCATTCCATCATCACTGATCATAATCACCATACACCAGTAGCAGATAAAATAGATGGATACATACATGTATGTATCATGTCTTCGGTTTAAACAATCATTGGATGGAAAACAACAAAAGAGCCTAATCTCATAGAGGCCAAATTCAGGACAAATATCCTAATAATAGAAAGACTTATGTTAACAAAAGACATCAAGACCACCAAGTCTGATCTCGTAATAAACAAAAGGTTGAAAAATAAGGACAACGGGCAACCGGTGTGCACCATTGACGCCAATGTGCAATGTAATAAGTAAGCGACAGAAAGGGAAACTCCAGAAGATATTCCGGGTCGGGTACATTGCTCCCAGAAGCACCAGAGGTAGATAGTAGACGAAAAGAAAGAAATGGACACGTTCTATCAATTCGTTTTTCACAGCTTCAGAATGGTGATTCGGCTTCATAACATGTCGTAAAATCACTGAGTCGAGCCAGACGGGTTATCCGGGCTCCTATTCGGACTCAGAATGTCCACAGAGGGAAGGTCGTTACTCTCTTTAATTGACACCTCAGGCCCGGGTTCTTGTTTGCGATTGCCGCTGGCCATTCTCTGCAGAGTTTCTTCATTGGCCTTCTCTGCCGTTGCCGGATTATCTGCAAGACCGGAAGAGACGATGCCCCTCTGTGCTCTCTCGACAATCTTATCGGCTTCACTAACGCCCCCGGATACCTTTGTGTGCGGGTCCCCGTCCACTCCTATCAATTCCGTATTGCTGTTGACAATGTCCTTCACACGGTTGGAGTCTAGGCGAATCACCATGCAAGACAGGTTGTCGGTGCTGAACCGTGCAAGTGCATGGTCAACAAGAATCTTGGAGGCATGTTGAGCATCTTGAACATCCCGGATAAGATCGACAGATTCCTGATCACTGCAGACGTCCCACAGCTATTGGAGTATCATTAGCTTTTTTATATCATCAACATTGAATAGATCTCAACTTACACCGTCGCAGGCCAAGATGATAAACTCATCAGCATCTGGCTGGATAACTGTCTCTGTTGTGTAGGGATGCCCGGTGACAAGGTCTTTCAAGTATGCATCGCCCAAGGCACGGGTGACGGCTAGAACTCCATTCACGCGGTTATTCAGGATCAACCCGCCCGCGTTGGCAACTCTCCTCCCTTCATTCTCATCGCTACCCTTATGGTCATAGGACAAACGAAGTGCTTTCCCATTTCGACATAATACAATGCGTGCATCACCAACGTTGGCTGTGTACAGTACCCGTTGCCGAATAGCCTTATCCTGCAATTTCGGCAGGACAGCAGAGGCGCCCGGGGTAGCTTGAGTCGGGGTTTCGATATTCTCTGAATTCGTGTCCGCTTTCGTCGCTGCGACAGCCGCCGGGCCAAGGGCAGAAGAACCGGTGGCCGACTGTGAGTTGGGTACACGATCTTCCCACCTAAGCACAGCAGTGACCGCTGTACACCCAGAGTTCTTGACGGGCAATTTCTCTAACTGCTGGTCCACACTGGTAAAAGTCTGATCGAGGAGTTCCGGGACGGGAGTGCTTGGGCTTTTGCGCATGACTTCCTCGAGAATCAAATGCAACTTCTTTCCACACCACTCTGCGGCAAAGGTGCCAGCATGCCCATCGAAGATTGCAAAATAGCCATTGTCTGTTTCTATAACGGTAGATGAATCTTCTGATGACTGCGACGGGCGGGCCCTAGGGGAACTGGCACCATTTCTCTCTGGTGCAGTCGGGGCAGGGGTGCCCAGGAAATTGTAGAGATACGCATGTGTATCCTCCATTGTCCGGCGACATTTGCGATTCCGGTCTTCGGTGACACCGACGCGGAACGATGACCGAGCAGTCGGTGCGGATTCACCGGCGGAGTTGTTGAACGACCCTTGAGGGACGCTGAGAGCTGGGTCCATCTTTCCAAGCTTGTGTAGCGGGCTTTCCGCGATCGAGGGACTGGTGCTGATCGCAGAACTGTCCCGGCCGTTCAAGTTCAGGGAGCTTTTAGCGTTACTGAAGAAGTTGGCCGCTTTAGTGACGGTACTACTCCTGCGCTTCTTCTCGCCAGCGATACCCTGTTCTTCACTTTGTCGGCGGTTGAAAAATCCAGCGCTGGGCGGAGAGAATGTCTTCTCACGTGGACTGGTGCCGATTGTATCGGTTTGGAGGGTCAAGGAGTTGGGGTCGAGGCCAGCCTCTGGGAGTGCGTCTACTCTGTCTTTGGGTGGGCTCGAGGAGCCACTGAACATTCTGCTCAGTAACCCGCCCTGCGAAGAAAAACTGCGGCGCTTATTTCCTGCCAGCTTGATTGTATCCCTTCAAGAGGAATTGCTGGATCGGGGTGGTGGTTTAGTGATGGGCGGGGCGAACACGGAGGGGGCGCTGCGAGGCTGACGTAGGAGTCGGTCGAGGCGGAAGTGGGAGGAATTGGGCTGTAAATGCTGAGTAAATCAGGGATGAGTATTTCTGGGGCGAAAAGGTGCCTGAAAGGAGAGATAAGGAAGAGGAAGTACAGGAGGAAGGACAGGTGGAAGATGGTTTAGGCAGTGAGCGGCACAGACGTGCGATGGGGGGGCGCATAGTAGGATCACGAGGGGAAGCGTTCTCTCTTCTGTCTTCCAAAACATAAAACATGAAACGCAAATAAGAAAAAAAAGACCAATCAGAGTAATTCAAATATATGAAACCTATCAATCCTCCGAACAGGTACAATGCACATTTGCACCATTGGTCATGTATAGCGCGTCTGATGGTCTGAACGCTTCGCAACCAGGCACGAGACAAGGAAATCGGTATCAGATAAAATAAAGAAAAGGGACAGACTTACTAGTGAAAGTTGATAGAATGGGATTGTGAGTAAAGGTGAAAGATGAAAGGTGAAAGAAGGTGAAGGAGGAAAATCACCCAAATCACCTCCGCTGACGGCTCGCGCGGCACTGGGCGGAGAGAGCCAAGACTGCCGGGGTGGAAATCGATCTTAGATCTGATATATGGGGTATTTCTATGATTTCATATATTTCATTTCATAGGATATTGGAGTGTATATGATTCTACATATGTACATGTAGTTATTGAGAACTGTCTTAGCACAATATCTGACTCTGCTCCGCATTTGGACGATGACGCTATGATCGTCTTTCTGCTTATCTTCCGACTTTCATATATGCCATGTACGACATATATCCATGTATTAAACAGCTAACCTCGCAAATTCCGTGGATATATCTGTTGCATCCACCTCAATATGAGCAGGTTTCTCGCTTTCATCAGCGGTCCCCTGCTTGATCTCGCTTTCTTCCCTCGCCTTCTTAGCGAGATCTACATGACCTAGTGTATATTCGTCTGGATCCCACGCCAAAACTCTGCTCTTCATCTCCTCCAGTTTCTGGACAAAAAGCTGTTTCATATCACGTTTCTCGTCGGCATTCAAATGCTCAAGTCTTTCCTTCCATGCATCGGCGGGGTCAGGACAACTAGTCCGTCCGAAAAATCGCCAATCGATCTTTTGCCAGTATATCGCATCGAACGCGAAATTGTTCCTCGCGGCGTACGCAATGCAAAAAGCCCCACTCTCCCAGCTCTCTCGCATCGGGCCAGAAAGTCTCTGGTTTTCTTTCACTTGACACTTGCTGATCGCTTCGTCCTCCCGATTGATCATAGCCTTTAGGAATGTCTGGAGTCGACACTCAAACCCACTACACCAGTCTTCAAGACCGCCTTCTGTGGGCCAGTATTCAGGCTTTTCAATAAGAAGCCACCAAGGTGGCGCGTAGGAGAATTCAATAGGGGCGGCATATGTGAACTCCCAGTCCACGACTGCGGCAATTTTCGAGTCCTTGTTGAGAAGGACATTACCTGGTCGGAAATCGTCGCACCAGAGTTTGAAGGGACCATTTTTAAAAGACGCCCATCGTTCTGTGAGTTTTTGTTCTCGGGCGAGCTTTCGGAAAAGACATCTAGCAACGAACTTTCGTCGACAGTCATCCGCTGAATCAACGGCGTCATTTCTTTGATTCATAAGATGTATAATATGCAACTCCGCTAAACTCTCGAAGTATGACGATGCGGTATCAATTGTAGTGTCTAGGCCCGGTAAACACGCTTGAGGCAGCGCTCCTAATCGAATAAGTTCATTCATAGGCATCGAAAGAGGTCGGTATGCCACTTCCCAAGTGAAATCATCAATCTGGCTAAGCGACCCTATACGAGAAAGGGACGGCTGAGAAAGCCGAAGCAGAACATTTGCCAGCTCTCCGTATAGCCCCTCTAGTTTGTCCTCATCAAAACCCCGGCCAATAATTCCACGGGATGCCCTTGGGCGACCTGGCATGTTAAGAACATCGTACATGTTCGTGTGATGATCCATATATTCCATGATTATAAAGGGACCCAACTCCGGGTTCAAAGGGCCGTCCTTCCTAGTACCCCAATGAAGGACGAAAGGAACGGGGATTGAAGTCTGGTCAAGAATATACCGCATTGTAGCGACCTCATTGCGGACTTTTTCTTCGGGGAACATGGTGGCACCAGGCTGTGGGAGACGTATGATAGCGGAACTAGTATTTTTGTGCAACATTTGAAAAGAGATATTTCAGAAAATCGAATGATTCAGGCTTGTCGGGTTCGTGATGCCTAACAAGGAAACGTCTTGCATATAGGCTGTTTCATAGGTGAGCGTCATACCTACTAAAGTTCATGGGAATGCAATAAATGACGAAATTATTCTTGACTGGGGTTAGCCATTGAATTTCAGTGAGTAGAAATTACCAAGGCACGATTTAAATCAAAGTGATGGATCAAGGTAATTCAAGGTGGATTTAATGAGGGTTGTGCGAGCCAAAGTATGAGGTGTATGTTCCTTACCTAGGTACGATGGTGTGTGATTTCGACAGAAATTCCAAGGCCTATCAAGAAGAAAGAGTTGTTGGCACCTGCATCTGCCTTTGGTAATGCATTTGTTGAACACGAGAAAAACTATAGCATAAGATATCTCTGTGCCCGATGTAAGTCTCCTGAGGTCGTATTATACATATTCAGGTCATACAATGATATTCGAAGTCACCTTTACCTTGTGCCACTAACATCGAATCTGTATAAAGGAAAGTATTTGTGTAATCCACCATTGCAGGATGTAATCAAGCATATTCATATTAGAGTACAAATTGAAGGAGGAGAAGAAAAAAAGACCTTGAAATTAAATCTATGCCCACGAACTAAAGTTTCCAAAGCTTCCAGGCCCCTTGGCCTTTTTACGAGCGGGCTCAGGCGCAGGCTCCTCATCCAGGAACTCCACAATCTCATCTTCTTCCTGTCCATCCCGGTCTGCCAGTGCTGCCTTCAAATACTTTCCAACACCCGAGGCACCGCCATCATTCGAGTCGGTCTCAGTACCGCGGACTCGCTTTCCAGTCCAGGTGATACGGTCATCTTCCGCACGGCGAGCAGTCTCATCTTCCTCTTCTGCAGAAGGACCCGTGACGCCTGTAGCCCGTGCTTCTTCAGCACGCTTCTGGGTCAGGAAATCCTCGAACGGATCAACGAAGACCGTGATTTCCTTGATGCGAATATCGGGGGTAGGACGGTTCGTAGTTGACTCCACCGGGTGGATCTCTAGCTTATTCAAAGTAGTGGACGAAGGAGTTGGGTCGTCGATGAGACGGCCGAAGACGGTGTGCTTGAGGTTGAGATGAGGTAGGGCTCGATAGGCGATGAAGCTGAAAGCACATGTTAGCGCTCATTGAGCCAGGGGAACCGCAAGGTGTCACTTACAATTGACTACTATTTGTGTTTTTGCCCTTGTTGGCCATGCTCAGCGTGCCTCGGGTATCGTGCTTCAAGGGCCCGTCGAATTCATCTGCAAAGTATTTGCCCCAGATACTCTCGCCACCTCGTCCAGTACCAGTTGGATCACCACCCTGGAGCATGAAGCCCTTGATATTGCGGTGAAATGGTACATCTGTGTAATAGCCCTTCTTGGCCAATTGAATGAAGTTCCACACGGCCTTGGGCGCATGCTCAGGATACAACTCCAGATTAAGATGCCCGGCGGTAGTCACAATGCGCGCGTAAGCCTTGGCTTTCACGCGCCCCCGCTTGAGCATGTATTCCTCTTCCGATAGTACCGCTAGCTCGGCAGACGTGTGCGGTGTCAGACCTGTGCTAGTGAACGAGGCAGCCGCCTTGCCCGTAGTGAATCGTGCAGCGTTGTAGGGTGTTGGCTTTCCCGGTTGCACCTTGGAAGCCACATTCGCAGCTCCACTCTTCGAAACTGTTTTCGAGCCAGCCGCAGTAGAACCAGCCTGCTGAGCGCGTTCTGACCGTGCCTTTGCAACCGCCTCTTTCGCTTTCAGGATCTTCGCCGAGCTGCCGAGCGCACTGGTATTGACGCTCCCAGAAGTCTGTTGGCCCTCCAAGATTCCTGTCTCTCCCTCCTTGATGTAGTTGAACGAGCTGAGGTTGCGCGACTCAATGTTCTGCGGGTCCTGCAAGGTGATAATATCTTTTCGGCTGAATTCCTCATCTGTGACCAAGTCGCGCCACAGTTTTCCCTTGATGTTGAGTCGCTCCACCGTATCCCAGGAAAATACATTCCCTGTATTCCGTAATGCGACGATATGTGTATTATCTGTCAGAATCTTGTAGGTCACGGGGTCGACGTAGTCGCCATCCTCGTTCTTCGCGAGAGTCAACTTAATCAAGTCCGAGCTTTTCAACGGGGCCCCGTCGACGGGATTGGTCCCATGCTTCTTGATCCATGGCAGAATATTTGTGATGTCGAAGAGCGTTCCTGTGGGCGTGCAAACCGGGTGTGAAAATGGTTGGAGTGAGAGGGAACAGAAATTGAACGGCAAGCGCTTGAACGCGGCGTGGGGACCGCCCTTCTTGGCCTTGGAAACTCCAGCGCCAGCACTGGCCGAGAAAGCATCTTCAGATGCCCACTCGGAGTGTGTGATCTAGAGAAAATACGATTATCAGCGGGAATTCAAGATGCGATGGAGAGTGTTGGAATGTAGAAAGTGAAGATGTCGCATACGTAAAGCTTATCGGTTCCTATAGTGAACAACGTTAATCTGAGTCTGTCCAAGAAGGGGCTCACACAAGACAATACCTTTTCCCATAATTGAAGATCAAGCTGTTTTAGCAACTTTCGCGCAGCCCGCGGAGATCAAATGACGGCAGGACGCTTACCGCTTTTAGATTAGAGTACGGGTGGACCGTGCGGCACGCGGCGGAGATGAGAGAGCAGGGATATCCATGGATATTAGCCAGTTAACTGAGATATATAGTGAAGTACTAAATAAGGTCTAAAAAGAAGCGCCTAGAAAATCGCAAAGTTGCCATACAACATACGTGGTAGATGGTTCAAGTTAAAAGTCGGTTTTGATAGGACAAGTGGTCTAAGCTGGAAACCGTACCTAGTATGCAGACTGCAGATGAGAAGCGCGTATTCTGCAGATAGCCGGCGCAAATGAATATACTTAGGTTCGCATATCGCCAACTTCCACAAGGGAAATATGAGCTTAGATTTCCATTTTTGTTATCTGACTTCGACATTTTGGTTTTTCGGTCCATGTTGTCCAGATCCTGAGGTCAGAACAAGGGGGATAATCATACATATACAAGTGCTATCCTTCGCGCTGGAAATCCTGGAAGCCCATGCATCATAAAAACAAACGCTGTGAACGGAGCTACCAGCTCCGCTTGAATCATCACGCAAATTGAAACGCCTCCGATGAAAATGTAGATCGTGGTAATTCATATGATTAGAAAGGGTTGTTGTGTTTAGGAAAGCAGGGGCTGGTACTTCAATGGCACGACCCATTTGTTCCCGAAATCAATTCCATGGCGACGACGGGTACCGTACTTTCTCCAGACGATCTGGGGGATTCCGATGTCGGCAACTGCCAAATTCCAAGACAGTCTTTCGCCAGACAGAAGAGCATTCAGCACACCAGTCTTGGGCGCTCCCAGGCACACCACAGATGTGGCATTGACGCAAAGCCGGCCACCTTCGGCCAGAGTAACCTCGCCTGTGGAATTTTCTGTATTAGTCACAACGGTTCGGACTGGTTTTGGTAAGTACTTACCAGTAGAAGCATTGAGTCCGGAGGGGACATCCACAGACAACACATCGACGTTGCTGCGGTTCATCCACGAAATCATCTCAAAAGCCACACCTTGGTCGTCGGTGCGAAGATCGTCAAAGGACAAATGCATGCCAAACAAGGCGTCAATAATCAAGTCGGGGCCCAGGTCTGAGGTGGCCAAACGAGCGGATAGTTCTTCCCATTTGAGTACGCGTCCTCCAACCTTGCGGAAAATATCGAGCTGTTTGCGGCAGTTCTCCAGCAATTCGGCTTCGTGTTCGAGCCCAAGCAAACAGACTGTAACCCGGTGACCCCGGTTACGCAGATGGCGAGCAGCAGCAATAGCCCTTGCCCCAGTGCGATGGTTGCCAGTAAGGATAAGCATAGTGGGTGCAGCAGCATCATTGGACAGAAGAGCTACAGCGGCCTCTGCTATTCCCCGACCTGCATTCTCTGTAATAATCTCATCGGCCAAGCCAAACTCGGCAACCGAGATTTGCTCGATCTCCAGAGTCTGCAAGGGGCTCACCGTGGGACAGCTGCGATTGGTAGTTGTGAGCCGGAGAGAACCAGCACCAGAAACAATGGGGGCAATCATAGGCGACACTGACGATCGGCTTGGCCGAGGGCTGGTTGTGCGAGAAATGTTGACGTGAAGCTGACTGCGGCCAAGCGCACTGAGCTGTGGCACCATTGGCGGGGCCTGTATCGCGCTGTCTTTGCGGGGTGGCTGAGCGTGTGTAGGCGCCCTTGACCGCTCGCGTCCGGAAAGGGTCTCGCTGCCCAGTTTGATTTCACTAATTCCTTCGATATCATCCCCGGTGTCGCTGTTCTGTGGGCTATCGAGTACATTCTCCGTCCAGTGTAGGTTCTTTCCACCGTTGGTGCCCGGCTTGACCTTTCGGTTGAAGCTCACCAGACGCTCCTCGTCTGCGGTAGTATCATCGTTTCGAATTTGTTCAAACACAGTCCGCTTGTCAAATTTGGACAGGTTGCTTTCAAAGTCGAATTCGCCCAGCTCTTGGATATCAGTAGCATCTTCGGTTGCCCAGCCACTTGGATCCTCGGCATAACGGCGTGACTTCTTTTTGCGAAGTTTAGTTCCAGATCGGCTCATAGCTTCAGGTGAATCCTGGAATGCAGGGGCAGCTGGCTCCACAAATGCAGTCTGGCGCCAGCCTTTGCTCTTTGGGTTGGTGCTTGCTGCGGCGCCGTGTTTAGCGACATGTCCTCTCTCTTCCCGTACATTTTCTTGGTTACCGCGTCGATTCCGCTTTGGTGTCTGCTTTGAGGGTGACAGTTCCTGCGGGCTTTGGAGTAATTTCTTGTGGGAGGCCCCTTGTATCCCGGTCTTGTCACTATCTGCATTCAATTCCAGGCTGCTAAATGGCTCACTCAAAGAGGCCGAAACTGCCCCAGGGATTTGGTTGGCGGGGACAGCCGTCGAAGCATTTTCAACAAACGGTTTAGATACGAGAGGGGCTTTTGAAAAACTCAGAATAGCCGGGTCCGTAAATTGTTGCTGCGTTGGAGTAGATTGAGTAGGAGCTGGAGGTAAGGGCATTGCTGCATAAGGTTGAAGCTGGGGGTTAGTCTGATGCTGAGGTAGTTGCTGACGCTGCGAGGGAGCCTGGATATTGGTTTCAAGAGAGAGGTCGATAATAGCAGAGGCATCAATAGAATATTGAGGCAGGCGTTGACCGTTCCAGAGAAATGTGACTAGATATAAAAAGGTCAATTATTATGATATATGTATATTGAACTCATTCATAGCTCACCATCCTGGAGCAGCAAGCGCTGCCCAAACACATTGGCGACCTGGCCCACCAGCCTTCCACCCTGCGGCTCTCTCAATGTCACCAGCACATTGTAGCCAATGAATTCGGAAGCCATGATGATTGTGAGCTTTCGTAATCCAGCTAAACAATCATCAAGCGTGCAATTGTGTTTGCTTGGAAAGCGCGTCAAACTTAGGGTGACCCTACGGAGTCGGGACGAATGAGCTGTGAGACGCACCTGGGCAGCTCCGGATGACACGTGATTTATCTTATCGATAAGCGATAAACGATAAGGCGTGGGGCGCCAACATTTGAAGCTTCGAATATTTGAAGCTTTATATGTTGGTGGTGAGGAACGTACGATATAAATCCATGGATATCCACGGGTAGTTTGAAGCAATTTGCGTATTATTGATGATCAGGGATGCATTGTTGATAAGTAATCAAATGTCTAGGATATCGATGTCACTTCTGACCTGGGAATAGAAAGAGAAACCTCGCAATCTTTTATATGAATCAAAAGTCGTCGTCATCAAAGTCATCTGGGTTCAAAGCATTTGATGACTTGGACTTGTTGACCTCTGTGATCGTGATGAGGTTGGAGTAGAATTCCACCACTTTCGGATGCACCATCACCTTGCGAGGCTCAAATCGAGTAACCTGTAGTCCTTCCTGTGAGACCGCTCGACTCAGTGCAACATAAGCCTGGCCCTTTTCAAACACTCGGCCCAGATCAACTTTCACACGTTGAAGAGTCTGGCCCTGGGCCTTGTGGATGGACAGAGCCCACGCCAAAATCAACGGAACTTGTTGACGCTGGGCTTGCACTTCTCCGTTAGGAAGCTCAATCTTCCACGTCTCCGGTTGACACAATAAGTGACGTTCTGAGCCATCAGGCTGAAGGAAAGATACGAGCGGCCATTTCCGAGCCACTGAGGCTGGGCCCTCTTTGTACCCCATAGGTTTGAGCTTTTTCCGAGCTCGATGAGCTCGCTCATCATCGCTTACAGTCGCGTCATCAGTAAAGTTTTTGTCGTTCTCCTTGTAAGAATCAAAGTAATCTTCACTCATGAAGGCTACCACTTTTCCAATAGAGCCATTGACAAGCGAATCCTCCATATTCTTAATCAGCATCACTTGAGCACCCTTCTTCAACTGAATCATAGCAGGGGCCATGCAGTTTGCCAGCAGTCTCTCGCGATGCTGAGGGTCCTGGATTGTCCCAGAATCCACTGCGTTGAACCTCATCACCTCGCCAGAAAGTCTGCCCATCCGTGCAGAGTTGGCACCATCCACTTCAGCGCGCGTTGGGAACCTTAACAAGAGTCAGCTTTAGCACAGTATAATCATATAGTAGAACATACAGTTCCGTTGCTTCAATCTGGTCCTTAACATCAAGGGGCCGAGAGAGCCGTTTGAAAGCCTCAATCGTGCGAGGGGTAATTTTCCCCAGTCGCATTTCATTCAGCATATCTGCAAACTCCGGATCTCGTTGACGGAAGATGTTGGTTAAAAGAATGGTATGTTGGATACAAGTTGTCCAGGAAGCAGCTGCAAATGCAAATTTCGCCTCCCGGTTGCTTCCGTCTGGGACGGGAGGTAGTTGGAAGAAGTCGCCTGTTACGACAAGCTGGATTCCTCCAAAAGGACGGCCATTGTTGCGAATTCGTCGGGCAATCTCTTCGAGCTTATCAAATAGATCCCCGTCTACCATGGAGACTTCATCAACAACAAGGACTTTTGTACGCAGCCAGCGATTTCGAGCTTTCTGGTTTTTCTTAATCTGGGGTTTGTTAGCATCAGCAATTCCTGGGTGAGTAGAGAAAACCCTACCTTTTTCACTAGTTCGGGCACTGGCTCTTTGCCTAGACCAATTCCGGCAAAACTATGGAGAGTCACTCCCCCGATGTTGCAGGCCGCAAGACCTGTTGATGCTGTGACTGCAATTCGATCGGGCTCTTTGCGATATTTGTTGCGCAGCTTTGCAATAATTTCCCTCATGAGTACCGATTTTCCTGTTCCTGCGGAACCGGTGAAGAACATGCTCTTTCCGCGGTCGACAACAGAGTCAAGAACAGCTCTTTGCTCGTCACTCAAGAAAACAGAGGCAATCTTCGAACTGTCCTGTGGTTTGGGGTTCACGCCGCTTTTTTGAGTCTTCTTGTATTCTTGTCGCAACTCTTTCTGCTCCGCCTTAATGGTGCTCTCTGACTTGTTCCATGGTTCTGCGGGCCTTGAACGTTTGGGAGTCACAAAGCTCTTTTTCTTGTCTTCGCGGGGTTCCTCTTCTTCTTTAGTCCACGGAAGAGTACGAGGTTTCCTCACGGGCGGTTGGAAATGAGAGGGCGGCGATGACGACCACGGTAACTGCATGCTGCTGGGAGGAGCTGCTGCTTCTTGGGATATGTTTGGAAGATCAGGGTAATTGACGTCTGTTGGATTTTCGTTGCCGTAAACAGACTGGCCGATTCTTGATGTAGTGTCAAGGCTTGGATATGTGACTGTCTTAGAGATGGCAGAGCCAGCCACGCTCGGCGCAATCAGTGGCTGTGGCTCATCGAGGTCTAGATCATCATCGAAGTCATTTTCATCGAAATAAACCGCGTTATGAAGGGACCCCAGCGAAGACTCGGCCACTTCGATTTTTCGTTTGATCCCACCGGATTGTGATTGTGGCTGTGGCTTCGAATGGGCCGTTGCATTGGCACGTAATAAGTCGGTCTGATGAAGAGGTTTCGTGCCACTGCCTGGGTGGTCTTGGAGGGCTTTCTTAAACATTTTCTCGGGGGTTGCGGCGGGTCGAGATGAGGATGAATACGCAATTGAACTCGGTAGTCTCTTTGGGCAAGTCAAAGAGAGCGATCGAATTATGTGTATGCCCCGCGCCCTGAATCTGGCAACATGCATAAAATAAAATGCAGAATGCAAACCAAGACAATGAGGTCGCGCCAGACAATTCCGATAGGGACGCAGATCGATTTTCCGCAACGCGTTGCAGACGCGATTATCTGCACGTGATGGGCCACTGATAAGGATAACAGCTCCACCGAGGTCTAGGTCTAAACAACACTGAATATGGATTTATCTTACTAGGTTCGTATTTATCACATGTTTTAAAATGCTATGAGCTTCTCTTGGGATTGAATACACTACATGTTATACGAAAAGTCAAAGAAGTAGTCTTTGGTTGGTAACTAGCGACCATATTATGACTAGTTGTCTGAAATATATACTTCGGGTTAGTTTTTCATTATTCACAACACTTTAACCCAAAACAGCCTTAAACTACGAGCTACTATATTTTGCCATGTAATTAGACACAAGAAACTAGATTATCATTGTAGTTAAGTGCAATTTGTGTACCTGCATTCAAGTATACTCAAGAATATGCGAGGGGACTTCATATCACGTGATCTTAAATTACCGCAAAACACGCGGGACGAGAATGCAGAATCCAGACATTACCAACCACCAGTCGCGAGAGTATCTTGCCAATCACACGATATTGGACCAGCCTGCACTCTGTGACCATGAGGAATGGCAGGGATGGCTGTTTCGAGTACGTGGAACAACCTTGCTTTCGAATTCGAGCACGATTTGCTAACAAAAGTCATGTTATAGACAAAGACTACCCTCTGACGGGTGTAGTCATCTGCTTTACATCCGTACAAATTGAGAAGAGAGTATGTGTCAGATAGAGGTTTAGTGATTTGTGAAGCCCCAAGCACAGGCTGACCTACGTTCCCATTGCACAGACTCCGTTGACTCAAATGGCCGAACAAATGGGCGCGATGCACAGTATCCACCTTACTTCGGACGTAACCCATTTGCTTGTGGGTGACACAAACAGCGACAAGTACAAATTCGTTGCAAGGGAACGGAATGACGTGGTGGCAATGAACCCGGAATGGATCGAGGCCGTACGACATTCATGGACGCAGGGAGAGGACATAGACATACAGGCGCTGGAGAAACAATTCAGACTGGCAACATTGCATGGCCTCAAAATCTGCATCACTGGGTTCTCGGACCGTGAGTTGGCTGGTTTCCACAATTGAGCATGGATCAACGCTAACAAATGCGCCGCAGTTCCTTTCCGAGCCTACATGCAGAAGACAACAGAGGAGAACGGGGCCGAATATCGGAAAGACCTGACCAAAACTGTGACACATCTTATTGCGCGCAACTCGGACGGTGAAAAATACAAATTCGCGACACAATGGAATATCAGAGTTGTTTCGGTAAAATGGTTTACGGACAGCATCGAGCGTGGAATGATCCTGGACGAGCAGAAATATCACCCGCTGGTACCACCCGCAGAACAAGGTGTTGGGGCATGGAATCGATCCTCACCGACAGAGAGGGAGCCTTCTAGGAGGGACAGCACTACCAAAGAGAACTCTTTGAATCCACGACCTCGGAAACTACGCAGGATTGCAAGTACCAAGCTGGTAGATCAAAACGAAAGCATCTGGGGAGATATCGTCGGAACAGGATTCGATAACAACGAGACGACTGGACCCCCAAAGAACCCACAAGGACAAGGACCATTTGAAGCCTCGAAGCCTGTTATACAGGCATATCAGTCATTCGCCAGCGAGACTACGTTTTCTGAAAGCACCCAGTCTCGTCTTCCGCTACCAGCTGCTCCACCAAAAGACAACGGATTTCTACACACGACGTATTTCTTCATTAATGGATTCTCTTCCAAGCAGGTTTGTGCTCATGCTCTTGTTCACATTTCCTTGAAACTAATGCATGTTCTAGACTAAAGTTCTGCGTGAACATCTCACTTATAATGGAGCTCAGTTGGTGGATTCACTAAATGAGTTCTCTAGCCCTACTATTCCAAAAACAGGGCATGGGCTGTTCATCATGGTGCCGTATCAGACTCCTACGTCAGAGATTCCGTCAACGGATGAAATGGCTTTTGAATGCGAGGTCGTGACAGAGATGTGGCTGGAAAGATGCATTGATGCTCGAGCTTTTGTTCCACCCGAGTCTCATGTGGCGAGCACTCCATTCCCTAAGTTCCCTATAGCAGGTGAGATCCTATCAAATGCAAGATTCAAACATGTTCTAATGACATTAGGATTTCCGGAATTGCGGATTTGTTCCACCGGCTTTGGACGTATCGATCTTTTACACCTACGCAAACTGGTAGAGTTGATGGGCGCCACATATGGAGATTTCCTGACGCAAAAAGCATCCGTTCTGATTTGTAATGATCCCAAAACAGCCAGCGTAGACAAACTACGGCATACTGCCGAATGGGGGGTCCCAGCAGTGTCTGCTGACTGGCTCTGGATATCTATACAAGCTGGCCAAAAGAAGCCATTTGAGCCATACATTGTCCGACGACAATTACCCCAAAACACTAGCAGCATAGAGAAACTCGGTTCTTTATCTGCTAAGCGAAAGCAGCCCGACAGACATATTGATGAACCGCAAGCGGATTCCCCGTACAACACCTCTACCGAGTCTACGAATGGTGGTAGAACCGGGAAGCGAAATTTAGGAAAGAGCGCTGCAAGCCGAACAATACCCATTGTCGGCGACGGCTTTGAGGCCGATGCACCAAAACCCTCCGTTCCAGAGTCTCGATCTCCAACCCCGGCCAGAACACCGGACAAACAAACCCTGGAGGAACCGAATACCAAACAGCCCACGCCAAGTACCGACTCGGCACCACCTACTGCCCCATCCGCACTGGATACCGCTCTGAGCGGGCTCCTACAGCAAGCCCGAGCGGCCAAGTCACGACAGCAGCCCGAGAGCACTACGACCAATGATGACGGAAATCCACCCCGACGAAAGCGCAAGCCCCTCCTCGGCCGTGCCCCATCCCACTCTTCAGCCCGAATGCTAGAAGGTCCGCGCCCCGTCTCACGCGCCAGCTCAATCGACACACTTAATGACGACGGCCTCGGCAGCGCCTTGGAAAGTGCCCACCCGACCAGAGACAACTCCATATCCCGCAGCAACAGCCGTGCCGAACAGAGTTTGTCATCCATGCTCAGCGGGGGGAAGTTTGATTTCCTGAATGATAAACTTCCACCTCATACCGAGGACGAAGATGAGGAAAACCAGGCACCGCAGATGACGCAGCTGGATTATGAAGATCCCGATGCGGCTGCCATGAGGGCGGAGTTCCTGAGGGATGCTGGGAAGTTGTCTGGTAAGACTATGAAGACCGATAGCTCGGGGTTGCTTGTTGGTGAAGTGCGGGAGCTGGAGGATATTGGGTGGGGGTCTGGGCGGAGGACGAGGAAACAACCGCGTAAGGTAGACGATGAATGATTTTTGCACATGGGATGGACGTCTTGGGTTTTGCTTTTTTTTTTTTTTTTCATCGGCGAAGGCATGGCACGGCATTGCATTGCGAATGGCGCCCTGTTTGGTCTATCTATTGTTTTGAAAGAGCGATATCTAAAGGTTTTCAATGATAATTCAATTCGGTTTAATACCAAGCAAGCTACATGTCCCAGGCCAACGCAACGATCAGAGTGATAGTGACGGGCTGTCTTGAGAAGAAGCTGCATCCTGATAGTAGACAGTTTAGGGACAAAAAGAAAGAAGAAGGGAAACCCTCGATCTTAAGGTCACTAGCAAGAGAAATTTTGAACTAGATGCAATCTTAATTAAAGGGGGAATCTTCGGTAAGGATTAGACTCCCTCTGGTGCTCACCATCATGCCATTGAATACAATAAAAGCTAGCGAGGCAAAGAGAACCCTGGGCAGAAATGACCATAAAGGCGACGTGAAGGGACATTATAGGAAGAGTTTAGTAGAATATGGAGAATGGGCAAGAGAAAGAGCAAACTGTACAAGTTAGGAGGTAAAAGAAAAAGAGTGAAAAAGAAACATCGTAGGAATCATGAGTGGTTGTACAAAGGTGGCCATAGGCTTATGCTTGCATGGCCGCAGCCATTCCGCCAGGCAAGGGAGCATCAAGATCCAGATTCTCGATAGAACGGCGGTTCTCGCTGCTATCCCGGAACAGATTAGAGAAATATTTGGTGGCAACATCGCTCTCCTGCTTGATTTTGGTGACCTCTTGCTTGCGTCTGCCGATATCCTCAATATCCTGAGATAGACAGGTTTGAAGGTTACCGGCAGGCATGCGTAGCATGCGGCGAACTTCAGTCGAGATTCGATTGGCATTTGAGTGGACATAGTCCATCTCAGCAAGAGTGGCGGCGATCTTCCGCGACAGGCGTGGGGGAAGGGTGGTCGGGATGGAGCTGAGCACATAAGCTGTGGTCAGAACAGCTTGTATGAAGTTAGTATATTGGTATTCTTTGCGAAAACGAATGGGCAAAACTCACCAGCAGCGAGGATACCAGGGAAGAACAGCCGGCGCATGTTGTTCGGGCCAATGACTTTGACAGCACTTAAGGCACTATCCACCCAACTGAATCCGCCCAATGCTCTACCACCAAGTACAGTGACCGCAGTCATTGCAACGCCTGTTCCTGCCAACTTCTCTTGGCGCTCCCAGAGACCAGCAATATCGAAGAAATCCCACAGCTCAACTTCAGTGTCAACTTGTCGGGCAAATGTGTGGCGACGGCCACGGCGGAACATCGCATCCGCACGGAAGTTGAGTGGAGTGAATTTGTCTTCACCAATGTGCAGAAGACCGATATTTTGGATGAAACCGACTCCTTGAACTGTCTTCTCCCGCGCGTAGTCCTCGCAGTCGTTGACAGACGAAGCAATCTGATCCAGCATTGCCAGCTTCAGTTCCTCGGCGTACTGGAACGCCGAAAAGAGACCAGGATATTCAACACCGAGGTCTGCATCGGAAACACGCGTGATTGTGTTAGTCAATGTCGAACGAGTGTGGTTGTAGACGTCATCGCATGAATCGTCGATAGCCTTGTTGACACCTTCTGCAAGCTCTCCTTTCTTCCTCGTGCCGTTCTCGAATGCCGGTACAAGCTCCGCCAATTCATCGGTCACTCGCTTGAGCTCCGATTGTGCAACATCACGGTTGACTGTGGCAAGGGAGCCAAGGTCAGATAAGAGATTCAGAAGATAAGTTCTGGCAGGCGCAAGCTTGGACCGGGAGCGCTTTTCAAGGACGAAACGTCGCAAAGCTCCTTCAAGGTTCTCGAAGTCTTGGAGTTTCTCCCGTTCTTTGCCCTTGCCCTTATCCTTGGAGTCCTTATCATCGTCGTCATCATGAGGATCAGAGCCACCGCCGTCACCACCACCGGAGCCAGACTGCGAGATAGCAGGTGCAACAGGTATAGCATTGCTTGAAACGAAATGAACCAGTTCAGCAGCCTCCTTGTATGTGCGAGGGCTGAGTTTGCCGATTTGATCCAAGATCATGCGTTCGCAGCGCTGCTTGTCGCGAATTTGATCAAATCCGTTGACTACCATGAAGATATATGCCTTCTCATGTGCAGCATTCAAGATGAACTCTTTTGCAGACAATGTGAAGTGATTTGCGGCGGAAACCACAAACACAACGACGTCGATCTCTTCCTGCCGGGCAAAGACAGCCGTGGTTTTCAATGAGTCCGAGTTTAAGCCAGGTGCATCGATCAAAGCGATGTCAACCACGCCGTTGTTCAGCAGTGATTCGTCAATAGACCGTACATCCTTCACGTAAACCTTGCACTGCATGTACTTCGTGTTTTCGATGACGATGTTTTCGAGTTCGGCGAGAGAATAGACATCAAAGGTGCTTTCGTCATTGCGGTTGTATGGTGTATCTTTGTGAACGGCGTGGACTTCTTCAACGCTGCAGTTTTCGCGAGCATCGAGAACCTCACAGAAGATGCTGGTGCAAGGCTGCTGGTCCTCTGGCAACACCTTTCGGCGCAGGAGAGCATTGCAGAATGTCGATTTGCCTGCGTTCAAGTCTCCTGTAATCAAGACCTTACTTGAGGTATCCTCAATTCTGTCTCGCAGCGAGAGGAGATGCTTCATGCTTTGGCTGATCTTTCCATCCAACAGGGCGGCAACCGATGCCTTTTCCAACGAATGCACTAGCTCTGCCTGCGAAAGAGCACCGAGCTTTAGATCCAGTTTAAGAATAGAAAACTCTTGCGCAATCTGCGGGGTCATCAATCTAGGCTCTGTCAGGACGCGACGTTGGGCCGAGGCACTGGATTCTCCCAATTCGTCGCTACTTGACAAGGTAGCTGCGCGCCTCAGATCTGGTCGGGGCGGGGTGCTGGGCCTGCTGTCATTATCGCCAAATTCGGATTGAGTTTGATGCAATGATGGTCGGTCCATGGGAGAAGAGGGCGTGCTCTGCACGGAGGGATAGTGGGCGGGCCATTGGCGGTTCATGTCCTGGAGCTCCTTCAGTGTGTCGATAGTCCGGGAGATTGCACGAGCAAGCTTGGTTCGGTTTGAGTTGCTGAAAATACTGTGAGCCTTGGACTTTCATGAACGGGTTATTTGCGGGGAGGCGAGACATACTAGAGAAGTTGAGAGACATGACTGGCAACCACTTGCTTCTCATGCTCAGCTGTATCCGAAGATGTATTAGCCCAATTTCCCCCCCTCTATATCGCGCCATTGCATGGGCTCCAGCCACCTACCTGCGGGATTCCATTCTCCAGGGCGTGTTGGAGTATGCACCGGAGTCGGCCTATCCTCCATCAATCCTGCACGCCAAGCAGAGCTCGCATCCTCCTCCGTATCGGCAATGCTACCTCCATAGCCAGAATCTTGGTTTAGCGAAGTCATCAAGGCCGTGGCGCTGTCCGAAGTCGAACCGTTGCCCACAGTCATATAAGTCGGCGGGGGACGGAAAAAGGATTCTTCTCGAGAAATTCTTCCTCGCCTGAGAACCTGGACGAGCCAGCTCCGGAAGACGAGCCTTCACCAGGGTGATATTCCTGACTCATGACGGATGAAAGATCTCAACGTGGGGGCGACATCCATCCAAGATAAGTTGTGTTTTTTTGATTGTTTGGTTATGATATGATCGATTTCTTGGAAAGGTTAAGATGACGTCGGGCCAAAAGGGGTTTAGCGTCCATGTGACCCGGTATCATGGTAATGCAACTGTAATCTTACCATACCGCGATTGATGTCACTGTTTCTACTCAGGCTCCTACATTGTACTTGGATTTACTTCTCACTTCGAACTGACTGCCCATTATTACCTGCAATAATGAATGTAAGGCGCATATGAAATCCTTGAACACCGTTATTTTACTTACTCAAGGTCTCCCAGATCGTCGAGTGGGCTTTCGGAAAGCGCATGACCCCCGCGGAGCGTCTGCGTAAACACCAGCGTGCCTTGGACCGAACACAGCGGGAGCTTGACCGAGAACGAGTGAAACTAGAGAACCAAGAGAAGAAGCTGGTACAAGACATCAAGAAGAGTGCCAAAAATGGGCAAGTTGGAGCCTGCAAGATCCAGGCCAAGGACCTTGTTCGGACACGGAGGTCAGTTTCTCTTGATTGTTACCGATTGCGACAGAATTGGCTGATTGGATGGCGACAACAGATACATTCAGAAGTTCTATCAAATGCGCACGCAATTACAAGCTATTTCTCTACGAATCCAGGTATGCGCAAGCTGTCCTCCGCTACCCCTCTTGGTTCCGCGATGCGCTGACTATTGCTACTTCCAAGACCGTTCGAAGCAATGAGCAGATGATGCAGTCGATGAAAGGAGCCACAATGCTTCTGGGTAGTATGAACAGACAGATGAATCTCCCGGCACTGCAACGGATCGCGATGGAATTTGAACGAGAAAACGATGTCATGGACCAACGGCAAGAGATGATGGATGATGCGATCGACGAAGCCACAGGAATGGAAGGCGAAGAAGAGGAAGGAGAAGATATCTTGAAGGAGGTTTTGGACGAGATTGGTGTCGATCTGAACCAGGCGGTTTGTTCCCCCGGCTCCCAAACATCGGAAGGTGGACCCTGCAAGCTAACATATTCCATCTACAGCTTGGTGACACACCCGAACACATACAGAAAGCACCAGTGAATGAAACTCGAGTTGCGCAGGCCATTGGAGGGGAGGCAACACGAGCGATGATGACCTCCAAGCAAGACTGGACAGCCTTCGACGATGATTACGACTTTCTCTCTTACATGCCATTGATGACAGAGGTGATAATGCGACCTGCTATCTTGAGCCCTAATTGAGTTTACCTGCCTTGCTGTTATTATTAGCATACCTTGCAAGATATTCCTGCTACCTACATACCAATCCATTTCCTTTCAACTCCTCGCATTTTCCTCAACATGTCAAGGGCGTCTAGCCGTGAACTAGATTTACATAAAATCACATTATACCTATGTACGTATGCTCAGCAACAAGAAAATACTTATATGTCAAAATAATTGATTGCTATCAAATTCAATTCAACTCCCAAATCTAATACTCCGATTGGGTTTGAAACACCATTCTCAACATATAAGATTGGAGGCCTTAAGGTGATGCCTCTTGGGGAGGAGGAACTTCCTCATACCCATAATCATCAGATTCATCGGAATATGTAGAATAATCAGAAGAACCAGAAGAAGATTCAGAGTAATCAGAAGAATTATATGTCGGGCTGTTAAGGATGGGGAATGACATACCTTGGTCCAATGATATACTTGGCCATGGGAAACCCCTTCGGCCATCTGCACGGTTGTTATCATGGAACTTCTTGATGAAAGGTCTTTTCAAAGGGCGACCAGACTCGAGTTCTTCAGCAGACCAGCGAGAAAACCAAGGAAATGACGATAGCTCTTCCAACGACGGCCGCTCGGACTTTTCTCTAGCCAATGTGGCTTGTAAGACATCCCTGCAGTCCTGTGAGAGTGATTCGCTGATTGCTACATCCTCGTTGATCATTCTCTTGCGTCTGCGTTTGACTACTGGATAGAACGAATCATTGTAACAACCATTATATCTAGCATGCCAGTGCAAACTTTTCGGCACTGGTTCGGGCTCATCCCAGGGCCAGAAGCCATGCAGAAACCCGTAAACGAGTGTTGAATATTTCCACACGCAAATGTCCCGCTCATCGACAGGTAAGTGGATCGTTTCGACACAGATATCATCATGGCATGGATCCCTCCAAGCGTCGTACTTCTCCAGTTCGATGGCTCGCTCAGGCATCATCTGGTACTCATGGTAGGGGATAAAGCAGTCTAAATTCCTTGTAAACCCTGATTTCTGAAGCGAGAAGTAGGTCATTCCAAGATCAATTAGTTGAACGTTCAGGTTTTGGTCCATGAGATAATTTGTTAGTGCCATGTCAGCATGGCAGACCTTCATATCAGCCAACTCTATCATAGCTTGGATAAGTTGGGAAGCAACTTTACAGCCTTCTATTTCCCCCAGTTGAGGTTCTTTGCTGGTTGTGGGCATGAGGTAGCTGCCATCAAAAGCTGGAAACGGGGGATATCTCTTTCGGATGCGCGGCGGTATATCCCCCTTCGACTTGATCCTGTCAAAATGACCCTCATCAATAATTGAAACGGCTTCATAGCTAGGGTCAACACAGGGAGTCATGAGAATTGCTGTTAGCATACCGTGAGTGTAGACCGAGTTGAGCCGTGGGAACCTTTTGCTATCGTCAAGATAGATTAGAAGGAGGGCTTCTTCTGGTATATACCGTTTCGCTCCGTTAGCCTCACGGAAGGGCGCCATCTGAGAATTTAGACCTGATAATGTGTCCATCCACTGTGTTGTGTGGACTTGAGATTTGATTGCGTATTGTTCAAGGTCCTCTAGGGAAGCACCAGTAGCGCCTTTCTCGCGAGCAATGAACGTTGCACCAAATGCTGTGATCAGTTAGCAATGTATCTATACAAAAGATATCAGATCAAGGGGAGAGAATGGTCTTACTTCCTGCGCCTATGAACCCATATATCTGCACTCGCTCGGTAAGATCCGGACAAAGGCATACCGCTTTGGCAGTGGTCCTTCCCTCAGCACTCAAACGGATGAAATCGTCATAAGAAGTGCAGGTGCGTTTTTGAAATACTTCGCTGTCGCATCTGCGACCAAAATCGTCCCGGCAATTACACCTCGAGAATTCTTCGTTATTCCGTTTGCCAAATGCTACCCCTAGACGCTCTCGAAGAACCTTACTCACTTGGGGATACCTTTGGGACAATCGGCTTGAGGGGTTTAAAAGATCTTCGGCATTGTAAGAGAAACCATCACTGTAGTCCTTGGATTTGAATTCGCGGAGCTGCGACAATGGCTGGTGTAAGGTATGATTCCCCTTGATTGCGCCCAAGTCTCTCCCTAGGATGTAATCGAAGGCGTAAGGATCCTGTTGATCAATGCTCGTCTGTTCAGTCATGGTATTTGGTTAAATTAGTTAAATAGAGAAAAGTGTGAAGTGTGGAGGAAAGTTCAAGGAGCGAAGAAGGTCCTTTATATACAACCTTCAAAGAAGATTCAGTGTATTGTTCTTATAATAGAGAGTTAAAAGTTCTATAAATGAAAGGAATCCCTAGAAACAATTCCTTGTTGTGAATATCAGAGTTATTTCGTTTTTAGGACAATGAACAAAGAGCCCCACAGTCACCTGGAACCTACATGATTAGGCTAAAATCACTCAGATCTTATATTTATCAGATGATGCTCGTATATTTATAAATATAATAATCACCCGGGCGACTCTAGTCATGCGGCTGAACATGTTGGTGTTTCCAAGGTTGATGCGCCCCATTCGGAGCCTTGATGTCAGCCTCAGTGCACCCGGGCGAGAATCGAAAATCAATAAAGGAAACAAAAGCCAAGTATACGAGAAAAGCAGATACATAAATAGCTGCCATTACTCTCTTTAAAGAACCAGATTCTTTCTAATAGCCGACTTTCCTTTCAAAGGAATAAAGAAAGAGATCCTTCCAAAACAATGCCTGCCCTTAACGCCGACAACAATTCAATGCAAATCTCAAAGGACACCCAAAACACAACCCATTTGTCTGCGGTCGGTCATTTGCAATATGCCCCGAAGGATTCTGGCACCGAATCAACGAGTCCTGTTTATGAGGGCTTCACCTTTTTCAAGGCTATGCCCAAACAAAGTGCAACCTGGACCTGTGTGAAACGGACATCCATGCATCTGAATCAAGATGAATACTTCAAAATGGTTCAGAAGAGGGCAAATAAAAAGTCCGTAGCGCAGCAATACCAGAGTCTGTCGTCCGATACCAGACGCGCTCATATAAATCAACTGCTTGATGAACAAAGGCACAATAATTCACTTGTTGAGTGGAGTTGCGTCTATGTCAAAGAACACACAAAGATATTAAAGCCCCGACATGCTCGGCGCGGTGACTATGAAACGGTCTCCATGGATGTCATAATCATGAAAAGGCCCATGGAGACCCAAGCATATTCCAGGACCTTTATGGGTTGTTCAGTGGCCATTGCGAAACCTTTTCAATCGGATGCAAAGAGTTTACCTATGTGGTCTCATCATACAGACCATCCTCTGACGCCGGATCAAAATGGGAATATCTTGCGGACCATACCTCAAAAGCTACCTTCTCAGTTGGCTTCAGCGATGAACCCTTTTGCACGATTGCATTCAACCCAGGGCCCTGCCTACGAGTATCCAAATGGCCAGTTTGAAACTGCACATCCAGGCGTTGAGACAAGTCATCCAACAGGTTTGCAAGACCAGCTGCGTGAATCCACCCGGTCAACTGCAACCTTCAACAATAGACCAATAAGTCCAGCCTTCAGTGCCACAAATAGCAGCGATATGAGCCTTGAGTATACTTCAGATTGTTCATCAGAGAGTAACAGGGACCCAGATGATGCATCCGTGCTTTCTGACCAATCCGATGAAACATCTGCCACAGACGACTCAGAAAGCATGGAGACCGAGACCGAGACTGAGCGTCAAGAGCCACAACCAAATCAGGCCTCTCTCCGACAACAGAATGCCAGTCCTTATCCCCGCGAGTCGAGTTATGGACCTCATTCTCGCCGAAAGACCCAAAGTCGTAGCCTTGACAGAAGACATGAGAGGAATTATCCCCTCCGCGACCAATTTGAGGTGCCTCCAGTCAAGATTCTTGGCCCAAGGCGGGCTGAGAGGGCGCGGTCAGGCTCGGTGCCTGGTAAAAGATATCGAATGCAGCTGATGAACGACAATGAGATTCGAAGCCGAATGCTTGATCACCGTGAAGCAAGTCTTGGACATCGGGAGAAATGGCTGAAGAGAACCTTTTCTGAAGCGCGTCAGCTTGAGCGTCGTCAACCAGTGAGGGATTTGCCAGCAGTGTGTCGCTGTACCTGTCGTTGCGCGATCAAGGAGAAGAGAGAAGTTGTGTGACTGACGCATTCTTTTACTTTGGATCCTTTTTGATATGGCTTCTGGTTTCTCCTACCGTCTGAATAACTGTTTTTTGAATTGCACTGTTAGTTTGGAATAATCAGATCTATATGAACAGAATTTGACCAGTGCCAAGTATACTATACTGTACAGTACACCCTTTCCTTTTTATTGCTCATCCCAGCACCTCCAGCTAGGGGCGGGGGCACTATTACTTCTAGGGCTGAGCGCTCTGACTCCTCGAGTCTAATGATCTAAACGAAATGTTATAGCGGGCCTATCCTAGCACTTATATGACCGCCGCTTTCGGATAATAAGCACGAGGCAGGTAAATAGACGATCAAGAGAACATAAGATATCTTCCCCGACTAGTAAAGTGACTACAATATGCCCCGAGAGAGATAGGTAGCGTCAAAGATTACATGTATAAACCGACATCATTGTTGAGTTATGCTCTAAAAAAATAGATTAAAGTGATATAAAGAAAGCTGGAATAAGATTCAGTTATTCAGTTAGATCGAGCGAGTCTACTCTGAGAACTATATAGAACGGAATATCTGATAACCGGAAATGATAGTTCACCTGCTCCTAGCCGGAGGTGCTAGGATGAGCAATAAAATGGAAAGGGTGTATAGTATACTAGTTAGTGTTAGTATACCTGGTATGTACTGATCGAAATTCCGTTTATATAGATCTGGCTATTACAAACAAAATCTAAATCTTTTGTTAGGACAATTAGACGATCATAAGTCAGTATGAGGGGGTGGTTAACGGTAGACTGTAAGTATCTGCTTAACCAAGTGCCTCAATAATTATCGACTAACCTCCCTGCTGTGAACTTCAATTCGAGTTATCTAGTTCATTCGTGATCCTAGTCGAACCCTAGTGCTGGCGTTCTCTTTTTTTTCCCTTAAATTTTTACTGTTACCTACATATGTATATACTCCACTCCGTACAGGTAATTAAATGCAAGGCTATACTATTCCAATTTAGTACATAGATACATATCCACTACTATGTACGGGACAAAACCGATTCCTCATTTGGACTTTCTGGCGGTATCAAACCTTGATTACGAAGTCTCCAGGGCTTTTTGCAAGGTTCAGTGTCGAATCGTACTCAGAGAAACCTTAAAAGTTAAATAGTTAGGGCCTACTTCAAACAGGTGCGACGTCGTTTGATCCAGCTGATGGAGTCTGTTGATATTGAATAATCGATGTTAAGAGCTGATGCAAATGCAAGTCCAAACATCTGATGTCCGGTCAATTAAGGAACTACAGCGTACATATGTAGATCCCCCGGTGAGCCCCGAGAGAAGACCGATGTCATAATTGACACCTAATAATTCAGGCAACGAGCCTGCCCCTCCATTTCCATTTACATAACCAATTTACTTTCCCTCCTCTTCTTCCTCTTCCATAGCTATCAACATCCTCAACCTTCTTTTCTCTTTCCTCAATCCCCAAATCTTTCAATATGCCTCGCCAATTCTTCGTCGGTGGTAACTTCAAGATGTACGTTATCTCGAGCTTCGCTACCCCGCGGTCTCAAAGCCCCTCAATCCTTACCTATGCCTACTCGTTTCATGAAAGACCGCGCAATTGACCCCATAAAGGAACGGTGTTGCTCAGAGCATCACCGACATCGTGAAGAACCTCAATGCCGCCAAGCTCGACGACAACACCGAGGTCGTCATCTCTCCCCCCGCCATCTACCTCGCTCTGACCCGCGAGCTTGCCAACCCCAAGATCGGTGTTGCTGCCCAGAACGTCTACGACAAGCCCAACGGTGCTTTCACCGGCGAGATCAGCGTTGAGCAGCTCCGCGATACCAAGATTAACTGGGCTGTCATCGGCCACAGCGAGCGCCGAGTGATCCTGAAGGAGTCTGATGAGGTATGCATACAGTCCCCCCAAACCCCCAACCATCCACAAACACTACAGCCAAATGAAGCATAAACTAACTACCGCTCAATAGTTCATTGCCCGCAAGACCAAGGCCGCCATTGAGGGCGGTGTCTCTGTCATCTTCTGCATCGGAGAGACCCTTGAGGTACGTCATTACTACCCGGTTTTCCCATTTTCGTCCCGATAGTGGGTCATCGGGTCAAGACCGGCTATATGTTTTCTGAATGCATCCCGCTCACACCCGATTTCTTATTCAGGAGCGTGAGGCCAACAAGACCATCGAGGTCGTCACCCGCCAGCTTAACGCTGCCGCCAAGGAGCTGAGCGCAGAGCAGTGGGACAAGGTCGTCATTGCCTACGAGCCCGTCTGGTATGAATTTACCCCATTGCTTATATATCAAACCTATCCCTGGACATATCTGACATCTATTTGTAGGGCTATCGGCACCGGAAAGGTTGCCACCACTGAGCAGGCTCAGGAGGTCCACGCTGCTATTCGCAAGTGGCTCGGCGAGTCCATCTCCGCCCACGCCCAGGACAACGTTCGCATCATCTACGGTGGCTCTGTCAGCGAGAAGAACTGCCGTGAGCTCGCTACTCAGCCCGATGTTGACGGTTTCTTGGTTGGCGGTGCCAGTTTGAAGCCTGCCTGTAAGTTCCTAGCACATGCCTATCTACTGAAACCATTTACCAAATTGGTACTAACCAACATCTGCAGTCGTCGACATCATCAACGCCCGCATCTAAGGGGGTTCCGAAAGAAACTAATACCCCAATAGTGCCCCTATTATCAGAGTAAATAGCTCTGTGATGTAGGCGTCATAAGACAAAAACTTGGAATGTCAAGTATATTATCATGAATCTATGTACAATTCTGAAGTATATTTCGATAACACATAATCGTTGCTACCCCAGTGGAGCAGTTATTTCCCTGGCCAACCAGACCGTCCAATGATATCCCCTAGACAACACAAGAAGTCCTAGATAGCACGTAACCTATGAAGAGTACAACACCGAGACCCCAACCCCACGCCAATACGACATCCCAGGACCCCCACCTCCACTCTGGGCCGAGCCGCTGCCCGAAGCCGAAGAAACAGAAGGCGACAATGAGAACGAACCCGGACCCAGCCCGACGCCCGCGCTCACCAGAAGCTCCTTAACCCGGCCTTCCCAGAGAAGCCGCACATTCCAAGACTGATCAATGCGCAGCTTAATGACAGAGTCACTCGTCTCGGCCTCGCTGTGAGCGCTAGAGCCCATGGGGCCCTCGGGACGAGTCGGGTCCTCTAGGAGCGGGGAAGTCGGCGAGCCAGGCAGGGAAACGCCGAAGTCATGCATACGCATTTTGCGGCGGGCCCATTGGAGATCGTCGTCACTGGAGGAGCTGGATTTCTTGGTTTGACGCCACAGCTCGCAGCCAGCGACCATTTCGCTTTCCCAGCTGTAGACGTTGAAGCCAAAGCGAGAGCTGAAGGCGAGGTTAGGCGAGGCGCGGAGAGAGTAGGTTGTAGATAAAGAGCCCACAATCGGGGCCAATGTTAGTGTTAGAGTGTAGGGGAAGGTTGATATGGGTGTTCGGGTGCTGGAAGGTGATGATGATGGCGGGACCTCTGTGGCTGCGGGTAATGTGGTGAATCGCAGACCGGTTGACATGCCAATCAGTGATGAGATCGGGGAATAGTATGCCTCTGCGCCTGCCGAGAGGAGGGACAATGGCGGCGGGACATCAGCGCGAGTGTATCGAGGATCTGGGCCGAAATTCCAGAGTCCGCGCCAACCGAACAGGGCGTTGTCGGTGCTGAATAGGTACTCATTGCTGTACTTGCCCGTGTCGTGGGATAGCTGGGTAAGCATTGAGGCCTGGGGCGCGGACTTGGATTGTGGCGGTCCCTGGGTTGAGCAAACAGCTAGTGACAGCTGCATATTGGTAGAGATTCTGCGTAGAAAGAGCGCATATAGAGTGGAGGGAGGTGGAAGATGGAGAGAAGCATGGAGCAGAGTAGCTTTCCGCTTTGCCTCATTTTCTCTGCTATTTTCTCCATCTTTAGGATTTGGTGATTCTGGGCGACTTCCGTCTTTGAGTCCGGGAATGCTCACGCCGTCTAATAGTGAATCCCATCCCCAGGTCTGGATCGGGGCCGCGGGGGCCTGTACTTGGCGGTATCCCGGGGATATCTTTCGAAGCGGGATTGATGCACTTCCACTTGGTAGGTTGTTGAATGGCACGGTACTAAATAGATATGAAACAGATCCATCGAGCAATCCAACGGTGCCGAGTGTGTAACTGGTCGCAAAATGGGGAGTGGACAGTGACGAAAGATGAACGCGCAACCGTTCGGGGGTCGAGAAGTCCAGGATCGCTGCACCAAATATGTTAGAACAGAAACCTCCCTATACTGCAAAGAGACCTTTAGGGATAAATCGATTGCATACATTGAGCGGTGGTGTTGAGTGAAGAGTACGAGTTGTCGCGATTCCAGTGGGTCGCCTCGGCGAAGGATAGCTGGATGTAGTCCATAAAGTCCAGCATTGTCTGGACTCAGCCCCTGCAGGCGACAATATGACTAGCACTGTAATATCAAAGAAAGATCGTGTGAAGCAAGTGCAATTGACGTGAACTGACCCTGAGAGATCACAGCTGATTGCCCCATACAGGTTAGCGTTGGATAAGCCCGGCGGTAGGTTAATCCGGTTATCAGCGAAGAAAAAATGTCTGTGGGGGAAACATCTAACCTTCTGTCTGAATTCATTGAACCACCAATTCTAAAATCATAATTCAACATGCCTCGTTCAAAGCGTGCGCGCGTCGTCCACGAGTCGAAGACTGCCAAGAAAGATCACAAGGAGCAGACCCGCCGGCTATTCGCCAACATCCGGGAATGTATCGAGGAATATGATCATCTTTTTGTCTTTGCGGTCGATAACATGCGGAACACCTATTTGAAGGATGTGCGCACTGAATTCGCCGACAGCCGGTAAGCATAATTACTCCAATCGGAATTTGCTTGAGCTATTGAATCGGAGAAAGCGCTTGAATACCAGCGGTGTATCCGATATCAAATATTGATATGCAAATCCTTCAACCAAAAGATCAGTTGTCTAACAATGTCCTTCCAGAGTTTTCTTCGGTAAGACCAAGGTCATGGGCAAGGCCCTTGGCACTGATGTCGAAAGCGAAGCCGCTCCCAACCTGCGCAAACTCACTCCTTTCCTCGCCGGCGCCGTCGGTTTGCTCTTCACTTCCCGCACTCCGGAATCAGTGATCGACTACTTCGAGAACTTCCGCCCCCAGGACTTCGCCCGCGCTGGAACCGAAGCTACTCGCTCTTTCACCATCCCCAACGGCCTGGTCACCGCGCGGGCCGGCGAGATCCCTGCTGAGCAGGACGAGCCTGTCAGCCACACCATTGAGCCCGCGCTCCGCAAGCTTGGTGTCCCCACCCGTCTGGTGAAGGGCAAGGTCATGCTTGAGTTGATTGAGGGTCAGGAGGGTTACCCCGTATGCAAAGAGGGAGAGACTCTGGACTCACGACAGACTACGTTGATGAAGATGTTCGGTGTCACCTCGTCCGAGTTCAAGGTCGATCTCAAGGCCTACTGGACGCGGAGTACCGAGGAGGTCAAGCTCCTCGAGACTGAGGGTGGAATGGATGTTGATGCATAGATGGGGATCTTCATATTTTTCCGTTTTTTATTTCTTCTCTTTCCCATTCGGCTTCCTTGTGGCCGAAAAAAAAAGAACTCTGCTGGGCATCTTATGGAGTTTGGTGAGGGCGCTTTCTTTGCAAATATATTGAAGACTTGTGTGTTTTATCTCTCTTTCTCTCGTCCATATATGGGGGAGCTTTCCCTCCTGCTGGATTATGAGCCTATGACAAGATTCGGATACCAGGTCGAAAAAAGTCTACAAATTTACCTCGTTCTTGGACATTGATCAACCGTAGTGCAGAACCGCTAGCTGTATTGCCTAGACTTTGATCTATCTAGCAAGATACCAAGATACCTGCCTTCAGTCATTTCACATGGTCCTTACCTGGTCTTACCTGATGGTGCACCAGATTCCATTTCGCGCGGAAGAGGACCGACTAAAATACAAATACTTACCCCTGCAGAGAAAACGGAATCTCGTAGGACCAAGGGGAAAAAACGGAAAAAAAGAAAAAGCATTGGAACACAAGTGAAGAAAGAAAACACCAAGGGAAAGAAAATAAATAGAACGGGGAATACAAGCACAATTCATGAGGATCTTCGTCTGCGCCGGGGAGTTTAGGTGGACCAAGCAGGGGATGTAGAGAATAACCACTGACATCGAATTTTGACGTTGATATCGGGGCATGAGGTGGAAAACATTGACGGTTGTGATCGTTACAACGGACTGAATTGCACATGGGCTAATTCATGATTTACCCTCTTACCCTTGAGAAAGAGTGATGAAACTGGGTAGATCAGTGATACCCACCAGCAAACCCAGACTTTATCGGAAAGAGTCAAGATCCGGGGGATAAGTGAAGGCTTAGTACCTTCTCCTGGAACGGGGATCATCGTGTCCAGGTTCGTCCTCACGGTTTCGCTTGCGTCCATAATCCTCCCGGCCGCCATCACGACCACCATCACGACCACCATCACGGCCACCATCACGGCCGCCGCCGCCATACCTGTCACCACGCTCACGATCCCGGTCCCGGAATCGGTCTCCATTTCGGTCTCCCATGCCTCGGTCTCCCATGCGGTCACGATCACGGTCTCTGTAACGGTCATCGCGGTCATAGTCGCGGCGGTCACGGTCAGCATAGCTATCTCGAGGGCGCACAGGCTCCGAATTGCTGCCAGTTGCACCACGGTCGAATCTGGGACCGGCGCCACCACCGCGGTCACCACGATCACCACCGAAGCTACCACCCCTGAAACCTCCGCTGCGTCCACCGCCAGGGCCGGAGGGCGCGTTAGGGGGGCCTGTCCACCGAAACCGCCACGGTTGCCCTGGTATCCGATACCACCGCGAGGACCACCAAAGCGATCACCGCCACCGCGGAAGCCTCCACCACGGAAACCTCCACCTCCACCTCCACCTCCACCTCTGCCACCGAAGCCTCCGCGGAAGCCGCCTCCATACCCACCCGGTCCAGATGGTGCGTTGAACCCAGGTCCACCGCGGGGGGCCTGCGAGATCTTGGTATATCCGCGTCCTCCAAGACCGCCACCAAGGCGGCGGGGCTTCCACCCCTTGGTGGTGCGGCCACGCTCGACATCTACCACGGCCGGTCGTCCTTTGATTCTGATGTTCTCTGTTTCTTTGTAGGCCGCTGATATTGGGGAAAAAACTGGGGTCAGCAACATTTCTTACCGCAAGACGGAGTAAACAAGTGGCTTTAGTGCCCAATAAATTGACATGGTGGTGATACCTTTCATATCCTTCTCGCGCTCGAACACGACGAATGCATAGCCTCGGTGGGGTTTCTTTTTCTTGTCTGATACTGTATCTTTGACAATGGTAATCTGTCACCACAATGTTAGCGCTGGTTATACCCACAAAGAATAAGGAAAACAAGACATACTCTTTCAATGGGGCCAAATCGGCTAAACTCTCGTTCCAGGTCGGCTTCCTTGGCTTCATAACTGAGGCGTGAAACAAAGATCGTCCTGAATGGGTCACCTCGAGCTTGAGGATCTTTGTCCGGATTGTCTGTAAGATATAGCCACATTAGCCGCTTGAAATAGAAAAAACAAATGTGAAAAAGGTAAAACGTACAGTTTTGCAGTCCATCCGCTATCTGCTTCTCTAACTGCTCTTTCTTCTCGGTTTTCTCACGCAATTTGCGCTGCACCCAGCTTTCAGTTGCATTGTAGGGAACTTCATCAGCGAGTGTTTTAGCATCGGCAAGAAACTGGGCAACTCCAGAGATAGTGCTCTTTTGGCAGTCATCTGGTGCGCGATCGCCTGGAGGCAGATATCGAAGGGGTGGACGGGGCTGGAATAGCGCCAAAAGCGGCGGGGGTAGCTTATCCGTCATAACTGAGTTGTAAACTCAATGCAGACAAAGTGGGGATGTGAAGTGAAGACGATGTGTGGAAGTTGAGTGAACCCTCAGGAGTGAGAGCTTCGCGTCGCAGTTCTGGTCTTAGCGTCGAATGATGGAAGTCGCTGCACACGCCATTGGTGCGTGTGACTTACCGCCTTTGGCAATCACGTGCACCAGAAAATGCCCCGGAGAGCCATCGCGACTTGTAAATTACGACGATAATTATTGACGACTAGAACGATGCCGTTGCGCGGAATTAGAACATCTACGGCGGCCAGGGTACGTGAAGTCCAGATCTTTGATATTCAATTGCCGAACTGACTCAGGTGATTTGCTTAGAACGGCGCCGGTGCCTTCATCCTACAATGCAAACGCCTTGACTTCCATTACTGCAACTGGGCGGGCAGCTCAAAGGGCATGGTGTAGGTGTATCCTAAATGGTGCAAGTTGCCTTTCCAGAAACATCCATACTGACATTGAACGTCACAGTGCTTTTTTGGAGAAAACCCTCCCCGCCTTCGCCCGCGAAAACCCTCAGATTGAGATCCGTGTCTCTCCCCGACCCCAGAAGCACCCTCTGATTAAGGGCCTCTACATCAATGGCCGTGAGAAGCCCGTATGTGTACGGAACTTGGAACCCAGCGAAATCCTGAAGAAGGCAAACCTCCTCAAGGAAGCCAGTGGAGAGAAGTTGAAGCGGGTCAAGAAGCCGGTTACAAGTTTGAATGAGAGTGTGCGTGGTATCTGGTCACCATACCACGGTGACCTTCGGGGTGTCTAGATGGATGTGTTTTATTATTTACGGTTCTTGTTCTCTCTGCGGTGGTGACTATCAGGTATCCCCACTGCAACCTACTGTACTATTGACCTGGGTTCTGTTTTATTTCTTCATTCTTGTCTATTTGCTACCTGGAAGCCAATGGTGTTTTGAAACCCATATTTTATGCATACCAAACTCGAGCCTACATCAATTTGAAAACAACATGTCTGCAATGATCAACATGTACTCAAGATTAACCAACTTTATTCACATTCAAGTGTCGCTCTGATTTTGTGTTGTGATTGAGATATACAAGTTATGGAAGTGCAGGACTTGCGTCTACATATATATATATGTACTCCATATTTATCTTCGTACTGAAGTTCTCTATAGCTTCTTGCCTTTCTCGGACCATTTTAGTGCTCAGCCCTTGCCGCTTTTTTTCTCTCTGAGTAAAACAGCCTTGTGTCAGTTAGAATGGGTCACTCATTTACCATTTATTCATGTCATGTTTGCACTATTTGTATAAACACCCATAGGGGGATAAAAAGCGGGCTAGGCATCTGCTTATTTTATCAATTACACTCATCGATTTTACCTTTTGATCTATACTCCTGATGTCTATCAGTATCTAGTATTAATCTACTCTAGTCCCTTTCGTTTAAGAGTTATAAGCCCAGTTATCTAGTATCTCACTTAAGCCCATATATCATGTAAATACTACTACCACAGCTAACTTTGTGAGTCCCCGTACACCCTACGCAATAGCGTTACCTTTACACTTACCTCCAAACCATAAGAACGGAATATATATAACGCCAAGATATCAATTCTCTTCGATAATATCTCGATACCGGAGGTCACCGAAGGTAAGGCTTCAAGCGTCGTAGGAGTGGGGACGCATTTTAGGTCCGAGTTTTACTTTAGTCGCGTTTTGGACAAGGGTCGCAGATTCAACCCCGGACTCCGAATGCTTCTTTCATTTATATCCAATGACCACACATCTTCTTAACGTAATAAAGAAAACCAGCTCTAGAGCTATCAGCGTTACGTTTATAAACTTACTTTCATTCAACGCAACGTTAACATTATTAGTTACTAACTAGACACAGCTTAAGACTTCGCTAGGTGTAGTTATAAGAGTTATATGTAACCTACAGCTACAACCTATTACTAGAAGAGAGATAGCCTATCTAGAGGGTTAGCCTTAGGAAGGTCGAATGAGATCTCGAAGGGTTTCTGCATTCTTTAAGCATCACTCTTTAAAGCGAATCGAAATGAAGTATAGGACTAAGATTACTCTTAGGGGGCATAGTTCCGCTCTAGTCGAGCGGGATATCTCATTTACACTAGAAGGCGGGTAGAAACTTGGCATTTATAGGCGAACTAGAAGGTAAGGCTAGACAACATCGGAAAGCGGGAAAGCAATAGGTATAAGGGACAAACAGTTGTAGCGATAGGGGAAAAAAAGCAATATAAGTCAAGGGAAAGGAACAGCTGAACGATATACTAGGATAAACCCTGTAAAGATAAACCCTGTAAAGATAAACCCTGTAAAGCAGTGGGAAAAGAGACCATAAGAGAGAGGGAACGCAGCATGTGAGTCACCATCAAAAATTCACGTTATCTGGAAATTAACCACAACCAATGAGTGCGTGGCGCGGCGCGAAAATTTGGCTGTGTGCTTCGCAGCGATCTTAGCAGCGTCAAGTCAGCGTCGTGGAGGGGCCAGGTTGTAAACCCTTCCACTCCATTCCTTCGTTTCAGGGCAATCATCCATCCATCCATCTATCCCATCCATCCGACTGTACAAAGCCGCAAAACATAAGTCTGAAGCCCGTAGTACTTCCGAACATTCCAAGACCCCTCAGAGCAGTACTGCCAGGAGGTAAAGATCCCCCAGGTATCTCTCCATCTTTGTATGACTATACAACTTGCCGACATGACCTCTCACCCAATACCGGCGTCGGGCTATTGGTATCTGATCTGTCATCCAAGATGAGCTCATCACCGGTTCGTTTCTGCTTCCACCCTGTTTGAGACAAATAATGCGCTGGGTGCCAGATATTGAAGAGAATGAAAATAGGAAGGATGAGGGCGGCCTCGAAGACATAAAAATTCCACTCATGCGTGGCCAGATAGCCGTCGAACCCAGTGCAAAACTCGATCATTCGATATATTGAGCGAATCTGTGACCCAAATTAGAAAAACTTTCACCTCTGAGGTTAGCCATGGGAAAGAAACAAATTCGGCTTCTTACAAAAACTAAACAAGCGGAAAGATTCAATGCCCATAAGAATCGGATCCAAAGTTGATCAGGCCAGTGGTCACGAAAGTGTCTCGAAACAAAATAGAACCGGAATGAGATGAGCAGAAACAGTCCAAAGCATACAAGTTGTATAGCGAGACCGATTTTCATAATGCTGAAAGCGGATTCCTTCCCAGATGCACTGTCACTGGTAGCACTTTTGAGACCACCGACAACTTGAACGAGAAACGATATCACGTCGCACGTCACGAATATTAAAGCTTGGAAATGTTAGTCAAAGAAAATGTTTGGACAAAACGCAGAGCTCATACTCATCCATCGAGGCTTAATCCAGAGCGATTTCCAAGTGCGAAATTTCACAGGTGTGACATGGAGAATTACTCTCCCCTAGACTGGGGTAAGGTCACGGCTGCTGAAAGGGAATCATGTCATTTTGTTCACTTACCATTGCCATATAACAAGAAGCTGCAATGACTGCAGGTGCCAGGAAAATAGGAAGAAATGAGACAGCATATATTGCTGTAAACAATCAGCATTGTCTTGCGGCTTGTAATTAATATTCACAATAAACGTACTTGTTGATGTAACATTCTTGGCCGAAATGATTCTCGCAATGTAGCCTACTGCTTCCACTGGTCATGTCAGTGATACGATTTTGAAATAACAGAAATGCGAACGTACTGATAGACGCAATGACCATGAAGAGCCAAAACCAGCAGCGTAGCATGAAGTACTGGGCCGTTGTTGTAAGACATGTTAGACTGTACAGAACAGCAAAGACGACTGCTGCTGCTATTGAAGGTGTGTAGTCATAGATATTGCCTTTGGACTCAATTAGCAATTGACATGACAATTTGGCCTTCAAGGCGACACAAAACCCCTCGGCTGTTTACGTACTTGCCATGGCATTTGCAGAAACCATGATTGCTACGGGGTGCGAGTTTGCAAAACACCACACCTTGGGAAGGGAAAATTGTTCGGTATAATCTTGTAAGCAGAAATAATTCTCTTGACACAAGCTGGGTCTTAATGCTCTTTATATATACGCGGGTTCCAGATCTCAACTCGATTTTGGTGAATCCCCTATGATACTTTTCTCGCTAGTTTCTAAACAATGTATCTCTGCCACAGCCTCCCATCTGACGGGGCCTGGCTGCCTAGAGCCCGGAGCATTTCCCTTCTTGGATTTGCCTCTACTTGACTGCGACCTATTCTAGTTTATTTTGTCGCCTGAATTAGTCTTTAGTTGGGTTCAATCCACCATATCAACAGATTAAATCTATTTTGTAGATCTTGATACTGCGCCTTGACTACAACTTTGCCAGATTTGGGTAAGTTGACCTCCGCTGAGTAATATTTCTTTTCAACCCGGGCATCTGATTGGATTGAAAGAACGTCTAATCTAATTAAGGATGCCGAAGCTAGTTACTAGTGTCGATAGCACCTCCGTGTTCAACCTAAATGCAGTCTGTGATTGAATGGATAGTTGTCCAGGCGATATACAGCAAGACTAGCTTGGCGTGAGTCTTCCCATTCTCTGGAAAATCCCAAGAGGGTTCTGGGTTTTAATCACCTAAATCAGACAAAACCATCCGCTGACACATCGGAGATAGGTAGTTAAAAGTCGACTAGTTAACTAGTGTATTAAATGGAGAATACTAATATTATAGTAAAAATGTTACCTCTTGGCGTACACAAGTCCCTAAGTGAACTTAAACAGCCCACAAAGCACAAACGACCGAGTCCTATAATGTCACCGTATCCCCTGCCATAATTGTCGGGACATATCCTCCTGTCAGCACAAACTAGCAGTGACTTACTGCTAGCGACTGATGGACAACATCCCTTGCTTATTGTAAGCATTCTTGCACTGGGCTGCTTGCTCCAGCGTGGTGACCGCCGAATGTCAGCACGTGGGATTAAGAGGTGTTCTACGACTAGGCTGTGAAGAAACATCTACATGAATCAATTTCTGATTTTGAAGCATAAACACTGTTAACTTGGCTATGTACACGGTACTTAGCTGATCGTACCAACAATACTATGTGTTCTCGTGGCTCCGTCTAATCAAACGTGAATGCGTGGCACCTTACCCAGAGTAGTACTGGGCCCACTTGCTGCGACCTTGAATGATTCCGACAAAGTTTCGGGCTACCATGCGCCAAGTTTGTTCGGAAGGATGTAACTCATCGAACCACATAAATGCGTCCGGGTTATTGTTGTCAATGCGGACGCAGTCCGTCCCTTCCAGCGTACAATGGTTCAAATAACCCGTCACGTTAAAGGGAGCAGTCCCATTAAAATAGTCGGAAGGTTTGTGATAGATATCATTCATCTGATAGAAGAGTATGAGTTACAGCACATCCTCATCGTAACTGAAAAGAACTTACCAGTGCTTCGAGGTTCACGAGGGCAAATTGTGCTCCAGGGTATCTTCTTTGGTACTCCACCTCCAGCGGTGTCCTTAATTCATATATGGCATTGACAAGAGCCACCTGCTCTAACATTCGTTGGGAGGCCGCTGTAGCGTTGCTGTACTTGTCTGGCCAGTATTGGGATGCTTTGAGACCTCCAGCAGCTGGCATTGCGTACTGTGGAGCAAGGTACATGGCGCCAAGCTGGTTAAGAAGAAAGTAACGAGCTCCGTACTTATAGAGACGGTCAATTTGTTCGAATACACAATCAACATAATCAGGAATAGTCTTTCCGGAGACTTGTGAGTCGGTCAAAAACGCGTGGGCTCCCACATCATTCCCCCCAATCATGATAGCGAAGACAGTAGACTCGGGAGAGATGTCCATAAATTTGGTGCCGTTGGGGAGCGTATACTGGCTATCCGCAAAGAACGCGGGAACACCGTACGTGTCAACATCCGCAAAAAGCTGGTGTGTTGCATTGGAGATCTCTGGCGTAATGGCATTCGAACACACGCCTCCTGAAACGGCGTAGTTGTGCACTCTCGCTCCGGTATACTGTCCCACATACGACGGCCAGGGGCGCCCACCATCTGCCGCAACGGAATCCTGCAGGAACGATCAGAAAACAAAGGCTTCCTCTTTTTGGGGTCGAATATTCCATACCTCGCTACCAGGCCACCCAACTGGAGGCATGCTTCCATTATGGGCTATAATGTATTGTAGCCGTCCAGCATCAGACCAGCTATCCCCAAAAACCACAAGGTCCGTAAAATGAGGAATTTCCCAGGCATAAACAGAAAGGACGACATGTAAAAGGAGAACAAGATTGGAAAATGTCATTTTCTCGACTGCATACCACGATAGTATGAGAGTTGTGCTGGCATTCAAACCCGCAGAAGTTGCGAGGTGTCGAATTTATACCCCAGTTGTCGTCGTGTTTCTCCTGAACAAAGACACTGAATAAACAGCGGTGTAGGCGTTAGATGTCTCTAGAACCCCATCTTTTAGACTTTCCAATAATCCGAGACATGTTTGCATTGGACACACTGTGTCCAAAGCTGAATAAACCTCTCATCAGCGGAATTTCCTTTCCGCAATACCCGCATGGTAAGATTGGCGATGCTGGAAACCCTGCGTAGGGAAGAAGGCAGGATAGACGCACTTTGCGGCCCAGAAAGCAAAAATCCGCCTACCGAGCAGCAGAGTCTAGCATTTGAAACGATACGACAGACCATCATAGGTCAATCCAAAAGCTCATTCTTTCTCACATAGAAGAAACGCTTTGAAAAGCAACTGATAAGAGTCTACTCGACCGATAACAAATCGCAGTGGATCCGAGCTGGAGCCTTGCGGAGTATTCTCCCCACATATGCCGTTGAGAATTGCCCACATAAGGACTGGTCGCAAGACAGACGTTCCGTAAAGCGGAACATGAGCCGAGTACCCATAAAGCTGAAGCTCCTCTATGATTTGCATAATGGTAGAACAATTCATGCGGGCTTCCTGATGACTCCTTTTCCCGAGCAATTGGATTGTTTGTTTGCTTGAAAGAGCCCATGAGACAGCCAACTGAAACCTCACAGTATGATATAACAACTTGAGCGTTGTGCAATGTATGTAAAGCTCACAATCCCCTCCCCACGAACCAGGTGAATTCAATCGCGCGAAGTCAATCTCAGGTGAAACAGTTTTTCGCCACCGCTCGACACTTACTACCACATCATTGACTGATTGAAAGCCGCGAGGTAGACCACTTTGGAGCCATGGCTTCTCAAAGAAGCTCGAATTAATCTCTGGGATACGGACTGATATGGGTGGAATTCGCCCCATAATCACCGCTAGTTTTGCTTTTTCAATCCACATGATAGCAATTTTTCGCCGTCTGCTTGTGTCGTTCAAATCAACCGGAGAGACTTGCGTTCCTATATCTTTGCTGGTCTCAGTGAGACAGAAGTCGTCCATCGTTATCATCGGCACGTCGTGATCGGTGTCGTCTATTATCCACGGTGTTCCCTGGTCAAGAATCAAAGTACGCTCTCGGACGAAGACACTCCACCACAGACGTTTTCGTAGGTGGAAAAGGGAGGCTTCGATCTTGAGATTTGTTGGGTCACGGTGAAGTCCCATTCTGTAGGCCATAGAGACTGCATCTCCAATCAAGGAAGCCTGACCCTTGGGTTCGTTGATCTTTTGTGGGAAATAGGTCATGAGTAACAAGGACTGAAGAATAGTCAGGGGTCGATTCTCCCAGCCTAGTTCATAGAGAGCTCGAACCCTTGTAAACAATTCTTGGGTATCAGCACCGTAGTAAAGGGGGCTCTCGTAGGCGTTGAGGAACACCTGACCAACAAGCATGATACATTGGTAGAGTAACATGCTGATCTTTTCGCCACAACCTCGTACGGATTTGCTCATTTGAATTTGGTCTAAAACAGGCATACATGGGTGCGCATATTTCCAATATGCTATCCATAGTTTTTGCTTAACCTTATCATCTGGTACCAGCAGGGCACGCTTATGGTCTAGGAGTTGAAGCTCGTCCTTGGTGATGTGCGATGGTACGGGCTCAACATAGCTAGGAAGTCGGTAATATTCGGCAGCTCTAGTATAGATGGTGGAGTGAGTAAAACACAATATACTTTTACAAAGACGTACAACTCACTCATAGCTGCTTTTACACGGTACCTCACCCAAGGATCGCGGTGAGAAGCAGTCCATACACGGCAAGCCTTGTCGAGGAGTGCGGTCACGAATGTAACCGTATCCATCGGCATCGAGAAAATGTGGGTGAAGAATTTGACCTCGCTCCTGGACATCCATGATAAATACCATCGATCTCCAAGAGGAAATAATCGTACGGCTGTCCCAATACAAGATGTGAGCCCATTTTTTAGGTGATACGGAATAGCTCTTTATACATGCCGCGTGTTTTTTCACGTCTTTGAAATCCGAAGAAGATTAAGTATACTGAGTACGCGTATAGGAAGTTTAGCCCTCTCTCTATAGAGCCAGGGCCTTCGTCTTCTGGTTCACTCGGCGGAAATAATGCGGCGGGACGGAATGTGCGGGTGCGGCGAGTTCTGCGGGTACTATGGGCATTGCGGGTGCTGCGGGTTCTACAGGTGCTGTGTAGTCATGAATGTCATCACATGTCACATGTCAGATCCATGTTATGGCTTTAGTAGACATAATTGCTGATTTAATGCACCTTTTTCATTTGGCGCTATCTTCAAAAGTTATTGCGGTATCGCATATATAACGTACAGCAAATGGTGTCTTCTTGCAAAGGTTAGGATGGGAAGATTAGAGATGTTTACCGTTTATCTGGACTTTTCTATGAAGGGCTAAAGCAAGACTTGATTCAATCCAACTAGGCCAACATACTATTTCATGGGAAGGAAGTTGAAAGGCAGATCAAGATCGCAAACTCATAGTAGGATAAACACATTGCTATACACAAATTCAGACAGTACGCCAGAGTGGAAAGGAAACTCTTTGACCCTCCTTATCCCTCCTTATCCATTCTCTTTCGCGCCTTTTGATTTCTTCCTTGAACAACCTCACTTAAATCCCCAACTGGTAACACAAGAGGGAAATCGATGGACTCCAATATTTGGGCAACAAAGATGTACCATATCGGGATACAAAGTACGAAATTGCATGCACCAGCGGCCTTGAAGCGAGAAATTAGTGTGAGTTTCTGTAGGAACAGAGTAAAGGTTCACGGTGAATCCGAAATCTCATCACATACCATTTCCACCTTCGCTGCCAACGCCTCATTTCCTAGCGCACTGTAGAAATGAACAGCTGCATAAAGATTATATGCCGCTACTAGGAACAATAGTGCGAGGAATAGGCACACGTTTGTGCGAATAGAACAGACAAGATACACGAACGTGACCACCGCCAGAACAACGTAAAATAGGCCTTTGAGACTTATTAGGAAAAGTCTTGGTCCCTTACCCTTGGAGCGCGACTTACCTGCAGTTGCATGGTACCCTGTTGTCTCTACACCCTCCAAGCTGCTTCCCGTAGAGGAATATTTGGCACCCACTGCAAAGAATGGTATCATGGAGGCTCCTTGGGCGAGCCAGAATGCTCCTGTTACGTACCCATTAGCATCTCATTCCCTCTCGGAAAGATAAGGCTCACCATATGTGAAAAAAACAGCACATGAGAACGTATTTCCAAGTATCCACTCTCCAATTGCACCGATGACCTGAATCATGCCACCAAAAAAGATATACGCTGGGCTAGATCTCGATTAATATGAATTCTGGACATTTAGCCTGGTTTGATCCTACAGAATGGCCCCTCCGTCTCCACCAGCGCCCCTCCAACCCATGTGGAGCATTGCATTAGGAGTAGCAGACACTAGGAAGCCCATCAGCGCTATGGGGGTTGGATTACCAAAAGTCCGCCGCAGGTTTCCTGCAATAGGTATCTTGGGAGTCAGGTAGAGCTTCTCAAAAGTATCCCGGGGAATGGGAAACATGACACTCTCTGTGGTGTGCATGGGAGAAAGTATCTCCGTGTCGGCTTCTATGTGCTCATCCATTGGTTTAGTAGTCATATTGCCAAGTTGATATCTGAGGAATCGTAAATGGGAACCTGGCTTCGATGCAATGCAATTTCCCTTTCCTCCTTGCTAGAGGTCTCACAACCCGCTTAATATAAGGAGAAAACGGGGACCCTGTTCCTTTACCCCACAATCGTATCCCATACCCCGCGTTATGCCCCTTGGTAGACCTGGCAGTGACCCTCCGGGTGGTCCATGATCTTGGACCCTCCACCCGACCCTGACCCTGACCCTCCACGACCCGCAGCGACCCTCGGATACATAAATCCATAGCGCTAAGCCTAATTTGTGCGTATAAATCCGCTTATATAATCGGATATACATAATTATTTATATAACTAGTTAAAAGTTATTTATATCATAAAATTTGCTTGTTTGTCTTGTTTAACGACCCTCAGGGTCACCCGCGGGCCACTGCCAGGTCTACCCCTTGGACAAGTTACAATCTCCGCGGAGATATGGTTGTTTTGTATGGTGTCAGAAACCTACACAAAACTCAAAATGAATAGGAGTTACGCAATATGCTGACGGAATGAACCTGTTGAGCCGATATAAGATGTTACTTTACTCTCGTAAAATAGGCTTCCAAAACTCTGGTTTCCGCAATACCCGCCCCAATGAGTGGATTGACAAGCTAAGTAGCTGTCTACTTGACCGATAGTATTTGAAAGTCAATTCTCGACTAGACACTAAGATTTCGTGCTGTCTAAGTGAGCGTAGTAGTCTGGAATGGCTGATGAGAGCCGAGCTAATGATTTGTGCCTACGGTCACGGTGAAGCAATGACATTCAATGCGGAAACGGCCGCTCTATCCAGAGTGTGCGGATTCAATCACACTAACTGCGCTTCGATAAGTAAGAAAATCCTTGTTCCTTATTGGAATTAAGTTTCAAAGGCTCCCCTATTAAAGGGTCTCAGGATAAACCACACAAGCCCATTCAAAGTAAGGAAAACCATTATGGGGACTGCATTTTGATATTACCTTAACATGCGCTCTTCGCCTGCAATGGCTGTATTGTGCATACGGATAGTATTGATTCTTTGCACTCCGAGACACAAATGAAAAACCAACTGGTATGCAGGAGCATAAGGGCCAAGCATTCTGCGTATACAACTCGGAGTTATCCACCGAACAAAAGAAATCTTCATATCCAAGTTTCAGCGAAGCTATTCTACATCGATGTCATCTCGACAATCCCAAATCCAGTGACCCTCTGGTTGCGCATGCGCCCAGATACAAAAACAAATCCTTCATAGGCGGTATTGGATGCACTCTGTCCAAACATCTCCTGGTTGGCAGTTACACTCTCGATGGATAGGAAGTCGCCATGGGCAAAGTCAAGGTTCCACTTAAGAGGATACTCAACTCCGCTTGCCTCTGACACCCAGGTCTTTGTCATGTCCGCTGAAAACCCCACTGGAAGAAATTGTAGCGAGCCATCATTGGATCTAATAGTGGCAAAGCGATCTCTCTCATGAGGATTCTCAATATCAATCGCCCAGATACTGGCCTTTATAGGAGTGTAATCGAGGTGAATTTGAAACCAAGTCCAATTACCAGTACTTCCGCCGGTGCTAGCTCCACCTGAAAGACGTCCCAGGTCATGATTATAGTTCCATTGCCGATCATACCAGGTAAACGACCGATTTGGATCAATCTTTACTTCCTTGCCATTGACCGTGATTGAACCGGTAGTTCGACATGCTGGCATGGCCCATTCGTTGGCCGGGATTTTCATCCACAAGAACTGTCCGGCGCCTCCATTAAAGATGACAGGAGAAGTTGCGCCAAAAGTTATGTCGAACACGACACCGTCATGATCGCTCCAAGATCGTATTTTGGAGAGTTTGTCGTCCGACAACGCAGCAAAACCATACCCATGGGTAGTTATATTGAAATCGGTGACTGCATTGGCTGACAAGTTTGCGCTAGAGACGTATGACGCATAAGCATTCGATGGACCCAGGCTGAGCGTCGAAGCTCTGTAAATGACCCCATTTCCGCTTGCCAAACTATGCGAAATAATCACATAATGTTCATTGTTAAAATCGGTCACGTATGAGCTTAGCCAGTAAGAACTGCTAGCTGCAATGTCAGATGAAAAATTCTGGGTTTCATAGATGTCATATAAGGTTGGTAATTCGTCCTTGAATGAATAGCAAATAGAATCAGCATTCCATATCCCTACATGATGACAAGGCGTAGAAGTTACATTTGTGACGGGATTCATGACGTACCTTGACAATTTGTTCAAAATTCTCTGGAGAAAACATGTACGAATGACCCAAGATAAAAGCTGCCATAAGCCCGAAAATGACAGAAGTGAAGCGCATATTTGGTATGGATATAGATGTATAGGTCTTCTTTCATGGCAAGATTCCAGTGGGAAGATCTACCTATATAACTCCATTTCTTAAACTGGGAGCTAAATAATGGTGACAATGTATTGATGTCAAGCCGTCCTCATTTGCCGTAGTTGGCTATTCGGCTCCGCTTATATAATGGTCTAACTAAGCTTATTAGATGTAAAATACAATGATTTTTGTTGCTCGATGAAGTTGATCTTGGATTCATCAACTGCCCTAATGGGCTGTGTAGGTAGATTTGTTGGATCTAATTATAAAATTTCTTGTCCCGCTAAGTAATAGTGAATTCTTCTGATTGGCCAGATCGACGAGCTAAACTCTAAAGCCAAGAGCACTAATCAAAAATGGTTAAGATGGGCGCCAAGTTTGCTAGTTCCCGTCCTTAACTCCGCTGAGTCAGCGGCCAAGGTTTCCAAGGTTCCATGGTTAGGTACCTCCACGGCTAGTTGATCCTCCTGCCCTAAGTCATTGTTCAACTGATAAAATGTCTTTTGGGTAAAATTTCGAAATGTGCCGGTAAGCTAAATACATTTGAATCGACCCGTTTGATCCTCCGCTGAGTAAGAGGAGGCAGTATCTTATTTTCCCAGATGGACCCTCCTGTTTCCCTTTCCCCTCTGCATTCTCAAAGCATCCTTTGTAACTGTTCATATTATCTCACAAGGTGCGGCCAATTATGACTCACTTGACATCTCATGACAGCCCGCCATCGAATTTGCCGCACAAGCGACCCTTCAAGGCATGCGACGCTTGCTACAAGCGGAAGGTAACTAGTCAAAGATCCTTTATCCCGTCCTACCATGTGTCATTTCTACACACAGATATTTATGTAAGGCAAACTTACTGATCGCGTCCGTACCAATCTAGATACAATGCGATTCTGCAGGTCCACAATGTGACTGGTGCAGTCATCATAACGTTTCCTGTACATTCATCAGATCCAAGCGATGGACGTGGAAAGTGAAAGGATCTGCCAAAGAGAAGTAAGTCTGATAGTTATCCACTTCAGGGTTACCTTGTTTTCTTCATTACTGAGATTGAGAATCTACCAGCACATCTCCCCGGATTCCCAAGGATAAATATAACGAGAACAAATTTTCAGAGGGAGACTCTCCAGCACATGATGGTATGGTTTAAACTTTGGATCATTATTGTGCAGGTTTGGCCGTTTGTGACTGACAACATCGTAGTGTCTTTGCCGTGTTCCTCTGTTCTGACTCGCGGAGCGAATGCCGAATATCTGAATGCGGAATTTCTTACGTCTTCGCCCGTGACGAACAATGCAACGCAATATACGAGTGTCAAGAGTTCTAAGGACTCTTGCAATTCATTATGCCCTGTTCCTCAAGTACCACGACACCAACACTTTTCCAATTCGTTACAGTTTGCAGTACCAAATGAGCCGTGGACATGCGGGCCATCTCAATTGAATCAACGAAATTTTACACCAATCCCCGCCCATCAGATAGAAGGGCTTCCCGATTGGTGCATTGTCCAAGAATGTCTTGATGCTTTTGAGAGTTCCCACTTACGGCTCGTCATTCCTGCCGTTGACCCATTACTATTCCGTCAAACCATCAAAACTGTATATCAAAATCCACTCCCCGGGTCATTCCCGGTACCAGCCAGTGCGCTAGCGAGTATTTTTACCTTTCTCCATTTTTTCTATACCCTACGTTTTGGGCCTATATCAAGCCTTTCGGTGGATGAGGGCGGTTATGCCGACAAAGCTCTGTCACTCTTTCCCAGCGTGATACGCGAAGGCGCTACCCTCGATGGACTGCAATATTTTGTCATGAATGTTTTTCTTCGGCCCTTGTCAGGGAATACCGAGTCTGTTAGGGATTATTTATCCCATGCGGTGAAATTCCTTTTCCAGCTTGGGGGTCATGGTATTTCCCATTCAGCCGGACTAGGGGAACATCTCCGAAACCTCTTTTGGCTATGCTACACGATAGACAAAGATTTGGCGTTGCGGACCCAACAGCCGCCATTGATAAATGATTCCCTGTGTAGCCTGTCGCTCTCGCCAGAATATGTTCAACGGTTTCAAGCCAAGCAGGGTTCCCTCCACGCCAATGGCCAGTTATTTGAGGGCTCCATATTCCCGGTCGACATTCGTCTGAGCGTGTTCAAATCCAAAGCATATGCAGCTTTGTTCTCCGAACAGGGCCGAAAAAGCCCGTTCCAGATCTACTGCGAGACATTCGAGAGCTGGATGAAGAGCTCGAGGAATGGAGGGCTTCTCTTCCCTCCGAATGGAAGATAACAGTATTATTTCATCCTCCCAGGGTCTCGGAAATCAGTGAAAATCCTGGCTTGCTAATTCTTCGGCTGCATTACCATAATTGCATGACCATTATTCACCGTGTCTCCGATAGGTTCAAGGGGGTGATGCCTCTCTGCCGTCAATTGCAAGGATGCATTCATTCAAGCTTCATGCTCTCTTTAGAGGCGAGCCGCTCCATCTTTCTCTACATACAAATGGTTGGCAGAATGATCCCGGCTGACAGCCTCGGGTAGGTCAATACCATGCCTGTTGCTCAGTTTCCGGAAGAATCGCTGATATATTCCCTACAGGATAATGATTTCATATTCTTTGTCATCGCTTTCTACCATCTTCTACAACATTTTGGCACACCCTCTTCATTGGCAAACTCGCCAGGATCTTCGCCTACTCCAGGGACCTGCTTTGATCATCATGCAAAGAATCGAACTTAGCAATCGATATCACAACAGCCTAGCGCATACGCAGCGTCTTGCTCAGCATGTAATGAATTTAGGCACAGTGGCCCAACTAGCTATTGAATTAGCCCACAAATAAATACCCTACCTTGGCTTCTGTTTACCTGAAATAGCCTCATTGAAAGACTAATAGATGAAGATTATTTATGTACCACCCAATCGTATAGCCAACCATGCAAAGCGCAGCAATGAATTCAGCGAGAGCAATCGGCCGAACAATAGGTGTGCTCAATTTTACTCTGAGATCAAAAGGTGGCAAGAGGAGAGCACTAAAATGGAAGGGGAATTCTCAAGTACCGTGTATTACCCGGTAGATATGTGTATATTGACCTTGACCTTGACCTTGATATTTATATTGATCTCTCAGCAGATTGCGCCTCCAATTCCGTCGGATTGGTCCCGGGATCCACTATCAAAAGGAAGAGTATAAAAGAGAAGCTTGCTTTTTTGTTTTTGATTCCCATTATGGTCTCTTAGTTCTGTTGGTTTTAAAATTCTTGTTCGACTTAAGTCCTGTCATAGCGCATAGTTCATGACATCAATCTACAAAAAGCACCTACACGACAAGACAATGACCCCGCGACTTTGACAAGGCTAGAAACTTCTCAGTCACAAATATCACCACCAGGCTCACTGTCCCAAAATATTATTTTTGTTAGTGTCCCGTATATGGCGCAGTTTATGATTCAGGCCAGTCTCTACATGTCCATTGCCCCAGTTAATATCATTGGTGACAGTTTTGGCACAGCCAATCCAGCCGGTTTGAGTTGTTTTGCGGCAGCTTACAGCTTGACTGTTGATACTTTTCTTCTTATTGCTGGTCAACTAGGTGATGTCTATGGCCATCGAAATGTGTTTGTTATCGGCTTCTGTTGGTTCAGCATCTGGTCATTCTTATTGGCTGGATTCAGTGTGTGGTCCAATCAAATGTGCTTTAATTTCTGTCGTGCATTACAGGGCATTGGGCCTGCGATGCTACTCCCAAATGCGATTTCTATCCTGGGGAGGACATACCCCCAAGGCCTGCGCAAGGAGATGATATTCAGTTTGTTTGGTGCGACTGCTCCTGGTGGGTTCATCGTGGAAGGTGTTTTCTCATCCATTTTTGCCCAGTTGGTGTGGTGGCCCTGGGGATACTGGGTTACGGGCATCGTGTGTGCCTTGCTCACCTGTATTGGCTGGCTGGTTATCCCATTCAGCGCCCAACTTAAGCTCTATGACAATCTTCATTTCTAGCAGCGTATTGATATACTAGAAGCCACAGCCGGAATTTTAGGTCTTGTGTTGATCAATTTTGCCTGGCACCAAGCTGCGTTGTTGGGTTGGTCGAACCCTTACACCTATGTTCGTTCTTCTTATAATTGGTTTTGTTTGCCTCGGCGAATTCGCATTGATTGAAACCAAAGCAATTTTTCCCTTGCTCCCACGGTCTGTTTTCACGGGTCAATTAGCGTGGGTGCTTGGGTGTATCGCGGCCGGCTGGTCCAGCTTTGGAATTATCATCTACTACTTCTACCAAATCATGGAAGTGATCAAAGGTGATTCCCCGCTGTTGGCGACGGCCAAATGGTCAGGAGCCGCTGCTTCCGGTGTCGTAGCTGCCTTGGTGATTGGATTTCTTGGTCGTTTGCCTCCAAGCGTCATCATGTTCTGCACGATGGCATTTTTCACAGCCGATCTCTCAATATTTGCCACAGTGCCCGTCGACCAAATCTACTGGGCGCAAGCATTTGTAGTGAGCTTAATCACCTCATTGGGAATGTAAGTCTTCTGATGTCTACCTCGTCACTATATTTGGATTTGTACGATTTCGGCTGATCATTTCATTTTCAGGGACAAGTCCTTTCCTTCAAGCACCATTATACTTAATAATTCCATGCATCGCCACCATCAAGGGCTGGCTGCATCCCTTGTAGCAACTACTGTTAACTATTCCATTTCTCTTGGCCTAGCATGTCCATCAAGGGGCAGGTGAAGTGGAATGTGGATGTCATAAGCAATGAAGAGGCACGATTCTACATTCCATTAACATCACCTTCGTCATTTTGGACATTGAACTGTGCAGAAATGGTCGTTATATCTCAACGAGTTTATTTCTTGAACTTTGATGATGAGAGTTGAGCTTGTGATTGAATCACTCAGCACCACAGGTATGTTCCATGACATATGAATTTCCTTTTTGCATATTTGTTCGACTATCAATGATGTTCATCCTGTAAATCTAACCTCAAGGAGAATAGATCGGGCTGTTTGAGTGATGTGAAAGCATCTATAAAAAGCCCATCATCCGCCGCTCCCAGACAACATTTGAAGCTATCAACACCATCACTTTCAAACATTGAAACGTCTTTACTTTCCACTTCAATTTACACATTGGTAATCGCATACTTCTTTACCATGCGTCTCTCAATTATCTGTGCCCTGTTTGTGGGAGCCGTGATTGCTATTCCCCATGGGGCTCAAGAAGTGAGTCTGATTCAGTCCTATGTGCAACCAACAGCTTACTGACAGATCTTCTTTTCTTAAAGCACGAACAGGTATGACTGATTGTTTAGTAAAGGGGTATTGCAATTGCCAATCTTATCTTACTTTTAGCGTGTGCAGCAGTCTACGACCGCTTCCGCCTCAATGTCAAGCACTATGCCGATGAAAAGGGCAACTTCAACTACCAGCGCGACTCCGTCAGCCTCAATGGAAGCTCAGAAGAGAATGTTGCCGTATGAATATGAGATCCTTTGAACAACGTTGGAGAACAAAAGCTCACAGAAAGCCTAATAGTTTCTAAAAGGCCGGCGAAACACCAAGCCAGTATGTAATGGCAAAGGCGTTGAACTTATATGTTCGGGCTACTCGCACTCTTTTACAATTGATGGAATGAATGTCTTTGTGTTTAGGTGCTTAGTACAGGTTTTGTGAATTTACCAATCAGATCAATGGCTTAAGGCTGGCAATGCCGATATTGAAGTAAAAAATTCCGTGCATTTCCAACTTATAACGTAAAATTTATTTGTTCATAGTTCAAATGAGAACCACTCTCAGCAAGGACCTGGTCGCATTGTCTTCGAGTATCAATATTAATCGCAGACCTGTGGCCAATTGTACAAATCCGGTACATAGGTACCCAGTCTTATACAGATCCACAGTAAGCTCCACACCGGGCCGTCCCGCGGAACTATGTATTGTGGGCTCATTTTGACCCTATACTATGTAGCTACCTAGTATATCTTCAACGGCACCGTCAGTCTAAGTCAACGTGGCTCGAGGAATCTCTACAGACGTGTCTTTATGTGAAGCGAGATTTCCACTGGACGTCGACCATTCACCGAGACTGTCTTGCCTGCCGGGATGGCGAGCTAGCATTCTTGTCACTTTCATTGCCCACTAGGTCGCCCATTGCTACTGCAGCATTGTGGCTCGTTAAGCACGTGTGAGGCACCGTCAAGGATGAAAAAACAGAGCCATGCAGGCTTGCCATCGCCCTGGAGTTGTCGCGATTGAGTCTTTAGTGGATCATACTTCTTCTTTTCTTTATCTTTCTATTCCCCCCCTTTTTTTCCGATTCACTCAGCAACAGTCATCGTCGAGATGGTCCATCCTGCAAAACATGCCAAAAGTTCTAGTCCTTTCAGCCCCAAGACCAATAAAAGGACCAACCATATGTTCATCGGGTGTAGACCATAATTATATAATTAAATAAAGAAACCTTGAAAATAACATGCCACCATTTTTGCACTCTCACTGCCTCTCTTGTAAGGCCCGTAAGTTACAAAGAGCTTGATGTACTTATCAGAATACATGTAGACAAAGGAACTACAACTATTCTGGTCGTGGAGCGGCTGGCGTGGGTTCAACTCCCTGCATCCGTTGACATACCACTCCTTCCAGTTTAGTTAGCCAATTTTCTGCTGTACAACTACTCTTGTCGGATTAGCGGGAAGGAGCGGGGGCGGGATTTCGCCAAGTCATCGACCTTGACATCTACACCCCTGATTTATTATCACTCTTCGTCCCATATGTCGGTCTCGCCTTTTATGACCTGTCTCGACCTAGTCTCCCTTCCCCTCATTGCCGGAAAGAGAAACGACCGGCATCATGTCACAGAGTCCAAACTCCTTTCAGCAACTGGAAAAGGTTCGTACCTTCTTTGATTTCCCTGAGTGAATTCATGTCATTATATGGTGGCCGTGAGATTGGAGAGAATACCTCAAGAATGGATCATGAAGAGTTGACCCCGCTAACTTTGGCCCCAGCTGGGTGAAGGCTCTTATGCAACGGTTGGTATCCCCCATCAGCTTGATAACCGGGAAAAGCTTCGGTCTCTCTGCAGGAACATCCGTTCATGATAATATTAGGTCTATAAAGGTCGGAATAACCAGACTAATGAGTTGGTGGCCTTGAAAGAGATCCACCTGGACGCCGAGGAAGGGACGCCGTCCACTGCAATCCGTGAGATCTCCCTGATGAAGGAGCTCAATCACGACAACATTCTGGCTCTGTACGATGTGGTGCATGCGGGCGAAAAGCTTGTAATAGTGTCGGAGTACATGGACAAGGACCTAAAGCGCTTTATGGATGACCGGGGTGGCGCTCTTGATCTCCCCACTATCAAGTCCTTTGCATACCAAATGCTGCGAGGCATAGCCTACTGTCACGAGAACAGCATCTTGCACCGGGATCTTAAACCTCAAAATCTGCTCATTGGCCGGGATGGAAGTCTGAAGTTGGCAGATTTCGGCCTCGCCCGCACCTTTAGCATCCCCGTCAACACTTTCTCGAATGAGGTGGTCACCCTCTGGTACCGACCTCCGGATGTGCTCTTGGGGAGCTGCTCTTACAACACCAGCCTCGATATCTGGTCAGCGGGCTGCATCATCGCCGAGATGTACACCGGTCTGCCTTTGTTTCCGGGCACCGCCAACGACGATCAGCTGCTCAGGATCTTTCAAGTGATGGGCACCCCGTCCGAACATACTTGGCCAGGCATCAGTCAATTTCCAGAATTCAAGCCCATTTTCCCTGTGTACCTGCCCCAAGACCTGCAACAGCTGATTTTCGGGCTGGATCCTCTCGGGGCCGATCTGCTAGAGCGCATGTTGCAATTGCGACCAGAGCTGCGAATCAGCGCCGCCGATGCGCTACGCCATTCATGGTTTCAGAGTCTTCGTTCTGAGACAGAGCCATCGACACAGAACGTGCCTACACTTATCTAAATTCCCATGTTGTTAGCCCCCGGAGAATATGGTGGAATTATCGCAAACAGTGAGGGCATGACTGTATCAGGGCCGTTACGAAGCTATTCAGAGGGAAACAGCGGGGCTTTCCAGAAGTTTATTTACGATGGAACACTCGAGTGTTGAAACGTAGTCTTTGCATGAGTGAAGCCTGTTGTTACTCCATTTGATAAACGAGAGGCCAGTTGCATACATATCCCCAAGAGCCCGGCCTAATGGTACATGTATCTTCATACAATACGGTGCATCCATGCTAGTCAGGAAAATGTTCTTTATATGTATACTTCCTAGGTCATGGTATTGAGGGCCACAGTACCGAAATATGGACTTGGCTGATATTCTGAAGGCGCAGAGCCCAAACCAGTTAACCCCACAGTCGACCTTGAATATTTAGCAACAGCAACCATGTTAACCTGCCAGCCCGAGAGCTCGAATATACTGCAATCTACCATGACCTTTAGTCCAACCTCCTTGCACTCGTAGCCTATCAACGCGGCCATGCTTTGCGGCTTCCTCCGAAGCAGTCCTCCCAGAAAAGCTTCTGCGAGAGGCGTTGACATTGGAACGGACATGAAGCAACTTCTGGGCTATTCTGATGCAAGAGAGCGCTAGACTACGGTAAACTGTAATAATGTGACCCGTTGTACAGCACATTGGTGGTGAATCCGAGTATATCTTGATGCAACTAGCCATCAATATTCTCGGCATAGGGTATCATTTTATCACTAACTTCTTGATAGGTGGGCGGACGATTTCCACACTCCCTTTCTAATAGAAAATTGCTTACTCTCTAACACGGAACTAGTGCCGCCCTTCTCATACGGCTTTCACGTAGTCGTTTACTCTGCTAGTGGTAAAGCTCGAGGAGAGGTATTGCGGGCATTCCATATCACCAAATGATATCGCTTTGACCTCCACCTTATTTTAGGAGTGGTTAAGTGAGGTTAGCCCAGGAACGTGATCACAAGATTTAGGTCACGGACTAATCACGTGATGACAATGAGCCTGGACTTGACTCTCAGCGCCCTCACAAAAGCGGCGGCAGCTAAAATAGGAAATAGGAAATAGGAAAGCCCTAGCAGAGAAAATCTGCTACGTACAACATTGTAGAGGTGTCTACATAGTAGATACCCATTGGACAATGAAGTTCATAATATTCTGCATAAGATGATTGATGAGCTACGAAACTCCCGAGGTATAACGCCATGTATAAGTCAAGAGAGCCCTGAGTAAATCTTGATTGGATATAAATCATTATTTTGAAAAAAAAAAAACGCCTGCCAGTTCAATGCATCGTGGGTATCGACAGAATGAGGAAAGAAGATGGCCATAACACCAGAATGCAAATGAGTGCCCGCAAAATCAACGTCCAGGGTAAATCACAGATAAAGGTTGTACATGGCTGTCGGGCTGCTCACAGGTTTATTGCAACCTGCAACCTGGCACTTTGAGAACGGCTTTGTCTTTGAAGATGCCTTTTTAGACTTTGAGATGGACCGATTCCCAGCGCACTCGCCACAATAGACCTGACAAAACCGTTAGTTTTTGTATACGACTTCATCAGCTCAAGATAGACAATACTCACATGGCCACATGCTTTTGCAATATGTATCTGTTGTTTCAGCCCTTCTCCGGTTCCCAACTCGTCATGGCAGTTCGGGCAGAGAGGCACGTCATCTTCTGCCAAAAGTCGAGTGAATCCTTCCGGTGCCGGGCTTAGTGCTTTATACGATGATCGACGAGGCCGGTGCGCCGGCTGACTAGGCGGATTATAGTCAAGGGCGGATACTCCATACTGAAGCGTGTCAGACATGAACGAAAGCAGGTCCTCCTCGGTCCGAAAATAGGACCTTCCGGGCACCACTCTTCTCGATTGCCCATGTTCTGATGCTCTCGTTGACTGTATAAGAGGACGAAAGTGCAATGGAATACCATTGTTGTCGAGGTATCGGGGTTCTATTGGCCTCGGCCTGACGGAAGAAGACCCAACGATCTGAACATCTCCACTGTTCGGCGAAACATCTACCGAATCTCCCGTTGTCTCCGCTTCCAGATCAATCACAGTAGGGTTATCAGCCAGAGTGGACGTGTGGTTCATCAAATCCAGTGGAAATCGTAACGGCCGGATCGGAGGTGGGGAATCTAGACGACCGCGAAATCTCATGCTTCGTTGAGGAGGAGAGTCTGGGTCTTCTGTCAAGTCGATCACGACATTATCTCCCGGTGAATGCATCACCGGCCGTCGGTAGTCCAACCCATCTCGATGTCTTCTGGGTGGCAAGCGGGTAGATTCAGATCGAGCGTGGTCGGAGCGACGGGGATGAAAGTGCTCCTCCCAAGCGGCATCGCCGCTTCCATCATTTTCTGTGGCCATCTCACGATGTGTTCGCTGAGAGAAATAGGAATATTGTTAGCTGGGTTCTTGGTGATCTGATCAGGTGCCCCGCCCGTTTCACGACGGATGAAGGCTTACCTTGGTCCTGGCGCCCATAAACTGGACGCCAGAGTTTTCACTCATTTCAGGGCCTATGCCTGGAGTCAAGTAATAGTATTTTTCAGAAAAAGGAGAAATTGAAGGCCACCAGGGAGGTGAAATGGCGAGATTGGAATCCATCTTTGTTTCCAGGCCGAGTCGAAAGGCGGTCGAGTTCTGCCAGTGTTATAGGGCGGTGTGTGCTCATTAGTAAGGTTTGCCTCTGCCCGCCGTTGAGCGCATTCAAAAATTCCAAAATTGACAGGACCAAGTGGCTCTGGCAGCAGATATTTAAATCGTTTCTGTAGAGATTTGTCGCTATCCATTATAAGTATTTCCCACCAATTTTTACAGCAAGATTTGAGCAAATAAAAGATGTGAATTCACGATGAGGTATTTCATTTATGACTACTACATAAGGCTGCCTGTGAACCTTAAGAGGATTGTCTGTGAATATCATCGCATCAAGAGCTGCAGTTTCAAAAAAACAAACACCATTGAAAATTCAGAAGATAGCATCCATGAATGCTCTAATATTACAGTATTTTCCTGGTGATCATGACTGTGCTGCCAGCACTGTGACCACACCCGCCTCATTCAATGCCACAATACTCTGAGCAGCTGATCCCCAAGCAACCGAGGTAGCAGGGACTGCACTCCGCAGAGGCTCTGACCATCCCTTGGAGGCCTTGGAGTATTGCTGGACAGTTACGCCGCCGGGCCCACCAGTCAAGAGGAATTGGCCAGTGTAATCCCAGAAGATCGAGTCAATTTGGCTTCCGGTGTCCAGTACCTTGGTTTCCTTCGAGCTGCGAAGATCCCAGATCGATACAGTGGTGGACTGCGCGGCCACCGCAGCCAAGTAAGTACCGTTCTCAGAGAAGAACAGGCATTTGACTGGGCCAGACATGGCATAGTCCGCAGCAGTGGCGCCAGTCTTGACATCGAAGATCTTGACTTGTCCGTCCGCGCCACCAGCCGCAATTAAGTGACCATCTGGGTGGAAGTTGACAGACAGTAGAGCTGAATAAAAGTGATTAGCATTGCGCTTGTCTATAAGTGTTCCATGGGGTGACTTCTTACCTGCATCGCAGAAAATCTGGGAAACCACAGTGTTTGTGGCAAGATCATAAAGCACATAACTCTTATCGGCACCAACGGAAGCAACAATATCACCAGTAGCGTGAACCGTGACGGCTGTCACCTCACCAGCGTGGGAGGCGAAGCTTGCAACTTCAGCACCATTCTCAAAGACCTTGACGGAGCCAGTAGAGGAGCCAACAACGGCCTTGTTTCCTGCCCATGTCGCATCGGTGACTGGGCCATCTGTCTTGAGGGTCTGCAAGACACTCTTCTGGGAGAGCGAGTAGACACCAACCACGCCGTCAACACCGCCAACAAGAGCCAGGTCACCAGTCGAGTTGATAGACAAAGCGCGGCCACCAGGGTAGAGAGCTTCGGAGGCCTCAGTTGGTTTAAATGTGGAAATAGTCTCACTTGAGGCCCAGCCCTCAGGGACTGCGCGCTTACGCCGGGTCTTTTGTAGCCTGTCCAATTGTTAGCCGTCGATTCAAAAATGCAATAAAGAGGCACCGATTCCACGTACGCTGCCTGTGTGTTCTCAATCCGTTCCAACACTTCCTGGGGCAACCCCGTAGAGTCCACCTGCATAGCCTCGCCTCCAGTGCGAGTGGCACCAACGGAAACGTTCGAAAGTGCTTCGCGGGCCTCATCCCTCTCCTTCGTCAGGCGCGCGATCACCCGCACCGCGGCATCGTGCTGATAGAGCGCCGAACTTAGCTCGCGCCTTGTCTGTGCCAGATTCTGCTGCAAAGTGAAGGTTTCCAGAGCCAAAGCATCCCATTCTTCTTGGAAAACGCTGAGAAGAGAAGGGATGGATGTGAGGGTAGGGGGTCGGGGTCGGACAACGCGTTGCGACTTGAGATCGATGAGATCGTCGGTGGTAAGCTCCTCGCCGTTCACTGGATCTTTGCCATGCTCGGCAATGTATGCCTCGATGAGGCGCTTTTCAAATACACCGCCTGTTTCATTATGAGATTAATGTCGTGCGCGCAAGCTGATTTCGACGACTTACCGCTCTTGGTAGAGACGACAGGCACTTGAGGTGCTTCTCCGGAGACTGCGAGAAAAGTTTAGTTAGGAAACTCATTTCAAGGAAGAGCAAAAAATTGCAATCAATGGTGGCCACTCACTAGCACAAAGCATAGTTAATTGAGATTGGTTGATGAGGGTTGATGGAGAGGACTTGACGCGGAGCGGCTCCTGGACTTTTCGATGTGCCCTATTGCGGTTTAGCGCCTTAAGCTGGGGGCGGTGTAGTAGGGCGGAATATTGCGACCGGCAGTGACGTAAGCCCGGCGAAGATTGTCCGGCAGAAAAGTATATAGTGCTTTCCGCCGTAATATATGAAGGTGGAGAGGGCGGAGAGAGAGAGACGGTGAGGCTTGTAAGCCAATTAGATTTAGGAAAATGGACGGTCGCAATACTCTGCCGTAGGCCCAGGAGCTATCGACTTTCGCAATTCTCCAATTCTTGCTTTTACACATAGAGTAACCTGTCTTTCTGTTTTGATTGAACAAAATGGACTTTCCTCAATGATCTACAAAATACGCAAAGGGCAGTACAAGTACAAAGCGTCACTTGAAAACTAGCAAGCGAATACAGCATTTCCACCATGCCTAAGAACCCAAAGTTTGAATATGGTACGTTGCTTCACACCTTTCTAACATGTCCTATATCATTCTGATCTGTTATACAGATGCAAAGCAGCCTGCATTCCTACAGAAACTCCGGGGCCAGTATGGAGACAACAACGGTCGCTTGGAGCGGCCTGCTTTACGACCCACCAGACTCAAGGTCAATAAGGACGACGACGACGACGAGCCTACCTACATCGACGAAGAAAGTAACGAAGTGATTTCCAAGGAGGAATACAAGGAATTGGTTGGTGAAAACAGCCCGAAAGCGGAGGGCGAGGCCGACAACTCAGCGAAGGACAACTCCACTGGCGATCAAGACAAATCCCAAACAGAACTTTCCACCAGCAAACAGAACAATCTCACTGAGGTTGGAGGCCAGAGGAAACGGAAACAGGCCAGAGTGGTGGGTGAGGACAAGGCCGAAGCCGAAGAAGTCCAGCCCAAGGCGACTATGAAGAAATCCAAGAAGCCCAAGAAGATCAAGCTATCCTTTGACGAGGAATGAGAGCCCAGCATGGCTTCTGAGAAGTATAGCATTTCTTTGCACCAGTTTCCAGGTCGTGGATGTTTGACTCAGTGTAAAGCGTTTAGGACTCATAATGAGTCAATAGCACAGGAATTACACAACGGGAATTGTATACCGTCATAGGATTAGAGACAGTTAAGATCAATGTCATCATATAGAAGAATATATAGGTACTAATGTCAATATTCAGTCTATAAGATAGAAATCCACCCAGCTCAAGAATCCGAGTGAAATAATAATTGAAGTGCTGTTGAAGGTCTGGGCCAAGGGCGCATCTTTATCAGCAACTTTTTTTGCAACTTTTTTTTCCTTCGGGATCCAGTCGCCTCTCATTCTTTTTACAAACCTGCTCTTGGTCTCAGTATCAGCCAAGATGCCTGTTGTTAATGTCGACCAGCTGGTCCGCCTACAGCGGAAGCCCGAGGACATAAGAAATGTGCGTGTGCCCCTCCATCCCACTCTGATGTCTGATGTCCGGGCTTTATACTAATCTCAAGCCACCAGATCTGCATTTTGGCCCACGTTGTAAGTCAAAGAAATGCACACTTCATTTTGTTCTAAATGAGTTTAAAATGCTCATCGTCTTTTCTTTTGCACTTTTAGGATCACGGCAAGACATCTTTGACGGATAGTCTTATTGCCACAAATGGCATCATTTCACCCAAACTGGCCGGTAAGATTCGCTACCTGGACTCTCGTCCGGATGAGCAGCTTCGAGGTATTACAATGGAGTCCTCAGCTATCTCACTGTTCTTCTCGATGCTCCGCCGTCCAAGCCCGGAAGCAGAGCCAGTGCCAAAAGAATATCTGATCAACCTAATCGATTCGCCTGGTCATATCGATTTCAGCAGCGAGGTGTCAACCGCATCTCGTCTTTGCGACGGTGCAGTTGTGCTCGTTGACGCAGTCGAAGGTGTCTGTAGTCAGACAGTGACAGTCTTGCGACAGACTTGGGTTGAGCAGTTGAAGCCAATCTTGGTTATTAACAAGATGGACCGCTTGGTAACAGAGCTGAAGATGAGCCCCGCCGAGGCTTTCTCGCATCTTAGTCGACTGTTGGAACAGGTCAATGCTGTCATCGGTAGTTTCTACCAGGGCGAACGCATGGAAGAAGATTTGCAGTGGCGTGAGCGTATGGAAGACCGCGTCAACGCTGCAGCGGCTCGGGACCAAGACAACAAAAAGTCGTCGGCAGACGATGAATCTGCACAAAGCATCGCTGAAGGAACTGAATTTGAGGAGCGCGACGACGAGGATCTTTATTTTGCACCTGAGAAGAATAACGTCATCTTCTGCAGTGCCGTCGATGGCTGGGCTTTCACAATCCGACAATTCGCCGCCATTTACGAGAAGAAACTTGGAATCAAACGAACAGTTCTGGAGAAAGTGCTTTGGGGTGATTATTATCTAGACCCTAAAACTAAACGCGTCTTGGGTGTGAAACATCTGAAGGGACGTGCTTTAAAGCCCATGTTCGTTCAATTGGTCTTGGATAGCATTTGGGCAGCTTATCAAGCCACCACAGGTGGTGACAAGGGCAAAGGGTAAGTTGACAATGAACCCAACTATCGTGTCAACGCTGATATTGACCTTTACTAGTGACCCAGTGTTGCTGGAGAAGATCACCAAATCGCTCAACATTAACATCCCGGTGTATATCTTGCGCGGACGCGACCCTAGGAACATTATGAATACTCTGTTCTCTCAATGGCTGCCACTATCTACTGCCCTACTGGTTTCCGTCATTGAATATCTCCCCAGTCCCCCCGCTGCGCAAGCTGCCCGACTACCAGAAATGATCAAAGCATCCCCTGGAGCTGCTTTCATTGCCGATGATATCAAGACTGCCATGGTGGATTTCAAGACAGGACCTGAAGAGCCCGTCGTGGCATACGTCAGCAAGATGGTTGCCATCCCGGAGAGCGAGCTTCTGTCTAACAAGAGGCGTAGCGAAGGTGCCATGACTGCGGACGAGGCCCGTCAAATTGCGCGCCGCAAGCGGGAGGAGATTGCAAAGATGCAGGCAGAAGACCGCAGTAATGGACAGCCAGATGACTTTGACCGCATGACATCGATTTTCGAAACCACCTCATTGATCACCGAGACGACCGAGGAGCCAGAAGAGCCAGTGGAGAAGGACGACCCTGATCATCTTATTGGTTTCGCTCGACTCTATTCCGGAACCCTTTCGGTTGGAGATGAGATCTATGTCCTCCCACCCAAGTTCTCCCCAGCCAACCCGCACGCTAGCCCGGAGCCAAAGAAAGTCACAGTTACAGATCTGTACCTGATGATGGGCAGAGCTCTCGAGCCCCTCAAGTCTGTACCAGCCGGTGTGGTTTTCGGAATTGGAGGTCTTGCAGGCCATGTCTTGAAGACAGGCACCCTCTGCAGCCGACTGGATGGAAGTATCAACTTGGCTGGTGTTTCGCTGAGCATGCCGCCCATCGTCCGAGTTGCACTGGAACCAGTCAACCCAGCAGACCTCGGCAAACTAGTCACTGGCTTGCGCTTGCTCGAACAGAGTGATCCTTGTGCGCAGTACGAAGTACTCCCTAGTGGTGAACACGTTATCCTCACAGCAGGTGAACTGCACTTGGAGCGTTGTGTGACGGATCTGCGGGAGCGTTTCGCACGTTGCGAAATCCAGACCGGCGAGGCTATCGTCCCCTACCGTGAAACCATCGTTCACGGCCCCGAGATGGCCGCACCCAAGAACCCCGAACTTGGACGTGGAGCCGTTTTGACGGTTTCCGCCTCCAAGCAAATGACCCTTCGTCTGCGCGTGGTTCCGATGCCAGAGGCCGTGACGGAATTCCTCACTAAACAAGTCGGAACTATCAAGCAGCTTCAATTGGAGAAGCGCTCAGAGGCTGAAGGCAAGACAGAGACCGAGAACGCAGCTGAAGCTGCCGTTGATGGTACTGGCGAGGCGCCTGAAGGCCACATTCTCTCCAAGCAGGAATTCCGCGAAGGACTGGATAAGTTGTTCAACGACGAGGTCAAGGAAGACAAGGAGCTATGGAAGAACGTCGTCAACCGAATCACTGCTTTCGGGCCCCGGAGAGTCGGACCCAACATTCTGGTTGATGCAACTGCAGTCAACACATGCGAGAAATTGTGAGTATAGCAGTCAAAAACACTGTGCCTATCATTCAGATCTAACAACTCGTTTCTAGCTTGGTCGATGACACGAAGCAACAAATCGACGGTGATAACCACCAAGCACTACTCGTGCGTGACTTCAACGACAAAATCGCGTATGCCTTCCAGCTCGCAACGGGCCAGGGCCCCTTGTGCCAGGAGCCTATGCAAGGCGTAGCCGTGTTCTTGGAAGACCTATCTGTACAGTCTAGCGCAGGCGACGAGCTTGACATGGGCCGGTTGACAGGCGAGTCAATCAGACTGGTCCGTGAAGGTATCTCGGCCGGTTTCCTGGACTGGAGTCCTCGCATCATGCTCGCGATGTACAGTTGCGAGATCCAAGCAACCAGTAAGTATTTCATTACTCTCCATTCCTATTTATTACCCAATATTCCTTCACGCCATCACATGCACCAAACGCAAAAAGCAAACCCACAACTAACACGCAATCTTCACCTCAAAAGCCGAAGTCCTAGGCCGCGTCTACGCAGTAATCACCCGCCGCCGGGGCCGCATTCTCTCCGAAATAATGAAAGAAGGCACTCCATTCTTCACGATTATCGCCCTCCTCCCCGTAGCCGAGTCGTTCGGGTTCGCCGAGGAGATCCGCAAGCGGACGTCCGGCGTCGCGCAACCGCAACTGATCTTCGCGGGCTTCGAGGCTCTCGACGAGGATCCGTTCTGGGTGCCTGCTACCGAGGAAGAACTTGAGGACCTGGGTGAGCTTGCGGATAAGCAGAATGTTGCTAAGCGGTACATGGATGCTGTGCGCAGTCGCAAGGGTTTGGTTGTTCAAGGACGCAAGTTGATTGATGCGGAGAAGCAGAAGACTTTGAAGAAGTAAGGTCGGTGTACGATTTACTCTGGTAGAGTCCAAAATGGGAGATTTATTTGCATTTTATTTGGGCTTTTTTTGTAGGATAAATTTAGATATGATATATGGATTGGTTGGGGATGTCACTCCAAAACCCTCTGTCGAGTCGCACTGAGCAGACTTGGACACGGCAGACGAATAATAGGAGGTTCGCAGAAGATGAGAGTCCTCCGCGTGTTCTTCAAAGAAAAACTTCAATCTCCCTCACTTGACAAACACAGTCCGACATGGCATAGGTCTCGACCGTGTATACTAAGGAGGGTTACCCGGTAGGGTCTACGAGTAGCGGCGTTGACGCCTCTCTACTTGTAAAGACAGGCGAGGAGAGAAGCGACCACAGGATGGCAGACTGCAGTCGAGGATGGAAGGAAAAGGAAGGGCGGAAATGACATGGATTTTTCAATCATGTCTCCGCTGGGTATCTTTATTCTGAAATCGTTATCAATGTCAATAATACACATGGCCGTGAGTACACATTGGTGTAACTGTATCGAGTCAAACGGTAGGCGTTTTCCAGCTTCATGAAGCATGGAAGTCGTCATTCTCAGGCGGCATGCTGCTGCTTGAGAGCGTGGAACAAGTATGGGGGCTTGGAAGGTATTCCTCGCAGTGAGGGTTGGGGAGTGTAGTTTTGTTGACACCCATGGATCCCGGAGGTAGAAAGACCATGCTCTCAGGGGATGAGCTAGACCTGCCGCGGACATATGGGTGGACGGGGGCAGAGTCTGCTTGGTTGTTGTTGGTTGAACCACTATGTGGCTAGTTAACAGTAGAGGTAAAGGGGGCGAAGCCATTGGCCGCGCGAGGTGGACCGATTTCGAGAAATTGTATGTTCTCAGAACGGCCTGGCGACCTTCCTCTGCTCACTAGTTCCAGTGACAGGATCTCTCATTTCCTTCCAGCTAACAGGGAACATCATGTTGCCAGCGTCACTGCGAGCCATGACAACACCGAGATCATTGCGGGCGGTAGTGATGTAGTAAAAGCTCTGATCGCCAAGCGAGATAACAGAGCCGCGAACGATATCGCCGACACGGAACATCTCATCCATAACGACACGGTCCTTCTCAACAGCCCGTACATCTTCCTTGCGGATAAGTGCTTGGAAGCGCAGTTCATCGGTGCTGCTGTGGTTCTCTGGGTTGGCGGCAGATGTGAGGATGGAGGCGACATTGTCATTGTCTGAGGCTGTTCGTGGTTGGACTTGGGATTGCGTTTCTGATTCGTCTAGTACGACGAGGATGGAGACTGTGGCTTGTCGCTTCTGCACGCGGGTCACTCGCGCGAGAACGATGGAGTCCACGGCGGGGAGGGTGTTGTAGCGGGGCTTCGGCATCGTTGACGATGCGGCGGGAACAGCTGGGTTTGAGCCTGCTTGGTCTTTGGAAGATATCACTCGTGAAACTCTGAGGGTTGGTCTTGTTTGTGACTTCGGCTGTACAGGGTCTGCAACCACGGGTCCAGCGATGGAGGCGTAGATGAAGGATTGCTGAACGTGTGTGCCGGGGCCTGCAGAATATGTGGATAAAGGGCCGAGGCGTTGCCCGGGAATAGCGATAGGTGGTAGAGAAGCCATGTTGCAAAATTGGAGTTGGGCCAATTTTGAGGTGGAAAAAGTTCTGGAGTTTGCAAAGGCAGCGAGTTTTCTGGACCTTTTTTTTAGGGAGCTATAATACGGCCCGGGTTTAAGTTATTCCGAACACAGCTTGTATCCACACTAGGTACTTGGTACTCAACTAGGAATGTACGACTTCAAATACTTCGAACTACATAATTCAATTACAATTCGTCAATATAAGCGTCCATCTGTCTGCAGGCAATTAATTATAGAGCCCATATCTAGCATGAATAAACAGTGTATGCGTCGAAACAACAGAGACAGCGGCACCGGCCCAGAAATACCATGGGCATGTAACAACGAAAGAAGAGATAAAAAAGAAAAGTCCATATCACTCCAAATGCCCGCTGACAAAAGTGAATAAGTGGATTTAATGTCCATACAATAAATACCCCTTGGCGGGGAAAGAAACAGAGTCACACAGAAAGGCTGACATGACACAGAAAGGACCGAAAAAAAAAACAGTGGGGGGATAATCAGATGAAACAGAGGGTTCAAGCTTCCACCAGGGTCTGCTTAGGACCAGCTCCAACCAGCTCAAGGCAGCGACGGGCGAGCGTAATGACTTCACCCTCACCGTCATCCACATCTTCTTCGTCCGACTCGATATTCTTGTCGGAGATAATCTTGACCAAGTGCACGATGTCTTCGGATCGTGAAATATATCCAATGAGCTTCTTGTCTTCGGACTCAAGCAGTTGGAGGAGGGTCCAGATGGCAATGTGCTGGAATGTGGGATCTCCGCTGGCAAGGAAGCGATGAAGGTAGCCATGGATGCCACCATTGGCGTCTGCCCAGTCGCGAACGAACATCGAGTAATCGCCAACTACATTTGTGTTAGCAGATGATGACAGGACACAGAAATACAAGGAGCGCTAAAGGGAAAGTAGAATACCTTTGGAGGACAAATTGCCCAAAGCAGCCGCGCTGTTGCCTTGCACCTCAATGCTTTCGGAGTTTGTCAGAGGAATCAAGACATCAAAGACTCCTAGGCTGAGAAGGTGCGGCTTCAGCTCTTCGCTGAGTGCCAGCACAGCGATTGCAGCAGTCATCTCAGATTGGACTGTAAGAGGAACACGGAGGACCAAGTCCTTGCACTTCTGTACTGCTCCGGCCTGCAAAACAAGTTCTTTGTTGCGATCGGAGCTAGCAGCAAGGTTACGAAGCGTGGATATAGCGTGACATTGTATCTCTTCATTGTCAGTCGAGCCTAGGAGATCCACCAACGGCTTCAAGAAGCCCGCTTCGATGATAGGGGATTCGTTAAGAGGATGAATAGAGATGTTGCGAATACAAGCGACGGCGGATAATATGAGAGGAAGGTAGGAGGATTGTAGAAGTCGTAGCAGTGGAGAAAGGCCCTTGGCCCGAACAATTTCAAGCTGGTATTTCTCATCAGAGGCGAGGTTGCGTAGGGCGAGCGCCGCTTGGCATTGGACTTTCGGGGTGGATGAATCCATAAGATGAACCAATGATTGCACGAGGCGCGACTCGGTTTGGGCGAGTCGCTTGCGATTGGTCGAGTCAACGGCGATATTGCTAAGAGCCGTTGTGCAGTAGTACTGCACGTCGACGTCGGGCGATGAGAGGAGATGCACGAGCACGGGAATGGCGCCGGCATTGACAAGTTGCTGTCGGTTGTCATCTGGTCTTCATGTTAGAGAAACGGCCCTTTTCCAGACGAATCAATTGAAATCGCTTACCCGAATGGGTCATATTGAGCAATGCGCCTGTCGCATTTCGCTGAACACGCATATCCTTCGACTTGGCCAGGCGGATGAGAGGACCTAGAGCGCCAGAGCGAGCAATCTTGGCCTTGTTCTCCTCATGCGTCGCAAGATTGGTTATACATCCGACCGCATTGCACTGTACCTCAACATTGGGGGACATCATCTGGCGGATCAGGGGAGACAGCCCCCCGAGGGTGACGATCAAGACCTTGTTCTCAGCTGCACCGAGTTAGCGACCGTGTGGGAAGCGGGAGAGGAGATGGGTGACGGGGATGGGGACCAACCATTTACGGCGAGATTGCCCAGCGCTGCACTAGCAGCCCGTTGAACTTCGATATCTGAGCTTTGAAGTAGGAAGAGGATAGGTTCGAGGGTATCACGATCGACCTCGCGCACATCTGCAGATAAGACGAAAGGTCAGGTCAGCTATTGCATCATTGCCATCCAGGCGGCGATACGCACCTCGCTCTGTGATCTCAGCAAAAGTCAAGCTAGCGCTTCTTTGCAGGTCGACATTTTCAGAGTAAACCAGGGTACTCAAAGCTCGTAGTGGCTCGCCGTGGAAGAAGTCGGTCTCCGCGCGCTGTACATTGTTGAAAGTTAGCGGTATGCTCGGGGTATGGGTGGTACCCAGGCGAATCAAGTCCCAGATTCTGATTCAGTGAAGGGAAAGGTCGCGATTTAGAATGATGAATTGTCTAGCACGTACGTTCTCCAAGTAGCCCAGAAGATCTGATACCGCTTCTCGCTCATTATCGGCCAGGGTGGTTTCGTAGATACCGTCTCGAGAACGAGCTCCGATGGGACCGAGACATGCTGTAATATGACACCATCGGTCCACTGCTGAAAAGCAAGACAGACAGGCAGTCGCAATTCCACTCATGCTGGCTAACAAGCCCGCATCGGGCGCGGTCTGGTGAGGTCGGAGATAGATGCGAAAGACGAGCGGTCGGGAAAGGTGAGATTAAGGGAAGTCGAATAAACCCGAAGCTTTGGAGGGAAACACAAAAAGCCGCGTGATAAAAAAAAAAAGTCACTTTTGGAGGGAAGCCTCCTGATGCTTGAAGGAAGGAAGTTCCAAGCGTTTCATTAAGGGAGGGGGGAAAGAGAGAGATCGAACTAGTCTCCTCAGGCAGAAACTTGAGATTAAATGGCTTTCTATGTACCTGGGTATATATCTGTGATCGAATTGACTATTTCAATCTAATTCTTCTTTCTTTTTAGATCATATTTATTATCTCCAAAGGGTTCTAATAATTATTTCCATCTCGATTTTAACAAGCAGCTTCAACGCACCTGGGCATACATCATCGGCTCCGGGGGAAGCTCCAGGGCTGACCAATCCGGAAAAGGGAATCAACTGTATCATCTACAAAGTACATTATTTAACAATAGTACGTTGTACAACATATATATCTATATACAGATTCTACTCTATAGAGGTTAAAATACTTCTTATATCACAATATCACAATTCTCAAATCGGGTTCAACGCCTTTTGCCTACTCGGGCCGTCTAATGTGCACTTTCCAGCCTCCCCCGAGGGTCCGTGCAACACTATACACCAATGAAGGCATTACCTTTGCTCTTGTGATTTTGCAAGTGACGCAGATGATCACCAGATAGAGTCACATATGGATAGGGTCATGTTAGTGTAGATTTTTTAGAGATCGACATTTACACTAAGGTGTATCACATGGAATACTACGGAATAGATTGGGGATATCTTCCAAGCATGTAGTTTCTTTTTAGTTAACTTGTTGACAGAAATATGTCTTTCTAGGCAACTTTTTTTTCTATGTTTCAATATCGATCGAACAAATATGGAGTATATATGGAGTACGGAGTACATATGGCATATTATGTGAAAGCATGGACCAACTATATATGCTGGTTCCTTATGTTGTACATGAAGTAAGGACGCTAAAATGTGCCTCAAGCCAAGGCTGTCAGTCTACATACAGGATGCATATAGAGTCAGTCCAATATACTTGGGAATACTTCAGATTTGCCATATTCATACATTATCTATTGTGCTGCTCTCTATATATTTGTGCTTTAAATAGATATATGTACTTTAGTATTCTACGCTACTTCGAAGATATAGTTATATGCTTCCTACAACATAGTCTACTAACTAATAAAAGTATGCGGGGAAATAGCATCGCCAAGAAATGCTGACTGTCAGGGCATTAATAACCGATGGCAAATGGGCAAATACCCAGAAATGAAACCCTGGAAGAAAGAGAGAGAGAGTCCACGGGTATATACAAATCAAAAAGGGCTAAACTTCCCCAGCTCTCCTTTTATCTCTCTTCCAATTTTGCTCTTCTTTCACTCCTTTGTTCATCTCACTTTCTTAAATTTCCTTTCTAAGATCATCTCTCTACCCTAATCATATGATGCCTTGGTAAACCCCCCCATTGAATAGCATCAGCCCAGTTGCAGATCCCACCTGTGACGTGCCCTCTTGAATCTCTGGGCACTATTTGATTGCCTGTTAAATTCTTTCATGGTCGCCAAATCGAATCCATGTCTACCTCAGTCACCGCCTCCACCTCCCTACCTGACAGCCCTCGCCCCAGTCGCCTGCGCCGCTTCAGTTTACGAACCTACACTCAGAATCTGTCCTTGCCCAGTGCGCAGCGCTCGTATAGACACAGTTTGAGTAGTCGAGTTCCTTGGTTGAATTCGGACTCCATCTCTCCGACATCGAACCCCACAGCTTCCCCATGCCCTGAAAGTGACCATCCATCCCTCTCTCGTTACACCTCTGCGCCCGCCCCGAGTTACGGTTTTGGTACCGAACTCAATAGCCAGGTATCATCCACCGAGTCCGCAGCTTCTACACCTTCCAACGACCTTACCCAAGCACCCAATTCTATGGCGCGCCTGAGGAGCGTTTCGGCCGTCCTTCGTCCGCCACCTCGCACGTTAGAGCGTGCTACAAACAACTCTCAGGAGTCCACCCCATCCCCTGAACCGGCTGCCACTCAAAGTAATGCGATCGAGCCCACCAGCGCCCCTGCAGATGGGCAGGTGACCCCCTCAAAATCAGAGACCAAGGCGACCATTCGGTTCTTTCCCTACCAAGACTCCCTCCAGAGTTCGAGGCCCTCGTTACCTTTCGTCCCAGTCGCCCGAACCCTGCCATCAGAGAGCTGTGTTATTCGCGTCGGTCGATACTCGGAGCGTGATGGTGTACCCCTCCCCAACCCGACCGAACCCTCGGATGCCCCCGTAGGGTTCAAGTCGAAGGTCGTTAGCCGGAAACACTGCGAGTTCTTGTACGTGAATGGACAGTGGCACATTAAGGATGTTGGCAGCTCTTCGGGTACATTTTTGAACCACATGCGCTTGAGTCAGCCGAATATGGTGTCCCGTCTGTACTCCATCAAAGACGGCGATATCGTGCAGTTGGGTATCGACTTCCGAGGGGGAGAAGAAATGATCTTCCGATGCGTTCGGATTCGGATTGAATGCAATCGATCGTGGCAGCAGCAGCCTAACGAGTTCAAGTGGGATCTTACCTATTGTCTGGAGTGTCATGTGATGCTAACAAATATTTCAGCAAAAACACAGAAAGCCTTATCAAAAACTTGGGCAAGGGTGAGACGGCTGATTATTCGGGTTGTCGTGAATGCTCGATTTGCCTTGGCTCTGTCTTGGTTGGTTTCTTCTTTCTCCCTCCCAATCCTGCATCTACTGACTATATTGAAGCGGCCCTATCAGTGTTTGTTCATGGCAGCCTGCGCGCACGTCTGGCATTACAAATGTATCAGTCGTCTGCTCCACTCTCCCGATTACCCAATGTTCCAATGCCCCAACTGCCGTGCATTCACCGATCTCAGCGCCGAGGTCGATGACTCGAACGACGCGGAGGAAAAACGAGAGAAGGAAACGGCAGAAGATGGGCCATCCAATGACTCTGCTGAGCAGCTCGAAACGGAGGCACCCTCAGTCGTCGAAACAAACAACATGGAAGGACCACCCGATCAGCTCGGAGATCTTGCCGAAGAGGAAAACTTGGCCAACGATGTTGAGAACCTGCATCTACAAGATGACCAGCAAACGGATGACACTCGAAGCTCAGCCTCGCCAGCACCTAACTCAAGCAACGATGACCTCGCCCGCAGCGCCACTATCAACATCCCCGGGTGGCAATCGACGCAGCCACTCAGTGTGCCATCTGGTCGCCAATCACAACTACGATCCGAAACGCCAACATCTGACGACAACCCGTTGACTCCAAGAAATGACTCGGGCCCTTTGGCCTTTGATGGCCGAGCAGGAATGCCATAATGCCGTCGCTTCAGATCAAATTGATTCTGGGATGCGAGGGGCTTTGAGCATTTTAATACATAATTATCCTTCTTTTTGGCATCTACCCTTTCTGTAGGGGGTTATCATCTGAGCATTCTACGGTATCACCTTTGCAAGCAATCATGTCTGCGTTGGCTTCTTCGGGTGCACACTCCATATACACCGTTTGCATTGTTCAATAGCGCTTACCTCTTCCATCTAATTTGATTCGTCATGGCGGCCCAGCGTTCTATATCCCCTGCACCAAAATCCACTTATACCCATTCGAGATCTGGACTGTTGTTTTGAATCTCGGCACATCTGATGAACCAGGAACATTCTTTCGTTAGCCTTCTGAATTTTTCTATAATTATAACTAGGTAATAGCACGTTCGGCTTGACTCGTCTCCTCGTACCCCTACCCCAATCTTTTCCCTGCCTGCCTACATGCCTAGATATCCCTGGAGGCGTCTGCCTTAACATCGACCTCATGAAACACAACCGGAACCATACTCGAAAAGGTCCAGAGCTAGCAAGATCATCAGAAAATATCCTATATTTCTGAGCGAGATAAAACTCACTCTGCTTTCTACAACTTTCCAGTGTTGACTGTCAACCTGAGCCTTGGGACGATACACATCGAGTCGTTCTAGCCGGTTGTCGGCACCCCATATGTCTAAGAGCGAAAGGACAAAATGCTTGTTGGCATTATCTAATCGCAACACACCATGATGGATTCTCTGCAGATAATGCTCGCTGATGAATTCGGTAATATCCATCTGACGCATGACGAAATATGTGCTGGGAGTGCCGTAGAGGTTGAGCGGTATTCGATATAGATAGTGAAGAGCCTCTATAGTAATCTTCTTGTTGAGGAGAAGAATAGATGGTGTATATCGCTTCACATAAAGTCGAGGAATGGCGCAAAGAGGACCACCGCCGGCTGATGACTCTTGGTCTCTCAGCTTTCGATAGCTCTTCACATATTCATTTGGTTTTAGTGAATGTGTGTATATTATCAGGCGAATCTCGGCTGGTAGATCAAGTAGTAAGGAGACCATGGCGATTTGCAGTAATCAAGTTGTGAAATGCTCATTGCAGTCTGTCCTTACCCCTCTTTTTCTCTTGATGGCCCCCATTAGAGGCCCTATTGGCTGTGGCTGGAGTATAAAATAAGTGGATGTCACAACAGTGTGAATTTTGTTTCTTCTCCAGGTCATGACAATCTTCGCAACTCGGAAAAAATCAAACTTTCATCGGCATATCGACTAAAAAGGGAAGTTCCGAGTACTTGTTTCGTTATTGAGACCAACAGGAAGTTCACGATATATGATTCCAGTAAAGCATTTACCCATACTTTCTTTACCTTGCAGCTATCATAACTTGTAGGAAGACTAGCCTCTCAATTGGAGCTTCACCCACTCATCAACAGTCGTAGGCTCCCTCCCAATCAACCACCTCAACACACTCGGATTCCCTTTCAATCCACGCCGATTATAGAATAAAACTAGCCTCTCAGCCTCATCCCTTGTAATATCGGGACGCAAATCCCCATGTGAGGCCGGCCATTTCAAATCTGAATCCACATGATCCCCACTATACACGCCGCTCTCCCCGGCATACAAAATCTTGAGAACCTTGCTAACACCCTCTTCAAAAGTGGGAGCTGAAACAACTATCTCCTTACCAATATGCTTTCCAATAACCTTAACAAAGTCCGCATCAGACACCGGGAACGTCGAGCACAGCGGATACTGAGCGAAATAGTGTGCTTCCCGCTCGTCCAAAACCCGGGCTCCGGCTTCAGCCAGATCTTTTAGCGCAACCAAACTATTGGCAACATGTGGATTATAGATGTTCCAGATATAATCAATAGACGGACTCTCCATTTTAGCAAGTTCAGCGGCCGGGTACACATCCATGAAATTGGTTGGTTGGAGAATTGTGAAGTTCAGAGGACTTAGTAGCAGCCTTTCTTCGACGCGGCTCTTGTGATCGTGCTGCATGAGGTTACGATGCTGGGTGCCGAGAACACTGGAGTAAACGAAGTGCTTGAAATTGGTATCTGGCTTTTGGCTCTCGGCAACGGCTGCGTCGATCATGTTGATCCCGATTTCCATTTCGCGGGAGTGGAGTGAGGGCCCCACGTGGTAGACTGATGCTGCGTTGCTGAGAAGCTTGCGGCATTCGGCGAGGGAGGATATGTCGCATATTTGTACTTCGGCTTCTGGGTAGGTGGTTTGGAGATGAGAGGCGGATTCGGAGGTGTGGGCTGCTAGACGGAGTTTGAATCTGGATTTGTTGTCTAAGAGAGGGATGAGATGAGAGCTTTGTCTGCCGCCTGGGCAAGTGATTACTAGGATTTCTTGCATTTCGATATCGACTGGACGTTTGGTTTAAAAAGGTTGTCAGTCGGAACTCGAACAGTTCCAGGGTTTATATACCAGGTGGAAGTCTACACGTCAGATTTGCCCCTCATCCAGCCGCACTTTCATTGGCTCAAATGTGGATTGTGTTATACATTGTACGAGACAGATTAGACCACTCATACCAAAGGAATCGACATAATATTCCCACTACAGCACATCTTCTATCATTCAATTTGTTGCGACAAATATAGCGAACTGATGTATATAGAGTCACGTGGCTGATGGCGCTAGAAATGCCAAGTGGGTCCGGAACCAAAGAGACGGTGGAGCCACTTTCAACCTTGGAATGTTGACGGCCATCCTGGACCCGATTTCAATCTCCCCCGGATTTCAGGGCTTGGTTGGATAGCAAGAGCCGAATACGACAGTCCCCCGGGATTCACAGACAGGGGTCAGCCTCACAAATCGGTCTGCATCGGTTCAGATCTAAACAAGATGAGGTTAAATTTCAGCGAGCCACCGACTCCGACCTTGAGTCGCCAAAGCACTACAATACAAGGTCATCACCAACGGCGTGGTACTCATCCCCATCGGCTGTCATCACGGGCAAAGCCAAGAAGGTGAGCCAAATAATCGGTATCTGCCAATCATCCGCATGTGCTAACATTGAGCAGATGGCCACTTGTTTTTCGTTTTATCAAAGGTGCAATCCATGGTGCCATATTAGTCCCGGTCTCTCTGCACGCTGTATTCACAGCCTTGATCGTTTACTTGGATACATTCGTATTCGAAACTGTCGGTCTACCTAGCACCATCGTATGTTCTCCCCAACCAACCAGACGAGATAGCAACTAAACATACCAAAAACTAGATCCCATCTTTATCTATTGTCGTAGGTCTAATGCTTGTTTTCCGCAACCAAACATCTTACAATCGATTCTGGGACGGGCGCAACGGAATGAACACGCTCAACACCTGCGTGCGCAACCTCGTCCGCACGATCGCAACAAATAGCTACAGTTCAAAGAGGGGACCACCCACTGCCGCAGAGCGCGAGGATATCGAGCGTACTATCCGCATTCTCATGGCTATCCCGTATGCCGTGAAAAATCATTTACGCGCTGAATGGGGCGCTGCTTGGGTCTTTGGTAACTCCGTTGAGGAGGATCTGAACATACATCCATCCACCCTTTATAACCCCGAATATGCCAACCTGCTACCCGCGGGCCTTGAGGGTCATGAAGATGAGGGATTAGGTCTCCCTTTCCAGCTGACTTTCTTCATTGATGGGTTTATCAAGCGTGGCGAAGAGCGTGGGTGGTATCCCGCACCTGGTGCTAGTCAGATGCAGGCTCAGTTGAATACCTTGACTGATGCATATGGGAGGATGGAAACGATCAAGTTGACTCCGATCCCAGTGGCTCACTTGTAAGATTCATGGCTATAATGCGTCTTGAGTTAAACTTGTATATTTCAATCACTGACTTTGAACCAGGATTCACCAAAAGCAAGTCCTCGCCCTCTTTGGATGTGTTTTACCGTTTGCTATGGTCGATGAGATGGGATGGTGGGCCATCCCCATTGTCAGCCTTGTTATCTTCACACTCTATGGTATTGAGGGAATAGGCTCCCAGTTGGAAGATCCCTTTGGCTACGACAGAAATGACATCAAGATGGACGCTATTGCCGGTGACTCCAAGACTGAAATCGATGTTGTTTTGTCTGAGTGGCGCACGCACTCGAAAGCCATGGAGGCATTAAGGGAACAGCCCGCCGGTGCAGTTCACGGTAATCTATGTTTAACGCCTGATCGAACTGAATCTGGAAATGGAAGTGTCGACGGGAAGTATACGCCCCCAGACTTGTTCTTGAGGTTGAGGCCGAGTACTGGCAGGTGAAATTTTGGATATAGAATATCTATCCGGTGTATGCTGGCGCGATCATCTACATGTATAGCCTCGACTTACTTAGCATTAGAAATATCAATTTATCAGTGAACTAGAAGGTAAGCCCACGCAGTCTTCTTTATGGACTGAATATACCCGTGACCGCCGCAAGCTGGCTCAAGTCTTGCTGGTTCTACTGTAGGCGCAGATTCTGAAATTGACATATGGAATGTGATGCCACGAATTAAAATTGTTAATATGAGTTGGGTATCTAATGCAGTAATCAAGAATAGCTAAGCAGATACATTGAAATATCATAAAGGCGGCTCGAGTGCCAGAACGCCATCCAATATTGAATCCGGCGTCACATCAGCGAGAACATCAGATACCGCATGTAAATGACTTCCATACTGCAGACTGCGGTCTTCGCCAGGGGGAGTGACAATAATGCGATGGCGAAAGACTTTCCTGGCGGCTAGGGCCACGATGGAGGGAGTCAGATAATCGATACCATGAAGAGGGGCTAGAAGTCTGTAGATTAAAATCAATAAGATACGAGACATAAGTGATTTGGTGGAGGATATGTTAGGACTCACTGTGCAAATCGAGAAAATTGAATATTTGCATTGGCAGACACACCACCCGCAACAGCGCGACTGAGCCGCAGAAATACAACGATATCTTGGATGTATCGAACGACTTCCGCGCTCGTGCTCACCGACGCACTTGTTTCTCGAAGTTGATCCATTACCTAGAAGTTCATGAGCCCGGAATTAGATTATTATATTCTGTTCGTGATTCTAAAACCCAAGTGGATTCGAATAATATCAAACTTACCAACGGGCTGACCGTAGCACTCCTCGTTTGCTTGCCCTTCGACTTATGAATAACAGAGGAAGCCGAAATTTGTCCATCTGAAAGCCAGTCATTCTCTTCAAGGTAGGTATACCCAGCCTCGGGGCTGTGGAAATGAGAAACGAAGAGATTGTCATTCTACCGCGGCATTAGCTAAAGTAAAGCAGTTAACATGCGGGCATGCACAGATATTACTTACCATATGTGGTTTCAAAGGTGGTCGGAGCTGGTCGGAATTTCGTGCCACGAGAGGGATGAAAAGGAAGTCCTGAGGCGCACTCAGGGTCCCGCTCTCAGTGACCAGCTCCCTCGATCGCATTAACTATACCGCATGTCAGCATTGTCTTTACTAGGTTGTCTATCTGAATACATACCTGCAGCATGTGCATTTGGATATCATCACTGACGAAATTGAAGTTTTTGGCGATTACAATATTGACAACGTTACTGCCAAGTTGTGAAAAGGGAGTTGGTGATTTGCTGTAATCCCCAAGGCTCTTATAGGAAGAACGTTTGCTTGACTGATTTTATTAGCTTATAGCAATGAGAATCATAGCAAATATTTGAAATATCAACATACCGATTCAGTGTTCAACCACGGACGCGATGGGCGATAGTTTGCGCGTGCATTCGGGGTAAGAACGTCATTGAAGATGTCGTCAATAGATGTTGCAGATGAACAGTCGAGGATGCAGTATGAGTAATTGAATGTAGTTGAGCCAATCTGTCTTCCATTAGACATCATCTCAATATTCTGGGTGCATTGACATACTAAGGCGAGTTCTTTGGCGAGGTCATTAATACAGTGGCTGGTGGTCTCGATCAAGCAATGTTCGCGGGCAACAAGGCACAGCAAAAGGGCGACTTCAAGGTCAGATAATTGTTGAGCAATATCGGCAAGATCTGTATAGTCCATGTTTTGAAGAGATGACCAAGTTGGCCAATGAAGATGCAGCAACTATCAGAAGAAGTTCGACCTCGGGAGGATTGTGGTGGAGAATCTACGCCTGATAATCAAGGCGACAAAACCACCCGATCAAGCCTAGCGCGCTTGACCCCGTTCTCCCGATCAACAGCTCGAACATCCAACAACTGCCCAGGTAGAGGATTCATTGCCTCATCTGTGATCATATCCACAGTCATGCCACCAAATCCACTCGCAAACTGGGAAAAGGTTGGAGACAGCTTTTATCGCAAAATTGCCGTGTATGACGCCATCTTCGAGGACGACGTCGAGTTAGAGAACTACATTGTCGCGGGCGCCCCCTACGGAGGAGCTATTGGTAAGTCTCCATAGGAGAACTGAAGATCTGGACTAACATGGATATCAGCGCTTTATCGCGACGAAAGCAAGCCATTCAGACTTCGCGATGGACAGGGTTCCCGTTCCACAATTGATGTTTATTCATGCTCTGGACAGAAAATCAATCGTATAAATGTATGTTTGCACTTTATGATCGAATAATGATGAGCATACTAACTCGTTTCAGTGGGAACAAGCCACTATCCGCGGACTAGGCTGGTCTGATAAGGAAGAGCTCCTGGTCGTCTCTGAGGATGGAACAGTGCGACGCTACTTCGGATTGGACGGCGAGTTCACATCCTTCTCTCTCGGAAATGTGAGATTTAGTGACTGTCTGCCCTAGTAATACTGCGCACAAACTAACGATGTACCAGGGTGCCGAAGAGTATGGCGTGAGAGCCTGCCAGTTTTGGTCATCAGGCCTTGTTGCATTGCTGTCCAATAACCAGCTAATTGCCGTATCCAAATATGATGAGCCGCGCCCGCGGCTCTTGGCACCATGCCCGGAAGGCGAAGTATCATCGTGGGCTTTAATTCCACCAGCCCATACACTCTCACGTTCTGTTGAGGTTCTGTTGGCTGTTGACAAGACCGTCTTTTTAATCGACTCAACAGAAGCAGAAGACAAGGTTTTGCAAGATGGTCCATTCAAACACGTTAGTGTGTCCCCAACAGGGCGCTTTGTCGCACTTTTCACTGCCGAAGGGAGGTTATGGGTAGTCAGCAATGACTTCCAAAACAAGTTCAGCGAATATGATTCAAAATCTCGGGTTCCGCCAAATACCGTGAATTGGTGTGGCGATGATGCTGTCATCCTTGGATGGGAAGATGAAATTCATCTTGTTGGGCCCAATGGAGTCGCATCAAAGTGAGTGGTCTCTTTTGTGTAATATCTGTGACCACGATCTAATCATCTTAGATACTACTACGATGGCCGTGTTCATGTCATACCAGAGTTTGATGGAGTTCGTCTCATAACTAATGACACATGCGAATTCGTGCACAAGGTCGCTGGTAAGTTAAAACCACAGGGAAACAGGCAGACTGTCATTGACAATTTCCAGGTGTTACTGAAGAGATATTCCGTGTTGGGTCGTCTTCCCCCGCTTCCGTGCTACTGGATTCGGTGGATCAACTCGAGAAAAAATCGCCCAAGGCCGATGAGAACATCCAACGCATCCGATCGAGTTTACCATCAGCAGTTGACACCTGCATTAAAGCAGCGGGGCATGAATTCGACGCCTACTGGCAGAAGCGCCTGTTGAAAGCTGCATCGTTTGGCAAATCTGTCCTCGAACTTTACAATAGCGATGAGTTCGTTGAGATGACTGAAAAACTACGTGTTCTCAAAGCATTGAGAGACTATAAGATCGGGCTCCCATTATCATACGAGCAATACCTGCGCCTCACACCGGAAGGACTCATCGAACGCCTAATCAGCCGGCATGAATATCTGCTTGCAATAAGGATTTCCGAATATCTACAGATTCCCGCAGACAAGATCTATGTCCATTGGGCAAGCCAAAAGGTGAAGGTCTCGACTGTTGATGACGAAGCTGTATGCAAGCTTATTGTCCAAAGACTCGATGGAAAGCCGGGAATCTCGTTTGAGGTTATCGCTCAAGCTGCATATGATGAGGGTCGATCTCACCTGGCTACCCAATTGCTCAACCATGAACCACGGGCCGGCAAGCAAGTTCCTTTGCTTTTGAACATGGAAGAGGATGAGCTTGCCCTCGATAAGGCAATTGAGAGTGGTGATGATGACTTGGTGAACTACGTGCTTCTGCATCTTAAGAGCAAGCTTCCTTTGGCAAGCTTCTTCCGAATGATCAACACCCGCCCAATGGCTTCCGCACTTGTGGAGACTGCTGCACGAGGCGATGACATCGAGCTACTGAAAGACCTGTTCTATCAAGACGACCGACCCATCGATGGTGCTAATGTGCTAGTGTCAGAAGCATTACGCGAAACGGATTTGACACGCCAAACCGAGAAACTGCACCTAGCATCTCGCCTCTTGTCGGATTCCAAGGAATCGACAGTGGTACTAAACCAAAAATTAGTCTCTGAGGCCTCCCAGCTTTTGAAAACCCAAGACGCATTGGATAAAGACTTGGCGGACCACAGCGAGTTCCTTGGTCTTAGTCTCAACGAGACAGTCTACAGACTTGTCCGAGGTGGTTATGGTAAAAGAGCACACAAGATCCAAAGTGAATTCAAAATGCCTGAGAAAACATTTTGGTGGTTGAGATTAAGAGCTTTGGTGGCTAAACGTGACTGGGGCGAGCTGGAGGAAATCGCTAAGCTCAAGAAATCCCCAATCGGATGGGAGGTAAGACAGTCGATAATTCTAAACTACTGGAATAGACGCTCACACAAGACAGCCTTTCTACAACGAGATTTTGGGTGCTGGAAACACAAAACTTGCTTCAGGATTCGTGCCAAAGTGCACCCACTTGCCCCCTGCTGAGAGAATCGAGATGTGGGTGAAGTGCGGTATGATCGTGAAGGCCGGAGAAGAGGCACAAAAGACTAAGGACCTTAACACTCTGGAACTCCTCCGCACTAAAGCATCTGGCCCCGCAGCCACCGAAATCGAGCGCATGATCAATCAACTAAGGCCAAGGAAATGAGCCCACCAAAGATGTTCAACATGTATCACACAGGCCCCCCCAGAGTTGTTCAGGTGATCTCGTCGGTTTCATCGACAGTCGTAGAGTCGTTAGTTGCGGGATTGGAGCCTTCAGTTGCGATTTGAAAGACGTTCTTTGCAACAGCAATCTTGGCAGGTGCAGAATCTTCGGCCATCGCATCGTCATCCTCGTCATCCTCGTCGTCGTCAGCTTGTTGAAGAGCGTTGAAGGCCAAGGTTTTGCGGTTGGTATCCTCCCAATCAGCCTAACTCAATGTCAGCACCTGTACGCCAGAACGAAACGACCATATGTTTTCATACTCTTCGGGAGTTGACGGTCCTGCCGCGAGCCAGACTTTTAGCCTTCTTGATTTCCAATTGATCCATCACGGCCTCAGCTCGGTCCATTCCCTTTTGTTGCCTTAATCGCTGAGCCCTTGAAACCTTGTCGTTTTTCTTCTGCTTTTTCTGGATACCGGAAGTGGCACGGTCAGCCAGAACCGAAGGCCTTGTTGTGGTAGGAGATTCCGCTCGGGGAAGCGAAGTCACCGACTTGTCAAGGTCGAGACTCGGGGACGCTGCCCTCCGTGCTGCACGGGAACGCTGGGACCCGTCTGTTCAAATATTAGATACTCAAATATCAATGTATGCGAGATTAGTAGTCAACTTACTTGTGCTCTTCGCCATGGTTGCTGTTTTGAAGAATTATCGATCTCGTGGGGTGAAATCGCTATCGATAAAAAAAAGTTTACGGAAGACGAAGACGACCAAAGGTGCACCTTTTCCGCGCAAACATCCATGGATGTATGTACCTTCATGTTCCATTCTACACGCGTCTTGACACTCTCACGTTCTCTATCGATCCATGCTATTGCTCATGCTGGCAGATTCCTCTTGCCATACATACTCATCTGGCTTTATTGACAATGAACACCTGCGACGGGCGATCTGAGATCTTTTCCAACCCCGATCAGTACGCAAGCCGCAACAGCCATTATGAAACCGCCTTCACGACTTTACAAAACAATCAAGCGCTAGCATACATCTTTATTGCTCTCATTTCCATTCCTATCTTCCTTGGTTACCTTGGATTTGTCCCCATATCGCTATTTCAGCTCCCCTGGGATCTCATCGTCTATTTTACACCCTCTCGAATCGTTATCGCTTTGGACCCTCGCATATCGACCTCTGACCCCAACTCCCTAGCCCTGTCGCCCTTGCCCTTCCAAGATAAAAGTGACGCCATGAACCGGATTCTTGGATTAAACAACAACGTCTACTTCCCCTTCTTCTCGCGGTCAAGATCACTCTCTATCTTCGGAAATGCGCTGCTGGGAAACACCAAGGATGTCGCACCCCCGGGGCTCGGAAACTGGAACAACTCGTGTTTCCAGAACAGCATCATACAGGGATTGGCTTCTTTGAAATACCTGGCCGAGTTTCTGGGACACAACGTGGACAACCTCTCGGGCAAGGCTTCCGACTCGACCCACGAGGCACTACTAGACCTCATCGACCGTCTGAACAGCGCCTCCAAAAGCGGAACCAAGCTGTGGATCTCCGGGCCTCTCAAGTCCATGAGTAGCTGGCAACAGCAAGATGCGCAAGAGTATTTTTCCAAGTTGCTTAATCAAATTGACCATGAGGCCGAGCTGTGCTCACGTGGAGAAACTTTGAATATGGGATTGAAAATTGCAGGACCCGATGAGAACATATTTCGCGACAGCGACTGTGACGACCCGGTGGCGCCTTGGGAACCCGAATCTCTCCCATCAACAGATAAGCTTTATCTTGATAGGGTTTCGTCTTGCAATCCTCTCGAAGGCCTACTCGCTCAACGAGTTGGGTGCATGGAATGTGGATGGACTGAAGGGCTCTCGTTGATACCTTTCAATTGTCTCACTGTTCCTCTGGGCAAAAGATCTTCGTACGATGTTCGCGAATGTTTGGACCAATACATGACGCTTGAGCCTATTGAAGGCGTGGAATGCGCTAAGTGCACGTTGTTGCATCGACAGGAGCAGCTTATCAACTTGATCAGTGGATTTGAAGCCGATGAGAGTCGGTCAGACCGCTCCGACGAACCTCAACCATTCGATGCTGTGAAACTGTCAGCCTCCTCGCGGTTAGAGGCTGTCAAGACAGCTTTGGACGGGAATGATTTCAGCGAAAACACATTGGCAAACAAGTGCCATATCAACTCAAAGAATCGAATCTCAACCACGAAATCTCGACAAGCCGTCATTGCGCGGGCTCCTCGCTGTCTTGCTATCCATATCAACCGCAGTGTTTTCGACGAGTACACTGGGACGTTGGAGAAGAATCTCGCGGCAGTCACGTTTCCTCAAATGATCGATTTGAACAATTGGTGTCTTGGCACCCAGCCTCTCAGCAAATCCGGCGACAATTTTGAGCATTGGGAAACAAACCCCTCGCGGTCCATGCTTCCGCAACCTGGCGAATCAATTCAAGTCCCCAGCAGACAATATCAATTACGCGCAATCATCACCCATTACGGCCGGCATGAGAATGGACACTATATCTGTTATCGCAAGTATCCGACATCGGAATTCACAGCTCCTGCACCAGACGAAATCCTTCAAGCTGAGGGTGATAAGGACAAGCCCGAGCGTTGGTGGCGCCTCAGCGACGATGACGTGCAGATGGTTAGTGAAGGTCATGTGATGACCCAAGGAGGTGCTTTCATGCTGTTCTACGAAGCTGTGGATGATTCCGTCTCGCCGTGTCCGACTCGATCTGCGACCCCGGAACATGACCTATACGACAGATACGCAGAGTCTACTCAGTTCGGAAGTGAAGGATCAATGTCCAACTTGGCCATGCCAAATAACATTTCCACTCCATCTACTGTCACCGACTTCGAATCTGCGACTTCCCGTGAAACGAGTATTTCGTTGCCGATGGACGACTTCCCCCCTGCCGACCAGCCTTTGAAGATCTCAAACGTGATTGACAATGATGCTGGACGGAATGATGAACTAGACTCCCGCTCTACCATCATTGCATGATCACCTTCATATCTTTTCTTACTTTTTTTTTTGTCCTTGCCCGCATAGGCGCGCCCTGTGGCCGGCTACTGCATCATCATGATACCCGATACCACGTTCCATTTGGCGTTGATTTGAGCTCCACTGTGTTTGGGAGCATTTCGTGTAAATTAATGTACTATTATTGGGACTCCGACGCGAGAATTGACTTCTTGAAGCAATACATCTCAATTGGTTTCAACCTGACTTGTAATTCAGTATGCTCATTTATCGCAACCCAGTCAACGCCGATCTCGAGGCTACTATCGACACCGATAGCGCTCTTTAATGATGCAGCTTCTGGGGATAATTATCCCCGCATTTAGACACGAGCACCTTGTGAAAGGCGACTCCCAGCACGGTTGGTCCGAAATCACCTCATTAAGTAAGTACCTTGGGGCCACCTGCCATAGCATCAAACTACATAAAGACCCCTTTCATCGCCTCGCCAAATTACATCCGAAGCTTCTTTTTACATTTACAGCGAGTTATACTAGCAAACTAGCAATTCCGACCTAAACAGAATCTGTTTCCTTCCCAGACGTTGGATATTGTGGGAGTTACACCCGAGTCTGTATAGATCCCGAAGGTCTCCCGGGGTCCTCATTTCCTGTCTGATCGTCATAGGGTATGATGATATTGTCCCCAATACTTGATAAAGTTGGTTGTTCCTATTCTAATTCGACAGAAGTACTCTGCATCATCTTCAATAATGTCTATTAGCAAACCACAACCACATGACATATTCCTCATCAATGAGCTCCTCGAGAACATCCTTCTACATACAGAGATGAGGACTCTATTAACATCTGCTCAACGCGTATCTCGCGTTTGGAACACCATGATCAGAACATCAGTCAGACTCCAGGAGTGCCTCTTCTTCAAACCCTCCAAATTCGAGATCTCGGATCCCTCACAGCGCCTTCGCAATCCGCTCCTAGAAGATATCCTCTGGGCTCAATTTTTCCTCAAACAACAACAAACCTCAGAGTCGAAAATTACCGATGTAAGCAGATTTCCGCTGCGGGAACCTGAGCGTCGCAAGCTCAAGTTCTACCTACGAAAAGACGCCAGTTGGAAACGAATGCTACTTCAACAACCACCGACATCATCAATCGGAGTCCTTGAAATCATCAAAAGATCAGACTCAGAATTCACCAAATTATCTATCAGCCCAAACAAATTCCTGCGGATGGGCGACATCTTGGCCCTCCTTCAAGGAGGCAGCACAATAATTCCAACCCGCAACAAATGGATACTGTGGAGTGGGCGATCCCGTATCAGAATGCCCTTGAACTTCGAATGCTGGACACCTAAATGGGTCTATGAACCAAGTACCCTACGGCCAGTCCAGGAATGGATCCCGGAGAATATAGACTGGGATAGTCTCCGGCTGGAGGTGGCATCGATGTATTTGAATGATTTCGATTGTGGTGTGGTGATTGTGTCTGAACGGAGACAGTTGCTTTTCCAAGGCCAGGACCGAGTTCACAAGGAGAGCAAACTTGATCGTCGACTGGAGAAAGCATTTGGGGAATGTCAGGTGGAGGTTAGAAGGAAGCATATAAATCACTCTTGGATTCCTATCAAAGGTGTTGGTGCTGATCGGAGATGGATCCTTAGGCCCTGTTCTGCTACTCCTCTTGTTCCAACGCTGAGTGACTCATCTGAGGCATCAGATTCGTCTTCTATGTCTTCGTTTTCTTTGTCTCTCTAGATGGATGGATCATCCTCGAAGGCTCTGCGGGAACCGGTGTGTATTTCAACTCTACTAGAGACCTTCAATCATTGCATTGGTTTCAACATCAGAAAAACAAACAAATCGAATCTTCATGAGGCCCACTCAGTATCCTCTCTAGTCCGTCAGATCGATGACCTCGATTCTCTTAGTAACGGCTGCTGTGTTATTCACTTCTGCGGAGGGGGCGTCGCTGTCTTCGTGGTCCTCGGGATTGGTCCGGGGGCTCAATTGCACCGTACTTCATAAGGTCAGCTTAAGCTCCCTGAGGTTTATTCGGTTTCAGGGATCATATATACTTTGTACTTGGTTCCAGTGTGCCGGCGATGGAAGCGAGTCCCCCACTTTTTCGCGAAGGTTGGATTGTTGGCTCTGCGGGATATTATACTAAGTAAGAACTCAATTGAAAAAAACACTGTACGTACGCAATCTCTTCTAGCTCGTCACACATACGTCCAATAGGACTCTTGGGCTTGCAGCGACCAGGCTCGTAGCGGTATGATGCATCTCGCCACCCCCCAGTAAGAATCCACCGCTTCATAGCGTTTTTTGCTGCGTGTGAGGAGGCTCCCTCATTGAAATTTGCAACGAGAGAAGGAACAACTAAGCTTATTAGCACCATTCAAAGACTTCCTCTGAGATCTTACAGCATGCTGGATGATACATCTCCATGTGCATATCAAAAGAACGCAGTGATCCGAAAGTCTTCCCACACATTTGGGTCTTGTCTACCTTGACATCACAACTGATTTGGTCAGCATACATATATGAACAGCTAATTGTAGAAATACAAACATACACAAGGCCATTATAACGTGAGGCAATGTTCAATGGATGATCAGGGGGATCAAGAAGAAGGCCCAATGTCAACTCTTTGGCCTTGATTCGCCTAGACGGAAATTCTCTGTGAGCTGAAGGAACCCAGGCAGGGTTTCGGTCTACGATTGGACCTAATACATATTTAGGGTCAGTGGACAATAAAGCAGAGTAAAGCTATCTTACCATGCATATAGCCCCATTTGGGATGAGGGTTAACTGCGTTTAGAATGTCTGGGTTATCGAAATCTTCGGGTTGTGGTTTGTCGTCGCACATTTTGAAGGAGAGGATGAGAATGCCAGATGTGTTTTTGTGATGCAGTTAGTGACAAAGAGAAAAGGAAAAGCGAAAAAAAAGAGGAAGTTGGTCGTTTTTATAGAGTACAATTAGTTAACTATCTAGACTGTTGTATCTCAGTAGCAACGACGGCAAACAACTACAGCACATGCCCAGCAGATCTGATATCAGAGATACAATAGTGTAGACACTTCTTTATCATATAGAGAAGAAATTGAGCGGTATCCGAACCCAGAATGGTGAAATTGATATCGAGAAACCAATTCTGGACTATGTTCAGCGACAACTCATCGCTCTCCAGATCTACATAGATCTTAATAACTAGTTTCGGAAATAGAGATCTATTCGAGCGATAAACATAGTCACCCTTACAGCTGGTTTCCCAGGTATTAATTACTATCGGGTCGCGCTGAACGAACTGAATCACTCGGTCTATGTATATCCACTAACCGAAAGTATTTTAGGGCGAGCAAAATACGGTTTGGGATGAAATTCGTTGGTTCAAGGGGAATCTGTTTTCGACTTTGATTGTTTAGATACTCGGTCTTAAGACTCGATTAGAAAAATCGAAAATGCATAACAAAAGAGGTCTCTGATTTCAAGTGAAAGTAGTAGCCCCCAACACCATTGGGCACAGCAGAGTACAGCCACGTCAGAGCACAGCCTCATCGGGCGCTTACATTCGTACATCCCCTCACATCCATCAACTTTCAAAAGCCTGGATCTTCGGTATTAATAGATAATCAATCATGTTCTAACGGGAGGGGATTTATGCCCTCGTTTCCACAACTCACCAACGGAGACAATCCGTAGGCTAGCTAATGACACCCGAAAATGGCAGAGTGAGTATTATGATAGTCGAAATATTCTCGAACACCGCAATAATGTTGGCATAGCGCAAGCGACTTGTTTGATTCGTCATTGGAAGCAGTAAGAGATACACTTTCGATTGATGATCGCGCCTCCTTCCGCAAGTTTGCCAACCATACGGCGATGATTGGAGAAATAAGATTGATGATGGTGAGGCATGAGCACAAAAGCAGACTGACTGCTTGCTGCCGCAAGATTGCCACCTTTTCCAAAGCGTTTGAGCCATACTTCCAAGTCGTCGGTATCTTCGTTTCGATCAAACCAGAATGGGCAGCTTGGTTCTGGGGATTGATTCGAATTGTATTCTTGGTATGTCCTCCCGGTCATTTTGCAGCGCGAAATTTATATTGATATATACATAGCTGGGAAGCAACCTCGTCAAATTCCTCGAGAATGTCAGCGATATGTTTGAACGTATTGCGTTCACCTTGCCACAATACCAGACCTGGTTCGACATATGCCGGAGAGGCATTGATGCAAAGGACAACGATCGCCTTGGGCAGGCAATGTCCTTTATTTATGCGGACATCATTGACTTTTCACTCCATGTGTATCGTATTTTCTCAAGGATACAACGCGGTGAGCACATCTAGCACAGTGTTTGCAGTTGCTCAACTGACATTGTCCACAGGATCAACGCTCATCAGAAGAACCACAATGAGCGGAAGTTTGTTATGGAAGCCATTCCAGTCCCGCTTTCTGGACGTACTTGAGAGATTGGAAAAGCACCAAGCATGGTTTGAGACTGAGACTATGATTCAGCAGCATGACTTAATTACCCGACACCACGAAACATTCCTTCAGTATTTGAAGACAGCGGAAGAAAAAACAGCCGCGGAAACGCGGAAAGACCTCGCTGAACAGGAAAAAGCACAGGGTAAGGGAGAAGATATAATCAATCAAACCCAAAGTGCTAATAAAAGGACACAAATCAGCAAAGCAAGTCGCCGCCATAAGAGACTGGCTATCAAGTCCCCGATACCGTGATGTCTACGAGCGTACCAGACATTCCATACACCCTAGTAGCGGTCAGAACTTTCTGCAAAGTCCCAGATATCTACTGTGGCGAGATGCGGGTTTTGGTCACAAAGGCGCAGGGAGTATAGACGAAGCAAGGGAAGACTGGCTGCAGCGAACGTTATTTATTCAGGGTATGATATCCATACATCCATGTTCTTGTTAGCCCGACTTGTGATTCTAACTAAATCTCTGTTTAGCTAAGCCAGGGTTTGGTAAAACCTTCATCTCATGTCTTGTTATCGATGATCTGTTGGAGAACGGCGACGCTCTTGTCCCGGACGATCAAGATACTCCAGCAGTGGCCTTTTTCCATTTCTCATCCACCGACAGGTGGGCTAGCCGCAGCCCAGTAGATGCACTGCAATCTATTGCTTCCCAGTTGGTCAACTATCACAGGAGAAACAAACTAACGATTGACGCACTCGAAATCCTCATGAACGAGATTGGCAGTGGGCAGCATCAGGCTTCGATGGACGATGTTCTCGCATTGCTGGGAATATTATTACGACAACATCCTACATTTCTTGTTATTGATGCAGTCGATGAGTGCGAAAATGCCGTTACCTTCTTAGAGCTTCTGAAAAAGCTCTGTCGGTCGAATGATTGTCGGGTACTGTTGCTGAGTCGTCCGACTATCACACTTCCTCTATGGTTCACCTCGTTGAAGTCAGAGGATGTTGAGAGTTGTGTTTTTTCACTCCCAGTATCTCTCAATTTCTCAGACATCAAGAGCTTCCTCGACCACCATCTCTCCTGCATGGCTGACGGTCATTTATTTGGACTCGATGAGACCATAGACCTCGAAACTATCTCGGTCGATCTCACCAACAATGCAAACGGAATGTTTTTGTGGGCGCGTCTGTTGGTTAATTATCTTTATTGCTCTGCTGTTACTCCCCTCGAGCGCAGATATGCATTATATAACCCTGCAAGACTGGAAGGGCTGGAACAACTCTATGATTGCATTCTCGAAGTTCTGGGAAAATCGAGCCAAAAAGAGCAAACTGTCGCCGGGAATGTCTTCCATTGGATCTCTGATTCCCTGATTCCGCTCAATACACGGGCAATGCATACAGCCCTGGCGATAGTACCGGGCACGCCAACGAACAAGTTGCACTACCTGAGTGATTTTCCTGACTGCATTCCGATAATTACTTGTGCGTTGGTCGAGATCACAGATGATGCAAATCTTTCTTTTATCCATCTGTCCTTCAAAGAATACCTTGAATCAAAAGATGGTGCCTTTTCTCTCAAGGATAAGGCGGTAGTCAACATGCATCTCGCAATGCGATGCCTTTCATTCCTGGCCTATGATGTTCCTGCCAAGCCTCTCCAGCAGCCAAAGAGCAAGGTGGACGGTGACACTCCTCCACAGGCAGGCTGCGACCACCGGGAAGCAACGATGGCAGAACAAGAACAGATGTTGCGATCAACTGCTCTCGAAAACATGGAAAGGAAATACCCCCTTCTTCGCTACGCAGCCCTTTCTTGGTATACCCACCTTCAACGGGCTCATCCCTTCGTCACTCCTGCGGAAGCCCAAAAGCTTTACAATTCTCAGAGTGAGGGACCATCAAATACTTTGGAAAGAAATGATTCTTGGATTCCGATTCTGGCCCGTTTTCTGGTCCGGCGTTATTCGGTCACAATGTGGGTTGAAGCTTGTTGCGTTTTCCGATTTCTACCTCGCCTGAACAATCTCGCCACTGTCTTTGACTGTTTGATGTATTTTGGGTCGGCGGATACCGCAGCTGGCCGTGAGTCCTGGTGGGTTGCACACAGCCTCCAACAGCTTGCTGGAGCGGTTGAACATCTTCACGAAAGATACAACGAAGCACTCATGGAAAACCCTACACTAATTTGGCAAAGTCAAATTACGACCGCAATTGATAGGACTTTCTGGCCAGTCTGGGATCAAAAGGATGCATGGATTTCCCCCCAGGCGAACGGGCGCGAAGGCGATGTGAACTCAGGCTTTCGACCGGATTACCGGAATATCCAGGTTACGAACGAAGTCACCTACCCTACACCAGAGGGGCGTTGGATTATGAGGTAGAATTATTGGTAGTTTATGAGCCTCGGCAATCTGCCAGTCCCCTAGTTATACATAGAAAGGTCGGATTTTCCGGTTTAAACCATTTTATTTTGTGCCTGTGATATTCATCTTGCAGTTAAAAGATAGAAAACACATCAAGTAGCATATCTAGAAGTTGGCAAGGTAATAATCTCTACGGCGAAGCTAAATATTGAAATATGTAAGTCTAGATATCATTGAATATATATATATAAAGAATATCTAGTATGATTTCTATTCCAATAATGAGGTGTCGTGTCTCTCCGGTATTTGCGAAACTATTTGGGCCAAAATATTTTGAAGAAATAGGGTTTGCAGCTCGAGTAAACTCGAAGAAAGCTCAGATAAAGAATACAACGCCGTAGAGGCGATATAAAACAAGTGTCTGCTTCCCGATTAGGCAATTTAATTTGTGCGAGTCTCCCGGAGCTTTTTGTCGACTACCGCTTCCATCATTCAAGAAACAGCGAAGTACCTCAAGCTCTTATTTACTAGCTTCTAAGGATTTCAAGGCTACAAAATGTTAATATCTCCTAAATTATGGTGTTGTTAACGATTCCTCAGCAGGCCAGACTATGACAAAATATCAAGCTTTATTATAGCAAAAGCTCGCCACAAACCATAGCACGGCTTTGTCGGCACAGAAGAGGACACCAGAGAGGATAGCGAGAGATGAAGCTAGCCACCTGGGCACACCTTCGAGACCTCCAAGTCAAAAAAATGTCGGTCGCAAATCCCAACAGAAGTCCCCTCATTTCGCAAACATCTACAACAGCCCAAATTTCAGGTGCATATTTCAAAGAGCCAAATAGGAAGGAAACACAATTCACCGCCAGTCCATCTATCCGACCCATGCATCGGGGATAAGCAGCCAGGCAACGAACCCATGTCACTTTATCGCGGCCAGGGTTGTCACGACCACGGGATGAGACTATCCCACGCCCCTGTTCGGATATTATCCATCCTCACTCGGTCGGGCATACGATGTTGCCAGCGTGTACGACCAGGATGTTGCTTTTTGCTGTCAAAATTCACCGTAGCATCTAAACGCGCAGAGCGCGGATGTCAGTACCCAGCGCAGATTGAAACGTCGATGCGCCCGAAGCATTCATGCCCGGCATTGTACAGGAACAACGGCTCGACAGGACAAAGCGATTGCTGGCTAGGCCGAAGTAGGCAAGTCGAAGAATTGAAGAATTGCAGCGAAGACGCATCGTCGACGATGTTAACGCGGGCTCACGGCCTACCGCAGTTCCCCTTCGGCTTTGCACATGTGCGGGTGCTGCATTGCGGTGTGTCAACACGTTCTCGAAAATGACCACGGGGGTATGATGGTGATTTCCATTCATGAGACGGAGATGACCCCCCTGGCTTTTTTTTTTATATTGGTTCCGTCTTGGGAATTTCCTAAAGCGTGTACGGGAAAGCGGCCGTGGCGATCGCATATTACCCGGTCGCAAATATCGGTCAAGGCAGATACCATTAATCTACAGGCTGTGAGTGTCTACAGGCTGTTAGTAGGTATAATGTAAGTCCTGACTGACTCAGATAAGATGATTTGATTGGAGTCAGCAGAAGAAATGATAGCTATACCTTGTATCCAATCGCGATGGCTACCCTAGCGGTCTCAGAGATGGGCTGTCTGATCTCGCAACCATCACAACGTTGGCGTCGGTCTAGATTATGGGCTTACGACTGTGCTATCCGTGCGGATCGTACTCATGCAAGCACAGTCCCTGCGATGAATAAGGGGGCGTTTATTGCTCTGGGATATGATGAAAGTTGACACTGAAGCAAGCCCCATGGACACGTCTCGGGTACACCGTCAACCCGCCACAGCCATCACACCCTTGTCGATCGATGCAGCCGAAACCGCGGATGGTGTCCCGGCAGGATCTTGGGTTACTCACACTGCAAAAAGGACCGTGTACGTGCGTACTGCGTACTTACAGAATGTGCTATCTCACATTCTTGAAAATCTCCGCCAGCGGAATGTGGGTCGAAACCCCATGGGGTGGATGTATGTTCCATGGTTCAATAGTATCTTATCTTTAGTGCCCGCCTCGTCAACCCTGGATGAGCTGCATCTATCGAGAATTCGTGCAGATGTGCGCAAACTTGAAAAAAAGTACCTAGAAATGGAATTGTGGCTATTGAGTCGGTGAGTCAAGGTGTCGGAACTTGATTCTGTCACATTAATCTTTTTACTGTTTATAGAGGCTAGGCCTCGGTCCAAGTTGATACACGGAGCAGTGAATCGGGAGATTGAAATATGTCGTACCTTCTAGACAGTGTGGATACAATATTCAACCTCTTTTCTTCAGTGCCATTCCATTATGTATGCAAGAGCAGACCCGGCCATCTGTGTCCTTGCCATTTTAGTTTAGAGATCTTGCATGTGAACTGCATGTGAACTGCAGATGAGGTGCATGGTATACAACATAAGCTGCAGGGAAGCCCGGGAAGGGGCCAGTGTGGGTCTGAGCTCCAATGCACTTTGTTTAACAAAGGGGCTAGAGCTGGCCACACAATTCGATATGCAAATCGAGCTCCCTTCTACCCTGCATTTACTTACTCCGTGCTTGAATCCAGTCCAATAGCCAGTACGGAAATATTTGCACGCAAATCTACATTGTATGGTTTCGTCATTGACCCAAGCCGAGTTTCGCAAAGCTGCATGGGGATAAACATACCCGAGGTAAAAACCGATAGACCGAGCTCTCGCTTTCTCTGAAACAGAAGTTTTGTGCCCAAAATACCGAGTATTCCCCGGGAGATTAACGTGCTTTTGAGTCAAATCAATACCGGAGCTCTAGCACCCCAGTCCCCCGGCGCGGAACTATCTGTCTCCACCATGAAACCCAGGGGACAGGTAACAAGGCATGCATTGAAAATCTATTGAAGCACCGAGAGCCTGGAAAGGGGGAAAGATCCGAACTCGACGCGACGGATCGTGAACCGCGGCCCGCCCCTCATCCAGTGAGCTTCTCACATGCCGCGTGAACTACTCCGTATGTTCAATATGATATAATCGGGAGTGGAGTACGGAGTAGTAGCCGGGTGTTCAAAGGCGTTGTACCATGGAGGCTGTCACGTCGATCTGAATTTGATTTCCTGGGTCTGTCGTTGACCACCCGCTTGACCCCTTTACAAAGTTTTTCTCATCTTCCCCGGCGGGCCGGGACGCGGAAGTATCAATTATGGAGTAGGAGGACGTAGGAGGCGTAGGGTATTTGCATTTCACATTTCTTTGGCGCTATCGGGGAATTCGATATGTACCATTTGCCAAAGTACTCTTGCGGTCTATCGGTAGGGGGGGGAGGGGGGGGGTGTGTATACGTCTTAAGTCTCCTTGGACATGACGAGTATGATGGCGACGGCGATCATACGCCCGAATGGGAGAGCATAAATTGGTCGTCGGGACTCCCAGGATCACGGATTGATCCACTTGGACCGGGGAAGACCGTCACATTCTTCCCCGTCGGCGCTGGGCTTGCATTAAGCAAGTCATCTGCATCAGAAAGATCATAAAGACATAAATACTGCTGACAGATCGAACGGAAAGGGGCATGCGATTCCGGGAACAGATCTCGAATATTAGCAGATGGGAAATGTCTTTGTTTTGAGTGGTCTAGACTTGGACGATCTAGACTCAATATTCGATTTATTGATTTTTAGACAAAGAGCATCCACTAGAGCCTCGGTGTGACTGTGGGGTGGCCTGTGATTTGTGCGAAAATTAGACGGACGTTTCTCGGGAGTAATTCGATAAGGGGACTGATTAGATTCTGGCAGAACAGCAGAACACCTAGAACTCCCAGAACTCCGTACTCCGTACGGAGTAGAACGGTAGTATCTGGCGGCAAATTAAAAAATGCCGAGGAACTGCATTTATCCGCTATAGAGCCGGGGCAACCAGGCGGGAGAAGTTCCGAGGCAACGGAAAACCGTTAGTTTCCAATCCTTTCGCCGTTCCTTTTTCATTTAGATTGTACACTAAGGCTTCTAGATTGAAAAATCGAATCCTCCACGGACTTTAGACTTGGCCCGATTGTGGAGACACGGGAAAACTCCCTTCGACATAGGTAGTTTAAAAGAAAGAGGATGGTTCGTTCTCCCGTGGGTGTAGATTTCTCTTCAATTTCGCACAAATACCAAATTATCAACAGTGTTGACGTGTTGGATCGTGACCGCCAAACGCCAACAAACCTGATTCCTCAAAACGTTTAGGCGTTCGAAGATTTTGTTTAGGACTTTTTTTTTGTCCTTCCCGAACGAAGCGGTGAATCCGAGGCATGATCATTGGAGAATTGTCATCGGAACTGGAAAGTACTCCAAACAATCCGATTTTGAGATCAGACCAGATCTTGAAAGATTGTTGGGCAGCCCTTTCGGGGAAAACTCGACCTGCTGCCGCAAGAGGGAATTGTGGAAATCCAGTATTTGCTGATATCAGATTCTCTCTTGAGTTGTATTTGTATACAATATACATTATACAAATATCTGTGTCAGACTTGTCAGAGTCGGATTGTGGCAGGAATAACCAGCGCTAAACCGGGGATCCGATCTTTCCCCGTGTGTCAGAAATCCGATACATCTCGAAATTCTCAAATAAAAATAAAAATAAATTCCCTTTTGGGATTTTATTTTATTTTTTATTCTTGTTTGTTTGGGTCGATCAGTTCCACCCTTGGTTCTTTCCAGGCTGATCGACAGCCCTTTGTTTGCGGAAACCTCCTTCCGCCTGATTGTTCTGATTTACTTTTTTATTTGTTTTATTCTTTTATTCTTTTATCCTTTTTTTTTATTTTTGGATTCCCTATTTTGGATTTTTCTTTTATTACTTTTCCTTTTTGGGAAATTTATTTTCTCGACTGCAAGGGTATCGGGAAGTCTAGAAGTCTTTCCCCGGCTTTGATCTTTGATATCTATTTGTGTGTGCCCTTCTCACCGATCATTGATAAACAACCCTCCTCGACTCTTCTTCATTCTTCACTTCGCCTTACACCTTCACACTGTTGTCTCTCTCACCCACTGGGCCCTGGTACTGCCAACCCTTTCAGCATTTACTCAACATATCCGCCACCATGATTCCTATTCAGTCACGTCTACGTGAGATGTCGCTCCCCAAGGCGGCGGCTCCTATCGCCAGCACAGATCCAGCACAACCCACCTTTTCCTGGAGTGGCAGCGCCTCTTCTTCCATGTCAAGCCCTTTCGCCCCTCCGCCAACTCCCAGCGACTCGCTCCTCGACATCCACCCACGCAAGTCGTCTTTTTCTAGCGAGATGGGAGCAGCATATGCCTTCCCCTCCTGGCCCAACCGTCCCTCCCTTTCAAGCAACGACTCCGCCGATTCTTGCGCCAGTGCCTTTCTCTCTGACGATGACCTCTTGTGGATGCCAGAGAACTCGGCCGCCGAGCAAGCAGTAGATGAAGCCATCAACCAAGACGCCGGTACCATCTGCTCGGTGACCATGGAACAGCAACTCCAGCGTTTGCGCGCCATCGCCGAACAAGAAGACCGGGCCAACTTCCTCGCCAAGGTTGAAGCCCACGCGCGAGCAACCCAAGCCCTCCGCTCAGCGAAGCAGAGCATTGTGACAGAGCGTGAGACATTGAAGCGCAAGAAGCGCCGAGTCGTGCCCACTCCCAAACGACGTGCTCACTCGGCATCCAAGGTGCTCAGTCAATAAGCTCACCGGCAATGCCCGGTGCAGCGCAGGCGCTCTCCGAATAACGCCACATTCTCTTCATCATGTCATTACCTCGCCTTATCTTTTAATTTCACCCCGCATCTCCCCGAGGTGTGCAGAGACCCACGCCAAGCGGTGCCTAACCTCGATTTATTTTCCCCTTCAACCGTGATACCCGCGAGATCGCCTCATTCCCAACTGCGAATCATACTAGCAGCCCCAATCTCCAAGCAGCACAGCACGCCATGGTCGATCATCAGCCACATATAAGCTTCACTCCCGAGTGGTATTTTGTGAATGCGACCACGTGCACGGGCCAACCTCGGGATCCATCTGGACATGGGTCCATGGCCCCCGCGCTTACCTAATTTCTCGCTGTCGGCGCTTCTAGAAATCCCTGGGCATTGTCACCTCTTGTCACCTCCGTCACCTCCGTCACCTCCGATCCTCTTGTCCTTTGCACACACCGCTGGTTCATTTGGCTCTCTGACTCATTTCCCAACTTTCACATTTGTTTTTTTTCTTGGTTTTTCTCCCTTTTCAGCGAATCCGTTATTCCCCCATCCCACGAGGATCATGTTCTTGCATGGAGTTGCAGCGCCTTGATTCAGTCATCATTTGACCTTTTTCAGCCTACCCTCAGGCTTGCATCCATGAGGACCCGGTGTTTCTTTTTTTTTTCTTTTGATTTTTCCAAGTTTTTAATGAACCTGTCTTTCCCAGCGCCTTGTTCAGATACCCACTCTTGTATACCCCCACCATTTGTTTTTCCATTATCTTCGACGCTTTGTGATATTTTGCAATTTCCAACAGCGCTCCAGATCTCTGTGACCTGTTGTCGGAGTATTGCCCCACGTGCCATATCACATTTGTCAATAGCCGTTCTTCGTACATTAGGTAGCCTGAACTAAGCACATTGACCAAATCCTGAAACAAGAATATCCTTCCAAATCACGGAATAAAACCAACAATCTAAAATAAAATAAAATCAGTAATCTTATTTATTATCCCTATAATCCAACTATACATCGAATTTCCTCGTACCTTCTACCCTAGCCAAGTCGCTGCCACGTTGATGTAGATGTAACCTATTGCCCGAAATGCACACAACCTCGAAATAGAATAATAATCCAACAGCCGATCGTCAGCCCTGCCCGCCTCGTGTCCCCCGCTTGAGTAACCACCTCACCTCGGCCAGCATAGAGCCCGGAAACCCGAAGCAGTGAGGCTGTAACAGCTTATTGCTGTCTATGTATGACGAGGCCCTGCTGCCTGTCGTCGTTGCTGGAATGCAACAGTGCAACAGTGAGATTGAGGCGGCCTTAGTAATCGATGATGGGGCGAAATGATTGATAATCATGGGACTTTGTGCATATGTACATTGGTGTTTAATCAGAGCCCATCGGAGAATATCGTGAAGTTACGTTTGGGGGTTGTTGTTAAGCTGTTTTAGTCAGATTTAGGGTCCTCCCAAGATTACCCGATTCCAACGTCCCGATCTTCTCGACTTCCAACCTCTGGGCGGGATTAGTCGGGTGCGGTTGAATAAGGAATGTACACCCGGGGTTGGTACTAAGTATGGACGCTGAAATGGCGCTGGTATAGTACATGTTGGATTTTACCGCTTCACTCCTTGTCCATCACAAGTGTACGTTCTATAGTAACTATAGTTGGCGTTTCAGGGAAAGCCTCGTTGCCTGGAAATAGCAGCCTCGCTATTAACGTTACCATCTTTTATTGCCACCGTTGTTGGTTCCTTCCTTCTGCATTTACGCTATTTGTCGTCGGTGTGTTGCACCAACCCAACGGGCAAAATATCAACTAGTCTGGGCATCACATTTCGTGGATTTAGTCGGGCACAGCACATGCTTCAACTCAAAAGAATCCCTGTAGATTGTGATTGAAATCACATTTCAATTAGCAGATGATACGCGTGCCTATCGGAGAAACTTCCGTCTAGAACAATATCATCTGATAGTTATCTAATGTTGAATTCTCGGCATAAAACTATATTGGTTTAGAGTGATATCCTTTCAAAAGCATGGGATGCAGCATGTGATAGTGATATTCGATATTTTGATAAGAAGAAACCTCAGTGTGAAAACTGGCTAGGAATTAGAAGTGAAGGCATAATAATAGGACTTCGTCCGGACTTAGATCTCAGATACTAAGAATAATTGAATGGGAAGAGATATCGTCAATTTATTCAATCTATTGCATCTCAACATGACACCCCGACCAAGACACAGTCGTAGTCTCTTCGTGAGCACGACCAGACAAAAATTGCCACAATCTGTTGCCCCTTAGACACCAAAGTGCGAGATATCTGAAGTGAACCTTTCTTCCACTCGAAAGTTTTTGATTTATAGAGGCCATTATGATAGTGACCACAGCCTTGGGTTCATCTCCAGAGGGAAATTTATGGGGCTAGATTATAAGCCGAATGCTGCGCGTCGCGGTTGAGTCCCTAACGCCGGAAAATGAGACGACGGCAATGTGTAGAGTCGCGGATGCGTGGAGGTTGCGTTGGGGTAAACCCTGCATTTGTCCATTGTGAGATCATGTCCAAAGCCGGGAGGCTAGAAAGCCCTGCTTTGGAAATTCGTAGCGGGATCAAATGTAAGACCGAATGCGAAACCATCCCAACCTTCTCAAGTCTATGTTGTGATCTCCGCCACCCGTAGCACCAGTAGGGCTCTGGCGAAGTGAAACGAGTTGGGGGTGGCCGAGCCAAGATAGCTGTAGTCGAGTCGTAGACCGAGAGAGAAAAGATAGAGGAAGGAAAGAAAGAATCAAATCGTAACAAAACTAGCGGGACTGACCCTTTACTGTATATAAAACAACAATATCTATATACACATGACGGGAAGTAATTAAAGCCTGATATGCAACGCATAAATGGAGGCAAAGCAACCCTGACTCAGGATGAGTTCTCTCAAGTATTGAATAAAAGAGCTCACTCACTGTGGGGACTCATATTTGGCGCAGGAGAGAAAATCCTTCCATTGAGATATGGGATTTGTTGCGTATAAATATAGAGTGAATCAGGTTTGTATTCCTTAATCCACCAATTTCTATATATAAGCCTCAAGACCGGTGAACTGGTCAATTGAAAATGGCGCCCAAGTCAAAAGCAGGTGTCTAGTAGTTTTGGGCAAGGACACCAAGATCACTTCAAGCTTGTTGGAGCGGAATGGAGTTACCGCTTAGAGAATCTTCTAGCCGACATCCTCTCTTTCCGAACAGAGCAATGAAAAGGAATCTTATCAGAGATTACAGAAAAGAAATTGACATTATCAATCGGCATAACAGTAGTTGGATTTCCCCTTTCTCTAATATATAAGTCATAACCTCACGATCATTGGATGTGCCGAATTCATCCTCAAGTGTAGCCTTACTGGCTTCATTATACATTCCTTGAGGTCTATATCTAGTGAAGATGCAAACTCTCGTTAGCGCGTAGCTTTGCGTGTGCCTATCAGGCTTCATTTCTGGCAAGATTAAAATTCATTTCTAGAGCTTATAAGATTCCTGGCTGCGGGACAATACACAACGGTAGAGAAAGAAGGAGGCATACTGATGGGAAGTAAATATCTTCCACCTATCTATCACCCGCGAAAGCGGTATTGTGTGATCTTCCTTCTATCTTTGCACGGCGGTAATATCTGCAGCGAGAATCACGAAGTTATGAGCGCGGCCCTTATAATAAACCTTCGACTGTTTTTTGTTTCCTCGGTTTATACTAAATGGCCTCGGTTCGATTTTGTGTCTGCTATAACTGATAGTAACTGGGAAATCATTAGTAGTGTGGAATTATGGGCAAAGAGGAAAACCATTCATGTAGACTTACAATCACAGTAAAGGAAAAAGAGCTAATAAACTTGTCTGTTAGAAATATTTTTATGTACTAAGAGATCTCAGGAACCCGTCATCATGATGTATTTGAACACTTTCCGTGCGTAGGATAAAAGCCCACCTTATGGTAATGTGGGCCGCCCCGTGGGATCCGCCGTTCGCCGGCGTTGTCCACGGGGTCTGGACAGTTCTATGGAATTCTGACGATCATTTATAATTCCGAAAAACTGTATTTGGAGTGATGACTTCATAAATATTTTTAATACTCATTGAGATCATTGCTGTTCAAAAGAGATAGAAAGTCCAAAAGATACCTTATATGTATGGGATGAAGCGTATGAACACTGAGACGAAAACGGGGATACCCTTTCAAGTATCTACCTGAAAGCACCACTGTAATAAACTTGCCAACCTCACCGATGGGGGAAAATTGGGACTTTTCACTAGATGTGGAGTCCCATACCTTCCCATGGTTCAGAAATAGAGCAGCCGTCACCTCTCTCATTGATATAAGGTGGTTATCCCCCGGGCTATTTGGATTGTTAACGAACTATTCGTTATCCAAATTTGCTTCGTTAAACAGTCCCTCAGCTTCAATCAACCTATCAACTGATCAAGATGGCCTCTGCTTTGTTCCAGCAAAATCTCCGTATCCAAATTCAAGATGACTTGAAGTTTGATATCCGGATCGAAAATGCGGACCTTGACAGGTATTTCCATTGTCGCTTAGTATTAAAGGTGGTGTTTTCTGACGTCTGCGCAGCGGCCGCTTTTACAATGAGGATGACAAAAGTGATATCTTGACTTCTGACGATGTCGACGACATGGTTATTCGCCATAACGGCGGTATACGGACGATCTGCTCTATGGACGAGTCAAAAGGAAGCATCGATCTTGTTGACGACGTAAAGGATAAGAAGATTTGCAGTCTATCCTGGAAGGCCTCTATGCAGCCCGGAGAGCCGAATGAATTCAAGAAACTCAACCAGGATGCCAGCTATATGGTTGAAATTGGCACGTGGAATGAATCTGGAACTATGGGAGTGATTCCTGTTACTATTAAGGAACAATCTTGATCACAATTGCAGATGGTATTTTGTCGATAGGTGTCGCGATCACTCTATTTCGATGACCCTTGTTGACACTTGTGGGCTGGGGACCCCCAGTAGCACCTCGGAGAGTGTCTACCTCGACTACACATGAGCCGCTTCCAGAACTAATATCACTGGTCTCTTTGGAACCATCTTCGCTGTCTTTGTTTCCATGCTCGTGATGCTTTTGAAGTCGTCTTTAGTATCTAGCTTTGGTGCGGGGCGGTCCTTCGGCCAAGGAAAGCCAGGAAGGCGGAAGACCGACCACATAAAGAAAGTCAAGCAGAGGGGAATCCAATCTATTTTTATGTTCCGCACCAGGCCTTCCACTAGGTCAACTAGTTGGTTTGTGTAGTTTACGAGACGTCCACGAAGCTCTTTGACATGGTGAAGGAGGGGGGGGGGGAAGGAGGAGACTCGGGGGATTGCCTTGGTGATCCCTCCGTCTGTATTTGGCATGCCAGCCGAAACTTCTCATCATCAGTGGCCGTGGGCAAGTGAGAAGTCACAACATCGAATGGGTCCATTGCAGACAATTCTTCGGATGAGTTGGATACAAGTAACGTGAAGTAAGAAAATGGCTGGCTATTCAACGTGGCTGACCACGGCGCACTCTGGCTTCGGATACTAGGGATAAGAAAAGCACAGGATTGATATTGATCATAGCGTATTCATACTTGAAGCTTTTAATGAAACCCAGCAATAAACAGACATCGTCATTTCCAAGTGTATTTGGTAGATTTTCCTACGTTTATATCGTAAACCGCGTAATTTTCTGTGTTTATTCATCAAAGGTGGCATAGATATTTTCTCCAAGGTCTCAAAGTGCTTTACAGTGTAGTCTATAATACTCTATTTGCCAAATGTATTTACAAATGACCGAAATCTCCCGACTATCATCGCACCTGATTGATAATCTCACCAACGCACCACTTCTCAATTGTGTTCTTGACCGAAGCCTGTAGGTTTTGCAACGTCCTTTCAGAATACCAGGCAAGGTGAGGTGTCAATACCAAATTCAACCCGGCTGCTTCTGGGCTTAACAACGGGGAATCACCTCTCCCAGCAGGTTCTGTGGCGTAAACATCTGTGGCCGCGCCTGAAATCGCCCCACGCTTGAGAGCTTCAACCAGGGCTTGCTCATCGACAATGCCACCTCTTGCAACGTTAACCAACACGGCATGAGGGGACATAATCTGCAACTCCGCAGTAGAGATCATGTTGAGCGTCTCAGCGCTTCGTGGCAAGCACAAAACAACCACAGTCGACTTTTTCAAGCCATTTTCGAACAGAACCCGACCCGCTCGAGGAGATACACCCTTACGCTCAGCAATAATCACGTTCATCCCGAGACCTTTTGTCATAGCCTCGATGCGTTTGCCTAGCGATCCGTATCCAACAATACAAACGGTCTCATCACTACACAATAACGGGGCCTTTCCATCAGGTGCACGAACCCGACTGAGCAATGAGCCATTGGTCTTCCACTCAGTATCAAGGGACAAGTCCGCAGGAACTGCAACTGTGGCATTATGGAGCTCGATGAACTTCCGTCGGGTGGCAAAGTAAAGTCCAATGGCGTGTTCACTGACACTGTCAATATTACTGCCGGGACAGTTGCACACGGTGATTCCTCGTGCGGACGCAGCTGCTACATCGACGCAGTCTGTGCCGGTCGCCATGATTGCTATAAGGCGGAGATTGGGGGTGACTTCGGCGCTGAGGGTCTCTGCCGTCAGGCGTATGGTTGTCGTTATAATGATTGTGGCATCTTTGACGCGGCTGGGCAGATCAACGGGATCAGTCCATCGGTGAACTGCGCGGGAATGCGGCCCTGGTAGATCAAATTCCGGGATTGGGCAATGGACAGCCTCAATGGCGACGATATGATGGGTGATGTTCTCTGCGGCCATGATGAGGGAAAACAGAAGATGTGTTACTGGCTTTGAAGATCTTCAATTGGTTTCCCCGCCGTAAATATCTCCAGGCCTAAGTCCAGTGTGTGATGACTGATACACTGATACCGAGAGTAGCCGAGATGGGTCTCGGGATTCTCCCGAGTTCTCGCCGGTGAAGGGGTCGGACGAAGATATCGGAGAAGAGTCGAAGGTTGCCCGAATTTTGAAAAGGTTATTAAGGTTGCGCCCTGTCGACTACAAGGATCTGGTATGTGTCGGAGTCGGACTGTTGCTCCCCGCATGACGTCCACTTCTATGAAACTTAGACCGATGATAGCCGATATCAACTCTTATGCTTGATAATCTCAAACTCTCCACTTTAGCCCTGGCTGTACTTAGAATCGTTCATAACAATTCGTGTGGAAACTATACTTGCAAGCTTTTGTTTGTAAAATAATCGCCATGTCCGGACAAAAGGCACCATATGGTATGAAAGTCTAGCATACTACCAAATTGGTCCGCGCTGACTCGTCTCTAGTCACCCTCGATGTATTCACATCACAGAGGTATAGTTCTCTTCATTAGATCAATGCAAATGACCCAATTGTATCTAATCGACTGAAACAGATTCAAAGGCAACCCTGTTGCCATTGTGAAGCTCAGCGATGTCAAGTTGTCACAGAAACAAAAGCAACAAATCGCCAAGGAATTCAACTTCTCTGAGACAGTGTTCTTGCATCCCGCCACAGGGGATGGGAACCATCAGGTTGACATCTTCACTCCTATCAACGAGATGGAGTTCGCCGGCCATCCCATCATTGGCGCCGGTCACTTCCTCTTCCGCCAGGTATTGGCTGACGCTCCCAATCGCTCGAACACCCTCACTGTAATAACCAAAGCTGGACCCGTTCCGATATCATATGATCCAGCCAACGAGGTTATCTCCGCTGAGGCCCCCCACAATATTCACATCCACCAGCAGGGTGCGACACTAAGCCATATCCTTCCCGTTCAAGCAAGTCTGAGCGCGGTTTCGGATCTGCAGGGCTTACCAGAGACGTCACCAGTCATCTCCGTAGTCAAAGGTGTCACATACGCGCTGGTGGATCTGACTGAAAGACCGGATATCTTCGCCAACATTGTGCCTGGTGGAAGTCCGGACCTTGATCTTGATGAGGGATGGTCGCCGTCCTTCACCGGCATCATGTATCATCGGCATCTTGGGTCTCGTACGGAGGGAGACTTGGTCATTTGGGATCTTCGTGTGCGCATGGTTGCGATTGATCTAGAGGATCCTGCTTGTGGCAGTGGGGGTTGTTCCCTTGGAGCTTACCTTGCGCTATCCAATGGTCAGAAGGGTCGGAATCACCGGTTCTGTATTGATCAGGGAATTGAGATGGGGAGGGATAGTCATATCATTGTGGACGTGCTCTTGGATGAGGACAGGAAGAAGGTCTCAACTATCAAACTCGCTGGTCATGCTGCATTTGTAGCGGAAGGGAACATCTTTGTTGATTAAATAGCAGAAAGGACAATCAGAAGACACGAAAGTCTACATACGAATAAATGTTTCAGGAGATGGTTCAGTAGGTCATTGGCGAGCTTTCGAGGAATTCGAGTTCACGTATGTTCTGATTGGGCATTATGCAGAAATTCAATAATTACAGCCCCTTGCCAAAAAGTTCTCGTATCTCTTTAAGAAGCGGCTCCTTGTGTACAGCCTCAACCTTCATCTTTTCAGAAATCGTCTCGGCCACACCCATAGCGCGACAAAGATCAATTAGAGACCCATCCATCGGAGCTTCGTACACAAGAAGCCCCAGAGCAAACAGCAACCCATGCAAGGCTTCCACGCTCTCGTTCTCCCGCGAAACAGCCTCAAGCAACGACGCGGTCAGTTCGACCTGATCTTCCTCGGATAGAGGATCGGGCTTTCCATCGAAGCGAGCGTTATGATTGAATGAGGCAAGGTTGTATGCAAAAGAAGCGGCGACAACGCGGAGGCTGGTTTGTGAGTCTAGGAGGGAGTTGGTCGCGAGACGGAGGCAGGTCTCGCGGAGTGGGGATGAGGAGGAGGTGAGTTGCTCTGGGTAGAGGGGTGTGCTGAAGAGATTGCAGGCTAGTTGGAGGGCCACGATGCGGAGATTGTATGGACATGACGTTAAATCGTCTTGGGATAGCGGTGCAAGGAGAGTGAGGAGGGTTGCGTGTTGAGCTTCTTCGGCAAAGTAGCCACTTGCACGTGGGTCAAGCAGAAGGAGACGAACTAGATCGACCACGGCAAAATGACTGCCACTGGGAAGCTTCGAGTATGCGGAGGTCAACGTTGTGGCAAATGTATGCAAATCAGGGACTCTGATATCGGCGACAGGTCCGGTGGTTGAGTGACGCAGCTTCACAAATTCAATCACCTGTGCGACACCGTGGCCTTCCTTGAATGCGATAGGAAGTTTTTGGAGGAGCTTTTCGAGTGGTGGAACCTTCTTATACATGACGAAGGTCGTAACCTCTCGCTGAAGACTGGGAAGTCGTAGTTGACGATGGGGGTGGGCCGGGTGTGCCATCTCTAACAACATACGAACGTTTCCCACTAGCTTGGCCGGGGTTGCGCCGCTCCATTGATCCAGCTTTTGGCCCCTCAAAAATGTCATAAAGGTAGGAGTTGAGCGCACACTGTACTTCATGCCAACATCGCGAGCTACGCCGATGTCGACTTTGATAAGAGTACCTCGCTCACCCGCTTCCGCTGCGAGTTGGTCATATGTTGGGTAGACAGCCTTACATGGCGGACATGTTGACGATGTGAAGAAGATAACGGCGCAGGAATGGGAAGCACCAGACAGCTCACTTTGTAGCTGACTGAGACTGCTCACGATGCGGACTGTGCCCGCTCCTGGGTGTGGCACTGGCTGAGGTGCGGGAGGGACAGCCCTCACTGTGGTAGGTTGAGCACTTGGCCCAGGGGCAGGACCTGTTCCGGTGCCTTGAGTGACACCCTTGAGAGCATTCTCGATTTGAGGTTTCATCATTTGCCCAAATGGGGTTTCGAGAAAAGTGCGCGGTAGATTGATAATGTGGTCCGGGATACTTTTACCGACAAGAAACATTGCAAGGTCTTGAGTAAAGTTATTGCAGTTATGAAGAAAAAGGTCGTATGACTAGAACTGATTAGCCAATAGTTCCGTTGCTCAAGTCGTTCATGAACGAACCTCAGGTGTATAAATGGTTGCCAATGAGCCCAGATATTCTTCAATAACCTCGTTTGGAAGCTCAGTGGTGCCTAACTTCACGACCTCCATGGGCCGTCCATGATGGGTACTCCCTGGAGCAGCGGTCTGGATACCCTGGCCGAAATAATATTCGATCCCGTTAAGGACAATGGATGTATGATAGATGGCATCCATTTGTGTCCCTGTTAAGGCAAGGGAGTACTGTACAAATTAGAGACTACTCGCTTTCAATAGCGCGTTGAACATACCATTCGGGCCAGACCCTATATTCAAGATTAGTTGGTATTTTCCGCATATAGAACTGGAAATCTTACCTTTGAAAGGTCGTAGACATATAGTGAGACATCCATGATGAAGCAGGTGTCCGATGTAGAAGGGAGTCACCTTTTGAAGTGAAAAGTCGAGATAAAGAGCCCTTGAAGTGCGACCTGGGCAGGCTCCAATCCGATAACGTCAGCACCGGCAGCCTTCAGGGCTATCACCTTCGATCGTATTCTATAACATTTTGTATGGATGTGATTATTTGATATTTAATATTTCTACTTGATCGAAATGGAATGTGACGTTGTTCATTGGAGCAATCTCATTCCTTACTATATACTGCCTCCAGGGCTAGTAGCTGGTCTCGATATGCGTCGTCCAACCTGCTGCAAAATCAAAAGTTTATGTATAGTAGATCAGGAGGCCGATACAAAATGAGTGTCCAATTTTCACATATTTTCAGTAATAATTTATGCGCGTAATTGTGTATAATAAAGCTGTGAAGCTGAGGTGCTGCGTCCATAGAACGTTTTCCTATCGCGGCTCTCCCACCTTCATCACCTCCGGGGCCAAATCCTCATTTTGTCCATGCCAACACCGTTGTAAAGCAGCAAGTCCTGCCGGAGATACTCACATGGTACGAAATCCCCGATATTGTCAATACCCAACCAAATCTGATTCCCTCGCAGCCTCCCAAAAAGCGCGGAGGCGCAGCTAGCTCCTCCGCACCGGCAGCGCCAAAGCGCGGACGTGCATCCAAGCTCGCAAAGGAGAACAAGATCACCGCCGAAGAAGAAAACGAAATCAAAGAAGTCTTCCACCTATTCTCCGACAAGAACGCAGACTTCCCGGACGAGAAGGAGGGGGTCGTTCCCCGCGAAGATGTGCGCAAGGCACTAGTGTAGGCTTCCCTACCTCTCTACCTCAGCCATTTACAACAATCGACACTACTTACAACCCCACCCCCTTTCTCAACTCCATACTCCAAAGCTACAACTACTAAATACTAACAACTCTCCCTTCAACAGTGCCCTCGGCCTCCCACCCACCGACTCTACCGAACTCGCAGAAATTCTCTCCGCCCTCGATCCAACTCTAAGCGGATACGTGCCCTACAGTCCCTTCGTCTCAATAGCAGCAGCCAAGCTGCGGTCACGCGATGATGACGCCATGGCTGCCGAGGTGGACGATGCATACCAGCTATTCACGCGCGGCACGGATGGCCCCATTACACTGTCACATCTGCGGCGCATTGCGCGCGACTTGAAGGAGGATAGTGTGGGCGATGACCTGCTCAAGGATATGATTCTGGAAGGGAATGGGGGTGCTGGATTGAGTGCTGGCGTTACTTTGGAGCAGTTTCATGATGTCATGACCAGAGCTGGTGTGTTTTAGATGTGGGGGATTTGTGTAGATCTTTAGTGGTGCTGCATTTCTTGTTTTGATGGATGTAAGGGTCGGGTTCGGCGTTTGGTACGGTGTCTTCTTTTAACACGGAGTCTGAGGTTTTGAAATTTTCAAGAGATTCCGAGGTTGTTCGAAGATCGATTATCATTTGTAATGTTCCATGGTGGGTGTAGATACATGCTTTCCTCCACCGGCTTCCGCGAAAGACATGAAAGAATTAAGCCTGCTGGTACTAGCAAAAGAAAAAGAAAAAAAGAGTAGAGAAACACAACCAGTGAAAAAAAAAGAAGCAGAACAAAAGGAGCACAGAAGGAGATATGACCCGCGCATCAACCATAAAGAACTCCCGAGAATATTTGCGAAACTTGTATCATGCAGGAGCCGCGATGGAGGAAAGTGAAAGTAATAGTTGAGCTGTTTAGGAGATCTCGTCGGCCATGCCGATGTCCTGGCTGGCGCTAGCCTGGGGAACAGTGCCATTGATGGGTGCAGTGCCGTCGGCAGGGGGGCATCGCTGGTGAAGTAGTCAACCATCTCAGCATCAAGCTCCTCAACAGTCTTGGGCTTTCCACGGCCGGCGTTGCGGCCACGAGGGCGAGCAGGGCCCTTTCCGCGGCGGTTTCCCTTGTCGGTGGTGGTCTTGGTTTCCTTGGCCTTGGGGGCAGCGGCGGACTTGGGCCGAGCCTTGTGACTGTGAATGAATAAGTATATGGATGCGGACAGCTAGAACGGACATCAACTTACGCAATGCGCTCGGTGAGAGGCTTGGAAGCAGGGACAGCAGGAACGTGAGACGCATCATAGACAACTTCGATCTATTATATAGGTCAGTCAATGTTACAGTGAGGGTTGGTCAGAGCAAAAGGATTTACCTTCATAGGGCGGCCATCGACGAGGAGTCCGTTGAGTTCCTTGGTGGCCTTGGCAGCGGTGTCTGCCCTGACGAATTGGATGGAGGCGATGCCACGGCTAGTACCATTCTGGTTGTAGGTGAGCATGACCCGTCTGACGGGGCCAGCAGACTTGTTGAAGTATTCCTATAGCGCAAACAAAGACGATCAGTATTTTTGCCAGACAATTTCAGTGAGATTGCGGTTCTCGAGTGTCGGGAGAAGGTGGCGGCGCAAACGAGGACGGCCAAAGGTGAGAGAGCATCAGCGAGCACACAGCATCAATCCATCGTCCGCTTCATCCTAACATTGGAACATGGAACATATAGTTCCATAATTGCAAACATCCGACAGTTTACAAAATTTGTTCCCCGCAATGCAACATAACAGGCCAACAAATATCCATAGTAGTATGAAGTCTGCACTTCATCCATACATCCATCAAGCGATCACAACAAGTCCTTCAACAAAAGCATTCTTTCACGTTGCCGCCATCAAGGCAGAGTTTGTCAACTGGAATCCATTTGCCCATGGATGTGTCATCCCAACAAAGTAGGGCCGTGTAAGACACAGTTTAAACTTCTCCAAGTCACTGGAATAGGTAATCACCCCATAGCAGTCAGACTCTTCACGGAGAGATTTGAGACGAGAGTCTCGAACATATAGGTTTCTGTCTGCCCTCTGAACCTGTTGACCACTGTTCCACTGATGCGCTCGCTGATGCCCGTATGGATCTCAAGGTAGAAGACATGAAGGAAATGCGCGGAATTGAAGAGAGGTCAGGATGATGAGTTTTCATCAATCATCCTCGGCATAGTAATCAGAGAACAAGGCGGGTGGATTCCGTGTGGGAATCGACACGAGCGATGTACATCTTTTCACCGTACTACAACACAGTTTGACTTCTTGTCTCGCAGAGCGCCAGCAATGTGTATATATTTGCAGAGACATGTAGAAGGAGCAAACTGCGTGTGCCGTGCATCGAGGAATATCCATCGATGGGGAGGAGGTAGAGAGAGGTCGGAAGGCCGGTCGAAATCATTTGCGCCGCGAGATTCTCGAGAAAAGAGATGGCGGTGAAAGCCAATATGAGAGCCTTTAGATCAACATACCTTGACATTGGCCTCGGACACATCGGAAGGCTGAGGAGATTAGCGCATGGACAAGCAGAAACGTTAGGAAGAATAAGAACTTACCAATCCGCTGACAAGAATCTTGCTGGAACCAGTCTGGGCGACAGGGGCTGGGTGAGCAACCTTGGGAGCAGCCTTGGTGGACTTCTTCACACCTCCAACGGCAGGTGGCTTGGTCGCAGCGCGGCGGGCACCACCACGGCGACGACCAGTCTGGCGACGGCTGCCGACGAGATCATCAAGGGACTTATCAAGGTTGGCGGACATGACTGCGGTGGATAGCAAAGCTGGCGATTTGCAAGTTCAGCAAAAGTCACTGGATGAACGCGTCGTGGATGATATGCGACCTAGGATTTTAAGTCGCGTTTAAAAGAAGTTGAGATCACAGTGGATTCTCGAAATGGGATGATGCAGGTATGTGTAGTTGAAAAGGATGAATCTTGAAAGGAGGAAGGATATGAGGGAGTGAGGAGAGGGGGCAAGTCGCAGCCTAAGTTTTGCACTAAACCCGTTTTGGCCGGCCCAATGCAAACAACATCAACCAATTTGATTGGATGGAAATTATTGAGCCAAGGTACCTACGTGTAGGTACATGTATTGATCTCATTTTTGTTCCCCTGTTTGTCTGGATTAGCTTATTGTCTTATTGTATGTGAGATCGATGTGAAAATACACACGAATCTTGATTTTTTTGAAACAAGAAGAAATTCCATTATGTGCAGGCCCAGCCTTGAAGAATAGACTATGGAAAAACACGCAACCAACTCCGAACGCGAGAGTCGTGGAGCAGACGACTCAATACCAAATAAATAAAACCAACGCTCTGAGTTTGCAATATGTACTAGCTCTTGAGAGCTTCCAACCGGCCGCGCATCTGCGCAAGGGTGGCTTCTTGGTCTTCGAATTCCTCCTCGGCTTGTGGAGATTCTGGCTCTGAGATTTTGGCCACAGGTGGTGCCGTGACGGGTTGTGCCTGGGCGAGTTTGCCTTGCAAAACTTCCTGTAGAATCTTCTCAATCTCCGATTCTGCTTCTTCTTCCTCATCTTCAAAGACCGAAGGGTCCATGGTAGCATCATCGACCATCTCTTCGATAATGCCTGCCCTGACTAATTCCGAGGACAGCTGGTGCATGGTGGCAGATAATTGAGGCAGTCGGACCAGTGTGTTCACATCCTTCATGATCCCAGTTGACTTTTGAAGACTGCCCTGGATTTTGCGCGCCGAGAAGGCCTCATTGACCTGCATTCCCACACTCTGTAGTTGAGCTCGACTGGTATTCAACCGTGTCGTCTGTTTCCGAATGCGCACCAGCTCCCTTGCAAATACTTTGGTGTCATTATTAGCCTGCTTGGCCTGGGATGGATTTCGCTGGGCCCGTTTAGAGGCATTGACAATGTGCTGGCGAGTCTGGCTGTCACTGGCTTTTAGCCGGGCTAGATCGCGGTCGAGTTGCCGTGTGTTTGTGCGTATTAAAGCATTGCATTTTCTCATCTGACAGAATGTTCTTCATCAGTGTCATATTTCCAGGCATTAACGAGCCACACCAACTGCCTACCTGGGCTTGCGGGTCGGGCCCAAAGAATACCGCCTTGAGACTCTCCATGAATGCAATATTGGGGCAATAGGGATGGAAAGCGGCGATGAAAAGACAGGTAGGTAAATCAAAAGCGTGAGAAGGGTTCAACAAATGAGTTCAGTCTTGGGGTGAGGTTTGATCAGCGATTAAGGCTCATTCCCGGTGCATCGTCTTAGAGATAGGCGGGGCAAGGCTAATTCGTTGGCTATGCTGGCGCAATTTTAAACCCTCTGGTTGCTGTAGGGTGGGGCTCTTCTCGAAGACCAGAATCGCTAGGTCTTCAGCTCAATCTTCAGGTCAATACACACTGATGCGACTGTCAACATTCAAGGCTTCCTAGGTACCTCGGAGTGCAACGCTCAGCGTCCAGCCCGCCGGGAGCGGAAACTGAGTCAGCCCTGACGTAATACGATGTCCCACATAATTTGTGCCTGAGGCACGCTTCTACCAGTTTCTACAACATAGCACTTAGGTAGGCCGTGAATGAGCTTCTCTACACTTCTTCTCCTCTCTTTGACCACATTTTCTATCTCCCTCCCTTTCCTCAATTCTTCCAGTTATCTTTCCACTCCTAATTCAATATGTCTCAGACTGTGACTCCCGAAGGTATGTTGTGACTATGCTCTACTCCTTCCCCGCTCTCGAACGCGGGACTGCACATTTTGCATGGAATTTACTATGACGTTATCCAATGTTTAAGACTGTTTTGAAACATCAACTACGCCAATTCTACAATTTCATTTCTAAGTGAGATCAAGGCGCTGACATTTTGTTTCGTTTCAGTTAACTGGGCTCAGCGTTCATCCGACTCGGACCCTGAGCGCAACTACCTCTACGTGAACATTAAGGCTGCCGAGGTTCCCAAGGCCGATGCTACCCTCAGCATTACCGAGAAGAATGTTTCTTTCAAGGGCGCCTCCAGGAAGGGCGTAACATACAGCGTCTCCCTGGACCTGTTTGCCGAGATCGACCCCGAGAACAGCAAAATCAACCACACCGACCGCGACGTCGAGCTCGTTCTCCGGAAGAAGGAGCTCAAGGAGGAGTTCTGGCCCCGCCTTCTCGAGAGCACGCAGAAGATGCACTTCTTGAAGACCAACTTCGACAAGGTATGCTTGGGCGTTCGTTCTAATTGATGATGAGATGTTGACTAATCGGGTGCAGTGGGTCGACGAGGATGAGCAGGATGAGGCTGGCGAGGATGACTACGCCAACAACTTCGGTGGTCTCGGTGGTGAGGGTGGTGGTGACCCCAGCGCCGGTGCCGGTGCCGGTGGCCTAGGCAACATCGACTTCTCCAAGCTTGGCGGTATGCCCGGCATGGGTGGCATGGGTGGCATGCCCGACCTCAGCGCTCTGGCTGGCGGTATGGGCGGTATGCCTGGTATGGGTGGTATGCCCGGTGGTGAGGGTGACGAGGAAGATGATGTAAGTTTTCTCGCCTTTGGGTGATCTGTGGTTATATACTAACACAACTCTGCAGGAGGATCTCCCCGAGCTCGAAGAGGCCGACGGCCAGAAGCCCACCAAGATCGAGGAGGTTTCTTAAATGTGAGATTCCTGCTTTCTGCGAAATCTATGACGACCAGAAACGAAAATTGAGGGTGCTTTAAGACGCCTACGGGATGACGGTTTGAAATATGGATCTCCTTGGGTTTTCGCCATACATTGACTGCAAGGCTATTCTGACCAGGCAGCTTTGATCTAAGGCCAACCTTTATACATGGTAGATCTATTTCATTGAAAACATCCCAATGATTGACGAAGCGTGATGAGTGGTCATTACAGGTTCTCATGTGTAGAGGCATATAATCAAGTAGCTTTAGGGTCCGTGGTACAATTGTATGTTGTAGATGAATTATTTAGGAGACGTCTCATCGGTTACCTTCCCTAGGCTGGTCAACCTTTCCTAGGCGGCATATTGACAGTTATGTGGATAGGATATTTGATTTTTTTTAGGGTTTGATGGGAGGCCAAAGTCATACATATACACCTGGGCACATAGATAAAGAAGTTCATACTGTATAGCTGTTTCGATATACCTACCATTCTTTCCCCCCCCATGCCGTATTGATATTTGCATAGCGAGGGCCCTATTGTGGGTGTCGAGGGCAAATATTAGTGGGCATATGACGCATGTCACCGTGAAGAGCACATGCTCAAAACTCGACATTGTACGCCAGTAATAGAACTTTTGAGACAATAATGAGAAAATAATGATTCTCTAGTAGAACATTGAATCTTCATAGAGACAATTATATAAATAATTCCAGCCCACTCTTATCTTTCGAGTTCGTCGCACCGCAGAGACGCTGAAGTAAAAAGACCCGCACCGTCATTGGTTAACCAAAAATTACCGTCACACTCTCACACCCCTCGTTTTCGAGAACATTTCACTCTACAACAACCCTGGCATTTCTGCCCACCACTCGATATCTTCCCTTTTAGATCTCCCTGTCATTCTTTCAGGTTTCATCAGCGTCTTTTCTTTATCTCATTGTCACCAACTGAGGCGCACCCTGGACAGGCGCATTTTCACAATTTTACTCTTCCCCGAATCCGCGACGTCACGTCCGCCCAACCGCCGCCATGCCTCCCAAGAAGGTCGATCAGCCTAAGAAGAAGAAGGCCACCGTTGATGATAAGTCCTTTGGTATGAAGAATGTACGTCATATCCTCGATTTGAAGTCTCGAAAAGCGAGCCCACTCGTGATATACCCCAACATGTCCTAACTTTGAATGTAGAAAAAAGGTGGTGCCGCCAAGAAGCAGATCCAACAACTGCAAGCACAAGCCGCAAGCAACAAGAACCTAGACGAGAAGAAGAAGGCCGCCGAAAAAGAGAAGCGTGAGGCCGAGAAGGCGGCCGCTGAGCGGGCCAAGAGAGAGAACCTTGAGCTGTTCAAGCCCGTGCAGGTCCAGAAGGTTGCCTTCGGTGTTGACCCGAAGACTGTCCTCTGTCTGTTCTTCAAGCAGGGTCACTGCGAGAAGGGCCGGAAGTGCAAATTCTCACACGACCCCAATGTCGAGCGCAAGGCAGCCAAGAAGGATCTGTACACCGATACCCGTGATGAGAAGGTCGACGAAGAAGAGAAGAAGCAAAAGGATACCATGGACGACTGGGACGAGGAGAAGCTACGCAGTGTCGTTATGAGCAAACACGGCAACCCACGAACAACCACCGACAAGGTGTGCAAATTCTTCATCGAAGCAGTGGAGAACCAGAAGTACGGCTGGTTCTGGTCTTGTCCAAATGGAGGAAACAAGTGCATGTACAAGCACAGCTTGCCACCAGGGTATGTCTTTCTGCCACTTTATGTGTGCCTCGTACGCAATACTAACAACGTGAGCAGATTCATTCTGAAGACCAGGGAGCAGAGAGCCGCCGAGAAGGCCCTCAGGGACAAATCGCCCCTGAACACTCTCACCCTAGAGGACTGGTTGGATTCCGAGCGTCACAAGCTGACTGGTACGCTTACACCCGTCAACGAGGAGACCTTCGCCAAGTGGAAGAAGGAGCGTATGGACAAGAAGGCCGCCGAATTCCAAGCACAGCAGGCTAAGGAGGCTACTGGTCGCACGCTCTTCGAGAGCGGCAACTGGGCCGAGGAGGACAGTGAGGCCGAGGAGGGCGAGGACGAGGATGGAACATGGAACTTGTCAGTTATGCGACGAGAGACCGAGAGACTGCGTGAACAGAAGGAAGAGGAACGTCTCCTCAAGCTCGGTGGCGAGGTGCTACCCACAAGCATACCCACAAGTATACCCGAAGCTGTCACACCCGAAGCTGTGGGTTGAGTCCCCACACACCCTCACGATACTAGATTCGTGGGCCCTTAAGGATCCTTCTCCCCCGGCCACATGCAATCTTAAAGTTTGTTTCGTGATGCTATGGGGTCGGATCTCGATGTCGAGTGATCGCTACAATCGCTTGCCCAAATTGCTCGCTTTGTATGCAACCTCGGTCATCACTGAGGGCTCGGTTGGTCGCCTTTTCCTTCCAGCCTCTATACGTGTGTACTAAAAATGTCATGCGTAGAGGAAAAGGTCAAGGCTGACTAGCCACGGGGGCGCAAAGGCTTTATGAGTCTTGTGTGTCCCATGTGACGGAAGAATCAACGGCCGATATACCTTTTGATAGCACCTGTTATTTTGTTGGTAGCAAAAAGTTCGTTCATTCCAATGAACCTGATGCCTTTTATTTTCTATGTATCAGATTACACGGCATGGTAAGATCTATCAACTCAAGAAATATGTACAACATGCTCTCTATAGACAACGCATGACGCTCTTTGAATGCCTAAAAATAGGTTTACAGTGAGGCTTTAGCCTGCAGCAGCCTCTCCTCGAGCATCAGAGCTACAATGTCTTCCGCAACACCACGAGACAGCTCAAACCCGCGTCCACCAGCACCATACCCATGAACGATATATCGATCATCAGCGAGCTTCTCCGCCTCAATGCGCAGACCGCCCTCTCGAGCCGGCCGCCTACCGACAATATCGCGAATCACATCGAACTGGCCGCCGCTCTCGGACGTGAAAGGGAACCACTTGGTTGCGTTGGCGAGGAGCCGCTGCCTGATTTCCAGCGACGGGTTCGGGTCCCAGTTATGCGGTTCCTTCGTGCCTCCAATGATGGTCCCGCCTTCGAGGGGGCGCGGGATACAGAAGGACCACGAGCCATCCGTATTCTGTCGAGTAATGGTCTTCGAGACAGGGTTACGGACGAGACATGTTTGACCTAGAGAATATGTCAACCCACGGATTCAGAACGTATACGTTCAAGCGCATCCCAAACACAACCATCACCACCAGCACTACCACCACTCCCATCGTAGACACACATACCTCTAATAATAAACGACCTCGGGTCCTCAAACCCACTTCCGGAGCAGTTCACCACGGTCTTCACATTCCCCGCCATACTAAACGCCTCCTTCACATTGGCGAGCGTATACTGCCTCGTCTCACCTCCCTTGAGAACGAACTTGCGCAGCAAATGCGCACAGTAAACAGGCGAGTTGATCACATACGTCCCGTACTTCACACCCCACACCACGCCAGCCGGAACCTCCTCTTTCCCCAGAGATTCGAACCCATCCAGATGCGAATAGACATTGCGCACACTCTGCTGATCCAGGTACTCTGGCGGCGGAGCCTCGAGGTACTCAACGCCCTGGACGAACTTGATGCCCGCGCCGGGCTCAGCAGCCGCAGTCCGTTTCAGGAACTCGTACGTGCGCTGCGCTTGGTTCGCCTCTCTCAGGGCCTGTGGTGAGGAGCCTGGCACCGGACGATAGTGGGCTCCTGCCCATGGCGAGGCGTAGTTGACGGAAGTTTCCGATGGGAAGTCGCGGGCTACGAGAAGGATGGATTGCGTCGGGGCGAGGTGTTGTTGGATGAATAGTGCGGTGGAAAGGCCAATTACACCCGCTCTGGTTGAGGTCGTCAGCTGATTGTTGTGTCTTGTGATCCGTTTTTTTCTCTTTGGGGCCGGATTGGTTCGATGATATTATATGTGCGGGGAGTGTTGGACTGACCCGATCACTACAATTGTGTCCTTGGGCATGGTGAGAGTTGGAGAGCTGTCACGAGGGATTAACAAGGACTTTATAGGAACAATTCATAGATATGAAGCTCCAATGTTCTGGGGAAACTGTGTGAGTCAAGGGTCTGGGGAAGGCGATAAGACCCCCGCGATCAGATGATAACGGGTCATGGCATGCCCAGGTGTTCCACTTGGGCATGGCATCCAACATTAGTAGTATTCCTGGATTATTAGTGATATAAGCTTCTCTGTACATCTCTGAAATTGGAAACGGATGTACAATATACTCTCTTAATTCCAACAGTAGTTGCGCATTTTTGCACTCTTCCCTTGGCCCGCATTGAATATGTACGGGAGTATGTATAGTAAGGCTTCTCTTGTGACTCGTATTATTTCCAAGGATCGGAATTGATCCAGTGCATCCAGTACGACTTGGAAATCCCTTCTCATTGCCCAAGCTCGATTGAAAACTCTGCCGGCGTGCCCGCGATACTATCACAGGGGCCCAAGCTCCAGGATGTTCGACGGTGCCTTTTTGTACAGGGATGACTGCATATCTTTGCATTTACCATCACATCACAGGAACCAAAATGCAGAACCTCTTTGAAGTACTCCGCACTCCGTACATAATCGTCGTGGAAAAGGCAAAAAGGAAAAGAAAGCGAGATCGTCACTGATAGATATCGGAAACACTAGTTCAAGCATGAAACTTCTGAACGGTCTATTCTCCGAAGTCAAGACAAGAAGAGGGCTGCTATAGGCCAATAGAGCCAGTTTAGGCGATTTTCTAGTTGATTGTAGACCGTCATGAAATGGCTGGATGAGTGCAGGCATTGGCTGAGGGGTGGTTGTGTAGGCGCCGAGGGATCAGCAGTGATGGACGGTGATTGGCCGGGTGAAGTGACGAAGCTGCAGCTTGAGAACAACAGCACGGATCCCAATCACATTGCTGTCTCGGATCACATATTATTATTTTTCTCATTTTGCATATCGCTTTCTATCATTTGGAAATTGGGCGGTTCCTTGCAGTTGAGAAAATATCAAGTCAAGTTGCCCAGGTGGTGTTGTTAGGGTTATATACTTCAACTATATCATGTACTAGACGGTTTACCTCCGAGTGATCGACGTGCAGGACACTAAAGATAGTGCAAGGGCTAGGGATTCTCTTCTTCATGAAGCCCGTGATTCGGGAACTTGTCTGCATATTAACTTTTTTCTCTACTCGGGTTCTGCATGCTCGTTGGTGCAAGTCCCGCAGGATAGCCCAGCCACCAAGAAGGCTCGATCTCACCGTCTCCGCTAATAATGTGTTGAATATGGTGCTTTTAATCCCGGGTCATGCTCCGGTTCCTTTGTAACTCTAGAAACGGGACAGATGTATGGTCCTAGTCAGGAAATGAAAGCGCCCAGCAATTCCCCCGAGCGCCAACCATTACTTAGTAGTCCCCGTATTTTCATTTGGATCGACTATCGATGCTCCCCTCTTTTTGGGAAATGTTTGCCTTTGATTTTACTCTGCTATTTACTTACTTTAGGGGGCAGTCTGCTTATATGTATATTATGGTTATATAGAAACCAGTCTTACTTCCTGTCACAAATTTAAGCCCTCTCCGTCACGCCTTCTATGTGATGAACGTGCAAGTTTCAATTTCCTAGTTGGGGCTTTAACTGTCACACTGGAGTATCTTATTTCTCTTTTTATTCTTTTCCCCCTCCCCTGTTCCAACGGCTTGCATCCTACTTTTTTTCCTCTCGCCTTCTCGCATATTTCTTACATATCTTGCATCTCACCCTTTTCATTTATAGGGCCCAGATCTGCGAGCCTACTTCATTTCAGTCACATTCCTTGTCAGGCGCTAATTCTCCTCCGACCCAAATGTGCCTTGAGATATCCTGGAAACTCCCGTCTTTCACCTTGACTGGTACTCAGGGTCGTGGCCGATTAGAAATCTACCTGGCTTAAACAGAGGTCAGTGGCCCAATCTTGTTTAGACTCATTCCATCTTCCCTCTTGTCTTGGGTATATATCATTTGGGACTTTTGTCTTGGACAAACCCCAATTCCAGTAAATCAATTTCCCCGCAAATCGTCTCATATGCATTTGGGCAAATATAATGGTCGAGTTGACATGGAATAGGAGCTTGGGGACAGAATCACGACCCTCGAGGTCCGTCAAAGTTATGGCACCTGCACCGCCAGCTGTCCAGCCTCGCTTCGAGGCTTGCGCTTCGACGGCATCCTTATTCCTCTATGCCCAGGGCTCAACAATCCTATGTTTGCATCATGATACATTGGCAATCGAGCGACGTTTTCAGAGCCACCAGGAAAACATTGATTTTATATCGGTCGATAATGTCAGCGAGCGGGGTGCGGGGAGGTTGGTTGTCAGTTACGATGTAGGGCAGACGGCCATTGTCTGGGATATCTTCACCGGAACGGAGATTGCCCGCTTTGCTTCCTTCGATCATCTGCGAATAGCATCGTGGATGCGTAATGGCAATGTTGCATTTGGTGAGAGCATTGTCATATATATTTTATGAATTTCAAGTTGCTGATTAAATGCAGGAAATGGCAAGGGTGAGGTGATCCTGTTCGAGCCTCCCACTTCAGAGCACATCTCTGCGCGCACCATTTTCGACCCAATCACAGCTCTTGCGCCCGCCACGGATTGTCGTACTTATGCCATTGGGTATGTGGGATGAACATGATTGAGTGGCAGTAACACTGGAAGCTAATGGGTTTCAGATATCAAAATGGTTCTATATTGATCGCGACTTTACTTCCTCAATTTACCATTCTTCACACTCTCACTACTTCGCGTGGACCATCGCCAATTATTTCTTTGGCTTGGCATGCATCTTCATCCAAACAGAAGTCGGACATGCTGGCAACACAGTCATCGAATGGCGATCTACGAGTTTGGAGCGTGGCAAAACCACCAGGGAAAGAGTCACCTCGAGTGATTAGGGTATTGAAACGATCTGATTCAAACTCTTCGGATCCCAAATGGATGGGCTGGTCAAAGAACGGAAGACTGGTGCAATATTTGGAAGGGTGCGCAACCCTTCGAGGGGATCATAGGGAGTTTACTAACATCTAATTATAGGGAAACATGGTCTTGGGATGTTCGAACAAAACATGTTACCTACGATCCAATTCCCACAATCGACGGTGTGCGAGGCATCGCAAACTACGGTCCTACTGCGACTCTATTCACCATCGGCCCCCAGCACTCAGTCCAGCAGTATGATTTGGAAAATCCGGCAATGGTTGCAAATGTGCAACATCTTCCAATCATCCCCCGGCCCGGCACCGCGGAAGGCAGTCGATCACAAACAATGTCCCCACGACGCTTGCAGGACGCTCCTGATATTCGAGAACCACCAGGCGCGGCCAGAAGAACGCCATTTGACGCAAACAGCATTGAGAGTATTAGACAGAGGGCAGATCTGACAAGCCCTGCTTCATCGCGCAGTCGGACGGAATCGGTAAGCTCAAAGGCGTCCTCTGGGAAGTATAATATGAGGCCGTTCTCTCCACCGAGTCGCTCTGGTCAGAGTGCTACGACATTTTCGATGACATCGGGTGGTCATGATACACCACAGGCTTCTGCTTCATTTGCGTATCCCTCCTCGGTCTCAATGTCCTCTGTGAGAAGCTCGAGGGCGGCATCACGATTGCGAAATGAGGTTCACCTCAGCCCTGCTGACAAGAACATTGTGGATTTATTCCCATTCACTCGGGCTCGCTTAATTGATGTGCCTTACAAACAGCAGCCGCCTATCGATGAGACGAACTTAACTTCGGATGATCTTCGGCTGCAGATGTTGAGCGTGGTTTTCGGTTGGGATGGAGACATCCAAGATCTGATTACAGATGAGTGTACGTATTATCCCGCATATTCTTTCTTGGAGACATCTTTTGACAATTCTTAGTGAGCCGCCACGCTGTGGGTAGTCAAAGCGCTATTCTCTTAACGCAATGGCTTGGTGAGAACGACACAGATGAAATGGCCTCGATGATTAGTTCCGGGCAGGTAACAACTTCCGACTGGATGATTCTTGCTTTGAGTCAGATGAGCGGCCAAGCCCAGGCAAACAAGGTCGGACAGGCATTTGTACAGAAGCTGCTTGAGATTGGCGACATACACACCTCGGCCGCGATCTTGCTTGGTCTCGGGGACAGCAACGACGCCATCGAGGTTTATGTTTCTCGCAATCACTTCATGGAAGCTATCCTTATGACATGTCTCCTGTTCCCATCGGACTGGCAGCGCCAGTCATATCTCGTTCGTCGATGGGGAGAACATGTCGTTACTCACTCCCAGCAACAACTCGCCATTCGCTGTTTCATGTGCACGGGAGCGGAACCATCAGAGCCATGGGCATCTCCATCTGCCCAACAAACTTCATCCTTTGCAGAGATGATTCGCGCCAAGTCTCCTCTCGCCTCGCCCGAACCTTCGCAAGCTAATACGATGCCACCACCCGTCCGGCCAAGATCTACATCTAACTCAAAACCTACATTGAAAACGCCGGCCCTGAAGCTCATTACTTCATTTGACGCACAGCCAGGGCGTTTCCGCTTCCCTGGCTTAAAGTCTGATGATCGCACGCCAACAAATGCACCCGGAATCACTCCGATTGCTGAATCCGCTGTTCCAGACTCGGCAATGTCCCCTGGTGGATTTGGCTCTTATAAACTGAACAATATCCAAAGTCTGAACCACGCAATGACTTCTCGCACAAACACTCCTTCTTTCAATCGGCGTCGTCTACCTTCGATAGGAGAGACACCAGTGGATGTGCACCCTCCAAGCTTTTCACGGTCAAATTCTTACAGCCAGAATGAGTACAGCTCCACCTCCGAAAACGAAATGAGCGGACACGAGCAGAGCCAAGATGAGAAGGAGAGCAACAGCGGTCTTCTCACTTTATCAGCCGCAAAATACAACCCCAGTTTAGACTCTCTCAAGCCCAGTCCCCAGACTGCTGTGCAAGGGGCAGACAAGTTTGCCGCAATCAAGGGACTTCCATCACCAGCTGCCGGCGTATTCGAGGCTCTCACGAATGATGATCATCGTAACGGGTCCCGAGATCGAAAGCCAGACGGCCTTCAAATCGAGACATTGGAAGGTGAAAGAAATCCGCAAGACCGCTCCGATTTGATTCCCAGCGCCAAAAGCACCGCTTCGACGGTGAATAGCTACGCTTCGGCTAGGAGCCCAAGTGTCAGTGGCCGTAGCATCGATCAATACATCAGTAGTCTTGATGAAGCGAACTACCATGCGCGGAAGTTCCGTCCACATACCCCGGGCCGTGGAAGACGGAACCCAGACGACACTGCCAGCCAGAGCTCAAGAGTCAATCACTCGCGGGATACCTCTCGAGATACCCGCGGTATGAGTGAGCGTCGATACATCCAACCCGCCAAACGCTCTCCTTCCTCGCCGGTGCCAATGTCTCCTGAAGAGTTGGCTCGATACCACACCGGAGAGTCCGAAAAGCCACTTGAAACACGGAAGTCAAAGTCTCGGACTAGAAGTTCTAGCAAAGTAAGAGGGCCGGGTTCTCGGAACCGTCAGCGCTCTTCAAGTCGACACACCGCAAGCCGCCTCGGTACAGAGAAACGAGACGCCTCAATTCGAGGCCGCAGCAATGACCGACAAGGATCCGGCATTCGATCACCATCGTCACCTCTTCCTATGGCATATCCCACAGAAGAATCTTCTCAAGATGTTGATAATCCTTTGAGACTTGTTGAGGGTAACCAAAAGAGACTGCGATCTCGCCACCGAAGTGCCAGTCGACGTCGCGCCGAGAAAGGAACAACTTCCAAAAGAGACGGCTCTCCAGAAACCAGACATAAAACGTCGCAGAGTCTTTCTGTGATCCAATCTGGGCCTACATCAGACCCTTGGGCGCAGCAGGCATCGGTCCCGGAGCAGTTGAGCAGCAAGGTCTTTGGCCAAGAAGACACATCCAATGGGTACTCTAATGGGCAGCCAAGCTCGACAGCCAATGATTTCCAAGACATTGTGTCCCCAAGGACACCATTTGTCACCCTCGCGGAGAGAAAGCGAAGAGAGATTGCCGCTGCTGAATTGGAGGCACGAAGATTATCACTCGCCCGCAACCCATCAGCACCAAACATCCCCTTCCCGGGCGAGCTACAGAGCGTAAGAAGTCCTCTAGAGGCTTCCCCGCCTTTCTCTGGTACAAGCTCATACTTCCAACGGGCTCCATCGCGGAACAAGGTGTCCCAAAACAAAGTAACTCTCGACTATCCCAGCAGTTCTGACTCTAACTCTTCACGCTCTGGAATGCCCGGCGGGCTTCCGGCAACTCCTCGAGCTATGCGGCATCCTAAGTACGGAGGAACCGGACAAGATGAAGACCGACCTCCTTCTGTGCCCAATATTCCCACAGACAACAGTATGTTCCTCAGCAATGCCCGGTATCAAGGAGATGCCGAGAGGATCGGACGATCGATGTCCGTCCCCGTGCCAGAGGGACAGTACAACGCCCCTTCAATGCCCAACGACCTCCCCATGCATCCCCGGTTTAACCCAGCCCTCCCCCGGAGCCGGTCTAGCAGCCGCAGCCGCGCAAAGGGCCACAACCGCACCAGCTCAGGCGGCTACGTCTCCGGCACCTCCCCGCACGTCCAAGTGAGCATCGAAGAGACAATCGAGCACGCAATGCAGAGAGGACCATCATCACACTACGAGACAATCCCCCCTCCACCACCTCCACCCATCCTCCCAGAACTGCAGCATCTAAACACCCCACCCCCACCACCCCCATTCCCACTCTCCGCAGCGCCCGTCTCGCCCCGCGAGTCCTCCGCAACAATCGACATCGCCATCGACAACAACGAAGACCTCGGTCGTCTTCTCCCTCGCGCTATGACTGCCGCTCCGGCTCTCAATGTAAGCGGTCACGGGACGGATTCCCGTCAGTCAGGTGGTCAGCGTATGTCCTTTGATCATCGCCGAAACCGTAGCTCAAACGAGAGCTTCACGAACAAGCTGCGTAGCTTGACTCGTATGCGCAACAACAGTCGCAGTGTCGAGCCTTGGACGCAGGCTCATGAGGCGGAGATGGCTCCCTATGAGAGTCTGAACCCGCATGTTGCTGGGTCGAACTCGAACTATGTTCTGCCGAGTCAGAGCTATGTCGCGCCGGGTCCGAACTATGTTTAAGCCCCCGTTAGGGCTTAACTGGTTCAACGAGTGTCCTTTTTTTTATAACTTTTCCTGGTCTTTGTTATTATTATTCTTCTCTCCTCTCTTTTGCATCATGAGCCCTCTTTTTGATTGTTCTTGTTTTTATCATGAAATTGCAATGTCCTGGATTTCAATGCATCACGCATCATGTTTTCACTGCCCATTGGCTTCGGCTTGATATTACCCCTGTTTAAGGGCTCATACCCTCTCCCGTTCTGCTTGATTGATGTTTTCCGAGTTATATGCCCCAAGTTATATTCCAAATACCATATCCTGTCATCAGCCTTGATCCTATGGTTGATTGAATGCACAATTTCCTAGTCTCTGGTTTTGATCTTTTCCTTTTCAGGATTGCAAACAGCGATGTCTTTTAAAAATCTCATTTCCATTGGCTCGTTCTCTCTTGATCGGGGTCACCCTAGCTAAACATATATGCCTGCAAAGGCTTAATGATAACGGTATCAGTTGTTTCTGGATGTTTTGATATGGAAGTAGTTGTTCAAAGGCTGAAAATTACATAGGTGTACATGCAAAAATAAATGGTAAAAAAGCCCGAAGAGATCCTCAAGATCCCCAACCTCGGTTTCGAGATGATCCTTCACTACCAACGTTCCTCTCCGCCTCAATCATCCGATCAAACTCTGCCTGTGCTTGATCCCTCTCAGTCTTCTGAGTGGTGTCATACTTTTCTTGATCGCTCTGGCCGAACTCAGCGGAGGAAGAGTAAGGGTTCAGTGAAGGCTGTGCCATGCCGGGCTGCTGTCGAGGCTGGGAGCGTGCTCCGGCATTCTGTCGTCTGATCCGATCCCAAGCACTGCCAGTAGTCGGTGATCCATCAATGTTTGTATTCCGATATTCCGCAGCTGTAGGGCTAGCATCATCCTCATCCATGAAATCCAAGGACGATTTTGACTCGGGTTGAGTGCTCCTGCCGCGTGCCCAGACTGCACCACCATTCGAATCCGATTTAGACGACTCATATGAAGCAGACTGAGAGCTCCCCTGGGTATCATTGGAGTTCACGTATTCAGAATAAGAATTTGGTTGCGCGGGAGAATCAGACGCCTGCTCCTGCTCGTACCCGTCGCCGCCTGCATAATCACCAGGCGTGCCGATGGCCTGTCGCATCTGGGAGCCGACATCTTGCTCACCACTTCGCATGCCGCGGAGGCGCGCATTAGCGGCCTGGATCTTGCGCTTGCGCACGTCTTCGGGTTTCGCCTTGCGCACGTCCTCGATAAACCCTTTCAGTCGCGGGTCCGTCAACATGTGCATGGCATCATTGGAAACGGCGTAAGCGCTCGATGCCATGGTGCCGAGAGTAATGATAAAGACCATTTTGAATGCCGCTGATGTGATGTTGCCTCTCAAGCCGACATCGCTCCACATGGTACGCACCGTGCTTAACAGTGACGCTGGCGTGGGATTGCGCGGGAACATTGGCGACTTGCGTGCTTGGTTGTAGAGAAACGCTGTTCCGAGGAATGAGCTTATGGGTAACCCCATCCGCCCCTGGTACAGGCATCGCGTTCCGTGCTCAACAATTGCATCGAATTCATCTTGGGTCGGGGATCGTGCCGTTAGCACGTAGTGGTTCTCCACTCGCTCGTTCACTGTGCCCGCGGCCCTTCGTGACCAGGCTGCTGTGCCGAAAAATCCAAAGTACAATGTGAAAAGATCAGGTTTCACAATTGACTCTGGTCGGGCATAGAGCTTGTTATAATTCGCGACCGCGGTGTTGAGGGCTCGGGGGGAGTCGTTTGAGGAATTGCTGTTATATTTCTGGCCTGCCTGCGGCGAGGTATCGTCGGAGCTCATGGTGAGTGTGACGAGTGTTGAGGAAGGTTGAACAGGTGAGAGCTCTGGGGAGCTTGGCTGTGACGTTTTCTGGAATGACCCCAGACGGTGCCCAGGTGCCCACCTAGGCAGGTGACGTTACGCGCTGACTCAGCATTTGCATAAAACCTTATCCATCCAGCATCCGAGATCCAAATGAGAGAACAACAGTCTGTTACCTACCAAACTTGTGAGGACAGCTTTTAACTGGCGGTGCTGCTGGCCTGACCAGTATGCTTCTACTATGAGCTAAACACCAGTGCGGTTCACAGTTTAGATATTGATGGTGTGTATATATCCCAATGCTACTTTAAATATTTGAATTTAGGCAGGAAGTATGTATATAATTTCAAGTTCAGACGTCCAATTTGCATTTCAGTCGTTCGATAAAAATGAATCTCAGTAGATGCACATGTGGCGATGATACATTCTTACTATCCTCGTTCTGCAGATGCTGTTCTTCTGGGTTTACTGGTCGGGCTCAATGCCTCATAAGACCCCAGAAAGCCCCCGAGAAGCCTCCTACCACTTCTCAACATAAGGCCGCAGGTCCAACTCAAACGCAAATGTCGTGCGTGGTTGAGTATGTAAATACCAATATGAGTCCGCAATCTATAACCAGTGAGTTTCCGAAATAATGGAACCAACAGAGTCAAACTTACAGCGTCGGGGCTTAATTTCGCATCTTCATGCTCAAATACCCAGGCCTTGGTACGAGGGATATCAATGACACCGTCAATAATAGTATGCGAGACATGTACTCCCTGCGGCCCAAATTCGCGAGCAAGTGACTGCGCCAACGCACGCAGTGCAAACTTACTCGAAGCAAAAGCAGAAAATTTGGCTGAACCCTTGAGACTAGCAGTGGCTCCTGTGAAGATCAGTGTAGGCGGATACTCCGACGATTCGCGAGCTTCTAGGAGCAGCGGAATAGCCCGTTGGGCAAAGTTGAAGGCGCCCTGTCTGATATGTGTGTCAACAATTCTGCAAATCTCTAATAATGATGTGCACTATATCAAGCTTAAAACAACGAAGTGGCTCGTGTGAGTATAAGAGACAGCAAATACGTACGCCTGTGACCTGAGTGCAGACGAGTAATCTTCTTCCGTCAGCTCCAGGAATGGCTTGACTACGAAGCCGCCACCTGGGTTGAAAACAGCGGCAGCTACCTTTGAGGAAGGATACTGCGCTTGAATCTTGTCAAATGCGGCATTGACGCTCTTCGAGTCGGAGACGTCGGTGCTGATGCCGATGGCCTGGCCGCCGCTGGAATTGATTTCTTGAACAACTGGGTTATAGTTGTCTGGGTTTCGAGCCAGAACTACAACAGAGTATGACTTTGCAAATTTCCTGGCGATTGAGGCGCCCTGTCTTTTTCGTCAGCCAATCCTGCCTTGTATGGAGTCAGCGGGAAGATGTAGACCGCACCGTGCCAGGGCCAACGCCGGCAATGATCGCGAGTGCCTTGGAAGCCATATTCGATTTAAGTATATGAATATATACTATTTGCAAGTCGAGGTAAAATGAAGGAATCTAAACAACTAAATAGTGGCTGTCGGCCCGGAAGATATCACCGAAGCTTAGAAATGCAGCGGGGATTGATCATCACATCCGCAGATGATATCATCAGCAGAGAACGGGACTGGGTGTATCCCCGCAAAGATAACATTCAAGGGAAAATTAGACCATTGGCAGATGAATAATCCTGGATATGAGCTCATTCCGAGGTCTAGGCAGGTAGCCTCCTGGAGAAACCAAGGTTGTTGGTGAAATGTGACTGGTAAAGTTCCAGATCTCTGCCTCAGGCCGTTATCGATAAGCCAAAATAAATTTCCCATCGAATCTCCGACTCTCCAACTCCGCATCAAACAACCAAGATGGCCGACTCAGATCCCTTGCTGAGTGATCTCTGCTCAATATGGTATGCCCATGAGCAATTACATACTGGTATATCTTGAATCTAACCTGTGTCCGTACAGCCATGCCAACCCTCCCAAATACCGCTGTCCACGCTGCTCAATACGCACCTGCTCTTTACCCTGCACACGTCGCCATAAACTCTGGTCGCAATGCTCTGGCGTGCGCGATCCAGCCGCATATCTAAAGCGCAATGAATTGAACACTGAATCTGCATTCGACCGCGACTTTAATTTCATCACGGGCATCGAGCGCACCCTCGAGCGCGCAGAGAGAGAAGTCGATAATCGCGGGATTGATCTTGCGGGCGGTGCCCAGGCCGATGATGGTAATTCTGAAGGTTTCCAACATCCGGCTGCTGGCCGTAAGAGGAAGCACCCGAACCAGGGCCTTGCCAAGGGCGAGGCTGCGTTCTTGCGTGGTACCGAGACTGCTGGTGTGAGAGTTCTTCGAGCTCCGAAGGGAATGTCGAGGAATAAGCAGAATGGGTCGCGTTTGCATCCCAAGTGAGTCGGAAATTTCTCGTGTTTTTTGATTCAGACGTTGTACTGACTTAGGTGTTTCTGAAGGCATAAGCGTCTTGCTTGGACCATAGAGTGGATTACGGCTGATGGGGTGAAGACTATTCGTGATTCTGTCATCGATACATGCTCTGTCGCTGAAGCCTATAACCGATGCTGCCCACGCCCTAAGGATCAAGAGCCAGCTACCGAGCCAGTGGAGGAAGAAAAGAAAGAAGAAGACCTGGACACCCATAATACAACTATCGCTGCACCCGGTGATCCTGTCACGACAGTGGTTGAAGAGGCAGATACAAAACCACCATCATCCCCGACCAAAGACCCAGCAAAGGAACCAGCAGATGCCTCAACTGAGCAAACGGATAAAGCACCAAATCAGACCATCACCCCTCACCGCGGTCTTTACTTCTACCTTCACCGTCCGCGAACCACAACCAAAAAGCCCGTCTTAACTCCTCTCTTGCAATCCTCGACACTCAGTACTGTTCTATGCAATCGGACTGTTCTAGAATTCCCTACGATTTATGCACTGCCAGAGTCAGCGGAGACACTGTTTGCTGACAAAGATAACTCCAAATTCATACTGGAGGAAGACTATCTTCGCACCGCTGGGCCAGATGAGATAGGCCAGTCTTCTACCATAAGTGACAATGATGACGCCGCTGGAAACGAAGCACTCCCCGGTTCTTCAGTGAATCTTCAAGATGTCGATGAGAACCTGGTATTGGAGGTATTGAAGAAAGACCTGTTTGAACCAGTCCCGGAGACTGGGCCAGCGGTATGAATGATCTCTGTACGAAGAGAGATATCAAAAGATGTTAACCAATTTGGCATATCAACCGGACAATGTACGATACTAGGGACAACTAATTATTAGTCAATTGCACAAAGAGTCATTCTCTCAGAATAAATCTCAGGCTTGAACGCACGCGTATTTTACTGAATAACGCACAGATTTAGCTGATCGTGACTTCTCGACCCAAAGAGGAAATCATGATCAGCGCGGCTTCCTGTCGAGTCAAACAAAGGCCTTCCGAGTTTACCTTCACTTCACCCGGGACCATCTTGGGAATTATAAATCCTCCAGGGCTGTCACTGCCACCATGAGAATCAACGTTTTGTCCTTTGGGATCGCCGTGATCTATCTTGGCACGGTAGCATCGAGTTTATCAGTTCCCAGAGCACCGCCGCAGTTACCGGCAAAGAAACGTCCACATGGATGCGATTGCTACACAATCTCCGGGCCCGATCCGGGATACTTCCAGCACTACAAGCTCTGGGACTTTCGGGCAGTGGATTTGAAGAAACATGCCAATCTCAATCTGTCAGAGCCCATTGATTATGGCGACGAGGACTGGGATGATGACGATGACGGCGACGACCAAGTCCCGCAAAACGGCGACCTCTCACCTGGAGTCCATGATGTAAAGGAACCGGACCCTAGATCACTGGTATTTTACAAAACCTCCTTTGAAAGAGACTGGAGCAGTCAGAACTGGGAACGCCGAGGCTCCCCCATAGCCCCGGTCCTCATGATAAATTCGAAGCGCAACGTCTTTCTCACCCGAGATTCTGACCAAAATGATACTCATGCGACGTATCTTGTTCTGCGCACCACCCGCTTTTCAGAATACACATCCACTGCGGAGATCGAGACTCGCATACGCAACATCTACCGGTGCTCGCTGCGTGTCCGGCTGCGTATATTGCCAGCAGGCTCCGTCGTATCGCAACCTCCTCAGCATAAAGAATGGCCGCCGCGGGATCCAAAACGACATCCCACCGTGCCCTTGAACAAGACGATTCCGCTCCGTGATGGCAGACCACCTGACGGCGCTTGTGCTGGCATATTCACCTACCATGACCAAACCTGTGAATCGGACATTGAGATTTTGACGCGGGACCCGTCCCATCGCGTGCACTATGCCAATCAGCCCGATTATGATTTTGCCGCTGATCATGAGATCCCCGGTGCGAGTACCATTGCCGATATACCTGTCCCATGGACAACGTGGTCCACGCATCGTCTAGACTGGCTCTCGGACATGTCACGGTGGTATGTCAACAATCAGATACAGGATGCCAAATCATACAGAGTTCCTGAGTTGGAGAGCATGCTTATTATCAATCTTTGGAGTGACGGCGGACTCTGGACGGGCGACATGAGAATTGGCGATAGTATATACATGGGCGTCGAATACATCGAGCTGGTTTACAACCGTTCTTCTGATGCTTTCAGGGGCCCTTATGTGTCTCTTTCGCAGAACCATGGCGGCCATCAAAGAACCCCTCCCACAAATGATTCTCTTGGCAATGGGAATCCATTGGAGCCGGATAGGAAGGAGGAAAAGTGCAAGCCTGGCAGGCAGGGCCGCGAGTGCAGAAGAAAGAAGTGGAGGAATAGGCCTCTTCATAAATCTTGTCGGAGACCATGCAACATTGATGAACTCTAGGGCTTTTCTGGCAGACTTTTGTATTATTATCAGTTTTGGTCGTTCATTTCTTTTGTTTTAGGATTCTTGGCTTTGACTGTCAGGAGTGTTGTGTATTCTAGTTTCGGACAGAATGAATGTTTTATCGGTGAAAATAGATGTCAATCAGGATTCAGTATTAGTATGTTTACAGTATTGATCTTCTCTAAGCCAGGACGATACTAAACCTTCGTACTAGTACTACTAGATATGTATTAATTGCTTGTGTATAGTCCCGAGGTCAAATGGAAGAGCAGAAAACCAACGCAATAGAAATACATAACTCTACGAGTGGCAGCAGAGAAACCTGATGCTATGGAAGATAAAAAAACCCCCAAAGGAAAACAGGAAAAACAGGAAAACAAAGAAATATGATCAAAATAGTTCGCGAGAAAGGGCTTCTTTGTATCAACTGAGTCACCATGATGGTGACCGTGGGGTATCATTCAGATTCATTGCAAACATCACATAGAAAGACCGCGCCGTAAGAAAATTCATTGTCCTTTTGTCATCTTTTCCATGTTGTTCGCCTTGCGCGCCGTAATATCAGATAATGTGGAGTGGTGACCGAGAACGCCTTGATGATGGTGCTTTGATAAGGATAATTGTGGGTAGGGGATGGATGAGGTATGTGAGATTATGTAGGAGGGTGAACAGAACCCCAAATGTAATGCATGAGATCGACAAGAAAGGCGATGCTTTTGTAGCCATAGACAACTGGTCTTTTCATGTTCGTTCAAAGAAACACTGCTCCTGTTGCTTTGTCCCGTGGGTTGAACTCGCCGTGAAGACCACCGTTCATGAGCTCAGCAACAATCTTTCTGCGGAGAAGTGTGATATGGCCTGGGCCAATGGCAGTGGGTTCAACGCCAACAGTAATTGCTTTGGCGTTTGTTAGGAGGAAGACACCGCAGTCGCTTCCGTTGTCTTGCTGAGAAGAGACCGACGGTAGGACAGTCCACTGCTCATCTTTGTATTTTGATCCAAGCTCGCCACGAAGCCATTGTTTGACATTTTGCACTTGGCGAGAACCGCGTGATCCTAGGGAGTCGAAGTACTCGATTGTACGTTCTGCTGGTCGAATAACCATGAGTGTCCAATGACTTGACTCGTGTACAGGGATGAAGACTGTGTCGACATTAAGCAGTGCTTCGCCATTGATCTTGGCCCGTTTTGCCCAACGTCCTACGCCCTGATATCCCTTATCACGAAGGGTGGAGTAGAAAAAGGTGTTGAAGGCATGGAAGAGCGGCCGATCGCTAGGTCCGAGGTTTCCATGCGATTGACGGAGATAGTGAACAAGTAAACCAAGGTAGGCATTGATGATTTCGTCATTGAGCCAGGCCTCAGGACGAATGCATGTGATGATATCCCGCTGGTACAGATCGTCTCCGGCTAATGATTTGGCGACGGCATGTCCTTGTCCACTCTGCACGGCGCGTTGAAGTTTGGCAAGCCACTCGGGCGAAATCATACGTACGGGGTAACCGGTTGGTATCACTCTGATTGGACGTTGGAGATCGCGCTCCCGGGCTAATCTTTCTTTCTCCCGCTTCTCGAATTCCGCCTCGTACCACGAGGCAATGCGATTGGCAGGAATCGGCCTCCTATGGGCGTAAAATAACTGTACAGCAGAAACGGGCCCATGAGGAAGCCTTGCATCCTGTCGAGCTTGTTGATCCCATGGGTCATCAATGTCCATGAGATCATCTTCGACGGGCTTGGGGGCTTTAGTTGGTCTTGGCGATGGAATGCGCCTAGCGCTCGGAGGGGGAAGGGTGTATGGCGGCAATCGAGGGTGGAGATGTATGCCGAGATCCGTAACAAGTGCTGGTGTTGCGCGAGCATCTATGTCCATAAATTCCCACCCCTTCGGTGGGACATCTTCCTCCTCGATGGTCGCGCCTTGTGATACAACAAGGGTAGGTGATTCAGGAGGAGTTAACGGGAAGGCTCCGGGGATGGGCAACTGCGAATTATCTAAGGCTAGGGTGTAGTTTAGTATATGCCACTTGAATTTCCAAAGAGGGGCTACCATACCATCGTGGGTGTCAACTGGAGGCTTTGAACCCTCAAAGGGATTGGGGATCTTGGGCGACGGCTTCGTGGGCTTCGTGGGAGAGGCGCGTCGCTTGTACCGAGGCCAGCGGAAGAACCCCATGTTGATGCGAGATAGAAAGTCAAACCGAACGAGCGGGAGCAAGAAAGTCAAGAGCGATCTACTCGTCCGATGACGCGCTTTCAAGTAGATTGGCGGTGGCTGAATGAACGTTGAGGGTGTGAGAATGGAGGAATGAGCAGGTAGATGAAGACGAGACTTCAAGATCCATCATTGGGCATGACTGGAATATCTATCCCGATCCAGAATCGAAGGCAGATACTCCGCAGAGGAAGATGTATGGGAACAATATGAGCCGACGCGGTGCACTGGGTTCTTTCATCATTCTGCTGACTCATCACATATTCCCCGTCCCAGCCTCCATTGTTGTTGCATTGATCTACATGGGTTTACACATCGTAACTCTTTGTTTGTCTATCTTTTTGAGAAGAGTATCTTTGAATCTTGTCCTTCATATTCTGCTAGATATAGCTTTCTTTTATCCTGGTCTCATGTCCTTTGGTGTTTCATCTAATAATTGTCTTGTGGCGGACTCTAGTTATAAACAGCCATCACAATAAGACAACCTCAAAGAGAAAGTTGCGATTGCACCTCTTTACTTGATCGCCCTTTGTTCTTGTGCGTTTTATCGTCTTTTATGTCATGGTTCATGCAGCTGGTCCCATACCTGTGTTTGAGCAGGATGTCTGACCAGACCGAAGATTGAACATATGGATATTGGTTTCAATGCTTATGTACATGGATAACGTAATGGATATTTCTGAGGTGACCTGTTCCCAGCAAAGCCTGCTGAGCTAGGAGCAGGCTGAGGAGTTGATAGAGGCAAGAAGAGAGGGACTGCAAAGCGAATTGCACTTCTATCAATACATTTCTCATCCTCGTTATCGGGTCCCAAGTCCGGTTAGGTCGAATAACAGGGGTGCGACTTCGATGACCACCCATGGAATACCTAAAGGAGACTGATATCAGCAAAGGTTGTGTCAAATCCAGGGGTTTCACATACCCGCATATACAACCAGTTTTGTCACTACCTCCACGTCGTACCGCACGCGGGGCTTTTTGATCTGGGAGAACACTTCTTTTTCATCCCGCTCCCCAGCCTGGTAATTTAGCGAAGGGAAAGGTGTTGTCGGCATGTCTAAGCTCGCATCCGCTGCGGAAGAACTGGGGCTGCCTCTTCCCATCATGCCTTCGTAGTCGTCCAGTGATGCCGTCTTTCTCGACCGCACGGGCGTTCCGTTGGGCTTGGTTTGATCCTCTGCGACTGGAGAAGGACGATTGCTCCCAGATTGACTCTCGCGTCGGCGCTTTTCCCGGTAGGCCAAGGTCTCATACGCATCAGCTTCTGACTGAGGACCAATTGAAATGGCTCGGCGGCGTGGATGACGCATTGTGGTAATGATGTCTGGGATGTCAGAAAAGTTTGGAAGGACGTCATGATCCTTTAGGTTAGAGGGAACGGTGGTGTATTTACTAAGGACAGGTCAGCATAACCTTCACAAGCAGAAAGCACATTCAAACTTACGATGCAGTGGTGAAGAAACGTCGAGGGAGCAAAAGACCGAGCTTCTCCAGGGTCCGGAAAATAGGTGGCAGAATGCGCAGCAGAGCGGGCTTTGTTACAGTTCTCCAAGCAAACACGCACAAAACGCCCATGACCAGACGAATGACAGTCTTAATCCAGCCCATGGTCTCGAGGTCGTAGGGAATGGATCCAGAAGGATAACCGACCCAGATATCAGCGAAGTGCCATGAAGACACATCCACGCCTAGCATGACACCTGCGAATGCAACACTATCGTCGAAGCATGGGCAATCATCTGCTGGCTCCGGATGGACGCGGACGAGAAATATAATAAGAAGCCCCAGCAGGGAAATTTCCATCAGCGACGCGGATAAAATGAATTCCTCAAAGGCAGGTCCATGATGAAATTGTACGAGGCCGATGGCCGCACCCATAGCACACCCAACAGTACAGTCCAGCATCCCATGCATTCCGCAATACAGTCGACCCAATACAATAGACACCACGTAGATATAGGTGACAGCTTGGAGTGAGAGGGTGACCTGCGCGCTGAGAGTTGAATCGGGTGAACCAAGCAGGGCCAAAGCATAGACCGCAACAGAGACAGCGTTGGTGGAGTGTGTCGAAGGGAACCCATATTCCAGTGCTGCAGAACCGGACATGGTAATTCGCTGGAGTGGCGGAGACAGAGGGCGAGGAAGACACAGTAGGTCCTTGAGGAAGCCGCTCCAAAAGACGCCTGATGCTAAGATGTGTACCAGTCTGTAGACAATCGTTGTCAGCCACAGACTTCTACTTGCGCTTTCAGTTCGGGAAAGGAAACATACCCGCGACCCATACTGGGAGAACCACACCAGAAGAGGAAGGGCAAGAAGACCATGAAGAAGGTATGTGTACCAAGGTTGGCTGTGAATGCGAAATACGAGTCGAGAGTAGGCGTGCGCACTTTCTCCTGCACCCAGGCCAGATATGGCGTCTCATATCGGATCAATGGGATGAGCTTTTGTCGCGGCCAATACCGCCAGAGGGGCAATCTGTTTGAATCTATGTCGCAAACGCGCAACGGTTAGCGTACATCGCGAGAAACCACTGGAGGATAAAGAAAAAAATAATCGCATACAGTGATTCAGACTCTTCAGCCCAGCATCGGGCTGGTCCATTTTGCTGCCCATGATGTAGTGTTATCGATCCAGATAGTGTCGCAATCGGATGGATTCCATAGATGGACAGGCCGCTGCCTGCCGGTCCGTTAGAGGGGTTGAGGATTATAGGGTTCAGAACATAAGGAGCGAATTGAAGTTGGATTCAAGCAAATGATATAATCGAGAAACTCGGGGTTGAATACGATTATCCTCCAAAGTCGACGGGGAGATCATCCGCGGCTCAAACCCCCTGATGCCCCCGGCCATGTGTGTGCTTAGTCACTTTGCATTGGGGCCGACGCTCCAAGTGTATACGGAGGATACGGAGTACTCGATTTTACTACTCCGTAAATAATTTTGAGATAGAGTCTCTTATCTATGTAGATTTATATTCTGTACAAGGATAGAATGTGTTGGATCTATACATGTGTAGTTTTACAATGTATACTATACTATCATCGACTACACGGTAGTTAGATAGTTCTTCCTTAGGTCTCTAAATACATGCTGGCAGATTTCAATTGACTACCTTGTTATTGTCAAATAGTTTATAAACTCTTCTGTTCATTTTATCTGGTGATACTATATATGCTATGCGGCTCTTAGCTTCTACTGAGATGATTCCGTCTCTCTCTCCTTTGCAAGATTGATATCGGATTTTAATTGACATCTCCTAGGAGAGAAAAAAATAAAGCCAAAAAAAATATAATTTAATAACAATAGAAAATAAACATGAGAAAGATTGTTGTATCTTGGAGGCTATTTAGCACGGGATATCGGTCTTCTCCGTCAAATAAAGCGCTGGGGAGAAAGATGACATGCAGAATTTAGTGTCAAAGCCCATTTTATGTTTTATTTTTATTTTATTTTGGCTACTCGATTTTCAATTAGATACTCGGATTTACAGCCCTTCTCCAGATCTGAGCCTTATACAAGATACAAGTATAGGATATATTGTAGCTTCTACTAGAAAAGAAATAAAGTGAGGCCTCACATGTCAAGATCTACAAATCACATGACCCCGAGTAAATTGTATACCACAAAGCTGGATGTGCACAGTGAGCTGAACAGTGGAGAACAAGAAATATATTAGTGGAGTCAAAACCAAAACAGGATCGAGATAAACCAGTAAATGACAGAATCCAGGATATGGAGGCCTTTGATCGTGGGAAGCGGAGCCCTGGCGTCATGGAGGTACGGCCGTTGCTATGGTAGCCCTGGTGTAAACACGGGTTTCACGGGTCTCACGGTCTCACGGGTCGAGCCAGACCCTCTTGCTCTATCGATCCTCTAGATCTTTTTTAGATCTATCTTCTCCTCTTTTTCTTCACTCTTACCTCTCATTTCATACATCCTATCAGCACAACTTCAACAACCCGCTTCCCCCTGTATCACATTACAAACGAGGGACATTCCACCCCCTACCCCTACTCACCATGAGTGCCATGTACGAAGACCAATACTATGCAGCATCGCGCCGCCGCTCTCTCGCCACCCCTCCTCCATCTTTGACGCCGCGTCACAGTCGTGCGCGCAGCGACAGCGTCCGAGTCAGCCACGGCACAGCCAGCACCAATACCAGTGTCTCCAGTGGACGAATGTCCGAGGCAACAAATATCACTCAGCCGCCCTCATTCTCAAAAAAGTTTGTAGTGGTAGGCGATGGTGGATGTGGCAAGACCTGTCTGTTGATCAGTTATTCCCAAGGTTACTTCCCAGAGGTACGTTCAGTCTGCGAGGAAAGATGTGTCCTTGGTGCTGATTATCATCTAGAAATATGTCCCCACGGTATTTGAGAACTATATTACCCAAACGACGCATCAGGCTTCTGGCAAGACCGTTGAATTAGCACTCTGGGATACTGCTGGACAAGAGGAATATGACCGTTTGCGTCCACTGTCCTATCCCGAGACTGATCTTCTGTTTGTCTGCTTTGCTATCGATTGCCCCGCATCATTGGAGAATGTTGTTGACAAGGTGAGTTCTAAACTTGGAACCGCTTTTGCTTTTGCTCCATTTGTCTAACATCTCTCTTTTTAGTGGTATCCCGAGGTTCTGCACTTCTGCCCTACTACACCCATTATTCTCGTTGGCTTGAAGTCCGACTTGCGCAATAAGCGAACCTGCATTGAACTCCTCAAGACACAAGGCCTGACACCCATCACACCAGAGCAAGGCGAAAACGTCGCCCAACGGATGGGAGCAACATACGCCGAATGCAGTAGCAAGGAGATGCGCGGTGTGGATGAGGTCTTTGCCAAGGCTGTTGACTCGGCCATCTCAATCGAAGAACAAGGCTGGACAGCCCAGCAACCGGCCGGCCGTAATAGCCGCAACAATCGCGCCAGTGCTATGCCTTCAGGGGGTGGAGGCCCCCGCCCCGGCAAGAAGATTAAGAAGCGCACTTGCAAGATTCTGTAGATTGATTCTATTTGATCTGTGTTTTCTTCCATTCTCGACACCCTTCGACTTTCCTTTCTCTCTTGGCCGGACCACAAGCCTGGTTGCTTCGTCGGCTTGCTTGCCCGCTCGCCTGTGTATGTGACATGTCGCCGCAAGCTGGACAAAGCTAGACATGACTTTCCAAACCCTTCTTTGTTGTATCGATACGCTGCGCGGCCCTTACAATGATCTCGAATGTTTTTATTTTTTCTGGAGGCTGTTTCTTTATTTCACGTTTGTTCCCTGCTTGTGTTCTTTCTGGCCTTTTTCACGACCCTTGTCCCCCTTGTTCCATTTGATGTCTCTCATGACTCGGGTCTTTGCCGTTTTCCATTGGCATGCATGGGACTGGTGTTCTCGATTATGTTATTTGATATGTTCTGTTGGCGAAAGCGACGTCCTATGTGTTACTGAAACAATACATTTGACCTTTTGTGTTTATCAATGCCTTCCCCGTAGGATTCGTATATCTTTTCCCCGGGTAAACATAACCCGAGTTTTGAATGGTATCTAAGAAAAAGGGAAAAAAAGTAAAACAGCCAGACGCCAACACCCGTCATGCAGACCAAAATGTAAACCATCACTGCATGACTGTCGAATCACCCTCGTCGCTTTCACGCTTTACTCCCGACTTGCTCGCATCACTCTCCCCACTAACCTTCCGCTTCCCATTGCCATTGCCAGCCTCCTCGCCTTGTTCTTCAGGCCGGCCCATAAAGTTTTCAAACTGGGACCAGAGAGCTTCCACAGATCCAAATTCATTCCCCACCTAATGACACTGTTAGCAGATGCGCTTTCCCTGTCCGGGTGTTGAAGCTTACCGCAATTACACTCTCCAAATTCCGATTCAGACGGTTGATATTTTGAAGTACTTGCTCCATGCCCTGCTCAAATAAATTAACATCGGTTACGGCGGTTGATAAGGGTTCCCGAGTGCGAGGGGAGTTCGTGGACATGGTACATACCACTGCAATCTCTCGGACGAGTTCCTCGCGCTGCTGCTCAAAGACTGTTGGAGACGCCGCGCGACCGCCAGAGCCTGGTGTTTGCTGGAGCCAGGCCATATTTTTGGCTTCTGGGATTCTGGTAGGGCTAGATGGGGTGACAAGAAATGACACGACTTGGCACGTTCACGTTGCGCTCAAAGACGCGACGGTTGGGGTTTCGGGAAGCGTCGTGGCAGATTGCTTGGCGTTGGAGGTTTGACTAGACGGCTTTTTGTAGGGAAATCTCCAATCACAGTCACAATCACAGGGTTGCTACTGTTGTGATTTAAACGATTTGAGAAGTTGGGGGAGGTTGATGTGGGGCAGGTTTGATAAGAGATATCATAAATATTTGAAAGCTTCAATTTAACAACTTCTCTCATATTACTCCTTGGAAAATCTTGTTTCAATAGGAATAAATTGAAGATTCTACATATGTGCTTCCTGTTTTGTTTGTGTATGGAAATGGCAGTCTACGTCCATCTTCTATATGACACTTTAACAACTCCCCGGACTTGAATCCTACGTGATTCGACCTGAACCATATTTCTCCTGGACATATCCTGGCGTCCTGACTCTTGAAGACGTGGGAATTGTCCTCATTCGACTCCAAAGTGAAGAAAAATTTACCCCAAAGAAGAAAGCCAAAGGCGATCAAGATGTGAGGTTCTCCCAGCATACCTTGATCTAGATACTCAATTACTGGGTTCTCGATCCTAATGTAACCCTTCATCTAGCCTCAATTCACCTTTCAGATTGGAAACCTGCTTTTGAAAAAAAAACGAGCATCCCTTCAAGAGAGTGCACATCTCTATAATTTCTTCAAACGGGCCTACGAATTCTTATTCCGAGAGAGAACAAGATACATATCCCGGTACGAAGATGATGATAAAGATAGACCATAGTTATCAATGCCGGCTTACAATTTTGTGATGCGATGCTTGCAGTAATCTGGCGGAGCCCTGCCACTGCTCAATTGTGATAATGCAGCCCCGTATACCGGTTCGGAATGCAGTGAACGATACCGCTGCTACTTAGTTGGTGACAACCCATCTATCACATAATCATAGGATGTGCCAACTTTGAGAAGGCGAATTGTCAATTTCTCATCTATCTCATCTCTGATAATCTCGGGATGTGGCCGTGATGAGAGGATGATAGAATCGCATATCTTGCAGCCTAGTATGACCGGGCGATACAGAGCAAGAACCGCCATCGGTACCTCCTTGTGGCGCAAAAGAACACTCCGGTTTCAAAGTAAGCGCCGTGTACTCCGTACAGAGTAACTACATCCGAGTTCTCGCCCTATGCATAAGCCGCACAGAGGTCGGTGTGTGTCGCACTGCCACCTAGTGTCAGCATAATGTGGGCAGGAGTTCACCGGTTATACGATATACGATCTAGACCAATCCTGATACACCTGTGCTTACGCTGGGCGCATCCACTTCGAGGCATAGCGTCGTGGTATTGGAAAGGGGTGACGTCGGGTTCCACAAGTGTATAGAGGCGCAGGCGAACTTGTGGAGACTCGGGTACGGGAAGTTCCGACAGATTGTCAAATTGAAAAAAAAATTGAAAACCCCCAGAATTGATGTCCGAGAAGGTAGAGGGTTGATCACATTCAGACATATGTACTGCGAGAGCTGTGTCGGATGTAGCAGAAAGTTGAGCCGGGTACGATAAACGAGCGTTTCAAAGACAATGAAACGACAACTCAAGCCGTGGACGTTGTACGAACTGTTTACCTTTTTAGGATGCCTTGAGCTTATATCCAAAAATATAATAGGCTTCAACGTTTTGAATTGGTTCTGGAAAGTCCCCTGAAACATAGAGATATATAACTGTTCGGTGCTGTGTGCGGGCTGCTTTAAATTTGATATTAGTTGATTTATCGATCTAGACAACAAGCTCGAAGGCACAATGGTTGAAGTCAAGTATATGGGAGAATATGATTACATTCCGTCAATACCTGCCGCCGTGGTATTCATTGTCCTATTCGGAATTTCAACCCTCCTGCATTGTTGGCAAATGTTCCGTGGTCGGACTTGGTTCTTCATTGCTTTTATATTAGGAGGAATATGTGAGTACCAGCCCAATGTACTGACTTGCTGTTGGAGCCATTATTCGGGCTATTTTCCGGGTCTTTTTAACACAAGTTTTCTCTAGTTGAGGTTGTTGGATATACAGCCGTAAGCCAATCTCGATAATCGATCAAGTCAGATAGGGAATATGCTCACAATGCTAGCGTGTCGTTTCTTCCAACGAATACCCGAAATATACCATTGCTCCTCTTGCCATACAAGCCATCTTTGTCCTCGTCGCGCCGTCACTGCTCGCCGCAAGTATTTATATGGAACTTGGTCGCATCATGATTGTCACTGGTGGAGAACACTTGTCACCAATCCGACGCTCGTGGTTGACGAAGATCTTTGTGATTGGGGATGTGATATCATTTTTTGTTCAGGCAGGAGGTAAGACCCATATCTCGTCCCTCAACGTGTCCACGATATCTTGCATCTCCAGATTGACTAACCCTATATCTCAACAATGCAGGAGCCGGAATGCTCGTCAAAGCCAGTACAGCAGCAAAAGGCGGAAATGTGATTAAAGTCGGCTTGATCATCCAAATTATCTTTTTCGGACTCTTCATAATTACCAGCATCATTTTCCACGTCAAACTTGAGAAAAACGGGTCAAGGGTGCTACAACAGCATGAAGTCCCCTGGAAGAAGCACCAGACCGTGTTATACATCGGTAGTCTGCTCATTTTCGTCCGTTCCATCTTCCGGTACATCGAGTACAACCAGGGAAGTAGCGGGGCATTGCTCCAGCATGAATTCTGGAGTTACATTTTCGATGCCGCTCTTATGCTGCTGGTAATGGTCGCGTTTAATGTGGTGCATCCGGCCGAGATTAGCAAGTTGATGGAAGAGAGGAAAGGCGGATATGGGATGGAGCTGATTGGATGATCGAGACGACTGGATATAATATGCCGGGAAATCTCCGGGGATATTCAATCAGACCGGCTCAACCTGTACCAAAGTGATGTACATTATAATTTTGATAGATCGAGCCAGAGTCCATACAAATTAAATGAGCGAGCTTTCAGTCCCGAACTCTGTCCGAAATTCTCTGTTCCTTTTGCTACAGTTCTCTTTCCAACTTGAAATTATTCAGATTTCAATCTACATCCACAGGTCTCTCGTATAGCTCTACATGCAAGCGATTTAGTCTAGGCTCGAAGGTCCGAATGGTCCGGCGTAGGGACAGAGGCCGATACAACGCCAAGTCGCGAGTTGTATCCCCTAACACCGAGAGCTGTTGTGCTAGGCAATAGGGAAAGTCAAAGAGCTATCCCAGCTTGACCGACATGCGTTCCTGACTTTCTGAAACATCTCCAGCAAAGCTCTTTTTATTTGCCAGTCCAAGAGGGATTGTACTCGTAGCACAAATGTTCCACTCCGAGGGTCCAGGGTCCACTAGTACCTATTTTGTACATGCTACAAGCCTGATAGGTAGTGAATACCCTCAGCCCAGACTGGACAGGGCAGAGCTGAGACCCCGCCGGATTTAATATTTACCAGGTACAAAGTTCAAGAACAAACAACCGGGTCAAATATAATTTCGGTTACTGTCGCTTTTACACACAATTCAGACTAAATATATGGTTTACTACATTGGTATTAAAGGTGCCAGGAGCCCCAAAGATGTCATATTAACAAGAAGTGAATAATAGATAAACGCAGGTCTCAGACCGTTCGCGTTGTTCATTTTTTGAGCAATTTGGTTTCTATACATATGCCAGAGGACCAATCTAGATCATAATAGTATAATTCTAGATCCAAATCCAAATCCAAATCCCCAATTAGACAAGGTGCATACTCATCAAATCATCAAAGCGGGGCAAAATCCTGTGCCCTTGTCAACCGGACCAGTGCCAGCAGAGCAGACCAGAAAGCAGTCCGAGGCCAAACACTCGATAACACCCGAATAGCAAGGTATCGCCGTCGCGCACATCACTTCGTATCATTTCAATTCGTAATGTCGTTTGCAATCCACAGTTTTCAGTCCATGTCACCGTGCCCCGGGCACGAAACACAGACCCAAACCCGCTAGCCAAGTCATGAATGTATCCGTAAAAAAAATCATTTGCGTTTTCCTTTTTCGTTTTCGCATAGCGAGAAATGTGTTCGGCATTGTCCACCCGAATCTGAATAGGCGCCTGAGACATATAGTAGAGTGGAGTATAGTATGACCGAGGCACATGACTGCAGGGCGAAGGTGTATGTGGGAGTTAAGAGTTCCGGCGGGGTTGCGCGAGGATATTGCTCAGACGTTTCCAGCGCGGCGTCGGAGATGTCGAGTTTCTACGAGACGGGGGTTTGTCTGGTTTTGCGGATGACTGTGTAGAGGAACGGGCTCGGTTGTTGATGGTTGCTTCGTGGTCGGCGAGGACATCCTCGAGGCGGACGTCGGAGTCGGACATGCGTAGGGATGAGTCCTTGGGATCGAGGATCTCGATGAACTTGGAGGGTGTGTCGCGCATTGTGTAAACGAGGGTTTTTTTTCTTTTGTGATCTGGATGGTGGAGGGTATAGGATTTCGAATCCCAAAGTAGAAGGAAATCCAGCGGAGGTCACGAGGGTATATAGTTTTGAGAGGGTTCAGGCGCGAAATGAGACAAAGAGCGTTGCAGGTCTAGGCTGACTGCAGACTTGTGGAGATTTGGGTGTTTCAAGTTTAGGAGCGAGAGAATGGAGAACGAAGTAAAGGAAGAGAAGGGAGATTTTATAAAAGAATGGAAAAGGCTTCCGATAGCGAAAAGGGAAATGTGTGAATGTCTGCAGTACCGAAGATCAGTGGAGTTAGAGAAGTTAGAGAAGTTAGTGATTCGATGGTCCAACTATAAGATTTGTCTGTAGACTAAGATCAGCGTTGTGGTTCGCTCTTTTTTGGATTATATTTGATTATATTTTACATATTTTATACTACTTAGTTATAGAAGTATACGTACAAGTCAATGTGTACTATCCAAGTAGGCAACCTTTTTCCCCCAAGGCACTTGAAACCCCACAAGTTGAGTGCATATATCGATGCACAAGCCCCTTTTGGCAATGTGTGACTTTGGCTGTGGGGGGCGATGATCGGCAACTTACTTCGGTGGCGTCCGAGTGACCATTATGAAGAACCGTGATGGTTCGTCTAGATGGATGCAGAAGCACCTGATGCGAACGGGTCAAAGTCGATTTTGGCCTATGATATCCATACATAGTAAAGATCATATGCTCTCTCTTTTTTTCCTTTCTGTAGACAAAGCCCTCCAGAGTCTGAAACTGGCTACGATAACCCTGGAGTGCGCTATTCGTTTTAGCTTACTATTGTGGATGCCATCCTTCAAGCGCCATGACGTCGATGGCATGAAATCTCTATCGTTGGTTTTTAGATGGTCAGGGACTGCAGAGGGGTAACCAGATCGACGGGTGATCGGCTCCTGGTATGTACGATGTACGTTGGTCAATGGTTAACTGTGTTGTTTAGTACATGTGCGCCATGTGGTATGTCGTCGTCTATAAAAAGAACCGCCACAGCAATTAGCCACCTCAACCTGCCACACATTTGAATCTCTTCTAAAAATTTCATATAGCATGGTAAATTGCGATCATACAGCAGAGGGCCGGGTCAAGAGGGACAAGGGTGTTAGTATACGTAGGTGGATTCGCCCCATTGGAGATTGCTCAGGGCCGGGCTGATGTCAACCGGACCACCACGCGGACTGTGCGATACAGTTATCTCCAGGAATGGGTTGCCCATTGAGGGTGGAGACTATACTCTGTCCCCGAGATACGAATAGTAGCACTTGGAGCTACTATTTTCTGTTGAGAAACTGATCGCCCTGGGCCATAGTGTCTTGTCACTCCTTCAGTGTACCGGCGTACACGTACATTCGGGATATGTTGACGCCTATTGGACTTAGGCTGTGGTCCCCTTTTTCTCACCGATGCCCTCTGGCCGAAGGGATGGGGAGAGCCACTCGCTGTCCTCTGGACCCGCGAGCTTGATTCCGATACCCAGGATGCTGTCAGCGTCGCTATAACCGGAGACGTTGTCTTCGCTGCGCCGCACTCGAGTCATAATACACTGTCGCACTCGGCACTTGATGGCGCAGCAGAACTTGCGCGCTGCCCTGATTAACCAAGAAAGTACCCAACTACGTATGCCTCAGACTCGTGCAAAAAGTAATTGATTCGATTTTGGTCAGAGGCCAAGCACAAACCCCACTTTGAAAAGCCATAAACAAACAAACGCCTCGTGATAATTGAAATAGTGAGCAGAAAACACACCCCCGAGTCCCAAAAGCTCTGGTAGACTCGGTACATCGATCCTCCGTGGCCATCTGTGCAGGGCTGCGCTCGTCAATCGTGTCTCCGGGTGCCTGACGGGCGCAGCAGTGACGGGCGCAGCAGGCGTCTGAGTGTGCCACAAACCAAGTAACCTATCCATTCAATGGAACAGGAATCCCACCGTTTCAAAGCCACAGAATGGAAGGCACAGCACCGAAGCACACCTCACTCCCAGACACATAAGAACAGCTGTCATCTCCCACCACCCCCCTCATGTACCGCACTGCATCGCATCTCTATTCTAGGGTATGCGACATATTATTTAAATTCCATGTCCGTCATCTCGACCGCATCGGCCGAGCCCATCCAGAGGATGTTGTTGCATCTGTGCGGGGAAAAGAAAAAGAATTAGCCAAACTAGAATCACAAGTATCCAGCCCGGCGCCGAGCCGGTTGAAGCGCGCATCACATACCTGATCAGAACAAGACCCAATGCACCGGTGGGCTTTCCATCGATAAATTCTTGCGTGTCGCGCAGCAGGACGTTCATGTATGAATCGATGCTCTCGAGAGTGCCCTTGTATTCGGTCTGGCCCCACTTCAGGCGGATGAGGACTTCGGTGCCAACGCTATAGAGATAAGTAGGTTAGCAAGTTATCTTAACAGTAACAATGCACATGTGCGGATGTCTCGAGAGATAGAGATGCTGCTTGGGACTGCTTGAATGAGGTCCGGGGTGGGTTGGGGGCGGGTCGCATACCGGGCCTGAAGGAAGGGACGGGGGTTAAGCGGTTGGAACTGTAAAAGTGCGAGTTAGCAATTGGTCTTTTGGGAATAGCGCGCAGGTTCAGGTGCTGATGAGCGGGATCTTGAGCTTCATGGCAGGCTGAGCTTGATGGGGGGGGAAGACGGACACTCATTGTGACTCGAGATGGGTTTCTGGATGGTTGGGATGGAGTAGGATTCGAGGATGTGATGACAGCAAAAGCTCAAGCAAGATCTATCACTCCGTTGGTTGATCGTGCTGGTCGTGTTATTCACTGCGTTGACATCGGAGTCGGCGAGATCGCGAAAATGTGAGCTGAATAAGGCGGTGGTCGTTGGCCAATCACCGGCCGTATTTCTTCACCGCCCTCAGGATCCTGTATAGTGGTGGGCAAAGGTGCCTGGATTCACACGATAGATTTTGTTGCTGAAGGTAAATACCCTGCATTAACTGCTTAGAGCTATGGTAAAGGAATAAAATTCTTTTTATGGCTCAATTTCTTATCATTGATATATCTCCCATTTTCGATATGCTCCGTGCCCCAATTCCCATCACACTTCCAAGGTTAAGCTCACCAACAGACACCAGTAATAATACAATGGAAAAGTTTAATCAGAGTTCATCAGAGTTTCATAGATTCAGATGCCTGACAATCATCATCGCCAAGTAGATCATTGCTTAACGGCCAACCGTCCAGGTGATTTCCTTGATGCTGACTTCCTCACCTTTCTTCTCGTCGTAGTCATACCACTCGCCCTCCATAAGGTCAATGCCAGAGAAGGTGGTGGTGGACTCAATAGCCTTGGCTTCCCATTCGCCCTGAATTTTCTTCGTCAGCACATATAATTACCTAGGTAAATCTGTACAGAACTTGGATTTTACTCACGTCGGGCTTGAACTCAATGAACTCGAGGCCACGGCAGTCCATTTCGATAATCTTCTGGCTGTTTTGCTTTTCCTGGGCCTCGTAGGGCTTAGGTCCGCTAACGATGGAGGCAGTGTGGGTTTTCTATGTGGTGATTAGCTGTGTAATCATGGAAAAGTCGCAGAGGCTCAAAGGATTGATGGCAACAAAGCCGAGTGGAAGCGAAATGGAAGGAACTCGCAAAACGAATGAACTCTTTCAGTCTACTAGATCGGAAAAATAGCTTGCTTACCGTGCATAGTCGGCACTTCCACACGAAATTAGCCTCGCCGCGGCTACCGGGGATTTCGTGCACATCCTGTACATCAATCCAGTTAATAAACCATTCAATCGTGATGAAATAGAGAGCGGTATGTAAATAATCCACGTACGAAACGGTTGAAGCTGACCCAGTTGGGGTGCGTCTCGTGGCAGGAGGTACATTTCACTCGGAAAGTGTAGAAATAGGGGTTTTCCTCAGTGTCGGTGGGCAGGAGGGCAGTAACGCTGTAACATCATATCAGCTGGTTGACTCTTCGATAATGATGGCCGAAAATATCTGCCCGCGCGGTGTTCCTGGAATTGGAGTGCAATGCGGGGAGATCCAGGCACCTGGAAAGGCTCGATAATCGAACACCTAAACTAGGAGCACTTACCCCTCCAGCTGAGCTTCGACCGAAAGAGTGAGCATTTTTGGCTTTGAAGTCAAGTGGGTGATCTTGATCTTGAGGTGTGATGGCTGAAGTCAAGATCCTCTCTGCAGGTGATGCGGGGTGGAGATGGGAAAATACTTAACGTAGATCGAGGCTTGGCATTTGACCACTCTGTAAACATTGAGCTTATCAAGAAATACTATAGAATTGTGAAGAGGAGCTTAGTTATTTGAATTGATTTTATTTATTTATATGGAAATTGAAAATAAACGCCGGTCATGCTCAAGCTATCGCTCGCAACGAATGAATCAAACAAGCTATATACATCTCGAAGGTAAAATACAGACTCATAAACACGTCAACATTCTCACAGACGGCTCTGTTGAGAGTCCTGGCCCAGCGGCTTCGTCGAGAAAGCATTGAAGAACTCGTTGAGAGCGTCAACAGTGCCACTTCCCTCAACAAGCTGCACGGTGCAAGCAACGTGGCTGTCGGGACGGGTGACGACAACACCACCCTTCTCAGCATCAAAGCCGAGCTTCTCGTGGGCAGCGAATTGAGCCTGAGGAACACGCACATCGGGGATATCATCGGCATAAAGGTGGTGGTGATAGTCACGCAGGACCTGGGGGATGGTGTCCATATCGATGGTGTTCTTGGAGCCTGCATAGATCACAGATAGGGTGAAGAGCTTGGAGTGGGGGTTGTGGCGCTCGAAGAATGAAACATCGGCAATGTCAGACCGACGGTACACCGAAAGGAACGAGCGCTCCTTCTCTAGGTTGGCAGCCAGGTCGGCAATGGCCTTCTTAGTCTTGCGCTGGTTGCCAGCGAAGACGAAGATGCGGAATGCACCATTAGCGGGCACTTCTTGCTCAAGCTCGACAAAGTTGGAATCTGCAAGACGGGTGACAGTGGTCGGGGTGAAAGCACGACCCGGAGTCAGATGAACGCCAGGGATCTTGAACAGAGCGGACTTCGCAGGGTGGGTCGCGTCCCAGGTAAAAATGTTGGGCTGGTAGGCCACTCCGTATCCACTAGTGAACTCGCAAGATGACTTGAAGGTCTTGACGAATTCGTCCTCCTCCCCACCAGCACCCACAGTGGCGTGGCTGGCAGAACCAACCTCGCCGGCAGAAGGACGACGCTTGGAGAACAGGGCTGCGTACTTGGAATCGAAGTTCAACAAAGTCTCAGCGATATCCTTGCGCTCGCTCTCGTAGGTGCTTAGAATGGAACGATTGGCAAATCCACTCTCCACGGCGTGGATCTTCCAGGCCATGTTGAGTGCGTCATGGAAAGCAGTGTTCATTCCCTGGCCGGCCTTGGGCTTTAGGGGTGTTAGCGATATTTTCAGAAAAGGGACTTCAAAGGGGAGTACTGACGCTGTGAGTGTGGCAAGCATCACCACCCATGAAGACTCGCTCGTCAAGGGTGTACTTTTCAGCAATACCCTGTCCAATGGGGTAGACAGAGTACCACTCAACCCGGTCCCACTCAATCCAGTATGGCTTCAAAATGTTCTTCGCGGTCTGCTGGACCTCCTCGGCGGTGGCTGTCTTTCGGGGATTCCAATCGGCGTCGGTGGAGGAGGCGATCTGAACATAGAGGCGGACCATATTGTCCTCGCGGGGAATGACCATGATTGAGCCAGCGTCAGAGTGGATGGTGCATTTTGTCTGTATATCAATGCATTAGAGAAATACGTGAGATTGAATCTTTTCGGGCATGCTTACCTCAATGTCGGGGAAGTTGGTGCGCACAACACCGTCCATGACACCCCAAACATAGGCAATAGGATCCTTGTGGTGGATCTTGATGTCAAGTTGCTCACGGACGAAGCTGCGAGCACCCTCGCCACTGAACAAGTACTTGGCGCGTACATTCTCAATGACATTGGTGTCCAGGCACTTCAGGTTGACCTCAACAGGGTAATCAGCGTTCGCGCCATCGTTCTTGAAGCCAACGATGGTCCATGGCCGCTCGACGGTTGTGCCAGCCTTCTGAATTTCATCCAAGAACACGCGCTCAATCTTGCCCTGATGGACCAGGGTGGTGAAAGGGTAGCGGGTGTCAATGAAACGGGGGCAACTAGGCCAGCTGCCAGTACGGCCGATGCCAGAGCCGTCACCCTTGGGATCCCAGAAGGCAACGTCGTATACCTTGGCAGGCTCGTAAGCCATGATCGAGCGCTTCAAACCAAGGTTGCGCAGTATCTCGGTAGATCGCGGCTGGATACCGTCGGCGCGACCAGTAGCGGTCGGCACTGGGCGGTTATCGATGTGCTTCACCTTGTAGCCCCATCGTGACATACACAGGGACAAGAGCAGACCGACGGGGCCGGCGCCCACAATTACTATGTCATAATTCTCTTGTTGGACCATGCTGACGGCCAAAAGCAAACACAGGGATTAAGAAGGGGGGAGGTATGAATTGTATGGCGAATAGAGATATGATCAGCGTAAATAAGTGTACGTATGACTTGAAAGAAAAGCAGAGTAGATCAGAGTGTCACCCTGCACGATGACCGAAAGAAAATGAATGAGGGCCATGGCTCTCCCTATATACTGTCCGGGAACTGGGGTAAGCGGACGGATTGGGTGTTCGACTGAAGCAACGGAGAACATCCACGGCATTCAGAGTCGGCGGAATCGTGGGGAACACCGGTTGGAGGGTTGGGGTAGCCAATCAGGTTCGCGAGAAACGGAGTTATGGACGATTAGTCAGAATCGCAGAAACAAGCGCTGTGGGGGCAGGACTGGCTTTGCACAATGTCCATATTACCGTCATTGATCCCGAGCTGGTAGCCGCAGGGCTCCATTGTGACTGGGTTGCTCCTCTTTTCCTCTGCTCCACCCGGAAACGATCTCGGTAAGCGGACTCGTGCGCACGTGACCACGCCTCGGCAACCCTGCCCGGGATCTATATCTCTGGACACTCGCTACATATGTACCTACAACGTCCATAGTTTGTACTATATCGTTGGAAATTGCCCAATCCATCTAGACCTAGAAATAGTTAGCAAATTACCATTTCCAATATTATTGGCTATATGCTAAATTATTCCCTTCCTTCCGTTCTGCCGAGATTACTGAAGTCCTGCCGCCTTATCCACCCGTTCAGGTCCCGCACTGTCATGGTAGTTTAACCTGGTACTTACACTGTGGAAAACCCGAAATTCCGTGCCATCCTCTAGATGAAATACCCGTGAAGTCTGGTATCTACTCTGATGTTGTTTCCTCGGGTTGGCCCGTGGCAAATGAATCGGTTCAACCTGTTTCAGAAAAACACAGCCTGGAAGCATTGCTACATGATCATAACAATAGCACTTGGATGGATCGACTCTGATTCTACGATAATATAATCAGCGTAGTGGCTTGGATGATCCGTATTTTCTGTGTTTAGAGTCACCAGGCCGGTAGCATGAAAATATTGACACCTGAGGCAAAAATGACGAAAGAGGTTTAGGTCGGGTTCAAGTTGTGCCGCTCCGAACTATATCCATACATGTAACTACATGCTTAAATCGAAACAAAATATCAGAACTAAACACATAATATGTATTTGTGAGCTATGTACAATAAGTGGGATTGGACAATTAAATTCACCTCACCGTTCCTTGTAGACAATGTATCGAGCAGGTATTATACACACATGGGGTGAGTATGGAAGAACGTTTTGCAAGATCTTGTAATATCCTTACTATTAGTGTGGTGGGTGGTGACAACATATAGAATGGTTTTCATTAATCGTGAGCTCATAGAGTATTGCCAATTCCACGGTTTTTTTTTTCTCTTTTTTTTTTTGGTAATGGCTCTCATAGGTGTGGTGGGTGGGTATCAGTAATTTGTAATATTGCAATATGCTTATCTAGGTAGTCCAGCTCAAGTCCCGTATGGAGCATGTGCTATTATATCACGTCGTCTGTTTAGAGTTGATTCCTACTACTAGTATCGTGTGGTGAATGGGCGTTTGATTGGCCGGTCTATCATCAACCTCCTTGATTAGGAATAGTAAACTTTTGTTTTTCTCTGTTTGTTCATTCATTGTTTGTTCTCATTTATTGTATTTATTCCAATGTTCTTTGTTTGCATTCTCTTTGTTCCTATCTTCTCTGTTCCTATTGTCTTTAAGACATTTCCAGCCACATTATTGGACTAATCCTATTGTTGCAGACCATGTGGTCTCAATATACTCTTTTCGGCCTCGACAATGGCCGCAACAATGGCCTCAATTTTTATACTATGCTTTATTGGGTGGCCATGAATAACAATTCAAAAACTATTGTGACGAGGCACATTGTAGCCCTGAGTTTCGACGACAGTGCTGCATAAATATCCTCTTCTTCCAATAATTTTCCTTGTTTCTCCCCATACTTCTTGATATCTTTTACGCTTCTATTTCTGATACCTCTGCCTTTATCTTTCTGCAATTGCAAGTTTGTCTTTGAACAGCACCTCGAATTGAAACAGTAAACGCAACAATGTCTCAATATCCACCAATTCGTCCCTGGGCAACTCTCAATGCCATTGACCAGGACCACAAGTCGGAAATCCTCGACGAAGATGAACGCCAGCAATGGTTTCAACAGCATCCACATGTTGATCTTCACACCGCAAAGAGGATTGACAACAAGAGTCAACGTGCCTTCGCAGAGCGGGGCCCCAGCATGGCTGAAGGCCTTCGTGGTATTGCAGAACGTGGTGCAGCTCGTCGCAATGGAACGGCTGTGAACAAGAACGATATGTAAGGACCATACTTAGCTAAACTTGCCGAGCGTAAAATCTAATATGATGGACAGATTTACCAAGCCATTGCCACCTATTCCTCAACAGGAAGCCCCTCAGCCGGCCACCACAGTTGGTCAGGAGGGTGTTTCCCAAGGTTCTGGGCACGATATCAACAAGATGAGCATTTATTACGTGCTTGACAGATCCAACATGCAAGGCCACCACGAAACCTCATTTGCTCAGCGAGAAGATTCTCAGCCTGCTACTGAAGTTGATGAGAAGGCAGTTGTTGATGGCTCTGTGCACTCGAGTGAAAAGATGAAACCAAATTTGCTTCTTGAGGAATGCAAGCTCCAAGGATACGACGACGAGACTCCATCTATTCAACCCGATGGATCTAAGCCGGCCCTGCCATCCTTTTCGTATCACTATTGCAATGCACAGGCCTCCTACGCCACTCGCTCTTCTGCTGTCCATCGCTTGGCTCAGGCTACTCAATGTGCTACTCCTGCGTTTGAAGCCCCTAATGTTCAAGCCAATCCCAGTCCCCATCGCAACGGTTACAGTCCAACTTCGTGGTACGAAGCTTTACCCACTGGCCACGAATCTTCTCCGGATGCTCAGGTTCCAGTAGCTCCCAGCGCTACTCCAGTGCCCGAAATCAAGCAAGAAAATCAATTCACGGACGTAGGGGCAACCATTGATGAACTGCTTGCCTTGATCGACAAGGAAAAAGAGAGCTACCGCCTTGCAAATGAAAATCACAACCCAGGAAGTTCATCTTCTGCTTACCGTCTCGCTCCCCCTAATTCGGCGTCTACGAACATCTACCATGCGGACCAACGCTCTAGTCCTGTATTTGCGAGCCCCGGCAAAATTCGCGAAGTTACACCTGCAACACCTGCGTGGTGGTCCCCGTCTCCTGTTTCATCCCCTTCTCCCAAGGGATGTTGCCATTGGTCTTCGGATGAATTTGAGCCTGGAACTACTGCATCTCCTGAGCCTCAGTTCGATCGGGAATGGTCTGCTTCCGACGTGTCTATGGAAGAGTCACCTGCGTTGACTTCGTCTCCTCCTCACATCGCTTCTCTCCAAGGAGATTTCACTTGGCGTTCGGACAACCCCGACGAGGTTGAAACTGGCTTTACTGTACCCCTTGGACAAATGTATGCTCGGGACTGCACTACTCCTGATTCGCCTCTACTGGATTCACCTTCATCTCCAACTCCAGCTCTTCCTTCTACTGAGCGTCCTCCCAGTGACCTTCATGGATTTTCCTATGCCGATGCGCCTCGGGTTGGAATTTATCCATCTCAGATTCCCAAAGTTCCCCAGCCTACGCAGCTTATTTCTCTCCCGGATTACATTTTATCTCCTTCCAGCTACCCAAGATGGTTGAAGGAGTATAGAGCCCACATGGAGAATGTCGAGCAGTCTCCTGTCCCACCGCAATTGAACGTGACGGAGAAGAAAACTACCTTCACCATGGACGTCCCCATCCATGAAGTTTCCCAGCATCAGACAGCCGTTCACGTGTCTGAGTCTACCAATGGTGGACATAGCCGTGCAGCTTCCTTCGTCAGCAACACCCCCAGCAACGCAACTCTGAGTCGTGTCACCCAAAGCCCGGATTCCTACAGTTCTGAAGGCTCCGAAGACTCTCGTGGAACCAAGCGCAAGCGGTTTACCAAGAACCTCTTTGGTAAGAAAGGATACCTTGAGGACAATGAGGGGCCACGCGACAAGAGATTCCGCTTTCTGAAGGAGGCCATCGAAAAGGGACATTCAACCATTGGCAGTATCAAGGGAATGGTAAGTGCTTCGTGACTCGGCTTTTCAAAAATGTTACAGTGACTAACAATTGTTTTGACAGTTTTGGGATGAGGATCGAGCTTTGATCAACTCATCCAAGCCCAGTATCGTCACTGAGAACACTGCTCCTATTACTTTGAACACCGATGTGCAGTCAATTCTGTACGCCGAGATTGAAAACATGATCACCCACGCGGCCAACGAATTCCTGATGAAGGAGTATTATGAAGGTCACCTTACTATTAGTTCTCTCAACAGGATCAAAAGAAGATGGGAGAAGAAGCACATGCCTGGTGTCCCTCAATTCCGTTTCGACCAAACTACCCAATACCGGCTTATCAGCGCAAACCGCGACCATCTGAACTTCGGCCAAACCAGCAACGGCCTTAAACCCAACACCGTTCTGAGCAACTGGAAAAAGATCTGCAAGAATATGAGCATCCGCACCTTTGTGGCTCCCGATTCGGTTATCAAGAAGCAAATCCACGATATCCTGGATCTCTTGGAGATCTTGAAGGCCGATGAATGCCACATTGAGCTGATTATGGCCCTCAATGCGCATGTTCGTGGAGAGCTGAAGAAGCACGAGGTGATGCAGCACTATCGAGACACTCAGAACTCTGGAAACTCTCGCTCTTAACTTCAACTTCGTTCACTTGAACTTGACCTGTGTTTGATTCTTCTTTCAACAATTCTTGTCTCGCTTTCATTTTTCGTTTGTTGCTATTCTGTTTCGGCTGTTCTGTTCTAGGACTTCGCCGTAAGCGGTTTGCATTTGTTGCTATTCTGGTTCGCCTGTTCTGTTCTAGGACTTGGCCGTAATCAGTTTGCATTTGTTGCTACTCTGTCTCGCCTGTTCTATTCTAGGACTTGGCCGTAATCAGTTTGCATTTTACCAGTTTCGCTTTCTGCGCTTTTTCGTTTTCGCTTTTGCCATTCTGTTTCTGCCTTTTTATGCGTGTTTTACAAGTGATGCGTGAACCAACCAATTCAGTCTAGCGTAATCCAAATCCAATTCATCCCAAATGAATCCTTTCCTCTTTCCAGTAGATCAACTGAAAGTAAGCATCAAAGATACATTGTTATATGCTCTTCTACAGAGACTTGCATAAGATATTATGTGCAATGGTGTGTTCCATACTTGAATCAACCTCATGGGTAAACAGAATATGCATATATGTATGATCTCATGATTGAGGGAGTCTGGAGTAGATGTATTAGTGTTGGGGTCGTATTGGTACTGTAGATTAAAAAGGCACAAAAGAATGCAAACATTTATACATGTATATCAAGAAGAGATAGCCAGTTGACTAGCCTCTCACCAATCTTATTCCAACCTTTGCTCGGCTGCTGAACTATCATTTTGCAAGCATCTATCCATCTGTAGGAAGCAAAGCTGTCCCCGATATAGAGGTATACTATGACCTGACCAATCCTACAGCTTGTATTAAATCAATTTGAAATAAAAAATATAATCTGCTTTATTTTATATCGTATTACTCACAACCACAGGGATACATAACTAGGTCACTCTACGTACCATATCTCCTTTGCCGGGTGAGGCTTGCCTTTCTTAGCTACCGCCGCTTATGAGGGCGCCCAGAGTGAGGCTGAGTAGATTACAGTCCAGGCTCAGACTCAGTGAGGTCCAGTGCCACCGCGTGGGATAAAAAAAGACCGACAGCTGGCGGATTCGAACCGCCGCCTCCGAGGAGAGTTGATTTCTTAGTGAATGTTAGTATGGTGCTATAATGGTTGGAGTATGATGATGACGTACCGAGTCAACCGCATTAGACCACTCTGCCAAGCTGCCAAAAACATGTGAATCGGGAAGCTATGTTTAGCTACATGTCCAGAAATCCCTCTGTGGATAGGAATTTGGATTTATCCCCTACAGGCCGATTGGGCTACAATTTATATCAATTTCGAGCATTATATGAAGAGCAGCCATCTAGTGAGTCCCTTGTTGCATTTATATCTCCAATTATTTGAACTGCGATATAGTGGTTTTGCATAATGGCTGGGTTAACTCCGAGGCGATGAAGGAGAGTGGATACATATGTAGGCTTTGACGGCTCACTATCACTGCGTGCGCCTAAAGTTAACCCAGAGAAATAAAGGCGATACGCTAAGTAGTATGCCCCCGAGAAACACACCAACCATGATATTACAAAATCGATGTAATTGGGCTAGGTAGGAAGGTACCTAAGTACCTAAGTGCATTCCGAGGTTGCATAAAGCAGGCGTCCACCCGGGTGGACGCCACCCGTTGTTAAGGTTGGTGGGACGGAGATGGGGCCGGGCAGCCTTATGAAACCTTCCAAAATTGGGACCCCAGGAATAATGAATTAGTACCATATTTGGTATTGAGTATTAAGGAGTAAACATCAATATTTCTGGACTGTCAGTACATTATATTGCATGTGTCTTGAGCATCCAAAAAGGGAATTCAAACTCAATAATAATGCACATCTCGAGCATGTTCTTGCCATCTCAATCCCCACTTCAAACGACCAATCGTATATGTCGTAGTGGCTAGCTACGCTCTGTCCCAGCTTGGTATTTACTAGCTGCTAGACTGTATACTAGTTCCATGTATTATTATTACACAACTTGGTTGAATTAAAAATGCTTTATCTCTCCTATGGCGGCAGGTTGAATTGCCTCCTCCAATGAAGGGCAAATTTTCTTTAAGCTAACATCATAACAGTCCAATAAATTGTATTGTTAACTTTTGAGGTGGCTCCATATAGCGCTGTCCGAATCAAAGCCTCGATGGTAGCTTATATTCGTCTCACAATCAAAGCAATACCAGATATGTCCATGAGTATCTGAACATCCTACAAGTCCAGATGACCTGATGAAGTTAACATGACGACGACTATGGATGTGCTCAATTGCACCTCCCATACTCCAAAAGTCGTCATCATGGAAACGGCACGTATATATAGACATCCTAAGAGGGCCTCAAGACCTAAAGTACCCAAGAAAGTCGTTAGCTGTATCTCTTAAGACGTAGGAATGACTGTCAATTCTTCCTTTATTGGCAATATAAAACAATTTAGCTAAATCTACAGCTTAGGGATATTGAAAGGCGAAGAAGCTTCTCTACAAGAATCTAACTACCTGATCTCCAGTTATAGAACTACGTAGTTTTTTGTTTTACTCCCCTCAAGTCAAAAATCAAGTTGATCACTTGTCATCATCATAATGATCAATTGACATAGTGCATTCGAGATTACTCAAGAATACCACTTATCACGACTCAATACACCTAGGTAGACTTAATGCAACCAATTCGAGATTACTCAAGAATACCACTTATCACGAGTCAATACACCTAGGTAGACTTAATGCAACCATCAAACTAGTATGTTGCCTGATATTTCAGGCCACAAAAGTTGTTCCCTTGGCATTTGCCAATCATGGGTGATTGAACTAATTTTAGGATGATCTAAATTGAAACTGTATATACGTCGTATGTACAACATAGCATGTCAACTGAAGCGCAAAAGTACCAAAAAGTGAAGTTGTACACAAAACACGTGGGACGACGTCATCGGCTTATAGGATCACGGGTGCCAGGCAGTCACCGCTCTACCTTTCAAGAAGTTCTTTAACCACCTCTTGTAAATGATCATACCTCTGTGCGGGTGTTTCCGACAGAACGTGTTGTGGACCGTAACAGTTCGGCCCCCAATGACCGTCGATACATCCCGCGTTTAGCCCTCCATATCAGGGGGTGGAGATTAATACCAGCCCAAACACAGGGGCTCAGCTCCATACAAATATCCGAATGGCGGGCTCGATCCACACCTACGGTCCGAGTTGCCTGCTGGTGGACGAAGAGCAGGACCTCACCAGATTTCAATCGCTTCCATCACCACCAGAGATCCGGTCACAGTTCTTCTATATCTCATCATTGCCGATCGATGATCCACTGGCTCCCCTGCCTCCACCTGCAAGCCACGGGACCGGCAATGAGAGACTTCCTCCCACGCCATTCTCGGCCAGGGATAACATCGCCTTAGAGGAAGCTTGGCATGATCTACGGGAAGCGAGAAAGACCAAATTCGCTGGAAACCATGGATCCAGGCCAAATACATCGACAGGGCCGCCTGGGATAGCTGTGCCCAGTCATGAATCGGTATCAAATGTCGAACGCCGCAAGGCAGCCAACCAAGAGGATCCCTCCTTGGTTGGCAGTAGAGGAAGCACCCTGAGCAATCCTCCTTCCTTCCCGGACGACCTGCCCTCTCACAGTCACAAGAGTCATCTCGCTTTTGCTATAGGCAGTGCTGGAATACGACCCCGTCAACTCGGCAAGGAAAACCGCATGGGCTCCCCACTAAGTGATGGGTTTAAACACGACACTTCGAGAGGAATTGCCATCGATCGGAAAAGAGCGCGGTCGTCTTCGGTCAATGAGTCCAGTGCAGCCAAAAGAAGAAGCAGTTCTCCATTGGAGGCTGAGAACGTGGATGAAGGAGACGAGGAGATTGGAAGTCTACGAGCTGATCGTTCTCATGATGCAAGCATGAGTGGCTCTCCTTTTATACGAGCACCGATATCTCAACCTCAGACCCCGCTTGGTCGCTCATTTGAGTCGTCTTCGTCAAGAGAAGGAGGCGAATGGCAGGCGGAACTGCGAACCAGTACTGCTCATCGAAGTGCCCCGAAACCTTCGGGCCTCAGAACGACTGTGAGCCTAGATCAATTGACCCAGGACTCGCAGAGGGAGAGGACAGAGGAGCCAAACGTACAGTCAAAGATCCCGGTCGGTGTCTCACGACTTCATCTGGTCGAGTTACCGAACCTCAAGGTGAGTACAATTTTTCTACTCGGCTCTGAACTGTAATAACCCTTTTTTCCAGATGAAACCTATCTACTGGAGCCCTCTTCAGGACATATCAAGTGTGGTCCGAGCTACTTGGTTCTACAAAAATACCATGTTGCCTGTTGAGACTGAACTTGCGAACAAATTGGAGGAAGGTTACGTTTACTTGAAGCCATGGAGCGACACTTGGCAAGATGAACTGAATAGTTGTGTAGAAAACGGGGCGGATGCCGAGTTGAAAATCGTTCACCCGCTGTGGACAAAACAAGACAGTCAGCCTACAACTGCACAAGCGCCACAGAGTTGTGATTCGCCTCTGGATGAGGCAGAGGATCCCTTAAGATTCGACAAGAATCGAGCTGCTGGCGGCACCTCTGTTCACTCTGAGACTATCAAGTCATACCTCACATCGAGTGCCATCTATGTCGATGCAACAAATGCCCAAGTACTTCGGCCCAGCTTACTTCCCTCAGTGTCGAGGGGACGACGACCTCTTAGTGCAATAAGGAAAGGCCGTCAGATAGGTATACCTGTGGTTCGCGGCTTTAGTCGAAAATTATGGGAACTACTGCACCCATCAAAGCCCAATCCTATCGATGTGCGCCATTACATCCGCAAGACCCAGTCAAGAAGTCCTTCTGCGCGAGGTGAACAAATATGCTATGCATGCAAGATGGAGGAGTCGCGACCACCTCCAACGGACTTGGTTCTCGTTATCCACGGCATCGGGCAAAAGTTATCAGAAAGGATGGAAAGCTTCCATTTCACTCATGCCATCAATGCGTTTCGGCGAGAGGTGAACATGGAGCTCAACAACGAACCTGTCTGGCAGCACGTGCGCCAGGATCATGGGGGAATCATGGTTCTTCCTGTGAATTGGCGCACGAATCTGTCGTTGGATGACCCCGACGTTGAGTCGGGCATCGAAGACCCAGCTAGCAACAACTTTTCTCTTGCAGATATCACCCCCCAGACGCTTCCCGCTATCAGATCCCTAATCAGCGATGTGATGCTCGACATTCCTTACTATCTGTCACACCACAAACCGAAGATGGTCAAGGCAGTGATTAGAGAAGCGAACCGTGTGTATCGCCTCTGGTGTAAAAACAACCCAGGGTTTCAAGACCACGGCCGCGTACATCTCATCGCTCATTCGCTCGGAAGCGTGATGGCTATAGATATTCTCAGCCATCAACCAACACATGTTCCTCGGTTTGACTTTTCCAATACGGCTTTACACAGCGACATTTTTGAGTTCGATACTAGACATCTCTTCCTCTGCGGAAGCCCAGTCGGCTTCTTTCTGCTTCTCAATAAGGGTACGTTTGAACCCTACATCATTCCGCCTTATATCTAACATCCTCGTAGCTAGTCTTCTTCCCCGAAAAGGCAGAGACAAGCCAGGCAGCGAAGGTGACGATTTGCTTCGTGGCGTTGCCGGTGAAGCGGGTCAATATGGCTGTCTCGCCGTAGACAATCTCTACAATATCATGCACACAACGGACCGTAGGTGGATTGCATAACTTTCCTAACCGATTTTCACATACTCCTTGCCTCTTATACTAACCACCCTTTCCAGCAATCGCGTATCGAGTCAATGCAACAGTGGACTCAGACCTCTCCAACTCCCTCAAAATGGGCTCTATCCCCAGCTCCACTTCCGCCTTTTGGCAATCCTTCGGAAGCGTCTTCCGCTGGAGCTCAACCTCGTCAACATTATTGCCCGCCACAGCCCCTACCCGCCCAACAGCAGTCTCCAAGCTCCCATCCAATGTCGAGCTCGAGACCCACGACTTCACTCGCGAAGAGATTGCTGAAAAACGCATGCTTCTGCTCAACGATAACGGTCAAATTGATTATTATCTCTCAGGTGGTGGCGGCCCGTTGAATATCCAGTACCTCAACATGCTGAGTGCGCATAGCAGTTACTGGACATTGGGTGATTTTGTGCGGTTCTTGGTTGTGGAGATTGCGAGAAAGCAGGGGAGAGAAGGGACGCTGCTTGCTTTTCGGTCGGAGAAGAAGAAGGGATGGAAGTATTCAAAAGGGTGATTCTATTTTCGAGCTATCTAGGTACTGTACCATAGCTTTCTTTACCATAGCTTTGATCATGATTTTGTGCTCTGGAGATAGAATACGTACCTTGCGAGGTTGTAATACTCGCATACAAACATACAAGTCTCGTCCAATGTAAAACCACAATGTATTTGTATTCTCATCAGATGGAGACTTACGGTTGTTGACCGTGTATTGCCTGTTCAAAAAGAGGACCGAAAAATGTGAAGACAAGGCGAGAAGGCAAGAAATATACAAAGCTCGGAGTAAGACAGATAAGAAACCAAAACAAAAGACGTTTTCAGGAGATTCAGTCTCCGTCTGGGCATAAATCGTATATCGTATCACATCTTTAGCAAATGACCCGAGTGTCCGAGCCATGAACATCACCCATCAACAAAGCCTCCACAATCTCACCCTTGATACCAACGCCCCGTCCAGCCCGCAGCACCACCAAGGCATTCGCTTTGGCCAAACTGCCGACCGTCGAAGACCGCTGTCCGGCACCCTCCATCCCCGTGCTCGTCGCATACAGCCGACCATCCGAGCGCGATGCCGTAACCACAGCACGGTGGTACTCCGTGCGCATGGGATCAAGCGGGAAGTGATGCGTCAGGACGACAGCGACGCGTGGAAGACCAAGCTGTGGCGCGAGCCAAGGCTTAGAGCTGAGTGCCTGGGAGCTGTGACCCAGGCCGGTGAGTTTATGCAGCGAGGGGAGAACAAACAGGTTGAGGGTGACGAGGGCGGAGGCCGGGTTTCCGGGGAGCGAGAAGATGAGTTTTGATTGGCGCTCCTGCTGGGAGGATGTGGCGTCGCCGGTTGTTTTGAAAGGGACGGTTGCGAAGGTGGTTGGTTTGCCCGGTTTCATGGAAACGCGGCCGAAGTGGATGGTGCCGCCGAGGGAGCGCTCGATTGTCGGCTTGAGGAGATCTAGCTCGCCCATTGAGACGCCGCCGGTTGTGATTATCACGTCGACGCTGGTGGAGGCTCGGCCTACGCCGCGGAGGGAGTCTCGGAGGGCGTGCTCGAGCTCGCTGGCAGGTGTGTCGCGAGCGATGCCGAGGTCGACGGTTTCGAAGCCCCATGAGTTCAGACATGACAGAAGAGATGGGCGGTTGGAGTCGCGGATTTGGCCGCCTGTGAGAGCTTGCGGGTCATTGTGCTCCACGAGCTCATCGCCGGTGCTCAAGACGCCTACGCGTGGTTTCCGGAAGACTTTGACAGTCCTGGTGCCGGTTGATGCCAGTAAGCCAATCTCTCCGCCGACGGGAGATATTAGGTCCCCGCGGGCGACGATTTTAGAGCCTAGTGTGACATCGCTGCCAGGCTCGCGCACATTCTCGCCGGGCTCGATATCCTTCGCTAGGATTTCGACTGTCGCTTCTTCCTTGCCGTCAGGTGTGCACGAGTCCAAGGTCGTATCCTCGACCATGACTACGGCATTCGCGTTTGGGGGGAGAGGGGCGCCAGTGGTAATTCTAGCGATGGTTCCCGGTTGCAATGGCTGTAGATTCCCGCCAACATTGGCATGGGTAATGGATGCTACGGGGAAGACCCCCTTCGTGGACTGGCCGGCGGCGCTAGAGTCTGGTGCAATGACAGCATAGCCGTCGACGATACTAGCTCGATACGCGGGCACAGCCTCTGCGGCGTAGACGTCTTCGGCGATCACCGAGCCAATCAAGGATGTGGTCACTGGGACCTCAACAACTTCTGGCTCGGGAGTGTGCTCATTGATCCGCCGAAGCGCTTCATCTACAGACAGCATCGGGTAGGGTGAGGAGCGATAGCGCCGGTTAGGGCCTGCACTAGGGTCATTGGACTGTGGTCTCTCTGACGGCGAGGTATGCGCTTTGGGGGCCTTATGTCCAAGTCCATGGTCATGACCATGATGGTGGTGATTATGGTGGTGGTGATGATGTTGATTATCACCAACGCGGGCCTCAGATTCCAGCTTCTTCACACCGCCAGCATGGAGGTCCCGTGAATTGGCCCCAGCAGACTGTAGACAGGCATGTGGAAGAAGCTTAACAACAGCGTCAAGGTTCTCCATGGCTCCTTTGGGTGAACCGGGTAAGGTAATAATCAAAGTCTTATTACGGACACCAGCAACTGGTCTGGCCATCATAGCAACTGCGCGGGGGATTAGCTGAAGTAAATATAGTTAAAGGGAAGCGCCATGGCAGCGCCCCTGATGTCATGCTCACAGGGGGTTACTTTCAAGGAGGCAGCAATCATGCCGTGTCTTAAAGTCTTGGTTAGTTTACTAGCGTCAATGCGGCGCCCAGGGTATCCAACTCACATTAGTCCCGGCGCATGGCGTTGGATTAGGGGAGAAACGGCCTAGTGATGTCATGAGTATAATGTAACGGTCAAGAATCGAATCACAAACTTCAGGAGTGTTGTCCTTGATGGCAAAACCTGTTCCTCCACTAAGGAGGATGAGGTTGTACCAATTAGGGCTATCGGCCCAGTCGTATATCGATTGCTGGATCTGGAACACGTCGTCCGGGACGATCCTGAATGCGGGGGTTCCCACTTCCCCTCCGCGGTCAAGATAGGCCGAAGTGCATCGACGACCTTGTCAGAAGCGGGGTCTTTCGAGGCAGTGTCTGAGACGATCAGGATTGCGGCTTTTAGTTTGGTCTCCATGATGTGCGCTGTGCATAAGTCTGGGGAAGTGGATGTTTGGGGGAAGTTCTGTTAAATAGGGAAAAACGGAGGACTATTGCCAAATCCGGGACGTAAATTAGTGTGATTAGTGTATTTCGTACAATTGGTGAAACTGGTGAAATTAATGCCAATGCTGCTTTTCTTATATGCCAATCATAATCATTTTCGAAAGGCTAGTCTCTTCCAAGGTTGTTCATATTCAGTTGATACGAATTATCCCGAGGTCCTTGTTGGCGCAGCCTAGGTTTGAATGTAACCACGATCAATTCAACCCAATTAGATTAAAAACTATAGAATACATCTAACTACATATAGATTGGCTTTTAATTAATGTTGAATAACAGGTTGCCATGTATATTCCAGTAAGATTGTCGAAACCTGGGCTAAATAACGACTACATTGAGTGCCTACATGTAAATATAGGCGAAAAAGATTTCATCTGATAGCGATTTCTACAAGTATTTGCTCATATCCCTAGTGTAACAGGCTAGAACTAGCTCACACGGCCTCAAATCTGATACATGTGATCTCCAGATCACTGATGCAATTTAGCAAAACCAAAATGGCTCTACGTGGTCGACCCCAGACGCCCCAATGCGGTGTATATCGAAACATGAACATGAACTATGAAAACGAGAATAAAGAGGCGAAGCGGATCGCCTGGGGCATATGTTTCGGGTTCCCGATATCTGTTTGCCGCCTAAATTTGAAGCTCTTCTCTCTCAAAGGCTCAATTTCAAGCCGCCTCCAACACCGCTGCCTTTTGGGCCACGAGAAGGCCGACAATCAAACCGAAAAGACCCAGGACTGAGCTGAAAATCTCGACGACAAGGATCTTGACGAATCTGAAAAAGAAAACATGTAAGTGACAGCCCTAAATATCATATCAACAATGCTACGAGGATCACCTACAGGCTGGGGTCGGCGGCATCGGCCAGGGCAGCGCCACTTCCATTGATACCAACGGAGATACCGCAAATAAGATTGCAGACGCCGACTGTGATTCCTCCCCAGAAGACCGCGAATCCAGTGTAGTAGTTGCTGGAGGTGTGGATTCCGCCTTCGGGTACCTGGCTGAGTTTCGAGGAGAAGACAATGGCCATGATGACACCGTAGATAGCGACGACTTCACAGAAAATAATGGAGATCAAGTTCTTGGTGCGAATACGGGGTGCTCGGACACCACCGCCAACAATCGATGAGCCGGTAAGGAAGATACCCCTAAGAAAATATGCGGTCAATATCACGATGCCGTATCATGTCCACGGGGATCGGCTTACCATGCTGCGCCGACAACTGAGAAGCCGATACACGAAGCGATTCCGATATTTGCCCAAGCATAGGGAGAAACTTCCTCAAGGAAACGGCCGAACTAATACGTGTCAGATTAGTAAACTTTTGAGCGAATCGCTGGTTTTTAATGGAGCTCCGTACATTGAATGCTTCTCCATCTCCGTGGAAGAGCATATCTAGAATCCACACCCTCTCATTAGCTGCCAGATCGCACCTCGGATTCATTGAAACGTACACAATCCCACCACGATGAGGGTGGTGATAGAGACACCGGCCGGATAGAGGTAAGCCATGGCGACCTCTAAGCCTGATGACGAATAAATTAAAAGGTCAAGATGATCGCAGACGTAGAAAACGCAGCCGATAAGGTAGCTGAAGCTCTGGGATGGAAGCGGGTGATGGGGGACTCGGTGGCCGGAGCGGATTAACTGCTCCGTTCGGGCGGTGACCTCGCGTTGCGCTTCCCCGGACGTGTTGGACCACCTGTTTCCCCTTGCTTTTACTGTTCTTTCAAGGCAAGACGCTTGCCTTAACCTTCTATATTCTCATTAGCCTTGTCCTCGTGTCTTTCACTCAGTCGCAAATCCCTGACCATATTCCGTGCCGCTTTACTACCCCTGAATTTCAGCCGCATCAATATCTCCGCGACAATGGCGTCTGCCTCCGGGGTTGGGTCGTATTCGAACCCGTTGAAGAAGTTCAAGTAAGACTTGGGATGGTACGATGTGGAATCAAGATTGCATTGCTAATGGATATATGTAGGCTGGTATTCCTAGGCGAACAGAGCGGTAAGCATCCCATCACTTCATACTTCTACTACATGCGCTCTGGTCATTGAGAGGAGCTGGCACAAGATATCTAACGTTACTGCAGTCGGCAAAACATCATTGATTACTCGGTTTATGTACGACTCTTTTGACAACACATACCAAGCAACTATTGGCATCGACTTTTTGTCCAAGGTACGCCACATTATACCCCGCACAAGTGTTCCAATTCATTGGGCATTGCCCCGAGAAGGTATCTATTCACAAAAATTGGGGCTTACCATCGTATCTAGACTATGTACCTTGAAGATCGGACCGTCCGTCTTCAACTTTGGGATACCGCCGGCCAGGAGAGATTCCGTTCTCTGATTCCTTCCTACATCCGAGACTCGAGCGTTGCCGTGGTTGTATACGATATTTCGAATGCTAAATCGTTCCAAAACACACGAAAATGGATTGATGATGTGCGTGGAGAACGTGGAAATGATGTGATTATTGTGCTCGTGGGCAACAAGACCGATTTAAACGATAAGCGGGAAGTCACCACCGCACAGGGCGAGGAAGAGGCAAAGAAGAACGGATTGATGTTTATCGAGACCAGCGCAAAGGTCGGACATAATGTGAAGCAGCTTTTCCGGAGAATCGCTCAGGCTCTTCCTGGAATGGAAGGCGAGGCCAAGCAAGGCGAGAGCACAAGTATGTTCATTCTCATGTCTTATCCACTGACTCTTCATACTGACCATGACCTCTCTCCCAGTGATTGACGTCAACATCAATCCCAAGGAGACGACCAGCAACGACGGCTGTGCCTGTTAAGATTCCCCCGCATCCATTCTCCCGTTCCTAAGTGCCCTACCTCGATGAAAATCGAGGCTGTCCATGATATCCTACAATTTTCGAAGATGTACATGTTTCTTCTTTCTTTGCTCGCTCCTCGAGTCTATAGCGCGTGTCTAGATCTTTCAGTGCCGAATGCGGTTGTATCAAGTTTATTCTCTGAGCTCTTGGGAGGAGGCAAGGTGTTTTGATTTCCGTTTAACCAGCATCATACGTTTTTTTTTGTGGCAGTTGAAGTTACTTCGCTTGACTTCCTTTGGGGGTCTTCTGATTACCGCTCTGGCGGCATGGGCTAACTTGTCTGATATGCCTGATATGCTTTAATTGACGAAGCTGTATAATATGGCATTTCCCTTCTGGGTAACGCACCGCATAGCCGGCGCCAATGAAACATGAACTCAACACTATCATACCTATTAACCAAAATGCTTACAACATATGTATGTAGCCAAATGTGCTGTTCTGGCATTGTTACCAAAGTAGCCATAATTTCCTTCATTTGTCACAAGTCTACTATGTCTCGACGGGTCTCCAATATGTCCACGGCATTTTTTATACACCCGATGACCTGAGAGGCAAGTCTTAAAAGACAAACCCGTTAACATCCGTCTCATGCTCCAAATCCCACGCTCTCTTGATTATGGAGTCGACTTTGTTCGTATCTGTGATTCCGCCATATTTGGCAAGCGCGTGAGTTTTTGCCTCGATTTCAGACCTAGCGATGTCATGTCAGAACATAATTCATTATCTCCTAGGAATATAAAAATATACCTTGTCAAGGGAATCTCCGGGTCTCCCTTTGCAAATGTGACTGATTCCGTGAAAGTCTTCCCGGACTTGCATGTAACAATAACAGTTCCTTGCCACCTCTCTGGGAACTGAGAATCAATCTCCGCATTGTATTCCATCTTGACTCGATTCTGGAATCCACGCAAAGAGGTATCTCTCAGATCAGCTTCAGTGAAGTCGGTTATCATAGCTTGGCCTTTCTTCGCCGCAATAGCTAGTACAAAGCCCATTGAGAACTTGCTCTGGTGAACTGTGTCGCCATTCCCACTTAGGCTAAGTACGTCGATAGCAGCCTGGTATGTGGGAACAAGGACAGAGTCGATATCGTCAAAAGTCACATTGTTCTTGGCCATCAGGTTCAACAGTGCATCCACGCTAGGATGGGTGTGTCGACAAGATGCGTGCCATTTGAAGCTCGAACGAACAACGGCAAAATCTGTACCCAAATTCTGGTCAATTGCCTCTGGGTTTGTTTCGCCGGGCACTAGAGCAGCTCCCATTGCACGCGGTCCTTCCAAGATATCCCGTGGGCCTAGAAGCCCATCACGAGCAGAATAGGCAGCGAATATACCGTCAAAACAGGCCTTTGCTGTGTGCACTTGTTTTGAGTGAGTTGCATCCATCAAGAATTGCCATAATCCTGCGGCTTGAGTTCCAGCTGTTCCAACTGCTGATAATGTCTGGTTTGCATCAAGCTTCAGAAGGTGGGCTACAGCTGCTGCAACTCCAATCACTCCGCCTGTCGCGGTGGTATGGAATTTCTATTGTACAAGTTAATCGTTGAAAATTAACTGGCTATGCCTAGGGTTGCTGGTATGATGATGTAACATTCACGAAAAACCAATGAATCTTACCTCATAGTGGCTCTTCCCCAGATACTCTCCAACACGACAACCGACTTCGTAGCCAACCACGCAAGCAGTGATGAAATCTTCTCCATTTGCCCCAATATCTTGGGATACCGCAAGAGCAGCTGGGAAGATTACAGTCGCCTATGGTTAAATAAGTATGGTGTTGACCGACATTTGATGCATTGATATGGGCCTTGAGGCGCAACGGGCACAATAAAAATACAGGCAAAACTCACTGGATGCATGATGCTTCGATTATGCAGATCATCCTGCTCAACCACATGGGATGCAGCAGCATTGATTAGACTAGCAAATGCCGGACTAGTAGTGACATTTTGGGAACCATCAATTAGTTCGCTCTTCCCACTAGATGGGCCCATTTGAGCCGCAAAACGCACCATTGCAGAAACCGCGGGGTGGCTACGACCGGCTATGGCACAGCCCAGCGTATCTAAGAAGAAATCCTTGGTGCGTTGGACCACATCATCAGGAATGTCGTTGTACTTCAGTTCGGCGGCCCATTTGACCAATCGATCAGTTCTCGTTTCTTGGCTCGATGAGATAGTCATTGCGGAGATTCTCAAGAGACAGGTTATATGACAGAATGAATGAATGAAATAATTCAATGCCAACTCCACGTTCAATTGAAATATGGGTGCAAAGACGGGTAGGGCACGTCAGTCACTTACTTACTTCCCCTCTTCCGAGGGTGAGATGGCTATTCCCGAGGTATACAACTGGGCCATGAAGCCTATTTGAGAATATACAACGAAAGGGCTTTGATATTGTATAGACCTTCATCCAGTCAGACTATAGCTTCTCAATAAAAAGTATTTAATCCATATTTGTATGAACAGTTCAAATAGCAGGACTGACATAGTAGACAGCATATAGCCGACTTATTCCTAATTAGGAATATTGATGCCTTGGTTGTAAGGCAGAAGAAAATAGAGGTTCAGGCAGTAATATTTTCACAAATGCATAACTAACCTTAATGCTTAAATTCATAAAATGATCAGTCAAGTAAGGGGGCAAGCCACCTGGGCATGAAAATGTAGTTTTCTGTTACGCATTACCTTCGAGGCCACATGCATGTTTGTTGACCAGACCAGATACAATCTATACAAAAATTGAGAACCACTGAATACAAGTCCAAGATGAATTCATTAAATAAGTGAAGTGAATAAATGAAAATATGTAATGCATAGAAATCCTGGAATCGGGAAATTGATCTGCGCGCGGATCGCCCGGGAAATGGCGCCCCTGGGCCGTCTGCGCTGCCATACACCCAGCCTTTTCCTCTTCCCTTGCTTTGCCCGTATATATACCCAACCACATTTCCATCGCTATTTTCATCTCAATAACGCACATTCTTGGCCAGAGGCCCTAACACACACTCATGGTGTTCGCTTCCCGTTTTCTCCGCATTCCGCGGCCAGAGGTGAGTCGAGATCAAATCTTATCCATTGCCCCCGGAGCTAACTCATTTCGTCACTTCAAAAGTCCTTTCTCTATGTGATGAGCTTAGAGACTGGTGCTTCATTGATCACCCTTTCACTCCTCTTGAATAAAATCAGTGGCCTCTATGGCCTACTGGCCCTTTTGACCGGCTACCACCTGTCCCCCGTACAACTGTCAATGTACCTTTGGTCCCTCGTTGCCCTTGGACTCGCCACACTCCTGTTCCCACACATTCGCAAACAGTCACCTCTACAATGTCTCGCCCTCGCCTACCTCTATGTATTCGACAGCCTGATTAACGCCGCCTACACTGCCGCTTTCGGTGTGACTTGGTTCTTAGTGGTATCGCAACATTACGACAGTGGCAAAGCCGCAGGTCCAGGGGGCGACACGATCGCCCAAACCGCTGGCTTCACCAGCCCCAAGTACGATGCGGCCTACGTCGAAATCCAGAACACAAAAGACGGAAACAACTTCATCGCTCATCCCCCGCGTGCCGCCGAAGATCTCAGCAATGTCGTCCTGCAGCCCGAGAGTCTCCCGAGCATCATCTTCATCTGCCTTCTGTGGGTAATCCGCGTCTACTTTGTTCTTGTGATGCTCGCTTTCGCACGCCAGGCCCTCCGTCTCTGGGTTGCGATTCCCCGGCACACCCAACTCCCGACCCACAGCCGCAACGTTTCAGTCGCCAGCGTTGCCGATATCGATCGGGAGCCTTTCTCCCCCTATAGCCCCGACGGCCAGGGCTGGAAAGGCAAGCTGGGTCGCGTGATGATCAGCATCGGCCACAGCTATTGGTTGGGCGAAGAGGAGGACGGTAACTGGCTCAGCGGCATCAACCACAAGTTCCGCAACCGTTCGAACAATACGGAGCTGCCTGGTGCACTGGAAAGAGAGAGGAGACGACGTTCTGGAACGGGCCCCCAGCACCGTCGCCATCTATTGTTCGATCTACTGTCCTTCAGCAGCCAATTCCTGAGCATGCACCTGGTGGCATGAATGTGAAGATGCAAGATTGGAACGCACCTCGATAAATGATCTCTTGGCGGCTATTGAACAATATTAGTCGCAATTAATGTACAGCCCTCGCTTCGACTCGGCTCAATGTCTTCAACCCCCTATCTTCCTCCTGGCTGTGTGCACCGGATGCAACAAATTCGACTGTGCCCATCCAGGGGACACAATCCATCTTGGCTCTTGTGTCTGTCCCGTCGTTTTATGAGGTCACTGAATCGGATAACCGATCATTTGGCTTCATTTGATACTCCACCATCACGAAGCCCGAGCCCCTTTTGCTCGATACTTACGACAAACTGCATATATGAATTGGGAACGGGTCCAGGTATATGGCGAATGATTAAATCACTCTGTGTCATTGATCGATATCTGGGTCCCCCCGTCTTGGTCTGGAAGGTGTTTTAAATCCCATGGGGATTGGGGCGCTTTAACTCAAAATGAGTCTTGGTTGATGGCCACGCTCATGGTCGGTCCATCTAACATCCACGATTTTGGCGTCGGGACATGGATATGTATATTGCTTATCTGAAATGGGGGTTCTGCATATTTCCCCGCGAGGGTTTCATGTCTTGTTTTGTACACAATTGCTTTTGGACACACCTCACATATAATATCAGTATAATTTCTTCTTGGTGACGATTTAACAGTGTGGTCAGTAATACTGAAATATTCGAGTGTTTCTAATTCCGAAGGCTATGAATGCTTCTAATACTAAATGAGATTTGTAGATTAAGGTTTTTCTTTTGATAGGATTCTCTACCTTAGATGCACTCGGCCGAATTATTAGAATAATGCTGATTGGCTAGAATCGTGGTATACTCGAGCGAGATCGGTGAAGACCTTTAACCTTCGGCATTTGACCGGTAGTCTTGTTCTAGCAGGGATTGCCTTCAGGTCTTTGGATAGTCGAGCCCTAGAATAGGCTGAAAACACGGGAATATCCCGAATAAAATGCATTTATTGGGCATGGGTAATTGCCGTGGTGCTATTGGTACGCTAAAAGCATGAAGAAAAAATACCTAATCGATGCTCTATGAGTTAATCACGAAATAACTCGGGATTATTGGACTTCCCATCATCCCGTGGATCAAACAAATCCCGTCACAATCCCGAGATTTAAGTATATTTCATAGATATTGATGTAGTTCTCTTAAGATGTCAGGTACCGCACAAGCATCTGGCAAACCCCGACGCTGACGTGCTCGACGGCATCACGGGATCCCCCGCACTGAGCCCAAAACGGAAAGTTTGCATCTCCGCCGCTGGGTGTTTGCACTGATGTCGTGATCGAAGACCAATCAGCAGATTGCTGATCTAACCCCCGACGACGGAGAATTGAGCGAGCGAGGGAAAGAAAAACCACTGGATCTTTTTTTTTTCCTTGTTTAGAAAGATAATTCCAAGAGAGCTGAGAGACATCATATTTAATTGTCTCCTCTCACTTGTTACTATATCTCTTCGGTTCTGTGCTGCGAGTGGGAGATCGCCGCATACATACTGATAAGATATATCGCGATTTTATCATCCCACTTCCTTGCTGTGAGCTCAACAGCCAATAATCGCAAAAATGGTATCTATTTCAAGCGCTGCTGAAGCGGGTAAGTAATTTGCTATTATCTCTCATCCTTGAAAATGGAGGGCAATGGCTGATCACCATGCGATTGTATAGTGGCGAGAATCGCCTACCTCACCAGTGATACCGTTCTCTCCGTGCAGCCCTCGTTGCAGAATGACTCATTGTTCTCCAAGTCGCTTAAGGCCCTCAAAGCTAACAAGACGAACAACCTCTCGTCAAAAGTCACCGAGGTGAGTTGGAATCGTTGGGGTTGCGAGACCGGAGCCCAACTAATACTATAACCAGGTCCAAGCTGTGCGCTATAATGAAGATCCCCTCCTGTCCGCCTTTACCCCCCTTCAGAATGGCGAGACTACCTCCATCGTCACCAGCTCTTCAGTCTTGATCACCGCCGTCCCTCACCTTTACCGTCTCGCCAACAGCCCCGTGGTTGTTCACGTTGCTCTGGAGCCATCTCCGTTCCCCGATTTCTCCGTGATCAGCTCCATCCGCCAGTCCGGTTTCACATTCCTCCACTCAGAGACCGTACAAGAGGCCCAGGACATTGCTATCACAGCCCACGCGCTTGCTCAAAAGTCTGGGAAGGGTGTCATCCACTTCTTCGACCCCTCTAACTCTGCCAAGGACCCCTCTATTCCCGAGGAGGACGTTGAGGTCGTGAAGAATGTTCTCAACGTTGGTGGAAATGCTGCCAACTCTGCTGGAACCGAGACTCTTTACGCCGACTCTGGTCGTGTGGCCACTGTCACCGCAGAGACCGTGGGTACTTCACCAACTGGTCAACCCGAGCCAACGAACTTGACCGTTCCCTCTCAACCTCAAACTCCTTTCAACGCTAGCGTTGACAACTCATCAGTTGGCTCCTCGCGGAGAGATAGCAGTGCTGGCAGTGAAGCCCCGAGCTCGACCGCGACGACTGTGGACAGTGCCACCATCCGCCCTGTTAACGCGGGCGATATCTTTGAATGGACAGCCCAGATTTGGAACACTTTGTTCGAAGAGGTTGGCCGCAGATACAATGCCATTGAGTACACTGGTGTTGCTGATGCTAAGTCTGCTATCTTCGTCTTTGGCTCTACCGGAGTCTTTGTGAATGCTCTCGCCAACGCCAGTGCCAACCCGGAACTGGAGAACATTGGTCTGATCACTGCTCGCTTGTACCGCCCCTGGGTCGGTGGACAGATTTCCAACTCTATCCCTAGCTCCGTTGAGAAGATCGCTGTTCTCGAACAAGTTCGCAAGACCACCCGATGGGGTCCTTCTTTCATGGACCTGTTGTCCAGCCTGACGCCCTCTGGCGCTCGCGCTCAGCCTCCTCAAATCGTCGGGTACCGTCTCGGATATATCGAGCCCTCTACTGCTGTCCAGGCCCTTCGCGGTGTCTTGCAGAACCTAAACTCCGCTTCTCCCATCCAGAACCTCGACATCGGAAGCTCTCAGGTTCCTACTGTTCAACACGCTCTCGAGCAGCCTCGTATTGAGAATGCTTACTTGAAGATCTTGAATCAACTCTTTGGTGAGCGCCTCCACATTGCCAACCAGCTTGGATCCAATAATGCTGGTGTCTCAAGTACTATTGCCGCAAGCCCCGAGTTTGGATTTGGTTCGCTGCTCGCTCGCCAGGAGCACCGTCAGCGCTTCATCCGGGAGGTTGAGGAAGCCACCAAGTCCAACGACTTTGCTACTGACGTTCCCAAGACTTGGTTGTCTCGCTGGGCTCTGAATGTGAAGGAAGCCGCTAAGGCTAACAAACTGGCCCCTGATGTGATTAGTCGCCTCTCCAACGATGGCTCCGCGATTTCCCGCCAACTCCTCCAGTCCAAGAAGCTTTTCTACGAGGAATCTGACTGGCTGATCGGCTCCGATGCCTGGGCTTACGATTTTGGCAACTCCGGTGTTCATCACGTTCTCGCATCTGGTGCGAACGTGAACATGCTCATCATCGACTCCCAGCCCTTCTCTGAACGCGCTGCATCTGACGCCACTCGCCGTAAGAAGGATATTGGTCTCTATGCCATGAACAGAGGTAACGCATACGTCGCCTCGGTCGCTGTTTACAGCTCGTACACCCAGGTTCTTCAGGCCATGTCCGAGGCCCAGCAGTTCAATGGTCCCTCGGTTGTTGTCGCCTACCTGCCTTACAACCAGGAGAACGACTCGGCCCTTACGGTGCTGCAGGAGACCAAGAAGGCCATCGATCTCGGCTACTGGCCCCTGTACCGCTGGAACCCCGATAACGAGGAGAAGGGCGAGCCAAAGTTCTCCCTTGACTCCGAGCGCATCAAGCGTGATCTTGAGGAGTTCCTCCGCCGGGACAACCAGCTTACCCAGCTCATGAACCGCCACCCCAAGTACGCTCCTGTTCTCTCTGAGTCTTATGGCACTGAGGTTCGCGCTTTGCAGAAGAGAAACGCCAAGGACTCTTACGAGAAGCTCTTGGATGGTCTGTTCGGTGCTCCTCTCACCATTCTCTTCGCATCCGACGGTGGTAATGCTCAGAACATTGCTAAGCGTCTTGGTAACCGTGGTCGTGCCAGAGGCCTGAAGACCATGGTCATCGCTATGGATGAGTTCCCTCTCGAGGACTTGCCCACTGAGGAGAACGTTGTTTTCATCACCAGTACTGCAGGCCAGGGTGAATTCCCTGTCAACGGTCGTAGTCTTTGGGAGCATGTGAAGAACACCGGTGATCTCGACCTGTCCACCATCAACTATTCCGTTTTCGGTCTTGGTGACAGCCACTACTGGCCCCGTAAGGAGGACAAGATCTACTACAACAAGCCTGGCAAGGACCTTGATGATCGTGTCGCCTTCCTGGGTGGTCGCAAGCTCACTGACATCGGCCTCGGTGATGATCAAGACCCGGATGCCTACCAGACCGGGTACTCCGAATGGGAGCCCCGCCTGTGGAAGTCTCTAGGTGTCGATAAGGTGGAAGGTCTCCCCGAGGAGCCTGCCCCAATCACCAACGAGGATATCAAGATCGGCTCTAACTTCCTTCGCGGTACCATCGCTGAGGCTCTTCTTGATGAGAGCACTGGCTCTATCCCCGCTAGTGATCAGCAGCTGACCAAGTTCCACGGTACATACATGCAAGATGACCGTGACCTCCGTGATGAGCGCAAGGCCCAAGGTCTTGAGCCTGCCTACAGCTTCATGATTCGATGCCGTCTCGCCGGTGGTGTTGCCACCCCCAAACAGTGGCTGCAGATGGATGCCATCAGTAGCTCACACGGTAACGAGACCATGAAGCTCACTACCCGACAGACTTTCCAGTTCCACGGTGTGATCAAGCGCAACCTTCGTGGTGCCATGCGTGCCATTAACAACTCCATGATGGACACACTCGCTGCCTGCGGTGATGTTAACCGTAACGTTATGTGCAGTTCTCTCCCCGAGCTGTCTTCCTTCCATCGTGAGACCTGGGCCATCTCTTCCAAAATTAGTGAACACCTGCTGCCCTCAACCTCTGCCTACCACGAGATTTGGTTGAAGGATGACAACGACAAGAAGGTCCAGGTTGCTGGAGATGCTGTCGTTGACCACGAACCCCTCTACGGTCCTACCTACCTCCCCCGCAAGTTCAAGATCACCATTGCCATTCCTCCTCACAACGACACTGATGTCTACGCCCACGACATTGGTTTGATTGCCATCAAGGGCGCCGATGGCCACCTCGAAGGCTTCAACGTTCTGGCTGGTGGTGGTATGGGTTCCACTCACAACAACACCAAAACCTACCCCCAGACTGGTCGCATGTTCGGATACATTCCCGTCGACAAGGTTCACCTTGCCTGCGAGAAAATCATGCTCGTCCAGCGTGACAACGGTGACCGCAAGAACCGCAAGCACGCCCGTATGAAGTACACCATCGACGATATGGGCGTTGACGCTTTCCGAAGCGAGGTCGAGAAGCTTCTTCCCGACGGCCTCAAGTTCGGCGAACCCCGCCCCTTCGGGTTCAAGTCCAACGTCGACACCTACGGCTGGATTAAGGATGATACTGGTCTCAACCACTTCACCTTCTTCATTGAGAACGGTCGTATCGAGGATTCTGCCGATTTCAAGATGCGCACTGGTCTTCGCGAGCTTGCTGAGATGGGCAAGGGCGAGTTCCGTCTCACCGGTAACCAGCACCTGATGATCTCTCGCATCACCGACGAAGACCTCCCCGCCATCAAGGAGCACATGGCCAAGTACAAGCTTGACAACACTGCTTTCTCTGGCTTGCGTCTGTCTTCCTCTGCTTGTGTTGCCTTCCCTACCTGCGGTCTGGCCATGGCAGAGTCTGAGCGTTACCTCCCTGTTCTGATCTCCAAGCTCGAGTCCACCCTTGAGGAGTGCGGTCTTGCTCGTGACAGCATTGTCATGCGTATGACTGGTTGCCCCAACGGTTGTGCTCGTCCCTGGCTCGCCGAGGTTGCCTTTGTCGGAAAGGCCTTCGGTGCATACAACATGTACCTGGGTGGTGGCTACCACGGCCAGCGCCTGAACAAGCGCTACCGCTCTTCCATCAAGGAGGATGAGATTCTTGACATTATGAAGGGACTCCTCAAGCGCTACTCTCTTGAGCGTGATACCGACGGCGAGACCCCTGAGCGTTTCGGTGATTGGTGTATCCGCGCTGGTGTCATCAAGGCCACCACCGACGGACAGAACTTCCACGATGGCGTAAGTGATTCCTTCTATGGTATCCACACTATTGATTCTAATAATTTCCTACAGGTTGCCGAAGATGAGGAAGAAGAAGAGTAAATGCTGAACACAGCAGTTACACACATAATCTCCGATTTTTTATGACTCTCATGGGATCTAAAATTTGCTTTCTTCCCCTTCTAATTGTTGGAAATTCTCATGTCTCACGTCGCAATGCATTGATATCTTGGCGATTATATAATTCTATGCAAAAAATGTTAGATTTCGTCTTTTTTCTCTTTTATTCCCTTTCTTCATGTGAATTTCAATGACAGCTTAAGTCTGCTCGTACATATATACTCAAATGATATCATTTTCCTATCACCTTAGAATCATTTAAATATCTTCTTACCCCCTAAGGCATCAAAAGGTGGCAGAAACTCAACCGTGGAATCAGGACAAGGGGCGCTGGTAACCTCGGGAAGCCGATGCATCGTTGACATCACCTGGGCATCCCCGGAGCGTCTTTGGCCTCAACCCTCACAGCTTCAATGTTGACCTTACCTTTATCATTTCTTCTAACACTTTGGTTAATGCCCATTTCAGCTTCATAAAGTTGATCAATATGAACTCTCTGTTAGCGCCTTTCGCGCCACTGCTCTATCTAATTCCTCGGTTTCGTCAAGACCAGGACTGGTCGTATCGACAGGCACTGACAAACACGTTCATGAAAGTCTTTCTACGCATTTTCGTGGCATTTCGCACAAAACCACCACTTTCCCTCAAGCCAGGTCTAGACGGAGACCGCTTCGTCGTGATAGAGCCAGGAGGACCAGAGCTCTACACCGGCATCACAGTAGATGACGAGATCCAGCCAGTGCCTATAGGAGGTACTTGGTTCCCATCGCTCTACCAATACAACACAACAACCACCCAAGACAAGCCCGTCGTCCTTAACTTCCACGGCGGCTCTTACATCATCGGCGACGGCCGCACATCATCCTGCCAGTTCCTCGCCAACAGTTTGCTGGATCACACACCAGTAAGCCACGTCTTCAGCGTACAGTACCGACTAGCCTGCAACCCCAACGGTCGTTTCCCCGCCCAACTCCAAGACGCCATCTCCGCCTACTCATACCTACTCCACACCTTACACATCCCGGCATCTCGCATCGTTTTCAGTGGCGACAGCGCAGGTGGCCACCTCGTCCTCGCACTCCTGCGTTACATCAGCGACTATGGCGAAAAGCAGATCCTCCCACCACCAATATGCTCGTGGCTTTTCTCGCCCTGGTGCGATATCCCCGGCGCCCGCAACAAGGATCTCTGGAAAAACGTTCCCAATGTGCATGCGGACTATATCCCCCCTTCGTTCCCTGCGTGGGGTGCGAAGCATTTGATCGGTAACCTAGATATCACTAGTGAGTTTGAGCCGTATCTTGCGCCGCTCTGGCATCCCTTTGTTCTTCCTTCGCCTGCTTTGATTGTTTCCGGTGGCAGGGAGGTTATGAATCAGGAACATGATCGGTTGGCGAGAATTTTCGGTGAAATGCAGCAGAATGAAGGTCGAGTGGAGTATTTTGTGCAGGATCATTTGCCGCATGATATACTCATGGTTGCTTGGATTCTGAACTTCCGAAAAGAGGCTCATATGTGTGCTGTTAAAGCTGGGGTGTTCTTGACGAGGATGCAGGCCATGTCGGAGTGGGATGGAATTGAGGTTCCTTCTGTGGCTTTTGAGCCACGATGATGTTGCTAGATATGCCCTTTGGGTGTACCATATTGCTACCTATTGTAGTTGGGGACATAGTCCTCCACTCCGTATTAGCCTTGCCTGCCCTTCCTTTCTTTTTGCAGTTTTTATGTAAGCATTGATGTACAGAGGTTACGAGCAGCAGATAGTTACAGACTGACAACCTTGGAATACACACTCCTACACCTCTCTGAATTCACTTTTTGGACTGCCGTCCCAATTCTCTTTGTATGCCCCGGTTGGTATGAAGCCGAATTACGAGTGCTGAATCGACCCGTATGCCAAAAGAGCATACTGCCTAGATAGTTCCCCTCTTCACTATGTATTGCTATTTGAGCTGAACTTTCTGAACTCTTGACCCTTAGCTCTACCTGTCAGAACGACAGCTGTTTAGAGAGACTCTCTACGGAATCTCTTGGGCTTATTAGAAAGGCCTCTTGGTAGTCACTTCTATCATCACAGCTCTGTCTTTTTCATCCATTTGTTTGGTCGAAATAACCAGGAAATACCGCCTTCCCTGAAATCTTCAAATGTTTTTCAAATTGCAGCGATTTGTTTGTCAGTGACCACGCAGTCTCCAGCTTCTTCAGACATTAACCCCCCCCCCAAATCTTCTTTTCTCCTTTCAATCTCTTTTCTCTCAACCAAGACTCTGTACCCATCGTAACTTACAACCTGCACCGAGGCTCCTATTCTCGATACTATCTATCATATTCAACCTAACGCTGATCAGCGCTGTGATCTCATACAAAGTCATTGGCACTATCGACAATCGATCTCCATCGCCCCTCACTCTCAGTGCGTTAATGCTTTAACAACGCCGGGAAAGGCCCAGAAAATCCGAAGACGCGTACAGCTATATTGCCACCGGGCAGTTCTCTACGCACCGTCGCGGTCGAAAATGGCACCTATCCCCGGCATGATTCGCGAAGCGGTTCGCTTTGAGATCCAGCATGGCATAGACTGGACAGGCTATGGACTGTACAGCAAGATAACGACAACTGACACGCACACTAGCTACAACAAGCTCGCAGACCTCTCTCGCGAGCTCCAGGAGTGGCCCTTTTTTCCCGTTGTTATTGCCAGTGTTCTTTTTGCGATTATCATGGTGGGAATCGTCGCCCACTTTTGCTTTTGGGGAAGACACAGGTACGTGACGAATACCCTACTTGTGATTGCGCGGGGTCACTGATTTGAGTTGGTCATGCAGGTATCCGCGGCAAACTGCATCTCCCGAGGATAAGATGAAGACGGAGGACGTTGAGTACCTGGATACGGTTGAGGAACCCCGCTCAGGTATGTTGAGACATACATATGTCTTGCTATGTGCCCAGCTCATGATATATAGATGGCTGGATGTGTTTCATTCTGGCCTGCCATGCTGCCATTACCCTCGGTGTTGTCTGATGCGGAGGAACATATACAGCTGTTGGAGAACAAGACAGTCAGATGAATCCCCCCTGTTCTCTGGTTAGCTAACGATTCTCCCTGGGACTGCAGTTTTGTGAAACTTGAAGGTAGGACTACAAGTCTGATGCTTGTGGTCTGAGCCTGATGTGACGATTTATTTATGAGACTAGATCGAATATGGGTTCCAGCGTTTAGGAATGGATATTTTTTATGATTGGGGAAAATAGCCCACTGGGCACAAACCAAGTGGAGGAATGTATGTGTAGTCTAAGTCATTATCAAAAACAGAACGTGTTAGCTCTATAGCATACATATATGTTAACGGAGATCGTTCAGGACTCTGTACAAGTAGACGTAGGGACCATTTAGTTATAGAGAGTGCAAAGTCCAAAAAGACCAAAACAAATAGAAAGAAAGATATTTGCGACTACCCCATTCGGGGGCATTTCTGTGTCGACTTGCGTATTGTTGGTTGCCCTAATCCAAAGGAACCGCTTCAATGGTGACCGATATGGTCCCGGTAGGATGAATCCGGCAGCCCAATTTGGCTGGCCTTCATGTCCCTCTTCTTTGCGACTATCCCATTCGGGGGTATTTCTTTGTCGACTTGCGTGTCGTTGGTTGCCATAATTAAAAGGAACCGTGAGTGTCTGCAACTCAAGGAAACAAGGGGGAACTGGAGCGAGATAAATTTAGACCAGCTCTCGGCATCAGTAAGAAATGGCGGTGAACCGATAGCTGTCTTTCTGCCACATCCCCGCCGATGAATTTCGATAAAAAAAGCATCAGTCCAAGTTGTTCATCTTGCGGCAATTATTACGAGTTCCCTCGGTTTTTATCACTCTTTGTTCATCTCAGATACTTATTCACCTTATCGCCATGACTTCTTCCGATGACGACCCTGTCGTCGCCTCATACGACGTCCTCCTCACTGACTCGGATGTTTCTCGCTATGTCTTCCAATACGTTGATCGAGAGCACGACCGTCCCTACAATGACCAACAAAATCAACGACCGATACAACTTCGACTTAAACCGCGCACCGGTCTTATTGAAGTCGAAGTTCCAATCAGCACCCGAGAAAACTACGACGTTAACAAGGGAATGCGCTACGGGGATGCGGTAAAGAAGAGCCGTTCCGCACGCGATGGGGGCGCTTATGGAATGGCAGGCGGCTTCACTGCTGGCAGCGGGACTGCAGCTGCAGGGGGGAGAGTCAAAATGGAAGCGAATGGGGATGTGGAGATATTGGATAATAAGAGGGCTGTGGATTCTGCATCATTGATGCGAGTGCAGTCACTTGGAGGTCGGATAAAGCCTAATGAAGAAGGCGATCCCGTTTACATGCTGGCCACCTTTACAGATAGTACGTTGGTTTTGCTCGATTGCTTTCTTGCCTGGTGGCAACATTCGATTCTAACGTCCTTCCTTAGAAAACTTGCATCTCTCCCCCGTCACATCGGTTGTCCAATTCCACCCTCAACTTCACCACCTGGATGCTTTAGATGAGATGCCGAAAGGGAAAGGCTCACGTGCCAAAAAGGATGATGATGACCGTCCTACCGAGAGCGAAGCACGTGCAATTGATATTAAAGTCAAGGCCGCTGAAGATGGTGAAGCAGCTGCAAACGCCGGCAATCTAGACCTTCTTAAGCAAATGCAAGATGAGAAATGGAAAACATACGACTGGGTTGACGCCGAGGTATGTTCTCTCTTTGCTGGACCTTCTTTGATTCTTGTTTCCCACTAACTCTTACCGATCCCAGGCCGAGGATTCTTGGTACACATACGAGAGCTATATGATTCACAAGGATACCGAAAACCTTCCGTCCCTGGAATCAAACATCGAGTCGGAAGAGTACCTCGATAAAATGAGTGCCCCTAGGATCGATCCTGCCCGCCCCGACATGACTGGTTGGGCTATGAAGGAAAATCGCCGGAGGCAAAGAGACGGCCAAGCAGTTAATGAGGCCGAATAGCGAGGGGTTACATTGTACAATAATCCGAACAATCCATTTCTAGCGGAGGCTCATCGTCATCTTCAAAAGTATTTGAATGCATTAAGGACAAAATCATGTCTGCTCACATTAGTTTAAAAAGAACCATGCGAAGCTCTATACCCAGACCTTGCCACTCATACTTGTCCGCCAATCACGATAAGAGAATGGGTAGGGTCACGTGCCATGTTCGGTTTTTCTGCCATCTCCGTTTGATCGCGACAGGTCCGATAAATGTCCCTTTCACCCGTTGCCTTCGTGTGTTTTTTTTCCCCTTTCCTTCTTTTTTCAGTGTGGTCGAGGGTTGCAGGACAGCGTGTCAACGCGATCATTATCCGTCTTCTATAGCGGAACATTCGCATTGGTCTCACTCAACATCCATCATTGCGGTGTTCTGTTTTTCTGGCTATCATCGTTGAAAGTCTGCATCTATCTTATAATTTACCCTTAATATCCTTTTCTTTTGGAGTACTCATCGTTTCATTCGCTTTCAACCTCCAACCTTCGATTTCCAACCGCCAAAAACGCCAGTTTCATGCACCATGTTATCCCGCGTGGCTTGTCAAAAAAATGCTTTCCTTCACTTGCGGAGGGCTCAGTCCTTCCGAGCATCGTTCCATCTGCCGACAACACGGTCACATTCGAGTAATCGGAACTCACTTTTAAATCTGTCGTCCAATTCGATTCACGATCGCCCGCGCAATCCGTCTCCGAAATCAGAGCGTCATCTTGCTACAGCCGCCGACCATTCTAGCATCGACGGGCATTCGTCCGAGACTTACGACCACTTCATGCACATGCCCTTTGAGAGCTTTGATACATCATCCCTGATCATCCTCGACTCGACGCCACAATCACAATCAAAAATTTTCCGAAGGAGGCATGGTGTCGGCGGTGATGAAATAGAGATGAAGGCCAATCTAGAGCTCTCATTGAAGATCGGGGAATTCGAGCGAGCCTCTAAGTTGATTACTCGCCTTGGCCATTATCACCCGCCTGGCTCAGATGAGTATCTCGTTATTCATAACCGTTTCATGAAAAAAATGGTGGCGTATATGATCCTCAACCGGCAGCAAGACATGATTTTACCGTTGCAGAAATGGTTCGAAGTTGATATGCCTGCCGGTGGCGTGACACCGGATGCAAGCAGTTTTGCGATTATGATTCGAATGGCGCTGCGTATGCTTCATGGATCGAAGCGCGACAGAACTGTTCGTCGATACTGGGAACTTGCTCAAAACGCGGGCTTAGAGGAGGAGCTTGTCGGCATTGAGGTTCTTGAGGACTCTGATGTTGGTGAGCTGTCTAAGGTGAGTTTACGCTTCTAGTTTGTGCCCTGGAGTCCTGCTGATGTTCCCAATCTAGATTTGCTCCTCCGACATGCTGGACTTGGTCTCCAAATATATGGACTTCTCCGAAACTACCGAAGCGCCTTCCGCCATCGCCGATAATACCCCCCAGGTGCAAGCTGCCGACCAAAGGGGATTGGGACTGGCATCTCTGAAACAGTCTCTGTCTCTTTTCTCAGGCAATTCTGACGTACGCTTGCCCGAAAATTTTACTGGCACCGAAGAGGAAGGAAAGCAATTGCTTTCAGATTTGAGGCAAACACGACTTGAAACCGATAGTCTCGATTCGGCCCTCTGGCGTTGGCGCTCAGATAATGCGGAAAGACAAAAATCAGGGTTCAACGTGGCTTCTGATGAGAAAAAGCTCAACAGAATCATGAGCCAATGGCACGCGGACCTTGTGAAAAGAATCAAGAAGGAGTTGGTACTCGTTAAAGAGACACTTGCGGCCCGTATCAAAAGTATTGAGCAAAAAGAGCGCTGTGAATATGGTGTGTTTTTGCAAGCCCTCGATCCCGACCGGTTAGCTGCACTCACTCTCTTGTCTGTGATGTCTACTTTCAGTCGCCAGGGGATGGACAAGGGAATCAAACTTTCTATCCTCGCTTCAATAGTTGGAAAAGAGTTGCAAGATGAACTGATTGCCGACACCTATCTGAAAAAGACTAAGTCTATGGATCCGAGTCGTCTCAAGGCACTGAAGCAGACTCTCGCAAACCGCAAAGACAAGCAAGGCCGACTTCGATGGCGGTCGCTCGTTGAAAAGATCAATGCGGAAGATGAATCTATAGTCTGGGGCTCTCGCTCACAGGTCAAAATCGGTGCTGTTTTGATGAGCATGTTAGTCGAAGTTGCGAAAGCCCCTGTTTGGACCGAGGATCCTGTCACCAAAAAAAGGATTCTCAATATGCAACCAGCCTTCGACCATTCTTATCAGATTAACTTCGGGAAACGATCCGGTCATATCCACATGAATAGTAGACTTGTGGAAATCGTTGCCAGGGAGCCACCCGCCGAGCTGTTGGCCCGTCACCTCCCCATGGTTTGCAAACCTAAACCATGGTCAGGGCCAAGAACTGGCGGGTATAAGATATACGAGTCCAACCTAGTGCGCACTACTCCTGGTGAAACACTACAACCTGCCTATCTCAAGGCGGTCTTGAAAGATGATGGGCTGAAAGAGATCCGAGCAGGCCTTGATGTTCTCGGTGCCACTGGATGGAAGATCAATCATCAAGTTTTTGACGTGATGCTCGAGGCTTGGAATAACGGGGGAGCTGTGGGAAAGCTCGCCCCCTTGAATCCAGACCTGCAGGCGCCAGAACAACCAAGTCCAGACGCCGACTACGCAACCCAAAGAGAGTGGCACCAAAAGATTCGTGAAATCGAAAATCTTCGCTCTGGGTTTCATTCTGTTCGATGCTTCCAGAACTTCCAGCTTGAGGTAGCGCGAGCCTTCCGGAAAGAGGTCTTCTATCTGCCCCATAACATGGATTTCCGCGGGAGAGCTTACCCACTCCCTCCTTACATGAATCAGATGGGGGCTGACAATTCAAGAGGGTTGCTTCTTTTCGACAAGGGCAAGGCACTCGGGCCATCTGGCATGCGCTGGTTAAAAATTCAGATTGCAAACTTGTTTGGATTTGATAAAGCGAGCATGTCTGAACGGGAGCAATTCACAATGAACAATTTGGATGATGTTCTTGACTCTGCCAACGCGGGACTCCATGGACGACGGTGGTGGCTCCAGGCTGAAGATCCATGGCAGCTTTTGGCAGCGTGTTGCGAACTGCGCAACGCCTTGCAGCTCTCTGAGCCCACGGACTATATCTCCCATCTTCCAATTCACCAAGATGGCTCTTGCAATGGACTTCAACATTATGCCGCTCTGGGTGGTGACCGTGTCGGCGCCCAGCAGGTCAATCTTGAGCCATCTGATCGCCCTTCGGACGTCTATACCGGTGTGTGTGAATTTGTCAAGGAAGCCATTGCAGAGGACGCAGCCAATGGCCAGCATTTGGCTCAGCTTCTCGAAGGCAGAGTCACCAGAAAGATTGTGAAGCAGACGGTCATGACTAATGTCTACGGCGTGACCTTTTTGGGGGCGACGAGACAGGTCAAGAGGCAGCTTATCGACTATCTCCCTGATCTCAGCAATGCAGATAGGAACAGCGCGGCTTTCTACATCGCAACAAAGATCTTTGGCGCTCTCGGATCCATGTTCAACGGAGCCCATGAGATCCAGTATTGGCTTGGCGATTGTGCCCAACGCATTACACAGTCTGTGACACCGGAGCAAATCGAGGAGCTCACGCAAGCAGCATTAGTACCCAAGGAGGAACGCGACGATGATTATTCGTCATCCACTGATCCAGAGAAATCCTTCAGGTCGACTGTGATTTGGACGACCCCACTGGGTCTCCCAGTGGTTCAGCCATATCGCACTCGCAAGACGCGGCGTGTTCAGACTAGTTTACAAGACATCAGTCTCGTTGACCCCGGCTCTGATGATGTTGTTACAAAGCGCAAGCAGCTTCAGGCCTTCCCGCCGAACTTCATCCACTCTCTTGATGCCACACACATGATCATGTCCGCCAATGCATGCCATGAAGCGGGCCTAACTTTTTCCGCTGTCCATGATTCATTCTGGACCCATGCTGCCGATATCGACCAGATGAACCTCATTCTTCGAGATGCCTTCGTTCGCATGCATTCCGATGATGTTGTCGGGCGCCTCGGCGCTGAATTCAAAGTGCGATATGGCAAGAATATGTTCCTGGCCAGAATCTCCCGCTATAGCCCCTTGGGTCGGGCGATCTTCGCGCACCGCAACAGCACTAGGATTACCAAACTCCAAGAGTTGATCAACGAACACCGACGGCAAACTTTGCTCAACTCGGAAGATCCGGAAGATCAGGCCGAGGGTCGTGCTATGGTGACACCCTGCAGTATATTTGAAGAGTTGGGGGGTACAGACTCTGACCTGACTACCTTCAAAACAATGGGTACAAACTCAATTGGGTACATTCCAGAAGTTATTCCTGATCCGGAACGGATACCGATAGGATGTGCAATCGACACCAACGATCCGGCCATTGAGAGCCTGGTCGGCGACCTCGAGATGTTCGAGGCGAAGCAGACCTCCCGTGGCGATATGTCCAAAGTAGAGGATGATGTCCATGGTGAACCCTCCGATCAGACCGATCCGTCCGAGCAGTCCGAACAGAATGAGCAGAACGAGCAGTCCCAGAGCTCTGCGCAGCCAAATAATAGGTCAGCGCGCCACTTAACCACGTGGTTATGGATGCCTCTGAACTTTCGCCCCGTCCCCAAAAAGGGCGACTGGGACCTGACCCGAATTCGTGAGAGTGAATACTTCTTCTCATGATGCTCTCATCTCTCTGGGAATTACCGCATTTCCCTGGCGTTTATGCATACTTTCACATTTTTGTTTAGCCATGTCCGGAGTGCTGTGGAAGAGTTACTTTCGGACTCATTTAGCAGACTTTTAATTTCCTGTATATTTTCTGCCCGATTTATTTTCCGGGCTTTCATTGCATCTGTACATTACACATGGGGGGAGAAAACAGTATATACTATCTGTATGAATATGATATCGAACCTGCAGAGCTACCCTACAAATGTACCTTCGACTCATCACAACTCTGCATAGACCTAACTAATCCGAACTTTAAACCAAATACCCGGAGAACTTGCAATGTGAATTTAGGCAAAATCCAAAAGCCAAAAAAAAGCCAGATAGTGGCCCAGCTACGCGGATCTAGCCGCTTTGGAACGTCTCCAGCTCCCTATGGAACAAATGTACAGTGTATAATTTGCCGAGCTTCCAAAGCCATTGGTCAAGCTCACACATAATTTAACATCATGTATACCTGTACCCTGGACCCTGTAGACCCGGCACTTGCGAATGTCCGATATGCATAAGGAGTATATCCGGAGCCCCTGTATGTACTCCGTACCTTAATGTGCTTTGTCCTCTTCCCCCCGGTGCCAAGACCGGGGTATGTGACCGTGGCCAGATGAGGGGTTCAGGTCCGAAGACTTATGCAGACTCGCCACATATTTACGTATGCTAATTCGAATCCTCCAGGGCTGGAATACGGAGCAGCGGTGTTTGTTGCAATCGTGGATGACTAGGACGTTGATCGGGGTGAAATGTGGGGAATACGGATATAAGCGAAGGGTGAAAAGGGGAGTTTGCAGTTTCAGTTGAAACAAAAGGCGTCTTGAGTAGAAACAGGTTAATGATCTGAATATAAGTGTATTTAGTGTTTAATTGATTTGCAGAGAAGAGAGAGAGAGAGAGAGAGAGAGAGAGCTACATAGTACTTTGTATACTTCCCTATAACTATACCACAGTGTGACACTCATTTCCATCTCACCGAACCACGTGCCGTCGCCCCCGCCTTTACAGGACAATTTCCCCAGATCTTCTAGTCTTCTGATCTTCTGATCTTCATATTTCTGATCTTCGCATTCCTGACCTTCTTTTGATTCTCTGAGATTTTCTGATCTGGATTTGGCCTTCTAACCTGTGTGCAAACCAAGCTTGGAAGCTTTGGGCTGCGCCGAGAAAGAGAAAAAAAAAACGTCCCGAGGTCGCCCCGTTCTCTCTCTTTCTGCAATGCCGTTGTGACTTCTCGGTCACCCTATACACTACATTTGACTCAATCTTTTGATTCTGATAGACTAGAGAGTCTAGGTCCCCTTGATCTGTCCCTCTATGTCGCCATAGCCCTGTTTTTGCCTCCTCGGAGAAGCATGTCAATGACCTCCCTCTCCTCTTCCAATTCCTACTCTCCTTTTCCCTCACAAGCCGGACGGATGACACAATCCCAAACCCCCGGGCTGGACACGCTTGCGGAGGGGTCGCAGTATGCGCTGGAACAGCTCCAGTTGGCACGTGAAGCCGATGCTGCCGACATCCCAACCGATCCCGGTAACTCGCTCGACTCGAAGACGTCGCAACATTCCCAACATACCCTCTATAGCGAACAAAACGGTTCCAATTCAGGTCTCAAGGATCCAGAGTTGCGCGATTCCCTTGCCGAGGCGCGCTCCGCTATTCGCAAAAATTCATCTGCAACCCCAGCCCGTCGGAGAATTAGCCGGGCCTGCGACCAATGCAACCAATTGCGAACCAAGTGCGATGGACATAACCCCTGTGCGCATTGTGTTGGTACGAAATTCTTTTCCCCGCGAATCCTCTCCATTTGCGCATTAGTTCAACTAACAGTTCCCAGAGTTTGGACTCAGCTGTGAGTACGCCCGCGAGCGCAAGAAGCGCGGGAAAGCGTCCAAAAAGGATATAGCCGCCACTGGCATTACCGACAGCGACATGGGTGGCAACGAAAACATAACGCATGTCAAAAGACAGCCCTCAAACGGACAGTCTTTGCACGAATCCAACGAACATTACGATCGCGCCTTTGATGCCGCGCGGACTCTAACTGAAAGCGCACAATCTCGGTCGCATAATGCGGAGGTGGCCGGCTTATCTGCTATGCGCCAAAATCAAGCTCCCATCCAAGCACCTTCTCAGCAGCAGATGAGTTCCAACATGGCGGGAATGCCATTCAATAATTACGCGGCGCTCCAAGAATCCCACCGACCTTCGATGTCCGTGCCAGATATGCGCTCTATACAGATGATGCAAAACTCGAATGGGAACCCACGGTCGCCGGGTTCAATGCTTCATTCTCAAGGGTTCGGTTCGGGATATAATGATGGCACATACCCTTTGATGAATGCGCAAGATGCGAATCCGAGCTCCATGAACCACTTCCGCATTGGAAACTCGACGGAGAACCCATCGGCTTCTTACATGGGATTCTCTCCTCCAGCGCAGTCACCTAGCTGGTTGCCACTCCCTTCCCCATCACCCGCAAACTTCCCTTCCTTCAGCATGCCCCCTTTCTCCAGCTCACTGAGATACCCGGTCTTGCAACCAGTTCTTCCGCACATTATGTCTATAATCCCTCAATCTCTAGCCTGCGACCTCCTTGACGTCTATTTCACCAGCTCATCGTCCTCGCATCTTTCTCCGTCATCACCCTATGTGGTTGGTTATGTCTTCCGCAAGCAATCGTTCCTACACCCCACAAAACCGCGAGCGTGCACCCCTGGGCTTCTTGCCAGCATGCTGTGGGTGGCAGCTCAAACAAGCGAGGCTGCATTTTTGACATCACCCCCCTCAGCTCGAGGCCGAGTTTGCCAGAAGCTTCTGGAGTTGACGATTGGCTTACTCCGGCCACTTATCCATGGTCCCGCCACTGGAGAAGCGTCTCCCAATTATCCAGCTAATATGGTAATTAACGGGGTGGCTCTCGGTGGCTTTGGGGTCTCCATGGATCAATTGGGTGCTCAGAGTAGTGCCACTGGCGCGGTGGATGACGTCGCTACGTATGTTCACTTGGCGACTGTTGTCTCTGCCAGCGAATATAAGGCTGCAAGTATGCGATGGTGGACAGCTGCCTGGTCTCTTGCGCGAGAGTTGAAACTCGGCCGCGAATTACCGCCTAATGCGACGACCCGTCAAGACGGCGAAATGGAGGGTGAGGGGGACATTGATGTAAATGGCAACAAGAGGCAACCGTCCTCTTTACTGGGCCACGGCCCAGGCAACTCTGCGATTAATCTCACAGAGGAAGAACGCGAGGAGCGCCGGCGGATCTGGTGGCTATTATATGCGACAGATCGTCATCTGGCCCTTTGTTACAACCGACCCTTGACATTGCTGGATAAAGAGTGCGAGGGATTATTGCAGCCGATGAACGATGATATCTGGCAGGCAGGCGACTTTTCATCTGTCAACTACCGCCGTGCTGGCCCAGCCTCTGAATGCACTGGCCATAGCATGTTTGGATACTTCTTACCCCTGATGTCTATCCTGGGTGAGATTGTGGATCTGCAACATGCCCGTAATCACCCACGCTTCGGTCTCCATTTCCGCAACAGCGGTGAGTGGGAAAGTCAGGCCATGGAAATCAGCCGGCAGCTCGATGTCTACGCCCAGAGCCTGAAAGAATTCGAGGCTCGATATACCAGCTCTATCGCCCTCGGGGCCGGTGAGGTTGACACGGCCATGGAAGGTTCCAACATCAACCACGTCAGCCCGTCTGGTCGGTCTAGTAGCACGGTAGGATCGCATGTGAGCGAGTCCATCGTTCATACGAAGATGGTGGTTGCCTATGGCACCCACATCATGCATGTACTCCACATTCTGCTGGCCGGGAAGTGGGACCCGATCAACTTGCTCGACGATAACGATCTCTGGATCTCTTCTGAGTCCTTTATCACTGCCATGGGCCATGCAGTCAGCTCTGCTGAGGCGGCCTCAGACATTCTGGAATACGACCCCGATCTAAGCTTCATGCCCTTCTTCTTTGGCATATATCTCTTGCAAGGTAGCTTCTTGCTACTCTTGACTGCGGATAAACTGCAAGGAGATGCCAGTCCCAGCGTTGTTCGGGCCTGTGAAACAATCGTGCGAGCGCATGAGGCTTGCGTCGTGACTTTGAACACTGAATATCAGGTAAGATTTACCCGTGACCAAGCCTTATGTTTATAGAAACTAATATCCTGCAGCGAACATTCCGAAAAGTGATGCGCTCGGCGCTGGCTCAGGTCCGGGGCCGTGTCCCAGAGGACTTCGGCGAGCAGCAGTCACGTCGGCGCGAGGTGCTAGCCCTTTACCGCTGGAGCGGCGACGGCAGCGGCCTCGCGCTTTAGCAAGATTACCGAGTATGCTGAGATTCCTGCAGCTGCTACTCGTCGTCTTGCTTTTGGATTTTATTTTACCGTTTTCTTTCCCTTTGATTTTGATTCGATTTGCTCCTGTATACTATACTTCCTGGATTTTGGACATACCCCGAGGAGCGAAAAGGTGCACAATTTTTTGGTGTCTATATATTGACTCGGCACATACCATACCTACTTAAATATTGGTTTTGATTCATTTTGGGAATATCCTGCAAGTAGAACGAACGTATTCCTTTTCTTTTCTATTTTCCCTCTTAAGGGGCCCATCTCATTAGACATCAGGAAGACCTCCGGAGGTCGCTGAACGGTTTATCCAACTCCAACAGATCAATGCCCATAATATTGAGCCATAGAAACTTCGTAATTTCTATTTTTTTTTTTTTGGCTGTTCTTTAGTATAAAAGTGGAATTTGTATCATGTGATGATGCTTATTTTGGACTCCGCCCAAGCTCCGATCCTCTTGCTACACCTCGTCAACCTCAACCACCATCTTTCCCAATAAATGACGGTACTCGAGATCACAAGAGCAACAAAATGAAACCCTATATTGGCATACCTCTCGTGGTTGGACTTGTCTATCGAGCTTGGTCGCGCAAATCCCTTACCCCGCTCGGCCTGGTCGTTGCGGGATGTTCAGCCTCCGCGCACGCTCTCCACCCATGGTCGGCACCAGTCGCGCTCCTTGCGGTATTCTATTTTGGCGGAACTAAAGTTACAAAGGTATGAAGCTATCCATATGTTGAGTGAAGCTGCATACTATCCACTCTTCAACCTACATCTATGTTATGGGCGCAGCTTACAAAATGGTGATGATAGGTAAAACATGAGGTCAAGTCGCGTTTGACACTCTCCGCAACCGGTGCAGAAGGCGGCGAAGGCCCCCGGAACCATATCCAAGTCCTGGCGAACTCCGTTGTCGCTACCATATTATCAATCGCTCATGCGGTTATTCTGGCCAAAACAACAGGCACCGAATCGTGCTTCTCACTCGGTCAGAATGCGGCTGATATCTTAATTGTTGGGATTGTAGCGTACGTCACTCAACTTCACATTACATGTCTGCACTGTCTGTTCTAGAGTATATAACTAATATGTTCCTCTTCGCAGAAACTACGCCGCTGTCGCCGCGGACACCTTCTCCTCCGAGCTCGGCATTCTCTCGAAATCCAAACCCCGCCTGATTACCTCGTTGAATCTCCGTGAAGTCCCGCCCGGTACAAATGGTGGTGTTACCGCGACTGGTCTTGGGGCTGGTGTACTGGGAGCGTTCATTGTTTCCGCGACATCTGCTGCGGTTCTTCCGTTCTGTGCCAGTGCCGGATTGAAGGATCGGGCTCTATGGACCATAGCTATGACTCTTTGGGGTACATTGGGCAGTGTTCTTGACAGTGTTCTTGGTGGGCTGTTGCAAGCCAGTGTTGTCGATAAGAGGAGCGGGAAGGTTGTAGAGGGGAGTGGTGGCAGGAAGGTGAGTTCACAATTATGTGTCCTTGGCCACTATGTACAAAGTTCTAATCCAGTTTTCTAGGTCCTCATTCACCCTTCCACGGGCAAGCCGGTTGTTCCTACTGACAGCACTGCCAAAACCACCGGCAGCATACATAACGCTGCATTGCATGGCATCCAGGTGACAAACAATGTTCAGGAAAGTCAGGAAAGTCGTCGTCTTGAAACTGGTCATGACTGGCTAGACAACAATGGTGTCAATCTCCTCATGGCTGCGACTATGAGTGTTGGGGCTATGGGTATTGCGCAGTGGTTCTGGGGGTTGGATGTGTTTGAGTTGCTGGTGTAAATTCTACAGATATTCTTCAGTCTGGCGGAATATCAAACTAATTCAGGCCTCGAACATGCTTTATCTGGATCCTGTTTATTTCTCGGATTGGATTAGATCATAATTATGATTAATATCTGTCTTTATCTCTCTTAGTCTTTTGAATGTCTCTGCTTTGAGAAGTGTGGTGTAGCTTTTTGTTTGTCCCAGCTGTTCCCAACTCACCCTCTTCCCACTTTTCCTCTTCGACGAACTCAAGTCCGTATTTGTTTTCTTTCTCTTTCACTATTCTCTTCTTCTTTCGGTGTTCCCTTCGCATCTCAACAACAACACCGGCCTAATCAGGTAAAGCCAACGCGACGTTAACACAACCGACACGATTCATCACGTGTCATCGTTGGCCCTAGTTCGTGAGTCCCTTCTACGCATCACACGCGCCGAGTGTCCCTGGGCTCCATCTCGGACTGGGAGAACTGACAAGCAACAATGCATAGCATAATTTGGACGAACAGAGCACGCCAGCCAAGATGGCAACTGAAGAAGAACGCGGAATGCACGTGCGAGTCACAAAACCAAGTGTCTCTTTCCTACCCGAGACCGAAACATCCAAGACCGTCACATATGACCTCCATCACAATGACTTGCTTCCTATGTATGACTACGTCTCCCAGGAATATCTGATGACGGGCGTTGCCGTTGCAAACTCGTACTGCACACGTCTTCTTCTTCGTTGCCCTGCTGATCCTGGCAAATTTTCCGGTCTTGTCATCGCGGAACCATCTCATCTATGGGGTGGAACAACCATCTGGCGTCTCATTAATCGGTGGCTGATGCGCAATGGTGAGTTTCAATCCATTCTAGTTTGACATGCTGTCCGGGCTAATACCCGAAAGGACATGCCTGGGTGGAAGTTGATTCGCAGGCTCCCGCGACAATTGACCAGATCAAAAACGTTGATCCCGAACGCTACAAAGAGATGCACTTTATCCCCTGTCGCACTCTGGAGGAGTTTTCCAGCAACATTCCCGCCTTCACTAACGCAGAGGAGCTGTGGGATAATTACAGGATTTTCAAGGAGAGATGGTGGGCCGCAACTCTGCAGTCTCCGGAGATTCTTGTTGCTGCATCATATGCTTTGAGATCCGGGCAGCTGGGTATCAAGGCTGAGCGCGTTGTGCTAACTGGTCTTTCCCAGACTGCAGACTTGATAAGAAAGTTCATCGTCGAGTCTCCTCATCTCCGACTTCCTGATGGATGCGCTCCATTTGAGGGATTCATGCCATGCCAATGCGATGGCGGCAACCCACTTCCAGACTTGCGCGATGTAAAGATCATTGAGATTCTAGGTGAATTCGAACTCATTTATATCAGGGCACTCTACAGCGGAAGTGAACAGCCTCCCCATCGCCGTGCTGATAGCAAGTCATTCCGGCTCTACGAAGTTGCTGGTATGTCTCATCGCGAGACTCGATACCTCTCCATGGCCGATAAGAAGCGTTTGTCGGTTGTTGATCTTGAAGGTGCTCAGTGGAGCACTTTTGCCAATTCTTTCGTTTACCATGCTCTCTTCGATGCTATGAACAAATGGATTACGACCGGTGTTGCTCCTCCGCGAGGTACCACAATTGATATCGACAAATTCGGAGAGATCGAGCGAGACGAGTACGGAAATGCGCTTGCTGGAGTCAGAACTGTTCATACAGACGTGCCTACTGCCAAAATCATTGATGTTACCCCCCAGCCACATCCGCATTGGCACACTGGTAAGTTTCTCATGTCCACGAGAATTCTTTTCAATTTTTCTAACCTGATTATCATTGAAAGGCACCGAGGTCCCTTTCAAAGATGTCAAGCTGTGGGCTATCTACAAAACTGTAGCCAACTTTCGACGTCAGGCGGGAGAAGCCATTGAGCGACAGCTTGATGCCGGATTTTTGTTGCCGGAAGACGCTGAAGTCCTGCGTCGCGATACCATTGAGCAAATCTCCTTTTAAAATTGTCAGCCTACGGTATTGCTTATTTCTCATCATGGATGTGGAGTATTACCTAAATCTTGGGGGTCTGAGGTTTCTTAGGAACAAACAGTTGTGGTGACCTGCAAGCCTTACGTGCCTCGGGATGCCCTTGGCTATGTTTGGCTCTGCTCTTCTGCGATTTCAATGTCTTTAGCTAGGACTTCTTGACTATCTACTTTCATGTCAATGTAATTCAGTTCTTTGATTTGCCAATAATGATCACACGAAACCATTCTTCGCCCATGCTTTCGTTGTATCATCTGTAAATTCATAGTCTATAGTATACCTTGAGATACTTTGTTGATTCATATCACCTTGGATATTGGTTTTTGGCCCACGTACAGATCCCACAAGATGCAAAGCCTCGAGTCATCTGGTCCATAACTGGTTATATGCAACTATATAGACGGATGGACCTTTCCTATTCGGGTTGCTGTCGCTTTTATGAGGGCGCTCAGACTGGAGATCACTAAGTAGACATGAGCACGGGCCCAAAAGTGACATGAGAGTAGTTATCTAGTTCACCACTAAATACCACGACGTATGGATTGAGCTTCTTCTTGGTCGGCTTCACCCTAGGGCGCTTTATCTGAGCCTCTGCATCTAGTATGTTATGAGACATGAGGCATCTTCGCTGTTTGCTCTTGACACTGGAACAGAACGGTATGGGCACCGACCGGTCTTTATCCTCTCAACGGGAGGACATGTCGCCTTCAATATCTCCCTCTGCTTCGCTCCAAGCTTGACCTCGGTGCTCCTGCTACGTGTCTGCTCTGGCATATTCGGTTCCTCTCGCTAACAAATGCAGAGGCATTGATTCAATATCCAAGCATAGATATAAGAATCTCACTATCTTTAGGAATGAAATATGTGAGCAAAATTATGGGCCTAAACACCTAAACCCGGATCTAGAAAACGCCCTAAGTTCTGGGTAGCTGAACAGTAATGATTCTGCTGGTGATCCTTCTAGGTAATACAAGTTTCAGCAATGAAATAGAGTCATTGACAGATATGCACTGACTGGCAATGACTGCATTGTACCAGCCCTCGATCTACATTAACAGACAAATCTTCGATGGAAATAATTGACACAAAATCCTTTGCAAAGTTACAAAAATAGACCTTCCAACCATAGTGTAAATGTTGCCCGAGTGAAACAGTCTGCAGCACCCCGCTGTTAGCAATGATAATCGCTAAATTTCCCACTGCAAGACATCATTACCTAACAGAAAATGACCACTAAGGCTGTCCTTGTCCAATTCCTTGCTCCATCGCCCCCGGTGTTTTGACATATGCTGGGGCTGGTTGCTGGACCGGGGTGTACGGCACCCATTGTTGTACAGGGGGTGGCTGGAAAGAATTCTCCAGCTCCCTTTCTTTCTTTCTGCGATCACGACGCATTTTGATGAGAAGGACAATAACAACAACAATGACAGCGAGGACAATAATTGGGATGAGGATCGCTTTGAGCAAGAGCTTGACAAGACCCATGGTGAGGAAGACTGGAGTATAGGAATAGGCGGCAGAGGCTGGTATCACACAGAAGGTGACTACAATGAGAATATAATGTAGAGAGGCACTTGGGAAAAAGGGATAAACCTTGGATGGGTGAATCGAGGAACTTTTATAGCCCGATCTTCTCAACGCCCTGGCTCTGTGTGACTAGGTCATGTCGTATCAACGGGGCATGCGCGCAGTCTACACAAACATAGGGCATGGCGCAGCGCTAAATGATGATATTTGGTTGGCGATCAGCCTGTGAATGTACTAAATTTGATATTGAAACACAAGGCCGACTATTTTTTTCCTAACAAAAACAGACTTTATTGGCCTACACTAGGCGCTGCAACTGTGATTGATCGTACATGACTGAAGCTTCGGCTTTTTTTTTCCAAGGCCTGCCTGCCTTATTATGTAGCTCTATAAATGAATCTGTTTGAACTGGGGTGTATATTGTGTGACTTTGAACAGCCACTCTGCGTACGCAATAGTTGTTTGGCTCTCGATACTATCCAGAAAACAAATCAATAATCAGTAGATGAAAACAAGATACATGTAATGATTCTGAGAAAGAGAAACAGGGAATTGAGCGGAATTCTGCTGCCTGATCACGTCCCCTCGGCCGGTTAGCCGGTAATAAACTACATATGTACATGTATATCTACGTGATGCTCAAGTTAGGGTGGTCTATTATTTAAAGATAGGATCCTTTGGACTAAGATTGAAGGGGTTTGAGGCAGTTGACCTTGAAAGTGTCCTTCAGTCTGCGAGAACAACATAAAAGCTGAGTTAGCTGAATTGATCAAAACGATTTAATTGAAATTGGTACATTCGTACATTCATCTAGTCACAGCGATCAAGGCATCAACATTTACCGGAAATAGGGTTTTGGCAGCTGGCGCCTATACCGCTGCGTACACAGCGCCAAGTCTCAGCCCTACGAGGCGACTGCACCGTTGATGGCGATCCTTGCCTTTTGTTCTAAAGATAGTATTGCTTCTACGGTATGATTTTTGAGCGCTCGCCAGAAATGTAAATTTCATATGTTGTCCGAATGTAATGTATCTAACTAGAAATAATTAATCGTAACTACCCTGCAGCATCCTAAACGAAGGGTGCATCAACTGCGTCTGGGTGCACGTAGAATGCAATTGCGATTATCAGATACCTAAGAGAAATCATTAGTACTGAAGGCAGCCAGAACACTCGTGGCCACTCACGTTCCAACCAATAAAGACCCTTCGTAGTAATTCGATCTACCTCCACGAATCAAGCAGTCCATGACTATTACCGATAGGAAGAATACCACAGTTTCGAAGGGACTGTAGCGCAAGGACATGGGCTGCCCAATAACCCAGCCACACATGACCAGGAACGGACTCACGAACAATGCGATTTGCAACGTGCTTCCCACAATCACACCAACTGCGAGGTCCATATTCCCCTTGATCGAAGAATTGACGACAGTATTGAATTCTCCTGCGTTACCGACAATGGGAACCACAATCAAGCCAATAAAAGCCCGGCTCACATGCCACTTGTCTACAAAGCCATCGACGCTGTCCACCAGACGATCAGAGCAGACGGTAACCCCGAGAGTTGCAAGGATCAAAATGATACTTGCCGACCAGGGGGCCCAGAACTCGCTCTTCTTCCTCTTCTTGTTTATCGTCGACGAATAGTTCGGAGTGACTCTTCAGTTGGAAGTAGAGGTATACCAGGTAGAATGTGAGTAGGACCATGGAGGCGGCACGAGAGAGACTCAGAATGCTAGCTTCCACTTCGTAGGACTTGGATGGTATGGTTGAATAGAGCACGGATGGAATGATCAATGTTGCAGAGGAGACTACCATCAAGGATGATAGTATTCCACTAACATCCACGTTGAATTTCACCACATCTTTTGCAAAGCCGCCACAGAACAATGAAACACCGAGGATCTAATTTCCGTGTAAGTAGACAAGATCACCTGGGCAGTGAACATGCACCAAGAACAAAACCTACCAAAAGATTGCCCGAAAGGATACTGCCCACCATACTAGATTGTACAATGCTGATTTCTCCCTGCCGGACCGCAGTGATCCCCACCTGTGCAGTGACCAACGTCAGTTCTCCACCTTAAGAGAGGGTCAAACGTCCAGCTACTTACAATCATTTCTACCGCATTTCCAAACGTCGCATTAATAAGTCCTCCGACGGTTTGCCCGACGCTTTTTGCCAGCTCCTCTGTGGCGAACGACAGCAACGCAGCGAGAGGAAGAATCGCTAGGAAGTTGAACGCGAAGGAAATCGAATCGTCCCATCCTTGACCCCCCGCGATTATTCCCAGAAACACAAACGGCAGTAGCAAATTGGAGTAGCTGCATCCCAGGGTAATCTTAAGCACACGTATAACAGAGTTACCTAGGAACAAAGCGCGCTTCGAGTCGGGGTAGTTTGTGTCACGCAACTCTGCAGATTCCTCCCCGTTTCTTTCGCGTTCAGCTTCATCTCTGAGTAATGCATCTTGCTCATGGGCTGTCGCGTTTGCTTCGAGAGACCCGGCCATGATTTCAGGGTCGATCTTGGTTGGCTTTCGCAGTCGGGGGTGAGCTGTGTTATTCATTTTGTCAAGAGTGAGGAAAGAGACTAAAAAACATTGGGGTCGAGGGTCAAGGGAATGATGTATTACTCCACTGCCGTTCAGCCCTAGGCATCTGCGTATGCATTGGTGGATTGCGTAGGATTGTTCTACTTAAAAGAGCCGTACAGATAAAATACAGAAAGTTTTGGTTAATTACGGTTGAATTACATATGTAACAGTATCTGTATGGAAACATTACGGTGATACACCGAGCCTCATTTATTGACCTGTGTGGACTTTCTAAAGACGGGTGAATTCTCTCAGCTTCACCTTTTCCCTCCATAAATCATGTCTCCCGATCGAGGCTCACCTATGCTATATTGCAATTCCATCATGGCACGGGTCCACCACCACCTGGGCGTCTTGTCCTTCTTGATATCTCTCATCGGTATCACAGCAGGAGCCCTGAAGTGGAACAGTGCTGCTATCTTCGCTCTCAATATCGTCGCTGTGATTCCGCTTGGATCATGGATTAACCGATCAGTCGATGCGCTGACCGTAGGTGGCAGCCGAGTTGTCAATGAAGTGCTGAAATCAACACTGGGAAACTCGGTGGAATTAATGGTGATATCCGACCCTGGGGGGACTCAACCTTCAATTCAAACATAGGCTAACTATCATTTATCCAGATCGGAATCAATGCGATCGCACAAAAACGACCACAAATCTCCCAGTCCGTGATACTTGGAAGTGTCCTAGGCAATTTACTACTGGTAAATCCCAGTATCAAATCCAACCACAGGTGCTATGAACCTCCTCCTAATACAAACAATACCTACAGGTCCTCGGCGGCACCATCTTTGTCTCAGGCTATGACCAGAAGCGACTCCGGTTCGATCGCACCCTCACAACGGTCCTCTCATCCCTCATGATGGTTGTCTTCATCCTTCTTGCACTCCCAACCGTAATGGACGTCTTCCCATCCGCCAAAGCCACCCCGGAAGACCATATCCTCTTAACGCAACGCGTAACAGCAATTATCCTCGTCATTCTGCTCCTCACATTCCTCATATTCCGCCTCGGCACCCATGCAGCCATGTTTGCCAGCACCCCATTCAGCCAGCGAGACCAAGCTCGCAGCGGCCATCAGTCTCGCCAAAGCCAGATCGTCGAGGGCCAAATCCCGCAGCCGTATCTCGGCAAGGGTCCAGCAGCTATAATCCTAGCAGCTGCATCCGCTTCTGCGCTTGCGTGCACTTATTACATAGTCAACAGTTTGAGCGGGGCTGCTTCGATTACGGGCATGAACCAATCTTTCCTTGCCGTGACGTTTGTTCCTCTGTTCGGGAACTCGGTCAAGTACCGCTCCATTGTGTTTGGGTCCCGGTCTTACAATCAGATCGAGCTTGGGATCAGGGCGGTTATTAACAATGTGTTGCGGGTTACGATGCTTATTGCTCCGCTACTGGTTCTCGTTGGTTGGGTTTTTAATGAGCCGCTTATTCTTAGGTTTGATGGGTTTGAGGCTACAACGCTTTTGCTTGGTGTTGTGGTTATGACTTATCTTATTTCTGATGGGCGGAGTAATTACTTCGAGGGGTTGATGTTGATTGGAACGTGAGTCACTCGCACTGCTTTGTTGGGCTTATTGTTCGTCGGTATTAACTTTGCTTTCTCTTAATAGATACATGATCATTGCATTCTCGTTCTTTGTTAGGCCTGAGGTGCGGATGAATGTGATTTACCTAGGTGCTTAGATTCGTCCAGTCCTGATATATCACATCATTCGTTACTTAAAGTATCCCCTAAAACTTATTGAGGCGTCAAAACCCTTGAGCTATCTAGCGCGCGTAGAATGCCACAACTAGACTAGAGTACCTATCATTATGCATCAGTAACAGTCTTGGTGGAACTCAGTAAAATGCCCAGGGAAACTTACAGAGCTAGGAGCATGGCACCATGGATGTAAGCGTACTGTCCATCACGAAGTAGATGATTAACCACCAGGATGGCCAAAAACATGGCAACAGTCTGGAACGAGTCAAAGAAAAGCGTCATCGGTTCAGCAATGCACCAGCCGATAATGACCAAGAATGGTATGACAAACAGACCAATCTGCAAGAGACTGTCGATGATAACCCGGATTGCAGAGTCTGTGTCTCCTGTGCGAGATGCTGCAATGACAGTAACCCCTTCGGTGCTATTGCTAGCGATTGGAATAAAAACGATCGCGATAAATACTTCAGAGACTCCGAGAGTTTGCACTATGTCGCCGATGCTTTCAAGCAGGAGTTCTGTGCAAAAGACTGTGGCGGCCACGGCTGTTATCAATCGGATAATTGATGAGATTAAGCTGGCTCGATTGGGTGCGAATGATGAATCTCCGTTGTTTTCATCATCACTAGTTTCGCTCTCATTTGAAAGGAAGAGGTGTTTGTGAGTTCCAAGGTAGAAGTAGAGGTAGCCTCCGTAGAGTGCGAGCATTACCAATGACGTTCCTCGTGAGAAGGATAGCACTCTGTCATCGATCTCGGATACTGGAAAAGTCGAGTAGAGAGCCGTTGGGAGAAGCATCGTCACGGCTGTGATCATCATCAAGGAGGACAAGGTCTTTGCAAGAGCGCTGTTAAACACTAAAACCTCCTTGTTGTACGAAGCTGTGACGAGGCAGCAGCCGAATACCTAGATTTGGCTGTCAGTCGAATGATATGGCCACCATGGGGCCCTCATAATGTGAGGACTTACAAGCAGAATATCCGAGAGAATACTGCCAACCATGACAGACTGCGCAAATGGAATCTCGCCATGAACCAGAGCCAGAATGCCAGCCTGAACTGAGTGAGCATTTTGTCATTTCGATATTCGGGGCAATAATTGTGGCTCACCGTGAGTTCTACGGTATTTCCGAATGTGGCACTGAGTAATGCACCTTGCAGCTCTCCGAGATGAGCAGAGAGTTCATCGGATGAGATAGAGATCGCTTCGGACAAGAAGATAATGGCGACGATATTCACCACGAGAACTATGGTCGGGTTCCAATGAAATATCTTTGCAAGCCCGGCCAGAGGTAGCAGTACCATTATTGGCCATCCATAATTGATATTCAGTTGATTCAGTCCTGTTTGGGATGGCATCTTGAAGAAACTCTGGATGCGAGTCCAAGGGTCTATATCTGCATCTTGGATTTGCTGTTGACGCTGATGGCGACTGGATTCTGGTCCACAGGACTCTGGCTGGGTGTCTCGGCGAGACAGCATGGTAAATCTGGATAAACTTAGGCTCTCTTAGAGTGTTGAAGCTTAAGTGAAATGTGACCCGAGGACCGGGGAAACATGAAATCGGGACAGTTGTGTTTCAAACGTTACCACGGTACAGATACGGGTACTAGTAACTTTCAGCCTTAATTAAAGTTACAGCCCTATTACTAGCGCCAAACAGTACTGTGTCATCTCCACTGGGGAATGGGGTTGACGCGATAGGGCTGAACCGGCATTTAGCCGTTTGGTACCTGCAATAAGTGTATACGTACAGTATACAGCTTTCAGGCAACAGCATTTCTCGGTATTGGTCTCAGCCTTATGGATTGACCTATAAAATATTCGAAATATCATGTGGAATGACGATCGCCATATTAATTCCAAGGTTTCCAATTATTACTCGGGGAACACCGTACCCCTCTCTGCTCTGTATTGTCATTAATCGGAGCATTCGTGTTCCCCCCCCACACCTTGGCAATGCGTTCACTGCTCATTATTATCTTCTTCTTTCAGTGAAGAGTCACTCACATACCGGGCAGTCCTGTCTTCATCACAATCAACCCACCTATTGACAACTCCGAACCTCATCCGATACGGGTAAGTTATTAAGAACCCGCCTATCAAATCATCCACACAAACAACACCCTGCCCCCGGAGTTGAATGATCCTTGTTGCCCTGCCTGTGATCTATGGACAAACACCCTCCCTCCCTCGAGTCGCTCCAGAGGGAGGTCAGTGAACTCACAGCCATATACCATGGCCGAGGCTGGACGACCGAAGCAACAGACCTGGAGTCGGCAATGACGGCAGCGGGGAATCGGGTACTCGCAACAGGTGCGGATTCTGACGCAACGACAATAATTCTTGAAGAGTTAGCCACATGCGTGAAGACATGGCTACAGGCCAGGTCATGGATTGTTGCGGAAGATCTAGGCATTCTGGTGCTAGACACCTGCGAGAACCTGAAGGGAGAGCAAGACTTAATGACCATGACAGCGATGCATAATGTCGCTTCGGCGTATTGGGGCCGGGGGCAGCTGGATCAAGCTTCTGCTCTCGCTGCCCGGGTAACCAAGCTGAGACAGAAGATTCTCGGCGAGGACCATCCCCAGACATTGACTTCGATGACGAATCTAGCTTCCACATATCGGAGTCAAGGGCTTTGGGCTGATGCTCAGAAACTTGATTCGAGGATTTTTGAGATGAAGAAAAAGACTATCGGTCCCAGGAATCCATCCACCTTGGCCTCAATGTCTAATTTGGCTATATCGTATGCCCATCTCGGTCGGTATGAAGAGGCCGAGTCGATTGCGCGCCAACTGGTCGATCTCGGGGAAAGGGAATTATTACCAACCGATGCCTCGCTGTTAAACTGGAAACTTACTCTGGCATCGACCTACCGAGACCAGGGGAGGCTAGACTCCGCTGAAAAGCTAGAAAGGCAGGTTGTCGCTGTTAGTCGGGAGATGCTTGGGACGAATAATCCCTTTACCTTGACCTCTATGGCCAATCTTGCATCCACATACCGCGAACAAGGCCGATGGTCGGATGCTGAGCGCCTTGAAAAAGAAGTCGTGGCTAGCAGCGAGACCGTGCTCGGCGAAACACACCCCCGAACCCTGATGTCCATCAGCAACCTTGCCTCAACATATCGCCATCAGGGTCGACTCGAAGAAGCCAAAAGCCTCGGGGGGAAAGCAACAGCGGTGATGAAAGAGGTCCTCGGGGAACGTCATCCACACACACTGGTTGCCATGGCGGATCTTGCAGTGACATACCAAATGATGAGGCAATCACCAGATGCCGAGATTCTGGCCAGCCGGTCTCTGTGTTTGATGGAAGAGACGATAGGCAAAGACCATCCGTACACCCTCAGCGCGATGGCCAATTTGGGCTTTATATACCAGTCGCAAAGCAAGTGGGAGGTCGCCGGTGGAATGGCCGAAACTGTACATTCTCGCAGGGAAAAGGCATTTGGAACGGACCACCCAGATACTGTGGCAGCGCTAGAGGATTTGAGGAGAGTAGCGTGGGTAGAGGCGGCGGATCAGAATTCACAGCGTACGTTGAATTAGACTCTCTTTTGGGCTTGGAATGTGGAGAGGCGTTGTCGAATGTCCCCAGCGGTGTTAGGTTGTATTTAGCCAGTGTTGGCTAGTGTTAGCCATTTTTAATCAATTTTTCTGGGTTTGGTGACCAATTTTCAAGTTTGATTGGCGCCGATGCACCTCTTTTAAACCAGTTGGGTCGAGGGGGTCAGCCTCGGACATTGACATGGTCTTTTCCCTTGCACAGCCTCCTTGCCAAGACTTGAGACTGTTAACAATCTCCTTGTGTGATCAATGGCGTTTGCTTTTGGGGAGTACAATAGGCAGCATAGCCTTGTGAGAAACTTAGTTGCCTGTTTTGGAGTGGACTTTGGCTGTTATTAAGCTGCATATCTCGTCCTCGTATGGCTAATGAGGACATGCGCCTGTCAAAGATCAGCACAGCTAGTCAGAAGAACTAGAAAGTAAGGCCTTATATTGACGACCGAGTGAATGATCTCTGATTGATTCATGCCCCTATAATGTACAGAATAGCATCAAAAGGAGGTAGGGTGTCTTCCAGGTGTCACTCTATGAGCTCAAATGGACATATCTTGCAAAGATTTGCAGTGAATATCGAGTTACAACTGGAATACTGATATCCAGTCTCATAGAATACATAATAGACCCAACTATGTATGTATTTTCCAATCTCCTAAGATACGCCAAGCTGTATTTTACAATTCCTTCCTTTTTACGTGTATTTGTATTTCGCCAGCACATGTGCACATGTGCACCTCCTTTCTGATTTTATCCATCTAATTCTCCCGATAACATTCTCCATGAAATGACGCTTACTTCGGGGGCCAATGGGTCTCATATATCTTTTTGGTCACGAATAGTAAGTTCAACGATGGGCCTGGAATGCGTCTTACTGACGATACCCAAAAGAACCCGCGATCAAAACGTGCCACGAAACAATCCACCCAATCGACTTTTTCGACCTTTCTGACTTTTTCCCTGGATCCTGACGCGTTAGGCGATCTTGTACAATCTAAAGATATCCAGGCGCTCCATGCCCTCGGTGGGGTAAAAGGTTTAGAGGAAGGACTGCGAACTGACGTCCACTCCGGTGTGAGCCTGGACGAGACCTACCTGGGTGCTCCTGCGAATGTCACTGCAAGTACCACAAGCACTACGCCGACAGAAAAGACCGCTATCCCTGAGCTCCCTGTCTCGGCAGAGCTTGATCACGATGCATTTGTCGACAGAAGGAAATTCTTCGGGGACAATCGCCTACCCATAAAATCATCCCCGAGCTTCCTGTCATTGATGTGGGCAGCCTACAACGATCACGTCCTATTCCTTCTAACTGGGGCTGCTATTATCTCGCTTGCTTTGGGACTGTACCAGACATTCGGAACCAAGCATACTCCTAACAACCCGCCCGTTGAATGGGTGGAGGGCGTTGCCATCCTCGTCGCTATCGTCGTCATTACTCTCGCTGGTGCCGCGAATGATTATCAAAAGGAGTACAAGTTCCGAAGTCTCAATAAAAAACAGCAAGATCGCAATGTTTGGGTCCTTCGGTCTGCGAGGATTCATGAGGTTCCCATCTCCGAGGTTGTTGTTGGTGATATTGTCCACATCAATCCAGGGGATATCGTACCTGCTGATGGGGTGTTGATAAGGGGCCATCAGGTCAAATGTGATGAATCCTCAGCAACTGGCGAGTCTGATCCGGTCGATAAGAGCGCTATCGATACAAATCTTCCTGATGGCTCCCTTGAGATCGACGCCTTCATCCTCTCTCATACCAAGATCGTGGAAGGCGTCGGTGCGTACCTCGTCTTGGCTACAGGCACAAAATCAAGCTACGGAAGAATCCTCCTCTCTCTCGACACCGACCCGGGTTTCACCCCGCTACAAGTGCGGCTCAGCAATCTTGCAAAGAACATCGCTCGCTTTGGTGCACTTGCGGCGCTTGTGCTGTTCGTAATCTTGTTTATCAAGTTCTGTGTTGGCCTACGAAATAGCACTGAATCTCCCTCGGAAAAGGGACAATCCTTTTTAAATGTCTTCATTCTCGCCTTGACTGTCGTTGTGATCGCAGTCCCGGAAGGACTTCCCTTGGCAGTTACACTTGCGTTGTCTTTTGCCACTACCCGAATGATGAGAGATAACAACTTGGTTCGACAGCTCCGAGCATGCGAAACGATGGGACAAGCCACGGATATCTGTTCAGACAAGACGGGAACATTGACACAGAATGAAATGACTGTTGTCTCGGGTTTCTTCAGTGCTATCTCACAATTTACTGATCGGGCTAGCAGTCCAGGCATTTTGGATGAAGAACATTCATCATCTGTGTCAAAATGCATGAGCCGTCTCTCAAGTCAATCGAGATCGCTTTTGAGGCAATCTATCGCGATCAACTCGACTGCGATTGAAAGCCAATATGGCGGAGGTCGGCAGTTCCTTGGGTCCCAGACAGAGGCCGCCTTGTTAAGATTCTCGCAGGACTATCTGGAGCTAGGTCAGCTTGACTTTGACCGTGCTAGTGCGGAAGTTGTGGATCTTTTGCCTTTTGATGCTTCTCGCAAATACATGATCACAGTTGTCAAGCTGGCCAGCGGATTATATCGATCATATGTGAAGGGCGCTCCTGAGATTCTCCTTGAGAAATGTGTGGCCACAATTGCACAGCCGATGCAAGGGCTTAGTACTGCTCCGATCACAGAGGATGGTATTGAACAAATACGCCAGACAATTTCTCAGTATGCCTCACGATCCTTGCGCACAATTGCGATTTGCTTCCGTGATGTGGAGGATTTGCCGTTCAAGGGCGAGGAGGAAACTGTTGACTTCGAGGAGCTGATGAAAGAGCTTACATATCAAGGCATTCTGGGTCTACGAGACCCTCTCCGGGCCGATGCTTGGGGTGCTGTAGAGACCAGTCATAAAGCAGGTCTCACTGTGCGCATGGTTACCGGCGACAACCTTCTAACAGCAAGAGCCATTGCAGAAGAATGTGGAATCATCAACAGTCCAGATGATCTTGTGATGGAAGGCGATAAATTCCGTGCGCTAGATGAATCACAGCAAATGGAGCTAGTTCCGCGCCTGAAGGTTCTTGCTCGATCTCGTCCAGATGATAAGCGCGTTCTGGTCCAGCGTCTGAAGGACCTCGGGAGAGTCGTTGCTGTCACTGGAGACGGCACCAATGATGCCCCTGCCCTTGCAGCTGCTGATATCGGATTCTCGATGGGAATATCTGGCACTGAAATTGCTCGTGAAGCTTCCTCTATTGTCCTGATGGATGATACATTTTCTTCGATTGTCAAGGCTATCATGTGGGGAAGAGCAGTCAGCGATGCCGTCAAGAAATTTTTGCAGGTAAGCTACAGGCTCTATCAACAAGGAGTATAGATGGGTGGTCGATCTGATATCCTTTTTCCAGTTCCAAATTACCATCACCTTCACCTCTGTGGGCCTGTCATTTGTCTCGGCGGTCGCCAACTCATCGCAGGAGTCGGTTCTGACACCAGTGCAACTCATGTGGGTAAATCTCTTTCAAGACACTCTAGCAGCTCTGGCGCTAGCAACTGACCCTCCCCCTCGCCGGATCCTTGACCGCAAACCCGAACCAACATCTACACCTTTGATTACTCCTACCATGTGGAAGATGATCATTGGCCAATCTGTGTATCAGATGGTAGTAACACTCGTTCTGTACTTCGCGGGCTCTTCTATCTTCTCCTATCACAGTGCTCTTCAAACATCACAGTTACAGACTGCTGTTTTCAACACCTATGTCTGGATGCAGATATTCAACATGTACAAGTATGTTGAGACTACTCTAATTTTTATTTTTGTCATACTAACCCTAATACAGCAATCGACAAATTGAGCGATCATTTAACCTCATCGAAGGGATCCATCATAACTGGCTCTTTATAGCAATCACCTGCGTCATGATGGGCGCTCAAATCCTGATTATGTTCGTCGGCGGGCGGGCATTCTCAATCACAAAATTGAGTGGCGATCAATGGGCATATTCCATCGTTCTCGGTGCAATATCTATTCCCATCGGGTTCCTTCTGCAAGCTATTCCCACTGTCGTTGTTGAGAAACCAATGACAGGCATGGGGAGGCTATGGGACCGCTTGCGCCGTCGGTGATTTCCCTGTCTTTACTTTTCTCTTTCTTTTGTTGATCAATCGCGCGAGCGTCTTTGAATCTTGCATGGCCATCCAGACGGAATAGCCGTAAACTAATCTTTGAATACCCACTCCTGTCTAGCATCCACTTGCTCAATATCGTAGTCCCTTATCAAGGTTGCCATTAGTTTGAGTAGCTCAAATTGGGCAAGGTTACAGCCAGGGCATTAGTTATACCCAGCTCCCCACTGTGATAGATATGTTAATCCATATTGTAAAGGGATGTAGGCGTTATAAAATGCGTTCATGGATCAAAAATGAGTCGATATAACTCGTGTCCGTTTGAGGCCAACGGTCTAGGTTGAAGCTGTTGCAATCGGCGCCGAAAATCTGAGGGTTGCGATGAAAGACCCATGCGTTGATACTGACAACCACCTAAGGATAAAGTCAACATTTGATCAAATATTAACATTGGAATCGGTATAGACCCCGTGCGGCTATTCTTACTCCTTCGGGGAAGGCAAAGAAGTTGAACCATTTGTCAAATTCTACAACCTGGTTGCTTTTGCTTAGTGCATCGAGGTGCTCTTTGAGGCAGTGGAGGATTGCGTCCACGTGGGACTCGGACTTGATGATATTTGATAGTGCAAAGCCGGCGGCTATATTGCGCGACATTTCAATGTGCCGCTTTGGGTTCAGTTCAGACATCTGGTTCACATAATGGTAGTCTGGCAGACTGAAGATTGAGTACCAAAGGCCCTTTTTGCATGAGTGTTAATATCGTAAGTGTTAAAATGTAGGATATGTACACATTTTAGCAATATTTGCATGGGGAAGCTGCTTTACTGCGTCTGGGTGAGAAGCACTGACTTCATTCTCCGAAATGCGAACAAAATATCCTGTCATACTTGTTAGAATATCGAATAAAAGGACGATAGACGAACCTACCATGCTTCTTGTGAAAATCAATCAGCTTTTTCTCGCCATGGCCCTTCCGCAAATGGTAAACCAGCCATAGTTTCGAAAAAGACGCCAAAAATGGGCCTGGTATATCTCTGATCGGCGTCCAATATTTGCGAATAATCGCTCGCAGAATAAACAAAATGATTACTGAAACCCATAGTTTGCACAAAGTGAGGAAGGCCGTTACCCCAGACACAAGTAAAGAAATTATTTCAATTGATGATATCTGACATACACGTTTCAACGCACGTAGAAGATGAATTTTTATTTTCGGGAGAGATTCGCGTGTGGGGAATGATTTGACACAGACCGTTGATAACGAAAATGGGCTGTTCACAACTTCTGAAAATACAAGCCATTGTAATATTCTCTGCCGTCTTGCATCAACCTAAGCTGGAATGGTGGAAGTGAGATGCTTTGGCATTGACCGTGCCCAGTCTTTGTGGGGCCGTGCCTTGCTAGCCGCGTTGAGGCAGACTGCAGACTTGGAGACAGGCTGCTAGCACATATCGGGGATAGTTCTACTACCTCACGATGATCTGATTTGTCAATTAAATGTTGTGCCGCAGATATCTCCGAGATTAGAGTGGAATCGCTTCTTTGTTTGGAGAGAATCCCTAGGCATGTTAATCACAAGTTAGTTGGACTGGGCAGGGTAGAGGTCTGCCTTATTACATCTGTTCGCCTCGGATTCATTTCATATTTTAGAAAACAAAATTCTTCAAATATCCTCTTGGGCACGATGTCCTCTTCTGAATATCCAGCGGCATTTTTAGCGGAGGATCGCCGCCAGCCGGCGATTATCGGCATGGCCGTTGTGACAACGCTCTCAATACTTGTCGTTCTGGTTCGCCTGTATGCTCGGGGATATCTGATCCATGAGCTGGGATGAGATGATCTCACAATCGTGGTCGCGCAGGTAAATATGCTCGGTATCTGATCACTCGCGATCTCTTGCAGGAATTTGACATCGATCTAGTTGGTCAGCTGGATAGTCTTGGGGATTTCATTGATGGCCATCCATTATGGCTCTGGTCAGCATCTTGCAGCATTGATGAACGACCCGGAAACCCTCGTGCATATGCATAAGTGGCTTGTCAGAGCTCAACTCGTGTACATGTTCAACATGGGGCAGTGTCGCATCTCGGTATTGCCTTCTATGCTCGTCTCAACCAAATGCCGCGATTCAAACTCTATCTCTGTATTTCCTTCGCTTTTGTGACGGTTGTGTATGTGGCGCAGACACTCATTGTCGCACTGCAGTGTGTTCCTCTCGCTGCTCTGTGGGGCGGCGCAGAGGGTAAATGTATGGGCTCGGATATTGATTTCATTTCGAGTTCTGTGCTCACTATCGTCTGTGACTCGCTCGTGTTGCTGTTGTCAATGAATATAGTCTTCCCGCTGCCGGCAAAGCTAGCCAGAAAGCTAGCCCTGGCGCTATACTTTGCATGGGAGGTTTTTTTGTCTTTTTATTTGTCAACAGAGAATGAAATGAAGTAGCTAATATCTCTTTAGTGCTGTTGTGTCAGTATTTGCCGCTTCCCCAATCACGGTCTGTTAACTCACAGAATATAGAACTTCCATTCTCCGAATGGTGTCCATGATAGTCGCCCTCCAACACCCGGATGACACAACTTGGTATTTCTCTGTCGTGATGGTGTGGTCTACCACAGAAATTGGTGCCGCCATCATCGCTATTTCTCTCCCGGCGTTGCGAGCATTGTTCGGAGTCTTGAGCAAAAATCGTTTGACGATGCATCACAGTGGCTCGGATAATACCGGGACAATTGGCCCATTCCTCGGTCGGCAAAGCGGCCTCTATTTGACAGACATGATGTTTATGAGGCGACAATGGATGTGAACTGGGGGACCAATCCGAGACAGGAGACCCTTTGGGGTGTCAAGGATGGGGAGGTTCGATTTGAGGATACAGTTCGCGTGGGTGTTGAGAGGCCCCTGTCTCAATAGACAAGAGTGTGATGAAGTACCTTTTCTCCGTGTCTACTCCGTACTGAGTTAATGGTTAGTCCAAAAAAGAAAATGGTTCCTTGTGGCTGAATTCTTGAGAAGCGATGTCTTGTCATTCTTTCCGCCATTCTATGACGATCGAGCCAATGAGTGACTGTCCAGTTTACCCACTTCTTCTGTTAAGGCTGACCAAAGCATTATGTTTTAATCACTTGGGAATGCCACGTGAGTGCAGGGCTCTGTTTCCCTCGAGGCGATTCCGAATCCAGCGTGGCGAAAGGCATCGCTAAGCCCGGCCAGCTGTCTGGTGGAAGTATCCATTTAGAGAACCAGGTTGAGGCACACTACCACATCATACGGGCTTCGGAGAGCAACTTCCAAGAGAACTGATTCTGACTAGACAGAAACGAGATAACTTACACCTGAAAAGCCCTCCTCGGGGATAGATTAATGCAATTGATTCGTTCTTTCGGGGAGCCTAGTTGTCATGCAAGTCAGGCTAAATTAGCCGGATCGGAGAATTGGACACATGCGAACGCCTCTAATGAGTGGGGCCAATCATGCGACAAATTCCCGTATGAGTTATTTTATATTATTATTATTCTTCGACTTCTCCAATGCTAGGTTTCAGATGTTGCAGTTCGCCGTGGTATGTACAAAGTACATAGTAGTATATGATGTACATTGCGCGCGGGTCAATCGTGCTGTTGCACAGCCATGAGATTGGCTTTCTTGGCCTGGCAAAGACTTTGGAACCAACCGAACTTAGACTCAGCTACTCTGTACTTCCTAATCTTCTTTTTGGCCACCATTTGCTTAGTGTCAAGATAGTAGATTCCTATAAGAGCACGTGTGCTCGCCTCGGAGCGCCCGATCCAGCTGGGCAACGGTGAAACCTGTACGGAGTAAAAAAAGTTAGGGATGTCTTCTAGAACAGAAACGAGCCATGCGAGTGACATTCCGGGGATGGGCCTCTTATACACCCACGTGTAGTCTTACTGTGCTCTCATAGGTAGATGCGGACCGTGCGCCCCCACCCCCGCCAAGAGCCGCAACCGTCCAATGGCCGAGCCCCTGGAGCCAATCAGATGTCATTCTCCACTGAATTCCACTGAATCTAAACCAATTTAAACCAATCTACACCTAATCGGGATCCGTTCCATGGCATGTCAATGTAAAACTATTTCCGCCCGGATGGTTGCCAAGACCTTGTCCAATTTGCTTGAGGCCCTAAGCTTGCGGAAACGAGCTTTTTATCCCTCTTGGCTAGGCCTCGTTGCATTTACTTTTTGCCAAGCCCACGGAGGATGATCGAAGGGCTTGCCATTGCGAGTAGGACCAGCACGTGTGGCCAGAATGTCCCAAACGGGAAGTTTGCCTAGGCGTCAGTCAGTATACTTGCCACAGGGTCGTGCATAGAGAGCAGAGGGGCCGTATCAACCTTTAGAATCTTCCATGCATACTTAAAAAGCCAGTCTTCTCATCTTGGTCTTGGTTTCTCTTCTTTCTCAGTGCAAACGAAAGTCCGATACTAAGCTTTGACTTGTCTTGGTACATTCCATCAAGATGACTCTCCACCAATACGATTACATCTTTGCCATCGGCACGTTGTTTGCTATGCTTGATGCATTCAACAACGGTGCAAGTGAGTAGCACAGAGCCTATCTTCTACAGATTGACCTCGACTAACCTTTGTATGTTCATAGACGATGTTGCCAATTCTTGGGCTACGAGTGTCTCCTCCCGGTCCATCTCCTACCGCCAGGCTATGGTCCTCGGTACCATTTTCGAGTTCGTCGGAGCTGTCGCTGTCGGTGCCCGTACCGCTGAGACTATCAAGAACGGCATCATTCCCAACTCAGCCTTCCAAGGCAATGCCGGCGTTCAAATGCTCGCCTTCACATGTGCCCTTGCCGCTGCATCCTCATGGGTGATGTGGTGTACCAAAAACTCCGCCCACGTCTCCTCCACCTACTCCCTCATCTCTGCTGTCGCCGGTGTCGGTGTTGCAACTGTTGGCGCTTCCAAGGTTCAGTGGGGCTGGAACAATGGCAAGGGTCTCGGTGCTATCTTCGCTGGTCTCGGCATGGCTCCTATCATTTCCGGTTGCTTTGCCGCTATCATCTTCATGCTTATCAAGTACACCGTGCATGTGCGGAGAAACCCTATCCCATGGGCCGTCTGGAGTGCTCCTTTCTTCTTCCTGGTTGCTTCCACCATTTGCACGCTCTCCATCGTGTACAAGGGTTCTCCCAACCTGGGTCTGAACAAGAAGCCCGGCTGGTACGTTGCTGCCGTCACTATGGGCACTGGTGGCGGTGTCTGCCTTTTGTCTGCTATCTTCTTTGTTCCTTTCCTCCACGCCCGCGTGATCAAGAAGGACCCCAGTGTGAAATGGTGGATGGTCATCCAGGGCCCTCTGCTCTTCAAGCGTCCCGTTCCTACTGATTCCGAGGTCGCTACGGTCCCCAACTACGCTGTGGTGCAAAATGATCCCCAGGAGTATGAATCTCACCTGCCTATCGATGAGAAGGAGCCCAAGACCGGTGCTGCCTCCATCCCAGGCTCTACCGGCTCTGCAGAGGAGCGATCCGTTGATAAACTCGAGGGCAACCAGCTCACTTACCGCGAACTCATGGCCCAGTCCGAGGAGCGTCACAACGCCAAGCTCCTTCAAAGCCGTGGTCCTATTGGCTGGGCTATGCGCCTTCTCCGGGACAACCCCATGGGCGCCGGTGAGATCTACGAGCTCCGCAACATGAAGCGCATGGCCAAGCGATTCCCTGCCGTCGTCACTGTCGGTATTCTGTACGGTTTCCACTACGACATCCACACTGCCCAGAGTGGTAATGAAGGTACTCCCGAGGGTGCGCGCATGAAGCGTGTCTATGCCAACGCCGAGAAATACCCCAACGAGGTCGAGCACACCTACTCTTTCATTCAGGTCATCACTGCTTGCACTGCTTCCTTCGCACACGGTGCCAACGATATCGGTAACTCTGTCGGCCCCTGGGCTGCCATCTACTCTGCCTGGTCCACCGGCTCTCCCGCTGCATCCAAGTCCCCCGTGCCTATCTGGCAGCTTGCTGTCCTAGCCATTTGCATTTCCATCGGTCTTTGCACTTACGGATACAACATCATGAAAGGTGAGCATTCCCTTCGTCTTTTCCTTTTTCCAATCTTCATTTTTACTAACTTGTACACTTAGTCATGGGTAACAAAATCACCTACCACTCCCCATCCCGTGGCTCCTCCATGGAGATGGGTGCCGCCATCACGGTGCTGGTCTTCTCGCAGTTCTCCCTGCCCGTTTCCACCTCCATGTGCATCACTGGCGCTACCGTCGGAGTTGGACTTTGCAACGGAACTTTCAAGGCCGTCAACTTCCAGCGTGTCGGTCTTTTGTTGTTTGCTTGGATCATGACCATTCCCATCGCTGGTACCCTTGGCGGATGCCTCATGGGTTTGGTCCTTAACGCTCCCCATTTCCTCAAAGCTTAGAGATTTGGCATTTTGGAGAGTGCACATATTTTACTTAATTCTTCTTTTGAAATACCACTTTAGATTTTGGACAGTCAGTCATTTAGGACAAAAATTTTATAAGAGTCAGTGATAGCGTCTCATCATAATATATTAGAAATCGAAGACATTAATTTCAGACCAATGTTAATACAACCTCCAACTTTCTACCATTAAGATCAAAATTAAAAATTAAATAGACACCTCCTCCCTCCCTCCTCTCTGATTTTTAGTTAGTGGCAAAAAAGACAAAAAGACAAAAAATAGTTTCCCTGGGAATCGAACCCAGAACCTTTCCGGAACACATGCTAATCGCATTTGTTAACGGAAAATCATAACCGCTAGACCAGGAAACTGCTCGGCCACTTGGGCCAATTGATATAATAAGGCAGCAGCATTGACATTATGAATGGAAAGTAGATTTCCATGTATATTCATTTCATTACTTAAGGTCTAGAAATAGCATCGTCACATTATTCCACCTCTAGTGATGAATTTGACTGCAGAAATTCATCATTACTTTATTATGCTCAAATAATTTGTTGAGAATGAGGATCAAAAGAAAAAAAAACGGACAAAACAATTCATACATATATTCTCACGAAGTTACATATTCTAGATCCAGTAGTCATGCGATTCTTAACCAATCCCCAACTTACATCTCCTCAGCAACCTTGATCAACTCATATCTTTCCCTTCGCAAGTAATCATAAGTGACAATCTTGTGACGGGCATCCTGTTCGATAGCTTTCCATTCCTCAGGAGAAATGGTGATTTCGCCATGCTGTTTCGGAAAAATGGTCATTGGGCGGCAGCGTTTTGCCAGGCCGACCTTGAAAAATCCGAGTCGGAACTCGGTCTGCTTTGTGGGTGTGTGGGGGACTCCAAACACAAATGGTTCCTTCGGACGCTCGTAGGGTTCTCCGTTAAGTGCTGATGTGAGGCCCATCTGGAAACATTCCTGTCTGAACCGGGCCCGGGCCGATCCCGGCTTGGGCATTTCGTACGCAGCTTGATCAGTCGGAACTTTGGCTGGAGCAGTGGGAGCTGTGGCCGAGTCAGCGGAAGGCTCTGATTGTTGGGTTTCACCAGGGGAGCCTGGAGAGTTTGCTGCGTTTCCATCTGTGTTGTCACCCATGGTGTCATCTGTACCGTCTGCAGGGCCTCCGCTGGGGTTGTCATCAGAGTCGTCATCAGATTCATCCTCAGTGTCGGTGTCGGTGTCATCTCCAGAATCGCTCCAAGACTCGTACCCAAGCTCTTCCGCAAGGACCTTTCCAAGAACCTGGTTTTTCGAGCTCGTCTGATTATCAATCCCTTGCTGCAGATGCTCCTCGTCCACCTTTCGTTGAATCGGTACCCTACACCGGGGCTTTATGATTTTAGTAAGTGGACGTTGCTTGATCAAAGGTAGTTGTAGCTTGAGGAGAGCCCCCTTCCAAGTCCTCAATGGTCGCTTGCGTTTGTCTTCGGTCGAGACAGAGTTGTTCGCAGTCTTGTCGAATTTAGCGTGTGCCGCGATAGCCTCCTCATGAGCACGCAGTCTTGCAGCCCGAGTATGCTCACTAATTCCATGCCTGGTGACGTCCAGAAAAAAGCTCAGGTCCTGACATTCAACGCCCTCTTTCGAATCCATGGCACAAGGGTTCGCTTTCACGAAGTGCTCATGGGCTTTGCGCATGTTTCCGCGCAGAAACTCAACTCGACCCATCCAGAACTCACACTTGGCAATGAGGAGCGAATTTCTGGATTTATTTGCAGATTGTCTGGCGAGCTTGACCATAACTTCGGCCTCGGAGGGATTTTCGTTGGCAATGAAGCTCGAAGCTGGTAAGAGATAAGTGCCAACCTCGACCCGATAGTACATGAGCAATACATCATTGGTAGTCAGCTGTTCGGGCATGGTGTTGATGATAGCTGCAAGGGCCTTGAACTTTTCTTCTCGTAAAGCACGGGCTTCCAGTATGAGCTCTTGCTCTCCCTGAGAAGAGAGAGATGTGGTCTGCCAGGAAGTCCCATCATTGCTCGCGTGGGGTATGTTGTCGGACATGATCGAAATACTGTTTTGCCCCCAATAGGGTCTTAGGGATTGATCTTGGTAAACGTGTGAAGTAGGTGTGATGGGATTGCCGTTGGAAAATGATTCAAAAGTTTCTGTCAGATAAAAGAGATGGAAGAGAAGCGTTGGTGAATGGAGATAGCAAGCGAGAAACAGTGGCCCTTATGTACCTCACAAACACGTTGACAAGAGACAACAAACGCGTTGAAAAGGTTTGATCCAGACAATTCGACACAAAGATATTTGTCTACAGGGGATACCGAGACTTGGGTCGTTCTTTCCTTTGTTTCTCTCAATCCCATTGTTAACCTGAAACTGAAACGGCGCATATTCGTTTTGTGTATCCTTTAGCTTAATTCGTAGAAGTTAAGCAAGAACTCAATAAAATGAGTTTCATGACTATGTAGTACTAAGTATTCTCCACCTAACCCTAGAGGTGTTGTTTTGGCTCGGTCAAGATATACATACGTTGTGCTTTGGATAGCTACAACTGTAGTAGGTCTGCTAACCATGTTGGGAAATAATCTAGACAAAAGTTCTTCTGTTACAATGTGCTCGAAACTGAAATGTAAACTGTGGAAATTTGGTTTATTGGTATTTTCGCCCAAGCACTATTCATCAGCTTGAGGACATTACTACAAGATATTCCCGCAACAAATGATCAACGCCACATATCTAGGGAGAATCAATCCAAGTTCATCTTGAAGGGCTGATCTACTAAAGTTAAGGAATGAGTGACAGTGCAAACCTCCCGGGTACTATACCAAGCCGCTTCGAGCATCCTACGCTCACACACCCCTCAAATAACCCAAATCTCGCTATTCCCTCCTTCCAGCCTGATTTCAAATCTCTATCTGACATTTCTGGGACCTTTTTGCCTAGGCTACTATGCGATGGCGATCAAACTAGACACGAGCCGAACTGCTTATTGTGAGAGTTATGTATCAATGAATGAACTGAAGGAAATACCGAATTAGCGACACCTACCAATAGGTAGTCTTTTGAAAATTGGCTGTATTCTCAAGATGATTCACTATCTTCCCAGTCTAATAATGCGTGGGTAGACGCTGCCGGCGAGTGATCAAACTCAGCAGCCTCTCTGCGAGTAAATTCAATGACAGCTTCCTTTTGAATCTCACGGGCCTTTTCGCTGTAGCCTGGTATTTTTAGTGCTCGTGAAAGCGTCACGTAAGCCTCCGGGAACCTTGCAAGTTTCATGAGGTTCATTCCTTTGATAAAATGAGTAATGCCGGTTATAATGCTAGATTCTGGGTTGTTCAAGACGGCATAGCAGTCGTTAATTTGCATAATCGTCTCAAGGCTCATCATGGACTCTTTATATTGGCAAAGATAGTGTTGAACGGCAGCAATAAAAAGTCGACATCGCATCTCATCAAGTTCGCACAGAAAGGGGTTATGACTAATAACCCGCGAGGCAAGTTCCATTGCAAGCTCTGGGTCATCACGTTTCCACCGCTCTTCTGCATCTACGAGTAATGTGCCACTGTATGAACAGAGCCAGATATCATCAATAGAGGTTGGCGTTATTTCTGTTGGCGAAATTGTTCTAGGAATGTCAGACAGAGATTGAGAACCAGATTCTAGAGAGGGAATAGCGAGAGTGGGGTTACTTGAGGTGGTGTGCGCGAGCATAAAATCATGCTCTGCGAGCCGCGTCTGAAGCTCGCATACTGCATTGATGGCTCGAGACAATTCTTGTTCTAGCTCGGCAAGTTTGGTATATTCGTCCTTAGAGGACCGTCGGGACTTGATGCCCTTGCGTAGACGTCGAAAAATATTGGCCATTTTGGAATCTTGTTCTGATGTTCTCAAGCTGATGAATACTTTGTTTGAGATGATTATTTCGGGCTTTATATACTCGTCCGTCGAGCAGTTGTCGGCGTGGTCCCCCATACTGATGATAAAGAAATCATTGTTTCTTTGAAAACAATTTTATTGTACTACTTGAGACCAAAAAAAATTGTTTGAAACATGCTTTGTCCCAGCCTTTTGTACGGAGTACTAAACATAGACTTGCCAACATCTCCAACGTGAAACAAGCTTCCAAGGTTGGAAGGGTGGGGATGTGACTTGGCACAGAGTTTATCTGATTTCTAATGACAACAATATGCAAACCAAGCAAAGCTCACAAACAGACAAACACAACAAACACAAACATAGCAAACTTTTACAAATGCGACAAACCGCTGCCTATGACATCACCCGCTCCCGTAAAGCCCCACCCGGGTACTCCGTACCAACACCTCGACTGGCAAGATGCAACCTCAAAGTGGAAGAGTAAGACTACGGGAATATTGATAAGCTGCTTTGGGGTATATTTGCCGCTGGCTACAGTCCTCAACCAGAGGTGGAAATACTGAAAGTTGTTTAGCGGCAGAGTGTGCTACAAGTAGTCTTACTCCGACTACTCCGATGTAAAATGGCTTAAGGGTGAGTCAATTGTTTGTCTAATCCGATCTTGTCCAATCTGATACAATAGATCTTTCCGCAATAATCCACTTACGGGATCAGGCCATGAATCTAGACTTGCGGGGGTGTTGCAAACATGTTCACCAAGACAAAAGCGGGTTAGAGGCCAATCTGTTCCTTGAATCTGACATTTATAAAGTCTGCATGGTGCCTGCATCCATGGATGTAGTGATTTCATTTATTTGCTCTCTTGTAGATCAAATCGTCATATAACAACCCGTGCACCTTATCCGCTCTTTCCGTTTCCTAATAATTTGTCAGAGATTTAGTTTTGCCAGGTACGCCGACTGATCCCTTCAAGTGTTTGGGTTTCATTCTTCTACCTTCTTTTACTTGACAAATGCCCGATATCGATCCACTGCTTTTACTTCTGAATTGACATTCATGTCCTCGCAGTCATGTCTCCTACCTTGCTCAGAAACGTCGACACGGTCGAAATTGTGAATATCCACCGGAATGACATGGAATTCTCCCTTGTGGACAATATCTACAAGAATCTGGACCCACCAGCAGGCAGACAGCGCGCATTCCCTACCCTCCTACTCTACGACACTAAAGGATTGAAGCTCTTCGAGGAGATCACTTACTTGGATGAATATTATCTTACCAATACGGAGATCGAAATTTTGACAAACCATGCGAAGAGGATAGTCGCACGCATTCCAGAAAATGCACAGTTGGTGGAGCTTGGCAGTGGGTCTGTGGCCCGTACACCCTGCATCCGTCGCCTCGCGCGCTTCGATGATCTTGTTCAAAGTTCTGACAATTTTTCTTTTTAGAAACCTGCGCAAGATCGAGATTCTACTTCGAGAATGTGAACGGATCGAAAAGAAAGTAGATTACTATGCTTTGGACCTTTCATTGGGGGAGTTAGAGCGAACATTCTCTGAAATCTCACCTGAGAGCTTCATCCATGTAGGATTCCATGGTCTCCATGGAACGTACGATGATGCTGTCGGCTGGCTGAAAAGCCCAGAAAATCGGAAGCGACCGACAGTGGTCTTGTCGATGGGATCATCCATGGGCAATTTTAGTCCCTCGAATGCTGCGGAATTTCTTGGTGGTTTTTCCAAGCTATTGAGCCCATCCGATTTCATGCTTATCGGATTGGATGCATGCAAGAACCCAGAGAAAGTGTTCAAGGCCTATAACGATTCCAAAGGCATTACTCGCCAATTCTATGAGAATGGGCTCCTTCATGCCAATACGGTTCTTGGCTTCGAGGCCTTCAAGCCTAACGAATGGGAGATCTTGACTGAGTATGATACCCGTGAGGGACGGCATCAAGCCTTTTATGTCCCGAGAGTTGATGTGGTCATCAATGGGATCAATATTCCCAAGGGAGAGAAACTCATATTTGAAGAGGCATGGAAGTACGGTCGCAACGAGCGGGATGAGCTGTGGCGTAATGCAAACCTCATTTCCCAGGTCGAATTTGGAAATTTGACAGATGATTATCGTGAGCCTTGATTTTTGATCGAATCATCACTACGGACTTGCTGACTTGTGTTTGAATAGACCTTCATCTGCTATCACCCGCTGCGCTTGATGTGTCTATGAACCCTTCGAAGTATGCAGCCCAATCGATCCCGAGTATCGACAACTTCCAGTCCCTGTGGACTGCATGGGACCTCGCGACCAGAACCATGGTCCCTCGCGAGGAGCTTTTTTCCAAACCGATCAAACTCCGAAATGAGCTGATCTTTTATTTTGGCCACATCCCGACATTTTTCGGTGTGTCTCCCTCCAATGTTCAATGTTGCTTATCGTGTTCACTGCTAACCATGCCGGAACTCAGATATTCATCTGACGCGGGCTTTGCAGGAGGAGCCTACTGAACCGAGTCATTATAAACTGATTTTTGAGCGCGGCATTGACCCGGACGTCGAAGATCCACAGCAATGCCACCCCCACAGCGAAATACCTGAGGAGTGGCCGCCACTAGACGAGATTCTGGACTACCAAGATAGAGTGCGGAATCGTGCGTTTTCAATCCTACAAGAGGGATGTGCGTCGCAAGACCGCGCTACTGGAGAGGCTCTTTGGATTGGATATGAGCACGAAGCAATGCATCTCGAGACTTTCCTCTACATGCTACTCCAGAGTGATAAGACTCTTCCTCCCATAGGAGTTGATCGCCCGAATTTTGAGCAAATCAGTCGCCAGGCGAAGATAAACGAAAAGCCAAACAAATGGTTCACCATTCCACAACAGACTATCGAAATTGGATTGGATGACTGCAACGAAGAAGTTATGCCAAATAAATCTTTTGGATGGGACAACGAGAAGCCCCAAAGAAGGGTCACTGTGCATGCCTTTGAAGCTCAAGCGAGGCCTATCACCAATGGTGAATATGCCAAGTACATACAGGAGGAGGGTATTCAAACATATCCCGCGTCTTGGGTTTTTAACCGGGGCCAAGACAATCCCATTTCCAAGGGCATCGGTTCCTCACGCGCCCAGGCCGGTTCGAGCTCCAGTCCTGCAGTATTCTCTCTGGAGGACGTCACAGTTCGAACCGTGTTCGGGCCTGTGGCTCTTAAAGTTGCACAAGACTGGCCATTGGTTGCTTCGTACGATGAAGTGGCGAGCTATGCAAAGTGCATGCAATGCAGGATCCCCACCTTTGAAGAGACCAGGAGCATATATCACTACTCGGACCAACTCAAAAGTGATCGAGTCACGAATAGCCGCAGGTATGGACAGAATCTTAGTTATGATATAACAGAAACTAACTTATAAAATAGGAATGGGATCAATGGGTTTGCTAATGGTAGCAAGCCCCACTCTACTGATCAGACTATTTTCCGTGATCTCACCGGTTGCAATGTTGGCTTTAATAACTGGCACCCTGTTCCTGTCACACCCAATGGGGATCAGTTAGCCGGTCAGGGTGAAATGGGAGGTGTTTGGGAATGGACTAGCACACCATTGATGCCGCACGACGGCTTCAAATCCATGGACATCTACCCCGGATACACATGTAAGTGATGCCTTGAGCATTGACACCGATCCCAAACTAATTGATGTCGACAGCGGACTTCTTTGATGGAAAGCACAATATCGTTCTCGGGGGCTCCTGGGCTACTGTGCCTCGCATTGCTGGCCGGACTACTTTGTGAGTATAAGCCCTATGATATTCAGCAAACTGGATCAACTAACACATTCTAGTGTCAATTGGTATCAGCATAACTACCGCTATACATGGGCGGGTGCACGTCTAGTTAGAGATATATAGATAGAGCTTGAGCAATGCTAATGTCCACGGGTACCCTGAAGTGCTCAATGACGATGACCTCATTCTGGCGATAAGACCTCAGATAAACAGCGGGGAGCGTAACGTGACTGCCCCTCATCCCTTCCCCAACATCATCTCCAATTCCTTGTCTTCTCTTCATATTAGCTGAATCATAAATACCTTGCATGATGTCGCTGGAAAATATTACGACCATCTCCCCCGCCACCAATGAGGCTGTTGTCACCCGCACCGGTGTCTCATCAGAGGACTTGAAACAGATCCCCGTGGCCGCTCAAGCAGCTTTCCGGTCATTCTCACAGTCCACAACTTTGGAACAAAGGCAGAAAATTGTGGAACGTGCTCTTGACGTCTTGGAGAAAAAGCAGGATGAATTGGCGCGTGAGGTTACTGAGCAGATGGGCCGGCCCATCGCCTATACCGGTGTCGAAGTTGCGACCGCCATCAAGCGCAGTCGTTACTTGACCCGTATTAGCACCTCCGTGCTAGGCGAGCAGGGAATTGTGGCCGGAGAGGAGGAGAAGGGTTTCAAACGGTATATCAAGCGTTCGCCTGTCGGTGTGGTGCTGATTATCTTCCCGTGGAACGTGAGTTCAATTCGTCAAGATATTGGTATACCTGCAGACGCTGATAAGTCAATATATAGTACCCCTACCTCACCCTTGTCAACAGCTTGATTCCCGCCATCCTCGCTGGAAACGCTGTTATTCTCAAGCCCTCCCCCCAGACTCCAACAATTGTCGAGCAGTTTGCCTCTGCTTTTGCCGCGGCCGGTCTTCCCGAAAATGTGCTTCAATTCTTCCACTGCGGATCTTTCACATTTATTGAGACCTTAGTGCGATCTCCACTGGTGAATCATATCTGTTTCACGGGTTCCGAAGCTGGTGGCCTGGCAGTGCAAAAGGCAGCCTCCGATCGGATTGTGAATGTTGGTCTGGAACTTGGTGGCAAGGACCCCGCCTACGTGCGGGATGATGTAGATCTCGCCTGGGCCGCTGAGGAAGTCGTGGATGGCGCTATCTTTAACAGTGGACAGAGCTGCTGCGCGATCGAGCGTGTCTATGTCCACGAGAAGGTCTACGATGGCTTCATTGCTGAGGTGAAGAAGGTCCTGGGCAAGTACCGTGTTGGCGAGCCTTCCGATCCCAAGACCCAAATTGGACCTGTTGTCTCTAAGCGTGCGAAGGAGGCCATTCTCGCGCACATCGAGGATGCCCTGCAGAAGGGCGCGAAGAACGAGACTCCTGCCAATGAGACCTTTGAAAACTTCCCTCCGAATGGAAATTATGTTAAGCCTACACTGCTGACCGGCGTTAATCATGATATGGCCGTGATGAAGGATGAAACCTTTGGGCCCGTGATTCCTGTAATGAAGGTATCGGGTGATGACGAGGCCGTTCGTCTGATGAACGATAGCGACTTCGGTCTTACCGCCAGTGTTTGGAGCAAGGACGTTGCGGCGGCAGAGAAGCTGGTTGAGCGTGTTGAGGCTGGCACTGTCTTCGTCAACCGATCTGACTACCCTAGCCCCGTAAGTTCGGCTCTTTTCATCTATTATTGTCACCCTTCGCTAATCAAAGTACCCTATAGGACCTTGCCTGGACAGGCTGGAAGAACTCTGGCCGCGGTGTTACTCTAAGCCGATTCGGTTTTGAGCAGTTTGTCAAACTGAAGAGCCACCACATCAAGGATTACCCCAAATAATCATGTGCATGTGAGATAAGTTACAATTTGTCGGTCAGGAGAATAAAATTTATTACATAGATCACTACTCCGGAATCATGAGTACAGTATCCATGGATGTCGACAAATCCACAATCTTCTTTTCTCTTACTATACAGATATGCGCCCCAAGTGAGGATAGGAAGATGCAAAAAAAAAAAAAAAGTTTTTGGACAACAATCTCGCTTTTTGCAGTTGAGATGTTTAAGGCTTACTATCCATATACTGGTACTAAAACCTGCTATTCAATGCTACTATGTATATGACACCGCCATTTTGCTCATAGAATCCTTTGAAGGGTCTCATAGCAACCCCCCACTTAAGTGAATTCTGGGAAAAATGGCTTGTAATCGTTCACCAAATCTTTGGAATATCGGTATTTTACTTCTAGCTCCTTGGTTTCTTGTTCCTAATAACATACTACGCTAAAGCAGGGCGACCATTTCGCTCGCTCTTCCCCATGCAACAGACTGGCGGGTTGCTTTCCAAGGTTTCCCGGCTATTTTAGCCTGTTTCAGCTTCGATCCTCAAATGGCAGGTGTATTTTTAGCCTGCCAACTGCCGAGGTTATAGTTGACTCACTTCTTACCCCTGTTATCAATCGAAGTTTTATCAAAAACTCGATCAACTCTTAAAGCACTCATGATGCCAGTCCCATTGTCAGAAGACAACCCTTTCCAGTCCTTAATTGCGGAGGCAAACAATGATTCGGTGAGTGGATGCGAGAATTGTGAGATAGTACCAGATAATTAACACTTCTTTGCTCTAATAATAGGGGGTATTACAATCTCGATACGAGAACCACCGAGTGGCTCGCAATGGCCAGCAAAGTGCAAAGATCCTAGCTGACAGCTTTCCTGGCTGGTCCCTTGACGAGGTTTTGAAGCGACTTGATGGCCCTGGAAAGGAAGACGGATTTGTTGATCCTCGAAACTGTCTTGTCATTTGGGCCAGACCATCGCCTCAAGTTCGCGACTTGATATGCTTTATTCAAAACGAGTTGAAGAGCATTTCCCCTTGTAAGTTCACCAATATACAATTCTCTGACGCGGAATTTCCCTTTTAGTTAACGTGAGTGGCCATAGCTCTCTGGCTCATGCCACCTGAAAACCTTCACACAACTATCTTGGAAGCCGCTCATTCTCTGACGGAAGAGCAAATCGAAGAACTTGTCCAGACCCTCCTGTCATCCAAGGACGTGACGTCTGCAGATATTGCAGCGTATCCACGCAGCCACCCTACACGTCTCATCAAGCCTATGGTAAGCTTTGATTCTGCCGCACTGGCGCTCAGCTTTGTTCCGGCTGTTGGTGAGTGCCTAGAAGCGGAATCTAGCGATACCGAGCACTACACATACCATCATCTTCGCCGAGATGTCTTTGACATGGTCCGACAAACCAAGGTCCCTGTTGCTTCGCGTTATAGTGTTCCCTCGGCACATCTCACTATCGCAAGGTTCATCTCCCAGGACGGGTTTCTGATCAGGGGATCAGATGGCGCGGAGACGGTCGATCATGCGCGTGTCAAGATGTTGGTTGATAAAATTGGTGAGATCAACCAAAAGTTGGAAAATGAGTATTGGCCCGAAGAGGGTACTATCAGGGAGGGGGGTGAATGGATTGTTGGCCAAGAGGGCCTAGTCATTCGGAGAGGCCGTGTCTGGTATGGGGGCGGCGAGTATGTGCCGCTTGACTAGATATGTGCTTGAGCAGATCAAGGTTTATTCTCCTAAGTTTAGAATGGTGGTTTTGCATGTATAGACGAGAAAAACATTCACATAAGATATATCTAGACGGCGTATGGACACCATCGCAGCTTCGTATGCTTCCTCAAAGCTATCAGTTTCTCTTTCCAATAAATCCATAGAGCCTGAGGCACGAAGCATCACGTGGTGGTACAATTCTTCAAAAATGAAGCAAAAGAAGCAATACAAACGTTGTTTAGCATAAACTCCTCTATAAAATGGTAGATATGGATTGAAAATACCGATAACACTTACTGAAATCAAATAAATCGACCGTGGTAAGCGTCATATCGCATTCAGGCTTGGTCCCACTTTGTGTCTGCCTTATAGCGCACAATTGGGCTAAAAAGGAAATAACAGCGGCCGGCTGGCCCAATGGCAAGGCGCTTGACTACGAATCAAGAGATTGCAGGTTCGATCCCTGCGTCGGTCATCTCTTTTTGTTTTTTGATAAAATTTACAATGAAGAATCTTTTTTTGCTATTGATGAGCCCAATTGAGACTTTTTGCTGCATCATTCTGGAATTCAGCCCGAAATTCCAAAGGGTTGCTCCATAGGGATGAGATTTCAACGAAGGGCTTACTTACTGTTAATGCCTTTTGATATGCACTCAACGCAGAGTCTGGCTGTGCCAAGTGCAGTGCAATGTGACCTAAAAGTCGACAAGCATGCGCATAATTCCGAGTGGAGTGGCTGATCTCGAGTGAAAAACCATATTCAAAGAAGTGGCGTGCAGTCGTCGGTTGTTCGCGTTCCCAGAGATATCTTTGCTCCGCAAATAATTCCACGTGGGCGGTCTTAAGCGAATGCGTTTCAACCAGTATCATAAGCCTGCTGACATGCGGTAGAATTACGCTGCAGGTTTGCCATAATTTCCATCCGTGACCTTGCTCATTTGTCCTTCCAATCCACGAGTTCGGAAAACTGGAAGAAAGCATTTGAATTGCACAATCCAAGAAAATCAGTACATCTGTCTCAGGCAAACGTGAGAAGACAGTAGATTGGATAAGTCGGTGTAATGTGATTGCTTTCATTGCGGGTGATCGGACAATCAGCGATGCTCTTGTTAAACTGATGATAGCATCACCAAACCTGCTCACTGTAAGCAATCTAGCGTGTGTTTTTAGGGCAATTTAAACCTACTCAAAATCATCCAACAAGAAGTTTAAAAATGGCCGAGTAATATTGTCTCTTGGGGGAACTTAATGAGATTCAAAAAAAAAGAGGAGAATAATGAAACGGTAATATTATTCGGTACTCCGTAGCAAAAGAAAGACTTCTCTGGCAGGGCAGGGGAGGGGTGTATTCCTGGTGACGCTCTATTATTATCAAATGTTCTCATCACAAATCGTCTTCACTGCATGGAATCCAGCACAAGTCAAGGGTAAGCGCCCGCCAAGGGCAACCAAGTGGGTCATTGATCATGGATGTTATTATTATACAACGTTGCACGCCTCTCTGAAGGGTCCTATGTACCTCCGGCTGATCGATCATCAAGTGTGTTTTCATTTGCAAATCGACCAATTTTACAAAAACCACCCGGACACAATCGACAGGTTCTTTTATCTAACCTGAGAATGAAGCAACATGGGATACATATTCTAAATTCAGATGCACAAGCCACAGATACTTGATCAAGAAAGGCTCGGCCCGTCATAGTACGCTATTTTATACATAACAACCAATGATCTTCTCTTGTTGATCATTTGACCCACTTCTCGATAGCGACTCCATAGAAATCTGGCTATCATGCTGATTTGCTCTATATAAGCGCCTATGCATTGGCAAGGATTCACTGAAAACTGAAACGCTAAATGTTGTGGTTAACGCGGCCTGGAGAAGTTAGGGGCGGGAATATTCAAGTTGGTGATCGATAAAAGTGATATAACTGGCCGGCTACACGGGATGATAACTGACTTATCATAGCGAATGTTGCCGTTCCATCACGACTTTATTGGAGAGAGCATGAGCGTAAATTCCTAGTGCTTTCTCGGCTTGTACGCGACTTGATTTCGGTTCCGGCCACCGGTGCGTGCGTAGAAAGACTTTTTAATAGTACGCGAGATATCTGCCATCATCGTCGAGGATCTCTTTATGAAGCGACTATTTAAGACCCGATGATGTATATGGGCTCAGAAAAGTTCACTTTGGAGGGACAGCAGTTAAGTCGCATGGAAAAGCCGATGGAGAGCGAGAGTCAAGAGGCACTTGAAGAGGATAAAGCGCCGATACTACATGAAGAGGATGCTGCGCCGATCAGCGATGATAAAGAGGTCGAAGCGAGTGAAGATCTCGAGGGCAATATTGATCCGAAGCGATATACTAAGCAGAAGGTATTTTGAGGAATCACAATAATCTCATTGTTTAAGGTATCAACAGCTGCCTCCCTCACATCTAAGCAGTCATGCCAATATTAAAGCAGCCGGTTCAGCACAGCAGCATTGACACCATACGCTGTTAGTTGTGGCTAAGGCGAGGTCATCTTTGGATCATCTGTTAAGCGTCATAGGCGACCACAGTGACAGAGCGACAGCCGCGCGTGCTTCATCGTCATGCCCGGGTGAAATTTCTGGATAGAAAATTCTGAAAGGACTTCAGCCTAGCAGCGATTCTGCCTGGATTGGCGCACGGGGCCACGAGCCTGTCAAATGATGGGATGCATTATACTAGCGTCCAATGTGACAAGTAACGGTTGGATCGAATTGTATGGTATTGGCCCTGTTTCGTACACATCTCTCATTAGCCTAGGGCCGGGCGATTTCATCTTGAGGCGGGCTCCTCCTTCCTTAACCAACTAGCTTTATGTGTGGGAACCCTGGCAATACGGAAATGGTACATCCCAAAAGAAAGGCCCCTACAGTATTTGTAGAATGGCTGAAATTGTGTAGGAGTTGGTGAAGTGCAGGGTCATAAACAGCCAGGCTGCCAGCCATATCAATCTTTCTCAAAAGTATGGTATCCAACTGGCTGGAATGAATGGGGGCGCAGCTTCGTTGAGCGGGTCGGGTGACACGAGTCAGGCACCAATGCCAAGGGGAGCCACTTCTCGCGACAGCGGTATGAGCCAGTCATCATTTGTTGCCTTACTTGCATCCAGATAGTTTGGGCATAACCGCCGGAGAAATCACTTTAACTTACAGTATAAGTAGCTCTCTATCCTCACCAAAATCAGAAGAATTCTTTCCTAATTACCCATCTTTAAAACATCTCAAGCCTTCAATTAGAAGAATGCCATAGTAAGACCTCCTACTCATGATTATCCACATGCCTCACTACAATACTGACCACCGGCAGTAACGCAAGTCGAGGTGGTGATGACTACCTTCCGCGTATGCCAACCAAAAAAGCTCCGCCAGGCTGGAAAGAACAAGTACGAAACACTGCAGTGAGCGCGACAGCTATGGATCAGGCTTTTTGCCCGCACAACAATATATACTACACGCACCAGCAGTCGGCCTACTGCACCGCGCGTCCGGCATCTTCGTCTGCGCTGTTTTGTCACCGGCTGTTTTGGCAACACCTCCGTCAATATTGCCCAGAGTGCAAGGGATCATGGGATACTTCCCGGCAACATTGTGGCTTCCACTGAAATCTTTGCAATTCGGGAAATCAGCAATCGCTCTCCAGGAACGCGGGCAGGTAAGCTGGGGACTTGATGTATGTTCCCTGGATTAGCAACGGTTCAGGGAGTTAGTAATCGCTTTCTAGGAAGTTAGTAGTCGCTTTCTAGGAACTTCGGATGCATTCCTAGAGCTTTATGCATTCTTGAATCCGTTTCTATGCATAGGGACACCCGGGCATAGAATTCACAGGTCGTATTTTTGATTATCTCTTGTCACAATCTACATGTTTGCCTATCACATGCTCCTATATGCTTGCTTGTCACATGCTTCGAGATCGTTTGCTTGCTTGCTTTGTTTGTTTTGCATTCTTTGTTTCTGCGTTTGCTTTCTTCGTTATTCATTTAATACTAGTCCTATTTGGGAAAGGGTATTGTTTGCACTGTGGGATAGCTCTGGCTATTTAATCTCTCGGGATCTACCACTTGCTTTCTCTTGCTTTCTTTTCCTTTCTTCCCCATCTTTAGTACTTTGAATTGACTATTCTTTTGTTTAAGACCTGGCTCGTCACATATCTTACATATCTGCAACAAAACATATTAAATAAACCAATATCACTCCTGTTATATCCAGCAGGAGTCAAGAATTTGTTGAACACTTTCAATATTCCTATAATAGCCCCCACTATGATCTCTACCAAAGTTGGTTAGTAGCCCAGCAGCTGGTTTGATTTATGAAGACTGTTTATTAAGTGACTCGATAGGAAGACGGAAGTCTCGCAAAATGTCTATCACTGAAGCCTTTTTGGTTCTTACTAAGGCGACACATAATGACTTGCGCAAAATCCAACAACCTCGGGTCAAGCTACGCAGCACCGATAGCACGCATACCAGTATCGATATGAGCTGGTACGACGAATGGCTCTCCCAGTAGCTTAAAAATTTAGCTCACAGTCTCGTGGAACTCCGGGTTGGGACATACACACTTCGAGACAAACGGAGCCTGGGTATTCTTTTCGAAGGCATTGAGAACTGTGCGCGTAGGACTGAGGGGGTCTCCATCGATGAAATCACGGCATATTTGCAAGAAACCGGAGTCTTTGATTACACCGACGGGCTACAGGGTTCCCAAACGCTTCTTGTATTTGCCGTCCTAGGTTGGCGTTCTATGTTATATCAAGCTGCTTTCAACGTCTGCTCGATACAAGAATTAGCTATCCATCTGGATTCCGACCAACCTCAGTCAGGTCTTGTTTTTGATACACATAGAATACCGGCTGAACTTTCCGACCGCCCTCTATCTGTTATTCTGAAAGCTTTTGGGCAACTTTTGCCGGCACGATCCGCGAATTCTCCCTATCTGGCAAGTGAGACTGGCAGCGTGGCATCGGTCTGGCAGCCCCTGCACCCCGAAGAAACAAACGCATACCTGCTTCATGTCTTGCTTCATGTTAATATACGATGGGTCGATATCCTAACATTGCACCTTGACTATGACAGAGCCACTAGGACTTTATCCCTCTTCAGATATCCGTCATTTTGTCTTGAGATGCTTCAATCACACGACTTGGTCTACTTATTCTCCAGTGTAGAGAGATCCTCTGTTGATCTTCGTGCGAATGAGGAGGATATTTCGCAATTCCTTCAAGAGGTGCTTTTATCCTATCGTCTTCTTTTTGCTCAGTCGATACCGTCAAGGAAACTTTTTCGCCAACTTTATACGATGCCAGATATGCATTGCTACCCAACCGACTCCCTGCTTTTTCGAATATGCACACAGAAGCGGATTGGACAAGCTTTGACAATGCTTCCAACTGACAGGCCACTCTATTTCGCCGCCCGAGACTTTCCCGTGTTGTATGACCGGATTGAGCTGATAGCAAAGGACCTAAAAGATGCAAGACCAAGCTCAATTCTTGGTCTGATAAGGGATAGGCGCAATGTTCTACAGTACTGGACATTTTGGCTGGTGGCTATCTTTGGCGGCATCAGCATTCTTCTAAGCTTGATCCAAGTCATTTTACAGGCATTACCAATGATGTACGCCTGAGCTTGGAGATGTATCAATACTTGTGTCATTTTATCGTGTATTTATATAGGTATAGGCAGTCTGATAATTAATACTTGTTTTCATAGTCTCACAAGTCGTTACACAGCGGATGTTAGGGTGTTGGTGCCTCAGGCATGATATGTGTATGAACCTGGGTTCTTTCTAGTTATCCTCTCTGTCGACATGACTGAGCAAATTGAACCTTTCATCTTGCCTTTTAGAGGTAAGACTGTGTACTATATCTAAAAGTAGGTCGGTCATGTGATTCAAACTTGTTGTTTTACCCCGCTCTTAGCGAACGATGTCCTCTTCTATTCCATCTTTTCCCAATATCATTGGCTCTACTTTAACTTTCCTCAACATCATATTCTCCAAAAGAAGTATTCAGCATGTCGATTACCCACATAGTTCTTTTCCAGTTCAAATCAGACGTGGCTGCTGAAGTCATTCAAGATGTACGTATAATCATAAGATCACAACCCGTCATATAAACTTAATTGTAAACGATAAACACTCCATAATGGATGCTTACAATTGCCTCCAAAGGCCTGTGAGCGTATGCTTGCTCTCAAGGACAATTGCGTCCATCCCACCTCACAACAGCCCTATATCAAATCGTCGTCTGGCGGGAAGGATAACTCTCCCGAAGGCATCCAGGTAAGTCTCCCTGAGATCCCGGAGGACGGAAAACTCTGGGTGAGGACATATATTTACTAATGCATGATAGAATGGAATTACACACGCATTTGTTGTAGAGTTTACGAGTGCCGAAGATCGAGACTATTATGTAGAAAGCGATCCGTCTCATCTGGCTTTCGTTAAAACTCTTGATGGGCTCATTGAGAAAGCACAAGTCATTGACTTCACCGATAGAGTTCTCTGAAGTTCTCAGTCACTGCTTCAAGTGTCCACATATCTGCTACTTTAATGGGACATAGAGTCTTGGCTTTTGTAGATATTGTGAAAGATAGACCGCATGTTATGCTCGTTCGTGATATATATATACCACCAATTGTTTCATGCAGCCTACGATCTTTTCTTACACAGAGGAAATATCAATAGATAAAGCTTTCTAACTTGAATATGTGTCTTGCAACAATCCAAAACTTAGGGTTTGTGCAGACCTACATTTTAGGATTATGAGCCTACTCATTGACTGACCTCTCATCCTCCCATACATGGCACGGGATAAATCTAAAGCGTTTATAGGTCGGTCCGAAGAGTGGCACGTCCTTTGCATACAAATATAACAAGATTGGATCCCCAGTGCACGGAAATACATTCTCGGGCAAAACGGCAATTCTCCAATTTGCCAGTGAGTTGATAGCCAGGAATGTAAGCCAAGCTTCAGGTTGGGAGAACCACTCTACCGGAACTGGCCGATGCGCCAATAGTATATTGTATTCAGATAGGCACCGGGTCCTCCGGCTGGAAACTCCAGATCTAGAAGAACCTTGCATTGCGAGGACTGCAATGCATACCAAACCCGGGTTTGATACTCTTTAATGGGTTAAACATTTACCAGAATAGTATACGTTGGATACCTGGAATATACATATGTAATAGGATTCAATAGATGGTTAAATTGAGTTCTCGTAATTATATCAATGAGTGTATTTTTTAGCTATTCATAGTTTCACTCGAATTTAACTCAGGGTCCGAGAATTCCCCATCCCTGCGGCTGCAATCAAGTTAGGGCTCGACTCTGTTTGCCCAGATGAAACAACCAACAACAATTATACCCGACATGGAGAGATTACAGTAAAAGATAGCCTGAATTGGTTCTTATATCTTGCATCTTGAAATTGATGACATTAGAATGCGTACTTGCGCAAAACATTCGCGGAGCTAAAATAACTTTTGTGAGCTGTTCTTTGACTTGGCATTGCTCCGATGCAAGGGAGAAGCGAAACAATAAAATCGCGCCAACCATTCCCGAGCCTCGCAGCCACCCGCAAGGTCTTTTTGTTTCGATTGAATTGATGGTATTTCTGGAAACTTTTTCGGAGCTGAGTTATTATTATAGCGAAACAAAGGAAATACGTGACAAAGGAAACCGATCGAGGAATCTGCCTTGTTTCGGAATTGCCAATATGGCTGGAACGATTTAATTGCTTTAATTGTCTCTCAGGTTGTGTATACACTTGACCTCTAAGATCAGGTCTACCAAATACCCTGGGGTCGGAGCCATTACACCGGATATGAGCACATATCTAACCCTGAGCAACAAGGTAACCTATAGGATCATCCCTGTCAGTGACGAATTGGTGATCGATTGACACGGCTACAGAATTAGTGATCGACGTGTAGCCTTGGAAAGAAATGTCTAAAATTGCTTGCCGATAACCGGGTCTCATGAACTACCGGTTTCCGAGACAAAGAGACATTCCAATTGAGCTAGTGAGATTGCATGAAAAAGAAGAAAAAGAAGAAAAATCCATTCCCTCCCAGAGCTAGGGACAAGGAATCCCGTTTTCCCGAGCTTCCAAGACCCTCACAGGGTTCATTCATGCACATATCCGGGCAAACGAGGACTTAAGGGATCGGCAGTTGGTCATTATTGAAATATCGTGTACGGAGTACGGAGTACTGGGAAAAATGGGATGTACAAAACTTTAAAGCGAGATGAGCCTCTAATCCAAAAGTGGAAAAGGGAACACCAAGAATGAGAGGGATATGTTTCGCCAGGACACGAGGGTTCTCTTTGCTTATTCTCCCTTTTACCCCTTTGGTCTGGGCCGCTTTCCACTTGATCCACTGAGGATCGAATACCAAAATCTGCATGGGTCTCTAATTCCAGCATATCTTCCCTGCAGCCTGCAGGTCATGGTTTCCGCCTGTAATGCCCACCTGCTGTATTGCATCCGATGAGTTGCAGCAGATCGTGGGTATATTGTCCGCAGAGATATAGATACCCGTAGAAATGATCGTCTCGGGTGATAAACACTTGAATTCCTAGTAAGAGCCGGAATAGGTCAAAGGGACACCAAGCATTCGGAACTCTCTGTCCAAAGCCAATCCCATGTAATCCAGTCCCCAGGGAGGACCCGCTGCTGCCGCCAGGGGAGCGAACTGCCAGGTTGGTCTCCTGCCGCGCCTGTCATCCTGTCCATGCCAAAGGAACGGCTGTCGCCTAGCTCAACCCGGGCCAGACTGTGGATCGGTTTGTCCTTGACACGCCGGGAATAGCATAGATGTGCATAACTCCGTACATACTAATATATGTACTCTCGCCCGGCCTGTCTTTTGACTCTCTCATTCTCTAAACACACCTCAATGGTGTAGAGCAGTCATAGCCTTTTCCTTTCCTTTTCTTTTCTTTGGGTGTTGTCATCCCCAGTCTCTCGTTTCACCTTGTCACCCGTTGTATAGTATTTGTTTCACCTCCAAGCGTTGCCTTTATTTCTTTCACTTCCTTGTTCACATTCAAGGACATCCTAGCTGGAATCGCCATTGTTCCAAGCTCCTGCGAACGGCCTAGCTCTGTATAAGAGCTCCTTGTCCACCGATCGGGTCAATCGAAACACCATCAATCCAACATGGAATGCTTTCGGCAAATTTTTCGGTGCCTGAAAGCGCCTTTCAGACGCGAAAAGGGAAGGATTATTGAAATTGTAAGTCGAGTAGAAAACTGTGAACTGGATTGTCGTTGCAAAGACAGTCGCTAACAAGTTTATGAAACAGGGTCCTCCCACTAACTTCCGAAAAGAAGAATTGCCTGCTTATTTCTCTGATGCCGAGTCAGTTTTCTCGCCCAGCCAAAACCCGACAGAACGATCAGATCTGACCAATCAATCACAGGACGCTTACGTCCCAGGACAGCCGCACAGCGACCGTGGAGAAGGACGGAACGATGATCGAAATGGTATCGCTACCATCGTCGACGAAGAGCAAGATGCGGGCCAATGTTCGAAGGATGAGCGTGAGACTGTCATCCGCCTCCGAGAGCGTATGAAGTTATCCCGATGGTGGAAATCGAGCCTAGCTGCAGGTCATGAAACTAAGGCCCCGGCCAAATCGATCAAGATGGAGGAAATGTGAAACGCCGAATTGGCGTGTTAATAGGGAAATTGTGGATTGGTACATGGATGGTCAGACCAAGAAGGTGGGCACTTCATTGTGGCGGGATTTTTTTGCGTCTAAATTGTTTCCTCCGCCCGTTACAGGCGATTGTCTTGCAGGAGGTTCCCTGGACTTAATAGAGGTAGATTTATTTATCCGAGATGACTCTGGTAGTTCATCGAGGTCATCAAAAAGCGATTGAACCCGTGATTTATACGCGTTCGCTGGACTGGGTCGCCCATGTGGCGGCTTCGCTTTCGGTTTTGACGTAGACGTGCTTTGTATTTTTACTTGTTTCTGGGCTCGTGGTGTCGTCTGATCGTGAGCCTGACTTTTTCGTAGAGTGGCATTTGTTCTTCTGGGCGGTGGTAGCACGACTGGCGGGGTTTCTAGGTCAAGATTGTCATCGTCATTGTCATCCGAGCCCGAGGCCGTCTCTTCATCCAGTTCAATGCTTGGAACTTCTGGTGCTCTTGATGGTGCCGTGACACTCCCGATGCTGTTAACCCGGGCTCGTCCAGTACCTAAAGTAGGCGCCTGTCCAAAGCCCGCAGCAGCTCTAGTAGAGGATTTGGGCGCGTGAGCTCCCGCTAAGGATCGTGTTTTTCGTGGGCTGGTCATGAGATCGTGAAGATGTGTTCCAGCCCATCTCTCATCATCTTCATTCTCATCTTTCTCGTCGACTCCTATCTGCGCGAGTCCGGCTTTTTGTCGCTCCCTCAGCGCCTCGGCTTCTCTTTTACGCTCAAGTTCATTGGGCAGTGGGGTACGGCCGTCTGTAGGCCTCTCAATTTCTCTTATTCCGGCTGCATTTTCGGCTTTCACTTGCTTTCGCCGTCGCAGGTACTCCGCATGATGTAAATGTTGAGTAAATGTTTGCGCGACAGCGTAGAACTCGTCTTCAACCATGACCCAGCCATCATCACGTTGAATCCCTGCAATCAAAAATCTGTAACGCGTCTATTAGCGACTTTCCTGGTTGCGCGAGGCCTGGTTGCGATCGTACTCTTCGGAGGGACAGCGTTTGATAGGAGAGGTTGGCGGGCTTTGGGCTGTACAAAGTAATCAGACTTTATGTTTGGTCACAAATATTCCAAAGATGCAACCTACAGGATCTGAAGAAATCCCGCCTCGGGGGAGAAACTCGAGGGTTTTTAGGAGTGAGGTCGCGATCAGGACTGGGTCCCGTCTTCACGCGCTTCCGCGGTGTTGACTCTTTTTTCACAGGGATGCTACCCTCGGCGCGAAGCCAGGGCAATGTCCTGGGCATAATTCAAGATAATATAGAGGAAAATCAAGATATCACTTGGTGTCGCGATCTCAGGGAAATATTACCTAGGTACAGTGAGGGAAAGAGAGCTGCTGATAGGCATCCATGGCCGATAAGGTGAGGTCACCCGCATTCCGCGCAACACAAACCTTCAATTTGGAGCTGCTTACTACGGAGTGGAAAATTTGCAAGTATAAACCTCATTCTTTCGGGTATCTAGTGCCATTTTGGACATTGGTAATGCAAGATGAAAAGAACTGGGACCGCCTCAAACGCCTCGTGCAGGATATATCACCGAAAGCAAGAGAAGCAAGAACGGACGGCCGGTAGAACGCCTATTCAACCATTTGAGGGAAACAAAAAACAACGCCAGTATCTCTGCCCATGAAAGCGTCCGCTTACACCTCACCAGGCCGCTTGCTGTTGCAGCTCACGATCTTCACCTTGTCCGCGGACACAGTTGTCTGGTTGTCCAGCTTGAACGAGACATCCTTGATCAGGAAGGTCCAGACTTCGTCGCAGAATCGGTAGGTGTCCAGGTGGCCCTAAAAGTGGTGGTAAAATGTATATGTCAGCCTCGTTCAACTATGATCAAACCATGGCCCATCTGAGCAAGGGTGTTCTCTGAACCGGAATCAGTTACCTTGAAGGTCAGTCTGGCCCGAACTTTGTCCGCCAAGACTTCAGTGACAATCTTGTCAAAGGTTCCGAGGATCTTCATCGCCAGCTGGGGCTCGATACGGCCTTCATTGATCAGGTCGTCGAGGGTATCGGTGAGGGATAACCCGAGGCTAGATGTTCCTTGAGTCAGCTTTGGAGCTTTCGATTTGATTCATCGGGTGTTTTACCTGCTGCCACGGTAAAGCTCATAGTAAGCCACAGATGCCATTCTGAGATGAAATAAATGGCAGACTCGTCGAAAGAGTATCGGAGGAGTGAGTGACAAGAGCAAGTTCATGATCGCCGGCCGAATCGCGGGGGCGGTCGGCAGCACGTGATTTTCTTATAGTCACGTGGGAATTCTTATCTTGAATTGCGTCAGTGTCAGACAAATTGAAAGTGTTTCAACAGTTTTTTGACCTCACAAACCTCTCAGTAAACATACAACAAACTCGAGAACTACCACATTATGATAGTGAAGGGTTTAGGGCCTCGATCCCTTCTAAATAGAACATTGTCCAGTCAATTGCATGTTACTTGTGTACGATCCTTATCAACAAGCTTGTTCAGGCCATCAGAAGCTCAAGGTCGGTCAGTTCTGCTCAAAGGCCCATGTCAGAACTAACATGTATTGCTTTGGAACTCTAGAATCCCGAGATTACCAAAATCCTGAGTCCAAGCAAGAAGAAAGCAATCAGAAATCCAAGAAGTCCTCAAACCAAGACAACGACCGCCACACGCTCCCACCCAAGGCCAAAACCATCTCCCAAGCGGACGCCGAGCTTCGCGAACGGCTCGAACAAATGTCTGGAGCAGGAGGAGCCTGTGGAATTGAATACGAAGACGGCAAACCGAATGCAATGAAGCGCGGTGTGCGAAACAACATGTTCCGATTAATTTGAAGCAATCTTCGACATCGACATATCACAAGAACAAACATTGATCATCCAAGTGAGGTCTCACGTCCTCCAATCCAGGCTTGGCCCCATATGCCAAGACACGTGGGAAAGGAATGTTCTCGGTCACCGTTCCCTTCCGGCCCCGGCAGTTACAGACATCCATCAGGACCCCAGACTTCTTGAACTTTGTTTCCGACAACATAAATGAGGGTGCCCAGGCTTGGCTTCGATTGAATTCGCCTAATTAATATTTCGAATATGTGCATGTGACATTTCTTTGATAAAGATAAAACGGTCATGCATAATCGAAGGCATTCCGCTCTTCGGGTGTTCCTGCATTCTCCGATTACGATTTCTTGGGCGGAGCCGCGCAATCAGTCACGATCCTCTCGCTGTGAACTTCTTGACTTTCAATAGTTGGAACATTCTTGGGAATGTGCCATTGGAAAGCTTTCATTTCGTGGTTGGGGGACAACTTCATTGCAATGCGCAAGGTTCTGGGTCAGAGCGAGTGCGGTGCATGCATATCCTGTCAATGCTCGTGGGAGTGCCTCTTAGGCCAGGCTTTAATGCCGTGCCTGATCGGCGGTGAAATCTCGCTCGGAATGTTGGATTTTGACAGGAAAAATGAGACACCCTAAACATAGCGAGCCACATCATAGGGCTGAGAAATGGACTGGTCCAAATACAATGAAAGCGTAGATAAACGAAATTACCACCGTCCAAAATAGGATCACAGTGACGGAAATCAAATCTCATTTCTATGCCGTGACCCCCAACTCGAAGATAAAAAAACAGAAATTATCCCATTAACACCTAATTTCGAACCATTTTCGCATTGCTGAATTCCACCCAAAGAAGAAAAAACAAAGACAAACCCAATGCTTGCTAACGTTTCATAGAAAAGCTCATTTCCTCACAACCATGCCAGCCAAAACACCAGCGCCAATGACACCACCGTCGGAGGCTTCCCGTAAGAAAACTGACTTCCCACCTCGTTGCGGACCAGTCCGCATGATAAGACGGTCAATGTATTGCTGGCACATCTCCTTGAATTGGGGGTAATGTTGGATAATGCCACCAGTGTAAGCCACGACGAGCTCTTCGGGACCGGACTGCCAATCTATCGGCGTAGGATCGAGGACAGGGACGACATGTTCCTGGGCTGCGTGGTTCGCAGCGACAGTGGCAGAGTTGAGGCTTGCAGCCGCAGCGGCCGGCGCACCGGCGAACTCAGTAATGGCGTCGCCGTTGCTCTGAGGTGAAGCGGGATTCTCGGGTGAGCTGCTGTTGCTGTCTTCCTTCAGCTCGATCTCGCGAGCACAGGCTAGGAGTCCGACCACCGCAGCGGCGATCAGCCCAGCTGATCGTCTCTGTACTGCGCGAGCAATCTTTCGGAATGCGCCCGCGGCTCGGGCATCCCAGCGCCAGTCACTGCTCTCTGGTGGAGGGAGGGATTTGTTCAAGGCTTTGGCGAGGTCGTTGTCAGATCGAGCTTTGGCGACAAGGTCGGAGATGTATGCGGTTGTCAGGGCGTATTCTTGAATGAGGTTTGCAGGTAGAGCGCGTTTCGATAATTCGGCGATTGTTGTAAGATAGTCGAATAGGATCAAGCGAATCAGTTCCCCAATGTAGCGGCCTCCGGTCATGTATTCGAAGGGCTGGAAGCCTGGACGTGCACAGGCCCGGTCCAGCTCGATGTCCCATTTTGTGGTCACGTTGAGTTCCTTGAGTGGTGGCGCAGCACCGGAAATAGTCCACTCGGTGTTGACAATAGTCTCCACAGCGCTGGGTTCCATTATGTTCACACTCTTGGCTTTAGATTCGTGCAATGCACTGAGCTTCATTGGGATGGTTGCGTTACAGCCAGTGCCCACAATGATACCCATGGCGACTCTGCTGTTTGGTAGAGATTTGACCTTGTATGCAAGGGAAGCTAGCGTGGCCACCGTGTCATTGGTGATAGCTTGAATTTTCAGTTTTGGTAATGCGAAAAGCTTTCGACGTTTGGTTGAAGGTTCGTCTTCATCATCGGGTCGCCTTGTGTGCTTTTCATATCCATTCAGAAGGATGTTGCCAAGATTGAGATTTGATGAGATAGCGAAGCCTTTGCCCATGGGCATTAATGTGGCTTCTGCCAATGATTCTTGCCTGGGCTTACTTAGCACAAAATCCACTAACCTTGGTAACAGGAGCCCCGGAATCTGGGAATACTAGCAACACAAGCACAAGGGGGAAAACTCACATGATGGGGAAACTGAATGTGATTCCCATATCTAATTCGGCAGGGATATCCTTCTTAGTGGCATCCGATGATAGACTCTCCGCTACCACCTCCGCAATACAATCACCAATCCAAGAAAAGAGATCCTCAGCCTTGTCCATCTTCAAATGCTCTTGAATAGGCCAAGCTCGCTCCAGCGTTCGCTTCACCCGCTGGCGCTGAGCTTTCCGGATGGTGTCCCGTGACCTCTCCGTGGCATCTGTAGGTCGAACATCGGAATCCACGGCTTCTCCGAGCAACTCGATAAAAGCGACTCGAAGGTTGCTACCTCCAACATCGATCGCTAGATAGCGACCGGTTTCCCGACCAGTAGGAAGTTGAGTCACGGGTGTTGGCAAAAATTGCTGATCCGATGTCAGGGCAAGGTTGCGGTATGTGGTCGAAAAGCGTCGGGCCAGTTTGTACAGCACAGCCTCATCCAGGGACATTGGTGACAAGAACTCTTCCAATTCTTGATGGTGCGCCAGACATTCTTGTTGAAAGGCGTTTAGTTCCGAACTGACATCCTCATGTTCCTCATCTTCAATCAAATCGTCGTGCATGATTCCGCGCTCGTCGTCCTCATCCTTCTTGGACGAATTTGAGTTGACTGAAGTCATAATAGAAGATGGAAGATATATATCCCAAATAAAATAAAAAAATTCCCCTATGTCAAAAGGCTGAAAATACCAGACAAAATGAGCTGACACAGCTGTGTCAATAGTGACGTGTAGGGTCTGGAATGTTTAGGAATAGAGCCAGGGCAGCATATCCTTAAAAATCCTTGAATTGTGGAGACAAGCTGTCGAGGGAGCTAATCCAATGCCCCAAGAGCTAGTCTTGTTGTGTTAGCGAGGTTGCAATATAAAGGGAAGGGAACATTTCGGTGACGCGGTCTGCAGGTCGCCCGGGCTGCGGGGGAAAAGAGAGAAAACACGACGATCATGCCAGAAGGGGGAATCCCCATCTATGTTTTATTCCGTACATACCCTAGAATTTTGGTATGCACTGATTGCGCTGATCATGAAAATAATATTTCTGAGGGATTTGGGAGAGAGGATGGGATGACAGACTATATACGGGGGATTGGGGGATCTTTGGGAGGGAAATATCCCTAGATGGCCCTGAGGGAGTTGGCGAAGAATGAAAGTATAAAGCTCCCCTGCTTAAGAAGGGACAGAGAAAAAAGCAAAAGCAGAAGCGAAAGCAAAAGCAAAAGAGAAAACAGAAAGAATCAACAGAATATATGGAATTTGTTCATAGGTACCTTTATGTTTTGGTCCAACTAAGTATTGCAATGATCGGAAGAACAGTCGGAGAAGAGTCGGAAGTCAAAAGTGGGGTGGAAATGATTCGTATCAGATGTGATATATGGTCCGATAGAAGTTCAGAAATTACCTAGGTACCTAGGTAGATAAATTATAAGGAAGTTATAAGAAAGAAAATATATATAAGAGATGAGATGCGACCATCGGAAGGCACGAGGCGATGCGACGCTGGTCGGGACAAGTTGAGTATCCCCTTTTCTATTGGGAGAAAACTCTACTTGGATTTGATCTCCCCTCTTTGGCATCTTTCTAAAATCAACTTGCGAAGTCTATGTAACCCTACTTTAAGTCATTATATCCGGCTAAATCCCCTTCCCTACCTTTAAGTAGAGATTATCCCGGAGAGCCAAGCCAATTTCTCCATTCTTGGCAGTCTCAGGATTAAACGAAACACATGAGCCTATGAGGCGTTTGAAAGTATCAGTTCCAATCCGTTAGAGACTAATATACCTCTTTACGAGGAACAATGGTGGGGTTCGAATAATTCTGGCTTGGAAAAACGCGCCAAAGTAGCGTGTTTCGATGTTGTCATTCGTTCGATACGAGGCTCGCCTAAGTGGGATATATTGCTCGTGGCACTCGCGTGGTGATCGGGCCGGACATACCCATATTCAGACGCAGGCGCATCTCGCGACCTTTTGATCCAACGGGAATGAACCCGTTTGCATGGTCTCGATCGTTCGCTGACACCCACATCAGACTGTCAGATCTTACTAGAGTCGGTTCAAACTACCTTAACCATGGGGTTGCCTGCCCATAATTGGCCATCTGCCCATCGGCAAATAGTCCGATGGTTCCCGTGTTTGGCACCTATGAAAGAATTGACATTACTCCGTAATGAAGGTTTCATGTACGAGCCTCAAAGCACGCGATCCCAAGCCATTATGCACGGTCTGCCAGTAGACCATACACGACAAAGCCCAGTGATTCTAGACTTGGCTATTTGAAAACCCAAGCTACGGAGTAGTCGATGCCCCATCAAAATCGCCTCCCTCCGAAGTCGGAGCCTAGCCTGCTCGGATATGAAGTACATTGATTGTATGGCCTTGGTGATTACGGGCACGCATTTGAGCATTTAGGAGACAAGGTCCTACCGGTCATCTAATCAAAACAATAGTTACATAGGTCATAATCAAAGGGCTGCATCCTTATTAGTTAACAATAATAATGGCTTGGGCTCCTCCTTAGGTGCTGTACATATGTAGGTCCCTGGATCGCTTGGGGAAGATCTTATGTAATGGCCTTGGCAGCCCTTCACCTGGGAGCTCCGCCCGGACTCTCCACATGATCTTATCAAAACAACGTCACTTCTGATTTTACCCCATCATGGAGAAACTACCGATCCACTCCAAGGAGGGATATGGGGATCCTCTTGAACTGGCAAACAACCCTGGTCGTCGTGCGCGTCCTAGCACAACCACCTATTTGTGTCGGATTGGTGTTATCGCGTTGCTCTTCATCGGCTACCTCTCGCTTCTAAGGCCGTCTTCCCCACGATGTACCGGCATAGCTCCACAAACGGAGAGCTATCAAGCTGAGGTTCAAGAAGAGCATGACAACTACTTACAGACAGGGGGCTTTGCTTCTGATGCACATCAGACACTTGAGCAAACTAAGATACCATTGGAGGCTCACATCATGAGCAAATGCCCAGATGCCCAGGCCTGCTTGCAAAAACTGGTACTACCAGCCATGGAAAAAATTAGTGACAAGGTGGACTTCAAGCTATCCTTTATAGCAAGGTGAGCATCAAATCCGATGTGGAGAAGAACTGATGTTATTCCGTACCAGACTCCATCCTAAACGTTTGACTAACACTATAATAATAGCGTGTCTAAAGATTCCGAAGAGATAGAGTGCAAGCATGGTCCAGGTGAATGCATCGGTGACATGCTCATACTTTGTGCGGCCAACCTTCCTTTCCCTCCCACTGCGGACGAAGCGTCTCTTCCATCTCAGTACCCCCGGACCCCTATTATCCGGTCGCTAGGATTCGCAAATTGTCTGATCAATGACTTTACCCGGATCCCAGACCGCGAATTTGTCCACCACTGTGCAATGGAACATGGGATTGACTTTGACGCCTTAAATAAGTGTGCGAGCCAGCAGAATGATGACCCGAACGATGGCAACGATGGCGGATCCCCACTCAGTGGCATTGCGCTGCTGCGCGAAAGTGCTATGCGGGGTGAACAACTTGGCGTTAAGATTAGTTGCACAGTGCGCCTCGATGATGCTGTTTGGTGCATCCGCGATAGTGACGAATGGAAAAACTGTGCCCAGAATGGAGAAGGCAGCCAACCCTCAGTCCTGGTCGATCAAGTCAGAAAGCTCTGGAAGGAGAGAAACTGAGTTCAAGATGGATACTTTATTGATCATACCCCCCGCATTCATACCCATACGATAGGACATGAGACTCGATAAATGTTACTGATGAATCCCTTACTATCATATTGCACCCGCACCCGCACCCGCACCCGCACCATAGGCATTCGCTATGTTCAAGTTTGGTGCTTAAGTTATGCCTTCCCACATGAACTCCCCTATTTGGTAACCCCCACTCCACGCGTCACGCGTTGAAGACGATGTTCCCATTGCTGTATTTAACAAACGATCCCTATCATTCACAGTCTGGCCATCTACCTGTTCCCTTGCCATTGTTGTATTTGATCAGATCTCAGAACTTGCTCCTTCTCCTTCCTCTTTCTCCCCTCCAGCCATCTTTATCAACACCGCGCGGCTATCGTTCTCGAACCGCGTGAAGCTTCACAATGCCGCCATTTTCTCATCCGAAACAGCGTGGTAGGTCGCTTCACCTTGAGCCCACCTATGATCGACTACAATATCATCATCTTATTATTCTAACAATGTGGAATGACTTCTATAGAGACCAAGCGTGTCATGTCGCGCGGGTTGCGTGGTAAGGAGGACAGCTTGTACCTCAAGTGGAGTGTGGTGATGAATCCAAGCGAGCTGCTAAAAGAGCTTGTTGGCAACCGCGAGCATGCTCGATCCCTCTTCCATGGACTGAGACGCCAGGTCAAGTCCATCCGCCACCGCTCACAGTCTTATGATGATGGCCAGGTCACGATCTACGACCGTGTTCTCCTTCGTCTCTATGATGAGGGACACACCATGCAACACTACGGTCTGCTTGAATTTTACCTGGCCGAGTATCTGGGAACTAAGAACTGCCACTCTGAGGAGGAGAAAAACTCTGTCATTGCTGCCCACTTTGCTGCCCAGCGCATCCTGGACAATGGTCTGTTGCTACGTCTTGATGAATATTACTTTCATGTATTCTAACTTAACCTACCAGGCGCTATTTCTGAAATCCCGATCATTGCAACCGATAACGTGGAAGGCGCCACCGAAGACACCACGACCAGCAAGTTGTCACAGAACTCTGGCGCATCCAAGTCACACCATATCGATAAGCTCATCCAAGTGTACCAGAAGGCCAAGGCCGACTACTACATCCTTGAAGTCACTGAGAGCCACCGCGAGCGAACCAACAGCGTCAGATTCCTCCGTGACACGGCCGAGAACCTCCTGCGATACCTGAAGTCAGTCGACAAAGACAACGATCTGATTCCCGAAATCGAGGACATCATTCAGGTCAGCCAGGCACATGCAAACCAACTTGCCGGCGGCCGGAAGCGCAAGTTTGAGCACATGGACAACGACTCAAGGGGCAGCCCAAGCCTCAGCCCCTACCGACCCCACGGATACTACAGAGACCAGCGCGGAGGATACAACCGTCGGGACCGATATGTCCCTGACAGTATCACATGGGATCATAGCCACAAGGGTGGATGGGACCATAGCCATGTCAACAGAAGAATTGGATGGGATAGTCGTGCCTTTGACTCCTACCGTCCTTCTTAAGCCCACTGCGATGACTGAGCTCCTGGTCGAAAGAGTTCTGAATTATGAGGGTAGCCTTTTCTTCGCTACTGCTTGGGAAAAGTACAAACCTGAATGTACTAGAGCAATTAGCCTCAAATCGAAACATTAACTCAATTTCACAAGCACAAGCGAATATTAAGGGTTATACATAGAAAAATCCGTTCTACGAATTAAGCCTCACACCGCTTTTTTCTGCTCCCCCTCCTTAACAAACCGAGAAGGGAGAGAAAATATCTAGACATCCTAAAAGACTAACTGAGAAGAATAACTGAGAAGAATCTGACAATACCACCAAAAAAGACATTTAAAAAGACATCTGAAAAGACTACCTTAAAAGACTACTAAAAAAACGACTTGACAAGGCCGCATAGGCGGCCGACTATTCTTGTCCTCCTACTTGTAGAACAGTTGACAGTTTGAAGTATGAAATCCCCACCTTGGCCAATAGAACTAAGCTGTGCGTTAAACTACTCTCATCTTAGTGCCAATTACAAACCCACGTGCACGGATGACATAATCCGCCCCAGAAGGGGCCTGGAGATCCATGCCCAGGTGATCAACATTGGTCACCGGTCTCGCAAATTGAGGGGGTTCTTGTTATTTTCTCTCACTTCGATCTTAGAGAAGAGGTAATCTCTGCCCTAATGGAGAGACTACCTCACCGACCAGGCTCTTAGAACGACCCCAAAACGTGTCTCCCCTGAGAAATGGCAGACCTTCATCCCTCCGCCGCGGGGAATAATACATCTTCCACTAGCTCCAGCACATCCTCAAACCCACGATTTACTCCAGTTTCTTATGCATCAGACGAAGATAATACAGTGCCAGGGCCCGCACAATCACCCATAGGCCCATTGCGACTGCAGACCAACTTTGACGATCATCAAGATGTTGGCGACCCTCTATCCGATTTCGAGAACGACGGCAACTATAACACCAGCACGGAGCTCGAGGGTAAGCTACCGCGCGGTGGTTTAGGCCCGAGGTATACACTTGAGGAGGAGAGCGAAGTAGTGAGGAGATTTGATCGAAGGCTCGTCCCGTTTCTGGCCCTTCTCTACTTGCTCGCCTTCTTGGACCGCTCGAGTATGTTTGGTTATTTCGCACAGCGGAATGTTTCCCCTGTGATTGCAAGCATGTACTGATCGTTCATCCAGACATTGGAAATGCAAAGATAGCAGGACTCAAAGACGATCTACAACTTTCATCTTCGCAATATGAATGGCTACTTACTGCTTTTTACATTACTTACATTCTCTTCGAATGGATGACACTGATGTACCGTGTTGTTCCCCCGCATATTTATATATCTCTATGTGTATGTGGATGGGGACTTGTCGCATCATTCCAGTGTCTAGCTACTTCTTTTGGGGGGCTAGTTGTTCTTCGAGCGTTGCTCGGAATCACTGAGGCAGCTTTTGGCCCGGGTGTCCCGTTTTACCTGTCTTTGTTCTATCGCAGACATGAGCTGGCTTTCCGCAATGGATTGTTTATCTCAGCGGCACCACTCGCGACATCTTTTGCTAGCAGTCTGGCCTACGTGATTGTCAGGTTCAGCAGTGACGGCCCAATCTCACCGTGGCGAACTCTGTTCCTCGTGGAGGGGTTCCCGAGTGTAGTTGTTGCGGTATTTGCTTGGTTCCTGATTCCGGACTCCCCTGGTCGGGCTCGATTCCTGAGTCGCCGACAAAGGGTGGTAGCTCAGCAGCGTCTCGAGGAGAGCACAGCCGAGTATCAGCAATCATATGGAAGTCGATTTAACTGGCAAGAAATCCTGAAGACTGCAGCGGACCCCAAGGCTTATATGGCTGCCGTGAGTGTTTATCTCTATTTGAGATTGTGCAAAGATTCTAACACATTTACTACAGTTTATGTTCTTTAGTTGTAATGTTGCTTTCAGCTCAATGCCTGTTTTTTTGCCCACTATCATTAAAGAGTATGTCCTGCACCATCTATTCATAATCTCGACAGCCAACTTACATCCCTCACAGCATGGGATATTCCTCCTTACAAGCCCAAGCCCTTTCAGCACCTCCGTATCTCGTCGCCTTTGTCGTGGTCCTACTCACGGCATACGCATCAGACCGCAGCCGCTCCCGAAGCCCATATTTGATAGCACACGCCCTCATCTCATCACTCGCTTACTTAGCGATCGCAGCAACAGGTTATTTCCACTCACATCTGCCACCATGGCTTCACATATCCATCCGCTACATCTGCGTCTACCCTGCTACGGCTGGGTTCTTTTCCGCAATCACCCTCATCATTACATGGTCAATGGATAACCGTGTCGAAAAGGAAGGCAAGGGCGCGAGCATTGCCATTCTCAACATCATCGGACAGTGCGGGCCCCTGCTCGGGACAAGATTGTATCCTGAGACTGACGGGCCGTGGTATATTCGGGGCATGGCTACTTGCTCGTTTTTCATGGTTGTTGTTGCGGTATTGGCAGTGGGACTGCGGATTCTTCTACAGAGGATGAATCGGGCGGCTGCGGAAACGACTTACACTATTGAACAGGCTGGTCCTGTCGACCAGGGTGAGGAGCGGGATGTGCTTATGGGTGGTGGGAGGAGGGACGATTTAGAGCATTCTACTGGGGATAGAAGGCTTGTCTATATAATATAGTTGATACAATAATGACCGCTCGAGCTTCCTGTGTTTTGGTGAGGTTAAATCTACTGGGATTGTATTACAGCCCCCTTCTTACTTATGTGCGCAGCGCTTGGCTTAGTATGTTCCCTGTGTATGTATGCAAGACTGGGAAGGAAATTTATGTGTTTCCCCCCTCACTTTGCTCTCTTGAGGGTGTTGACCTCACATCCATCGGAAGAGAAGCTTGTCCTTCTCCATTCGGTGCCGTATAGCCATGCAGATAATTCGTTCCATCATGTTTCTCCGCCGCTCGCTTTTGCCGTTGCCGACCCCGTTTCTTTTTATCCTGCTGCTGTACAATAGGACGCTTCTGTAGTTGCTTTGCGGCATTCCAGTAGGACTCCGTAAATCTGCGCCGCTGTACTTTATGATCATGCCCTTCCTTGGCCATCGCGTCCATTTGATGCTTCTATATCATCATTGTCTTGGTGATACTCTGTGGTATCTGTAGTCACTATTAGTATACCGCGTATGTCTAAGTAAGTATAGGCTAACTTAAAGCGGCACTCGCTTCTACGTTCGGAACAGTATTGGCACTTCTTCCGACGCCCACCATCGATGAACACACATTCTGGGATATGCTCATCTGCCTGTACCCTTGTTTTCCAAAGATTGAAGCATCGTATACAGATTTTCCCGTAATGCGCTTTGTCTGGTGGAGTCGAAGTTTCCTACCCGTGCTCCGACCTACCTCTATCGACATGTGCGGCACCCACGACGGGCTCGGCTGTAGGCGACGGTGGCCGCGCTGATGCCGCGATTTGGTCGGTCTCTATATGTGGGACACTTGGAGTTTCACCCTCGAAAATAGGATGAAGAAGCATATGCATCACAGATACATGCTCTTGTACTATCACCATGGCCTGTTCATAATGTAGCTTGGAATTGTCGTCCATCATTATGCTGTGATGTTGCCAGTTCAAAGTTGTGAATACTATACATAAAAGTACCTAGACATCCCCACACTAGAATTGAGCCCTAGTTAGAGGATGTCGTGCATTTGTAACTCCGAGTTGATCGCCTATGCCACATCCTTGGATGGTTTACGCGGGCACAAGATATTCAAACGAAAATGTGTCTTGGGTCAATTTCCAGCCCAATTTTCTGAGCTGATCCTTTTGCTCTGAGTATCCTGCAATAAGTTGCTCCAGCATCTTGGCTTCATCCTGTGTTCTTTCGTTCAGCTCATTCTGATCACTCATCCATCGTCACCGTTCTTTCCAGAACTCCCAGCGATCCATCGAAAAGTTGGCACGTCCCTTCCATAGATTGGAACCTGCACATTTTATAGACTCAAACTGAGAGAGGTCCTTCCTGTCTATGAAGCTGAAGATAATGTGCCCGAGAGTGCGATGGATGAGGCTCGACAAGCACCAGAGAATCAAGTCTGCACAGAAGACAAGCACCGACAGTGAATCTAGAATCTCTCCTGGGGACGAGGGGAAGTGGAAGAGTAAGAAATGAACCATATAGAGGTAAAAGTAAGAGACATGATTAAGGCGAAGATTGCATAGTCTCGCGGAGTCTGTATATGGTGTATATGTAAATTCTATATGATATGTACATGTGTACGCCGAATGGTGTATATTTCGCGCTTCTTAGAATCAAAGAAGTGCAGCGAAGGACGAATCAGCAACCTGCGACTCCTTCCAGCCAACACACTTCCAGCAACTCAACAAACCTTTGGGATCATATTTGTTCTTAATGCTCGCCAATTTCTCATAGTTATCACCCCACCACGCCTCGACCCAATGGGTTGTGAACGGGTTGGCCTCGTTGCTGTACGCGCCACTACCAGGGGTAATGCCTTCAATAACGGCCGTCATGTTCTGAATGGACTGGATCTTCTGTTTCCGGGTAGGAAGGGTAGCGTTCCACTCCCAGGAGGCACCAGATCCCAACTCCCAGATAGCCTCACGCCAGGCGGGAGAAGCACTGGTCGATCCTTCGGTGTAGTTGTATAGCACCGGTCCGACGACGGGGATATAAGGCGTCTGGCCTAGCGATTGGATAATTCCGAAGTAATCCATGAGGTTCTTGCGGCCCTCGACGGTCTTGAAAATGGAGCGGGGGATCAGTCGGCTTCCGGGGAAGCGAGTGACGCCGACAGCCACGGAGCTAGTCTTGACGTATTTCTCGTAGAAGGGGTACCAAGAAGTGAACTCTTCGATGGTGGCGGAGCCGCCATTTGCCTTAGCGTAGGTGATTACGCTTGCCAAAGAGACCTCGGCTTCCTTAATGGAGAGGAAAGGAGAGACGTTGACGAGGGTGTTACCGGTAATGTGGCCGCCCCATCCTTCCTGTCCCCATTTAAGGGTGTTGTTGACGACGATGTCCATAAATGGAAGCATATTGGTGGAGTTGCCGGGGAACTTAATGTTGGCAGAGACAAAGCGGATGGCAGGCTCGACATAGTGAGTGCTTTCGAGGACGACACCAAAGGTTCCACCGCCGCCACCGCGGAGGGCCCAGAAAAGGTCGGGGTTCTGGAATTCGTTGGCGGTGCGGTAGACACTGTCTGGGGTAACGATCTTGAACTCGAGGACGCGGTCAACACCGAGACCGTACACGGGGCTCAAGATAGAATGGCCGCCATTTTGGATCCAGCCGCCTGAGACACCGACGGTGGGTGAGTATCCGCCAAGTATAGTTACGTTGTTTTTCTGTGCAAATTCGTACGCCTCGTCGAAGTTGACTCCGGCGCCGACGGTGATAGCTTTATATCTGCGAGCCGTGTTTTTGGAGCCGCAGGGAGCGAAGTCCGCACTGTAGTGCATAGATCGCAGGTTTCGCGTCCAAAGTGATAGCGTGTCACGGCCACTGCTGCGGGTGAGGTAATCATGGCCACTATTTTTGATAACAAGCTTCTTGCCGGAGCAGGCGGAGAACTTGAAAGCTTCAATTACATCTCTTTCGCTCTGCACATCAAGATAGTGAGAGGGTAGATTGCCCTGACGACAGGTCGTATTCACAAACGCCAGGGGATCCATGGGATTGCTGCTATCGAGGAGGCACTGATCACTAGGATCGGATGCCCACATCTCATCCTGGTTGTTCATGTAACCATTAGGAGAATTTGTTCGCTTCCATGGATCCGAATAGTTCTCCTGAATAGTAGCGCAGGCAGCATTGTCGCGAGCCACCGGTTTCCCATTGTAGCTGGAGAAGCAGGGCAAGGAGAAAGGAGTGAGATTCAGGATGCGCCCTCCAACTGTTGCATTGAAGTCATCTAAAGTGCAGTCCGCAACAGTAGAGCTTAGTAAGGCCAATAGGACCAGGCCGGAGGACTTGGCCAACATCATTGGCGATTGCGGACAAGAGATGAAAAATCACGAAAAAAAAAGTATAAAGGCAGAAATACAAATCAAACCAGGACTGAGACACACTAAGGTGCACTAAGATGCGCTAGAAAAGGTAGACATGAACCAGTGAGTATCCTAGTTGTATCTATGAATTTAACCCGTTTAGGTAAAGGATCACCTTGCGGCTCGTAATTCCACTTATAATTCCCTTTAGAAATTAGATGGTCCAATGAGCCCAATTGGGTGAAGTAGAGTTTAAGTCATGACCTCAACCGCCGGGGCCACCGGGGCCACCGGGGCCACTGGGGCTGGCCCGGTTACGGGTTACATGATGGAAATGCCGATCCCCCTGTTCGCCTATTTGCCTAAGCTTCTCGAGGGTCTCGGTGTCTTGGGTCTCAATAGGTTTTTCTCTGTTTTCTATCTTTCCCATATAGCCAATATGGCGCATCAGGTGAATACATATTGGAAAAATGTCCTCACTATCGTGCCAATTGTTGGGGCTGGTTTGGCTACTATTACCTACCTTTTACGTCTCTACTGCAGGCGGATGAAAGCGGTGGGGCTTCTACTGGAGGATTATCTAATGGGAGCTGGTCTGATCATCTCCTTTGCTGTTACAGCTTTTGTAGTAGATAGTGAGTGTTTTTCATTGTTCCTAAATTATGTTGTCCTAACAATACTAACTATTCAAGCCGCCTTCAATGGCGTCGGTCTGCCGATCGCATCACTCCCCAAACATGAACGGATGCGTATCCAATTCGTATGTTATTATGGTTCATAATGACTTTGATAGCATGGGAACATCTAACAGCATTTTGCAGGGATCATGGATGATACAAAAGTTTTGGGCCCCGTCAATGGCCTTTGTCAAGATCTCCATTGTCGTCTTTATCAAACGACTATTTGGCTCGATCCGTGCATACGTCGTTGTTTGCAACTGTCTGGTCGGATTTATCGCTACATGGGCTATCGCTGCCCTGTTGACCAATATCTTCCAATGTACACCAGTGCAATACTACTACGATAAAGACTTGAAAGGACACTGCATGTCGGGACAAGTTCAATTCTTCCAGGTTATGGGCTCGATCGCATTGATTGAAGATGTTATCATTCTCTGTCTGCCAATTCCTGTATTTTGGAAGTTACAGATCAACAGTCGGCAGAAAATAGGATTAACCCTGGTGTTCTCTCTGGGCGGACTGTGCGCGAACCCTCCACAACTTGATATATTTCTTCCTTCTAACGAATTACAGTGTCTGTATCTTCAGTCTGATGCGCCTGATTGAATTCCGCAATTTCCAGGTCACCGACCTTGCCGGTTCGTTCCTATTCCCAGCTCATACCAGTGACTCCAACTGACATCATCCAGCTTCAAGCGCCAAAGAGTCCATCTGGACTAGTCTCGAACTTGACGTGGCCATCATTTGTGGCTGCCTCCCATTTCTTAACCCACTCGTGCAAGGCGTCCGCAGCAAAGTCAGAAGTGACGCCTCGAAATATCATTCCCACCCTTCCACCGGATCCAACCTCTATTTGCACACGATGCGGGGAAACAAAGGCGATTTTCGAGAGCTTAATAGTGACTGTGGAACGTCAGCGAATTCAATTAGCCGCAATGCTATGGCTACGGCAAGTCAACAGAGCTCCGATATGGAGACTAATAGGCATGATGTAGACGGGCAGTCCAAGAATATCATAGCTTCATAATTCTTAAATACAAAATCAATTTCCATCCAGTCTAGCAGTAATACGTAATTCAACTCCCCAATATATTGATTCCTACATTGCTGATCTAGCAACGAAGCTCGCCGTGGTCGTTGCTGATGCATTTGTCTCCAACACGTGTTAGCGCTTTCCGGAAAGGAACCTGTGCATTTCCAGGAAGGATTGGCTTACTGAGATCGAGGGTAGTAGCAACATATTTGTGGTCATCGTCGGAGTTGCGGCACTGGCAGGAAAACTCGGCGGTTCCACGAAGGGTACAGTTGATGCAAGAGCCGGAGTAATTGCCACTGCTTTTGTCAGACTTTATTGTTCTTCCCCCCTGACAATAGCTTTTGTTATAGACCCAACTTACTTCTTTCCGCACTATAGCTAGGTTAGTATTGTTTGAGTTTGATTGTTTTGGATTGATCTCTTACCTTTAGCTTGCCCTTGTTGTTCTTGATGCACCGGTTCAGGTCAAGTGTGCTAGACTTTAGCTGGCCATTCTCGCTCTCATGGCATTGTGCTCGCAGAGTTGTACCGTCACCATCAACGTCTTGACAGGTGTCGGCAAACTTGGAAGAGCCGGCCAAAGCCATGGCTACGAAGGGAAGGAGTCCGAGGGCCTTGAGGAAAAGCATATTCAGAGTGATTGCTTGGGAGTACTGAGATAATTGCCACTGATACTGAATGGTGTTGTTGTGATTAATGAATACTCAAGTTTTGAGGATGGATTGCCGCGTTTATATATCAATCCAGTGCCTAGCTTTTCAGTGACTCTCGGACATCCAGCTCCAGCAAGAGGCGAATGCATCTGATCACAAGGAAGAACGGACCTACAATGACTCCTTACTTTCTTCAAAAAGCCTGGTAAGAGGTTGAATTCGAATCAGTATAGGTCCGTCGAGGTCATCTTGCATCAGTCCTCCATAGTGACGTATATCGCTGCTTCGGGGCTGGGCCAAATCTTGATTGTCCACAGGTCAACCACATGGTAGAATATCATGGGTGATACCGCCGTCTGTCATGTTTTGAACAATGTTATATACGAAACCTGAAGACGATTTGAATACGATTTAAGTACTCATATGGCTAATATGTAAGCATGCCTAGACCGAGACGAATCACCTCGCAGCGTAGACATCAATAGTCTTGTCCAAACTAAAAAGAGTCACAGAATGGGATAGCGGTGTGTCAAAGACTATTTTGATCCAAGTGTACAACGTAGATCATAGTATATTGATCTACGATGTCGCTGCAAGGGGCACATCAGCATGTTTTTCTCTCTCGCACGAGCCTGTCACTAGCAAACCCCACGCATGGGAATTACCTCACGGGTAAAACCGAGCCAATGAAAGAGGAGTTCTAATGCTGCAATACAAGACAAGTTGTTACAGTAAGTCAACACTGGATTGGTCTACGACAAGTTCAGCCTTCATATTTAATATTCTCCACACCTCACACTAGGTCCACGCGCTTGCTTGCATGTTTTGCCCTTGTCCACGTTGAAGCCCCCTTGGTTTGCTGAAAAGAGGGGCTCATAACCTGTTGGAGCAGGAAGTGGAAACTATGAGCTGCGTAGATCCTTTAATAACCAGATGTAGAAAAGGGAGAATGTGATTTTGCTGAATGCGAAGAAGTTGTGACAGAAAATAGTCGAGAATATGATCGTCTAGAAGGTCGGAGCAACACTCATCGGTGTTTGGGTGATATTGGAATCTTTATAAACAATCAGACCGGGGTTCGATGCAAGAGCTATGAGCCGGGTTAGGACTAGTCGCAGTTCCAGGACGATGGTCACTCTGTTGCTCAGGCCACTTCTGAAAACAAATATTGCTAGGATAAGTCGGAGCCATTGTGACAGGAGGATGAGCGGTCCAATCAATATCCCTGGTCGAATTTCTCGCGATCAACATCTTCAAGAGTGCAATTGGCTAGGGCCTGACTTTAGTGCCTTGTTTTTAATCTTGCCGAGTGTAAAATAACCTGTCTCTGGTCAGAAATTGACCATGGTTGTGCTAGAAACTTGAAGGCTCTTTATATATGATTGATCAGTGATGCGAGCACATAATACTCTACTGGAGCTGATATTCTAAGAGACGGGTTACTACACCATCTGATCTTAGTACTTTCAGATACCTCTTACTTCAGAAATCTCTCACTTCAGATATTTCTCAATTTAGTATCTCATTTAGTATCTCATTTAGTATCTCATTTAGTATCTCATTTAGTATCTCATTTAGTATCTCATCCTTCACAGCCCATTCTTAAGCCCACATAGCCTTGAACTTGCTATCAAACTCGCTGTGCAGTTCTTTAAAGGCCTTAGCAACCAAGAACATGGATCTGTGAGAGTTGTCCACTGGCTTCTCTTGCGTAGTTTTGGAGCCGAGCCCGGTGGTAGCATCATTGGAAGCATTGATGGCTTCATCCTCGGTTTCATCATCTTCGTCATCCATCTCATCCTCCCAGCTATCCATCACAACCTTCTTCGCTCGGGGGCGAGAGGCGGGAACGGGGGCAGCAGACATCGCCTGCTTGTTGTCTAGTTTCACATCCAGCTTTCCAGCATTTTCAGCCTCAATCTGATCAACGGCCTTATCATCCACGAGATTCTCGTAGTCGTCACCTCCGCCAGCAACATCGAGCATATCTGCACCGATATTGCCTCCAGGCTTGAGGAAACCCTCAATGCTGGTCTTGATAGTGGCCAAAGTCAATGAGAAGTCGTTCAGCACAAACCAGACGTCACCGCGACGGATGCGGTTTTCAGTCTCCAACTGTGAAACATTTCCGTGCTTGAAGAAGTCATACAGGTATGCATTGAGAGGGACTGCGTTCTCGTTGGGGTCAACAGCCACATATGGAATGACGGAATCCTCAATCCAAACGCCACTGCGAACCATCTGACTGAGTTCAACGACAGTATTGCATTGGTCTCCGTTTCCTGAAAGGGCGAAGAATGGGGAGATGATTGATGGGGAGATGTGGTCGAACTGCGAGAAACCGAGTTTCTCGGAGGAACTTTCTCCGCCGCACTTGATCCCACTGAATGGTAGCGAGCAGTCTGGTTCCTTGATATGCTCCTTGACAAAAGTGGAGACGTAGCCAGTGTAGACGTCCAGGACCTGTCTATTGTGAGCACGTAGGGCGGAGGCTGCTTTTCTCGGTAGAGGTGGAAGAGCCACGATCGAGGAGGGCTTCTTTTCTGCGTTCTGGAACCGTTCCAGGGTGGACGCTCGCAGGGGAATACGCCCGAAAAGGTGGCACATGACCAGCATCAGAGTATGAACAGTCTTTTTTGGCTTCGTCTCTATGTCCTGACAGAGATCTTGGAGGTATCCCGAATTCAGTAGGGCATGGAAAGCAAAACTAGAATTCTCTGTGTAGTACAGATGAGAGATACAGCCCGCAAAATTCAAAGCCGTACCTTGACCGCTAAGAAGATTGTTTCGTCGGAGGTATTCGATAGAGAATCGGAGATGATGGAGTACCGTTTGCTTCATCTCAGGGCCACCGAGGTGGATGCGAGAACTTGAGAGGATCGAATTGATTGACTTCACGGCAGATGGAGCTTGTTTTGAGCCATGTAGCAAGATGAACAGCCGTAGAACCAAACTTGTCGTTATGGGGAAATGTCCACTGAGACTTGGGAGTCTTGAGCTCATCAGTCGTTGCACCTTGGATGGTGGAACCTGCTGGAAAACAACATTTCCCAGGACGTCAAATCCACGGCGTCCTGCTCTTCCGGCGGCTTGTCGGAAATTCAGGGCTGTCAAGAAAATGGAGTCGCCCGAAAAGACGACTGTCTTACAAGGCATGTTGATACCCAGGGCCAAAGTGCCAGTTGCAATCACGACACGCAAAAAGCCTTTCCTAAAGAGGATCTCACAAACTTGACGGTACTTGCGATTCATACCAGCATGATGAACACCAATTCCTCGCTCTAGGGCATCTATCAACCATTGAGGCACCGAGCGCCACTGCAGCTGCTTGGCATAGACAAGGAACTCGGAAGCGGGGACCTTCTTGAAGTCAGCCAGGTGGAATCCATCCACAGGCCTCTTCGGGTCAAAGAGATCAAGCCAGCCGAAATCAGTAGACGCCGATTCTTTGGCTTGCTCTGCCTTGGAAGTTGGCTCTTCGTCGGCGTTTCCACTTGTTTTCTTCTTGGTAGCCCTTTCAAGCTTCTTCTTTGCTGAGAGCTTGGATGTCTTCCATACTTCCCATTTGGCAATCTTGGATTTCCATACCGGACTCTCTTCTTTCCATTTTGTCTCGGCATTTTGTAGCTGTGTCAACAGCTCTTGGCATATATCTTCACATCTACCGCGGTCGTAATTGAAGAATAGCGCGGGAAGAGCATTCTGAGCGTGTAGCGAGGAGATCAAAGGGAGGGTTGTGTCGACCAGGTTACCCTTTAAGGAGTCAGATAGGCCATTCATCCGAGATACCTGTTTCGACAAGTCCATTTCTTTTTGGACTGTGAACCCTGTTGGGTGCTCAAGATTGAGCAAAAGTGCCTCGAATGGAGATTCTCGGTCTTTCATCCACTCTCCTAACAACTTTTTCAGTTGTCTCTGCCATTCGATGACGTGCACTTTTTGGATGACAATATTCGAGAAAAAGATGGTCGGATCCAGAGATGGATCAACAGGGAACTGCTTTGTTTGAAGATCCTTCATAGCTTTCCACAAAGTGAAACAGTCACGTGGCTCAAAGTCAAGATCATCTGGTATCGATCTGGTGCGGTCCAGCAGACTGGTGACAGGATGCACGAACGTCATATCATCTGCTCCATCGAGGCCCAAACGGGCCAAGCTAGGAGTACTGGAAAACCCTTTGAACGAGAAGTCACCATAAGGCTGGTACACGTACTTTCGCAAATCCGAATAACGGTGCTGATGCTGGATCATCTTGAGGTCAAATCCATTGGTTCTCTGGGCAAAATCTAGCCAGTTGTAGAATTCCTGGGGGTTTCCAACGGTAGCCGAGAGGGCGATAATTGGGCATGGGGACATCAGAAGCAGTTGTTCCCAAACGACACCATCCTCGGCCTGGCCGATACAATGAATCTCATCAAAGATGATACGCCTCAAGCGGGGAGTCCATGCATTGGCGTTCGAGGGATTAAGCAGCATGATCTGAAGAATCTGGGGAACCGTGATGAGAATTTGGCATCCCTGAGGATTGTTGATGCGATAGTCTCTTGTATGGATGGCCCAAACCGACTTGCCACTAGTCTTGGCTGGGAATGATTTGGAAAATCGGGCTTGCACCTCAGCTGCGATCTGATTGACAAGAGCCTTTGTGGGGGCAACATAGACAAGAATTCCATCGTTATCTTCTTTCAAGACCTGTCTCATCGCATAGAAGCTGACCAATGTTAGCATGATTCTGAATCAGGACATCTTGCGACTTACGAGATGAATGTTTTTCCTGCACTCGTTGGGGCCACGATGAATGCGCTCTTCTTTGCATCGATCTGGTCCAACACTTCACGCTGCCAGCGATCGGGCGCAAAATCAGGCGTCCGGGAGTCAGGCAATGAGTCTATGCTGCGCTCCATGAAAGGCCCACCGTGTAGAAGCTGGAAATCAACTGGGCTCATCTCGATACTCATGCTGGGTGCTGCTTTAGGGATCTTGAACGACGGGAAAGATAATTTCTGTTCACTATCGGCATGAAGCTGAGCAGCTGGCAAACCAAGTATTTCGCAGACTGTTGAGACATATGCGACAATATCGGATGAGATGCCTTGCTTGATTTTCACAAGACAAGTTACGATCTCCCAAATGCGTGTCACGATCAACATGTGCTTTTTACTCTGCACATTTATGCGTTCGACAAAGAGAAGCCGGAGCAATGTATCGATCATGCAAGTCATAATTTCAGGCTCCAGAACCTGTCGACTGTCTTTAGGCAGACTAGTTAAGTATCCATTGAGCTTTGTGAAACGAGTCACAAGATCATCGATGAGAGCGAATTCGTCATTATACACGTTTTTCCACTTTTGTCTCTGTTTTTGGGTGACTTCCATTGCTTTTTGATGAACGAAAGCTGCGGCCATCTCTTTGGTGGATGGTTTACCAGATTTGGAAGATTTCTTGTCTGATTTCGAGGTCGTCGGGTGGGTTCCAACGTCTCTGCTTGCCGAAGGGGTTTGGTGAGACTTCTGGCGTGAACTACTGGAAGATTCAACAACAATCGGCTCCGGCTGTGATGAAGAGAGACTTGCAGCATAATCTCTCATCTCGGCCATAAAACGCTGGTTCCGTTTGTGGCTTCGCTCAACCTCTTGGGGGGTTAGGATGACTTTCTTTTGATCAAGGGGCCTAGAGCTATGCCAGTGGCTATCCTCTTTAAACTCCTTGAAAACTTGGGAATCACTCTTCGCATCGGCAGATTCATCAACTGCAAGATGAACAGGCTTCAGAAGTTTATCGAAGACTGCATTGCTAAATGGAAGCACCTTTTCAAAGCCATGATGAGGCTTGGAGATACTTCCATGAGTGGTACCTTCAGAGGTAGCTCCCGCTCCCCCAATCGCTTCGCATTGCAGTGTTGTGCCACAAATGCGGTCCACCAAACACGCAAGAGCGTTGAACGGGGATTGTGTGACCGATGAGATTACTGTTTGAATGCCCAGTTTCTCGACCATCCGCTGGACTTCGAAAAACAATGTTCCATCCACGAAGTCAGACAGATCGCAAGGTAGGTTATGATCCCTCATTGCGTTCTCCCAAAGCTTTGAGCTGAGCAAAGCCGTCGCGGTTTTCACAAATTTGTTGAAAAACTTCAAGTTTTTGGGTGCAGTTGTTTGGATTGATCGATCCGATAGTTGGGTGTTTTGCAAAAGTACAATGTGCAAAAGCATAGACTGTGCTCCAATCTTGTTTTCGAGGTTGTCCGCCACGCCGCCCAAAAGCATGGAGCTGAGCGTAGCAACCGCAAGACATTGACGTTGGGACAGCTCCGGTTTCTCAAGAAGTGCCTGTTCAAGACAGTTGTCTGTTTGAGCCTGGTTTGACGATTCGTTGTCGACGAAGTCGTATTCCAGCGCATCATCCACTTGGTCTTGGCTGTCTTCAATCTGTAATTGGGAGAGGGAATTCCACAATTGATTGGGATCGTCTGTCTCAGGGCCAGTAGATAAGGGATTCGTTTTGATGGAGCTTTCAATCACCATTGCCATGACCTATGTATATTGTGAGTACAGAGCCTAGTCTTCCGCGGTTGAAAAGACCTACCTTTGTGTCACGGAACTCGAGACTATTCATGAGCGCAAGGTTGTATCCATGGACAACAAACCAGTAGATCATCGCGCGGAGCTTAAATCTTGAGATCTCGCCTCGCTTATCGACAAAAGAACCTTGCTCGTCACCATCTTCGAAGTCGCTGCTGTCGGAATCGCTTTCGGAATCGCTGCTGTCGATATCACTAGCAGTATCATCCTTGTTCTGCTCGGAAGAAGCGCCGTCATGGCACATGAACAAATAGGCCCCAGAACTTATCAGATGAGCTTTGAACTCATCGGACTGGAAGCTATCAAACCTCAGAGCCTGGAAGAATCGCGATGGTTGCACGCGAACAGAGACAAGATGCTGTATGATTGCCTCTCGGGCAAGGAGATACCTCGCGTGGAGGTCTTTATGGACTCCTTTTGGAATGCATAATGAGGCATTTTCGGCGAAAAAGACAATCTCGAAGAAACACTTGCGCTGTTGAAGCTTTTGTAATAACTTCTCGGCAAGGTAAGTCGCATGCAAGACCTGGAAGCCCGGGTCGAAATCAAGTTTCTCGTTGGAAAAGCATTGGAGTAGAAGCGAATCTCCTTCGATTATGAAAAGCTCGTCACCAACAAAGTCACCGACGAGGTCAACGACTCGAGAGTCTAGGTTATTGTACCTTTGTTTAATAATTAGTAAAAACGAGCTGGCTCCCAAGAGCTGCAAAACCAGTGCTTACCAATCTAGCACAACATGACGGTCCATTATCTTCTCAATATTTCGGTAGTTCGCCTAGATGGCTAGATATAGCCTGTTAGTATCAAGACTGTGGAAGATCGACGTTTTGAGGCAAGAACACGATGAAGAAGAACGTGTGACACATGGGAGGAGAAGAGGGTAAAATAGAAGCTTGGGATGGTCAGGGAAAATATGAAGTGCAAACGGCCAAAAGGAGGGGCATCAAACAGGATATATTGGGATTGTATTGCGCATGTAGCCATTTCACGATCCAACAAACAGCTTACCTAGGATATTATGCAGTGTGACGGAACTCTGACTCATTTCCTCTATACTATTGGCGTAAAGACAGTATCTAGAATAGTTGGGCTTTTTTGTGATTTCTCTTGGGTTTACAATCGTGAAGGGAATTTCGGGCAGAAAAATCAGACCGCCTTACTCCAGTATACGATGTACGGCAGTATACAACATCCAGGATGATAGATCAGATCGGAGTAGACATCCGAGATTGGGGAAATAGTGAAATACCTGTTGGGGCAAGAATATTCTTGTAGCATTTTGATGAGGGGTGCTTTTTTCCACTTATTTCCACGTTCTTCAAAATGATTGCTAACACTAACTAACTATGGCATATTGTACACCTCAATTTTATATGAACCTCCTAATGAGAAGTTTGTATCTATAGATCTAGATCTAAAGTAAGTTGCTCATTTATTAATCCTGAGAAGAGTACGGTCTAGAGATGGAGATATCCATCTAGTCGGATGGTTGAATATATGCGATTAAGTGCATTTCTTCTAGTTTTTTTGTATGAAAATGCCTGGTTTCTACTATAGATAGATGATTATATTTGCAACTATTGTTTGAGGCTTGGTAAGAAGGTGGCCAATTCCCTGTTACCAATAAAAGCCAATCGGAGGAAAGTCCCGAGTAGTGGTCGATATGAACTAAGATATTGGGAAAACTCCCTCCCTGTCTGGTGGATGGAAATGACAGGATACTCTGGAAAATGTGGATTGGTACTGAAGGGTGTTAGGAAAATGTCGCGGGCTAAGACAAGTGGTTGATGCACAAGGTATATTATCTGATGGTGGATGCGCTTATTGTACAAAATTCGCCGCCAACGCCACTACCCTTCTTCGAACTTTTTTGCCAGATGTATCCGTATCTTTCACTCAAACTTGACTTTTACGCAAATGTTTTGCCAGTTGAGGACACCGCTTACCAAGCAGTGTGTCCTCCATCAATGAGCAGAGTGCTTCCCGTCATGAAGCTGCTCGCATCAGAAAGACAGAAAAGAGCCGTACCACGGAACTCCTCAGGCAGCGCCAAGCGACCAAGCATGTTCTCCGCTTCCCAAGTAGCCCTGGCAGCGGGGTTTTGTTTGAATACCTCATCCACCATTGGGGTGATGATGTGGCCGGGGCACAGGCTATTGACACGGATGCCGTGACGACCCCATTCCATAGCGAGAGAGCGGCCTAGCTGGATAACCGCCGCCTTGGACGAGTTGTACACGGGCGAGGTCATGCCCTTGTTGGCAATGAGGCCGCTCATGCTGGCTACTAGTAGGATCGAGCCCTTCTGTTGGTATTTGAACATCTGGCGGGCGGCGGCGGTGGCCGAGTTGAACACTCCATTATAATTAATCGACATCACGTCATCCAAAGCCTGCTGGGAGTGCTCCAGTGCACTTTGGAGGTGGTTGATTCCGGCTGCGGCGATCAGACCATCCAATCGCTCGCCCTGCGCTGCAATGGCTGCGAATGCGTTGTTGACTTCGGTGTTGTTGCGTACGTCGATGCGGATGTACTCCAAGCTGCTGCCGTAGTCGTCCTCAGCCCTTTTCTTAGCAACGAGGAAGTCTGGATGTGGGGATTCAAGGCGGTCCAGACAGTATACTGGTTATATGATATTGCGTGAACATTCGTTCATTTCGATAATCGGAGGGAGAAATGAGGGTATAAGTACCTTTTGCCCCAGCCTCGATCAATGCTTCCGCCATTGATAGTCCCAGTCCTCGTCCACCGCCAGTGATGGCATATACCCGTCCCTCAAGATCAAACTCGCTGAAGCGGTGGTTGTTGCGCAAAAGATCTTTCGGCGGCATCTTTGATTGGATGTGGTCCGGGCTGTGAGTTACATTGTGGATATCTTGAGGGCTGAAAGAACTCTTGGAGGTCGAGTACAACCGGGTTGACGAGAAAAAGAGAGAATGAGGAGCAGTGACGGCAACTCCAGCTAGCCGTGTACGAGCGGGAGCCAATACTCGGGGAATGAAAGACATGACCAAGGGAGGGATCCGGGGTATATATAGTAGAAGGTATTTCGGAGGAGGAGCGGATAGTATTAATGTCGACAGCCGTCAAACCAGAAGCCACAAGAAAAGATGCAACTAAAGAATTCACGATATTCCATCTATGGCATCGGGGTGATAGATTTATATGTCCAGAGAGCTGGGACGGTACTTCCTTGGAGAGCCTACCGAGAACAATAAGACCCTGCATAAAGATTGACAGGAAAAAATCAATTCCAGTTGCGCGTGACGGGGTGGATAACTGCTTTCACCATTACTCCAACGGACCCAGGCACTTCGATTAACCGAGAGCATCCACTGTAAGGCCCAAACTTGCCACCGAAGCTCTGATTAGCTATGGAGATGGGGATGTTGGGAAAAGGGGGTTGCACCACTATCTAGGAAGGAATATCGTGACCTTGCGCTGAAGACGGTAAGACTTCGATGGGAGCTTCGATGGAATGGCCCACTTGGCGGGAGTATGCACGATTGTCCATCATAATAATGATAGTCTGTGAGGGTGATTGGCTCGGAATCTGGTTCTAGTTTCCATGCCGATCCTCAATCTTGTTCCGGATCGAAGGGGCTGGATAGTTAAGGGAAGTATCAGAAGATCCCGGCTGAAGCTCCCCGTGCAAATATGGAATGCCCCAATAAGACACTCGGCATCAACGGCTGGAAGCGCGATGCACTTTTTATTTTCTTGCTTGATACTATTCCATGAAGATTTTGAGACATCCAAAGGCTCTCAGATCCACAGAAAAATTGTTGGCAGTTACAAGTCAGTGACAAGTCAATGCGATATCTCGTCTTCTCCTTTCTCGGCGTCCCGGGCCCCTTGGGACCCCCAGACCCTCCGAGTTCCACCTTAAATCCACCCGAACCCCATGGGCGCACAGATTGTCCAGTCCCGAGCTCTAATTTTTATTTTTATTTTATTTTTAGGATGGGGGGAATGGACCACATGAGCTTAATGAAATCTCATACATTCAAGCCCGGGATTTCCTAATCCGGTAACCCTTGCTCACCTCTTACATCCGATTCCTATGCCCAAGGGACACTTGTACAACAGCTCCATAGAATACTTCGCCCTGAATAGGACCCTTGGGTCTTTGTTTTGCACTTATTATGATAATTGGCATGAAATTTGAACACATTCTTTCTATTAAGCTTTCTCTATCGCCGGGAACTAAAGGCGTTGGAAGGCAGGTGCCACTACGGAGTACAATGTATGCACACACGATATTCTTTTTCGTGGCTTAAGGCACCCCACTCGCCATCGAGACCCTCTTTGCCACTCATGATGTGCCTATTCCGCAAGCCCTACATTGTACACGTGCTTCCAATCCCATTCCCACTACGGAGTAGGCAGGGGCTATAAAGGATTGAAGGTGATCTCGAACGCCCTGTGGGATGGTGTGCGTGCTAAATTCAGGTCACCTGTCCCTTGTGGAGTACTTCGTACAGATAAGGGATATGTGATATTTCCGCTAATAAAGAAATAAGCAATGCGATCTGCGAGGACACGGTGTACGTATTCCTTCTCTCATGCGGCTGGTTTTCAAATGAAGATCCCGACAGACGACACAATACCCCATCTCGCAATGGAAGAACCGAATTCAACTTCGAGGGAAATAGCTTCTGCGAAGACCGCCACAAACAAATAGTGCAAGGAAATAAAAGGGGAAAAACGATCCATGCAATATCCAGACTCCTGTCAACCGTCCCAATCACCCGATGCCTTTGGAATAAAACGCCAATTCCTCGATGGGAAGGTGCTCGTAAACGAAGCACAATAAAAACAAAGCACCCATTAGGGTTCACGGGCCACTTCAGTCGTTACGGCATACCCGCGAAACCCGCAGTTGTCTCGGGTCCGAAGCCGCTGCGAAGGCTGCCGAAATCTAGTTTCATGAGCAGACGATCCACCCCCGCTGCTTTATGGGGCACGTAATGGCTGAAGCCGGGGCTCGTGCTGTCACCTTGGCGGGAACCAGGCCACATCTGACCGAAGTTCGTTGCTAGTTCCACGGGTCCCTGGCCTTCTCCCGAGCGACTATCGTCAATGTCCCGCAGACTCCCAACAAGATTCTTAATACCCGTCTCGACATCGTTTCGAGTGGCGCGTAGCTCTTCCCATACCTCGCGTTCTTCATGGGCATAATCTACTAAGTCATCTTCCACGCCTTCATCTGTTTCCAGATCCATATTGCGTTGTATGGTTTCCAACCGGATCACAAGGGCGACGAAGCGGTCGATATTTGTGAGAAGTCCTCTCATGGTGTTTGTGAAGGGTAGTTCAGTCAAAAAGAGGGATTGCACCAGAGATGACAAGTGCCGCCGGTGGGCAACCGTGAGAGCCTCGGGATCGTGTCGTCCCATGGTCTGCTGGTTAGACTCAGGGAAGTTTCTGATAGGCATCTGGTCGGGAGACACTGTCTTGGAAGTATGATGCGATTTGGAAGAGGATGCGGTTCCAGGCCGGGATCCAGGGGCTGATGCTGTGGACGAAGAGCATCCTTCGATCCAGTGGCGAAGGTGCCGCCACGACTCATTGACGACGTCTCCTTGGAAAAAGCCACCAATCTCAGAAAGCATAAACAGACATGCACTTCCTGTGGCCCAGATATGACGCATTTGGCGAACACGAGCATTATCTCTGTCTCTTCTTGCCTTCAGCTTAGCTTGACCAAAGATGCTGTTACTTCTGGGCGGTCCCCATGGTGTAGGGTGGTTTCGCCGCAACGGAGTTCGTTTCCAGAGATCTCCAAGCCGGATCTGAGCCCGCCGTATTCCCAAGAGATAAGAATGGATCTTAGAATATATGACAATATCAGAGCTCGAGATAAATAGGTCCAGAGGAGCTCGGATATGCGTGGTGAGGTTCGTGGGCGTTGGGAAGAGCAGGTCTTCAAATGAGACCTTTGAGATTTTGGATATTAAATTAGGAGTTTGGGCAGGGGTCATCGGTCGGCCACTTTTACGGCCACTGATGGAAAGACAAAGAAGGTCCCGGGCAAGTTCAAGTTCTTCATCGGCTGGGTCCTCCTCCTTTTGTAGCGAGAAAAGCTCTGCCCATGCTTCAGCTAAAGCAGCTGTGACATCACCTTCTTTGGTGGTAAGAACGTCAGGTTCTCCCAATAGACGGGTCGCTGATGAGCCTCGACGTCGGCTTTCCTCAATGCGGGAATCTGCATGTGCTACAAGAGCCACCGCAAACTCCCCTCGTCCTAGTAAAAGGAAATTGTGAAGCAAAGTAAGAATTTCCAGGATTTTCGGGAGAGGCAACAATTTCGATAGGGTTGATTGAGAAAGGGAAAGGCGAATGGAGTCAACGGCGGTAGTCAGTTTTGAAGGCGAAATTGGTGATTTCAGGCCCGCAAGTTGCTCGATGTGCTCCCGATATAATGTCACCGGCGCAGTAGATGTTCCTGCTATTGAGGTTTTCCGTTTCGCTCGAATATGATTGAGGGATTTGCCAATGAATAGTATTGAACCTGCTGTTTGTGCCGTGACGAAATTTGGGAGCAATCGGACGTTTATGCTGAATTGTGCCTCGTCATTCTCATTTTCGGTATCCTCCTGGATGAAAAAGTCTTCCTTCCCGTATATAGGAAGATTCCCACAAAGTAACCACATCGAAAGCTGTTTCATCCATGCTGTCTCAGCCACTGTCGCCAATTGCAGGGCCATGTCCTTGATATCAAGATATCCTGTTTGAGCTTCGGTCCGCAGATGATCCATGAGCGCTGCCCCCGTGGAACCATGCAAAAGTTCGGTGCTTTTCCTTTCGGGTTGAATGAACCGGATAAGAGCCCAAAGCCACTCCATGCGCCGCATCCATGGTGCGAACTCTCCCACGATAGTCGACAATGGGACAATACCATACCCTCCCACATATCCACTATCCTCGGCAAGGATTGCCCTTTCAGCCTCCAGGATCTTCTTTTGGAATTCACCGAGATGTGTTCCAACAATAGCCGTAGAGACAGAGCGGCATATGACAGATGGGCTCGCGGAGGATATATCCGAGGCATATTTCCGCAGCTGCGTGTGAAGTCGACTCAAATGGGCAACGGAGGCGAGGAGGGCTTTCTCCGGAGGTGAAAGAAGGGGAAAATCATCTTGAGTAACAGCATTTTCCCCCTTTTGGGTACTGAAGAGGGGGGATGGCTGGCCGGAGAGGGAGAGTAGGATCTCATGGAGCATTCTGACGAGAGTTCCCTATCGGACCCATGTCAGTCACGAGCTCATCACAGGCGTATATGCAGAAAACTCACCTAGAGAAATGTCTTCTCTCCACTGGATAGTTTCTGCGTTGCCAGTATAATAGACCGCGCCCCACAAATTCAAAGCGACACATATGAAGTAGAGCGTTTGACGGCGCCAAGCTTCGCGTTGATGCCGAGACGCGTTAAACGTGGCGTATGGAATAGCAGGCTTCAGAACCAATCGGAGAAGATAGGGATGGTTGTCATTCTCCAGAGTCGACCCCAATCTTATCCAGATGTATTACAGCTTCCAACTCTCAACAAGACACTCTGTGACTCGAGAACGATAGCTCCCAGAGGTTTATTGAAGTATCGCGGGGCTAAAGGCCAATCGCCCTCTCACCGCCCGTTAGTCATCTCTTAGCTGTCGGGCCCCTCCTCTTACGTCGGTGTCCCTCTCTTGATCTCTCTCCTACTTTATACTGACTTGTCCTTTACTTATTCACACCTCCTACCCCACACAGCGTTCCAATTTTCCTTCTTTTCTATAATCCTCTATCATCCGTCGATTGCATTCGGATTGCTACTCTTCTCCGTGCTCGTTGAGCTAGGTACCTGGTACGCTGGGCGTTGCAACTTGATTTATCATCACTATTGAAAGACTTGCCCTATCGCAAGGCTTTCACCTCCTGACTTTCATCATTCCTTCAAACATTCCTGTTCGAGACGCGGCTAAGCCCGGAAAGCGCAGAGCCTCTGAAGACGACGTCGGAGCTCGGCCAGACAAAAGAACCATGACGGTATGGTTAGTCTTGATCTTAAATGTAGGATTGCCACTAATATGTTTCCCCAAAGGACGTCAAGATGCAAGTCGAGAACCCCCAAGAAACCATCGAAGCGATCAAGCATGGGGAGATCGACGAATCATTGTATAGTCGACAGCTGTAAGCCCCCCACATCCCTCTATAACATTCAAATCCCGAGTATGTACTGACACCTAAAAGATACGTTCTTGGTCACGAGGCCATGAAGCGCATGGGCTCTTCCAATGTTCTGATCGTAGGTCTCAAGGGCTTGGGCGTGGAAATCGGTATGTGATTCAACTATTAATCAAACCTCGCTTTCATCCCAACGTCTGATTGTCTCCATAGCCAAGAACATCGCCCTCGCCGGTGTCAAATCCCTCACCCTATACGACCCCGCCCCAGTCGCTATCTCGGATCTTTCTTCGCAGTTTTTCCTTCAGCCAGAGGACGTCGGCAAGCCCCGTGCTGAAGTTACCGCCCCAAGAGTCTCCGAGTTGAACTCCTACGTTCCCGTTACAGTCCATGAGAGCGAGAGCCTCGTGGGCGATCTCGAACAACTAAAGCGCTACCAGGCAGTGGTGCTCACACAGACGCCTTTGAAGGAGCAACTGGTGATTGCCGACTTCTGCCACAAGAACAAAATCTACCTCACAATTACGGATACATTCGGTCTCTTTGGTTATATCTTCAATGACTTTGGAAAGAACTTCACTGTGGGTGACCCCAACGGCGAAGAGCCTGCTGGTGGAATTGTGGCGGGTATCGACGAGGAAGGGTTGGTTTCGGCGCTCGATGAGACAAGGCATGGACTCGAGGATGGTGACTTTGTCACTTTCACTGAAGTCAAGGGTATGGATGGCCTAAACAACAGTGATCCTCGCAAAGTCACCGTGAAAGGTCCCTATACTTTCACTATTGGCGACGTCTCTGGTCTAGGATTCTACCAGGGTGGTGGTCTGTTCACCCAGGTCAAGATGCCCAAGTTCATTGATTTCCAGCCACTGGAGGATCAACTTAAAAAGCCTGATATTCTCATGTCCGACTTTGCCAAGTTTGACCGGCCACAACAGTTGCACATTGGTATCCAGGCTCTTCATAAGTTTGCGGAGACTCATGATGGCCAATTGCCTCGTCCCCACAATGATAGCGACGCCCAGGAGGTTCTGAAGATTGCCAACGATCTTGCTGCAACCGGTGAGGAAAAGGTTGAACTGGATGAGAAGATAATCAGGGAACTGAGCTACCAGGCCCGCGGTGATCTGAATCCGTTAGCAGCTTTCTTCGGTGGCATCGCCGCCCAGGAGGTTCTGAAGGCTGTCTCCGGCAAGTTCAGTCCTGTGCATCAGTGGTTGTACTTTGACTCTTTGGAGTCTTTGCCCTCATCAGTCACTCGATCTGAAGAGAGCTGCAAGCCTCTTGGTACCCGCTACGATGGTCAAATTGCGGTTTTTGGCAAGGAATACCAAGATAAACTTGCCAATGTCACCCAATTCTTGGTCGGTTCTGGTGCTATCGGTTGTGAGACTCTGAAGAACTGGGCCATGATGGGTCTGGGTACGGGTCCCGAAGGAAAGCTTTACGTCACCGATATGGACCAGATTGAGAAGAGCAATCTTAACCGCCAATTCCTCTTCCGTCCCAAGGACGTCGGCAGACTCAAGAGTGAATGCGCGTCTGCAGCCGCTCAAGCAATGAACCCAGAATTGAAAGATAAAATTGTCACTCTTCGTGATCGTGTCGGTGCCGACACTGAACACGTCTTCAATGAGGATTTCTGGAACGGCCTTGATGGTGTGACAAACGCTTTGGACAATGTCGATGCACGGACATATGTTGATCGCCGATGTGTCTTCTTCCGCAAGCCATTGCTGGAGAGTGGTACCCTGGGCACCAAGTGTAACACCCAGGTCGTCCTTCCTTTCATCACGGAGTCCTACTCCAGCTCCCAGGATCCCCCGGAGAAGTCATTCCCTATGTGTACCCTGAAGAGTTTCCCGAACCGCATTGAGCACACCATTGCATGGGCACGGGATGTCTTCCAAACCTACTTCGTTGGCCCACCTGAATCAGTCAACATGTACCTCTCGCAATCCGACTACATTCAACAGACCCTCAAGCAGGCGGGCAATGAGAAGCAAACTTTGGAACACCTGCGTGACTTCTTGGTCACTGAAAAACCTCTTACTTTCGATGATTGTATTGTGTGGGCTCGCCAACAATTCGAAGCGCAGTACAATAATGCGATCCAGCAGCTTCTCTACAACTTCCCACGAGACTCCAAGACTTCATCCGGTCAACTATTCTGGTCTGGACCTAAGCGTGCCCCTACCCCCTTGAAGTTCGATAGCACTAATCCAACTCATCTTGGATTTGTTGTTGCTGGTGCTAACCTCCATTCGTTCAACTACGGTATCAAGAACCCCGGTGCGGACAAGGATTATTACCGCAGGGTAGTTGATGACATGATCGTTCCCGAGTTCACCCCGAGCTCGAATGTCAAGATCCAGGCCAATGAAAACGACCCTGATCCGAATGCCCAGCCAACTGGTTCATCTACTGATGAGGAAGAAATCCAGAAACTGGTGGCGTCTCTTCCCTCGCCCAAGTCTCTTGCTGGTTTCCGCTTGCAGCCAGTTGAATTTGAGAAGGATGATGACACCAACCATCACATCGACTTCATCACCGCGGCTAGCAACCTCCGTGCAGACAACTACGAGATTGCTCAGGCCGACCGACACAAGACCAAATTTATCGCCGGAAAGATCATCCCGGCGATTGCTACCACTACTGCCCTGGCCACCGGTCTTATTGCCCTCGAACTGTACAAGATTGTTGACGGCAAGGACGACATCGAGCAATACAAGAACGGCTTCGTTAATTTGGCCCTTCCGCTATTTAGCTTCAGTGAGCCGATCGGTAGCGAAAAGGGCAAGTATCAAGGCAAACAAGGCGAGGTCACAATTGACAAGCTCTGGGACCGATTCGAGGTGGAAGACATCCCCCTTCAGGAATTCCTCGACTTCTTCGCCGAGAAGGGCTTGGACATCACCATGGTCAGCTCTGGAGTCAGCTTGTTGTATGCAAGCTTCTATCCCCCATCGAAGGTCAAGGATCGCCTTCCTCTACCGTGAGTATCTCTTGTATAACCCCATTCGTGACTCAAATTGCTGACAATGTACCTTTCAGTATGAGCAAGCTTGTGGAGCACGTCAGCAAGAAGCCAGTCCCCGAGCACCAGAAGAACATCATCTTCGAGGTGACCGCCGAGGACCAGACAGAAGAGGATGTTGAGGTTCCTTACGTGATGGTCAAGCTCACAAAATAAGGCGATTAGAATCTACCAAAAGCCGGTTGGCTACATATTGCTAGTACAGTAGCTAGAATTCATGATTATTCCACTCTCCACAGACTCCACAAGTACAAATATGCGTAGATTACCGATGTAAACCATTTCCAAGGTTGTATACCCAGGTACAAATTAATATAAAGTTAATATCTAATCATGGGCTTTGCCAAGACCACCTGGGCATGCAGATCGCTTTGTCAAAGCTGATCGATCTTCCGATAAGCAAATCTGACTCAGCATTTGGTCATGGATGACAGGGTCATCACCGGGTCATCACCCCCGCAAAGACGACATTTTTATTCTTTCTTATATATAAGGGTAGAGTCCACTGTCTCTGCCTCTTATGTTCTTTACTCTGCTGAGATCTCAACCTTTGAAGCATCTTTCACATTCAATTCTCCGCGCAGGGCCTCTTCGTGCAGTTTACCAGAGCTTTGTGTTCCCCACTGTACCCATCATCTACTCCCGCAATATGGCTGTAAGAAACACAAAACAAGTCCACTACAATAGCTCCAGTGGCTATGCTGACTTACATATGTATAATTCAAGACCGGAAATTCCATGAAAATCACCGATTGGGTGAAACCCGGCGACAAGTCGGGCGAGTTCAAGCGTCAGCAATCCGTCTTCCGGAACTGGATCTCTAGAGAGGCCGGCTCCCAATTCCCTCCAGAGAAGGGCCGGTACCATCTTTATGTCTCCTATGCCTGTCCTTGGGGTATGAAAGAGCTTGCAATTGGCTTGACACTCGATCAGTGACTAATTATCTACTAGCTCACCGGACTTTGATTACCCGGAAGCTCAAAGGTCTCGAGGACTTCATCTCTTTCTCTTCGGTACATTGGCATCTTGGAGCGGAAGGTCAGATTTATCTCACAAGTTGTGGGAAAATCGCATTTTTCTAACTCATCTCTTAGGTTGGCGATTTGCTACCCCCGATGAGAAACTGCCGGGGGAGAACACCATTCCTGATCCTCTACACCCGGACTTCACCCATATCCGACAGGTCTACTTCTCCAATGATCCAGACTACACGGGGCGGTTCACCGTTCCAGTTCTCTTCGACAAGAAGACCAAGCTGATCGTCAGCAACGAGGTACGAAGCAATCTTCCCAGAAAAAGCCATTTCCAATTCCAAGTTCTTACAAAACCAGAGCTCCGAAATCATCCGCATGCTTTACCATGAATTCGACGATATTCTCCCAGAGCAATACAAGAAAATCGACCTCTTCCCCAAGGCTCTACAAGCCGAGATCGACGCCTCCAACGAATGGATTTACAATGACATCAATAATGGCGTATACAAATCCGGTTTCGCAACCACGCAAGAAGCCTACGAGAAAGCCGTAACAACGCTCTTCTCATCGCTCGACAAGGTCGAAGCCCACCTTGCCAAGCAGGAAGCAGCTTCGAAGCCGTATTTCTTCGGCGACGAGATCACAGAGGCTGATATCAGACTCTACACCACCATCGTTCGGTTCGATCCGGTCTACGTACAGCATTTCA